GATACCTTCACCTACATCGCATATTTCCGTCTCCTCCGCATCTCTCGGTCCAGCAAAATTAGCGTCAAAACCATGCGGGAGCAGATGGTCCCCTCCGGCCAAGCAACTGGAACAGCATTCCACGTCGCTCTCAGTGTCTGCCGCCGTGATCGCCGCAACCACTCAGTTCTCCAACACGCGAACGAGCTGGTCGGTTTGATGGACAAAGCATTGATCCTACCTGATATTCGCGTCCTCGAGGGGTATCTGGAAATGATCCAGATCCTTTCCGCCAACCCATCCGTCCTTCTGCACCTTAGAGGACTCGACACAGCCGAAAATTTCAAATCCTCCAAACCCACTAAACTGCATGAGATGGGCAGGAAGCTACAAGCGAAGCTGCGACTCACTGCTATCGCCACCTTGCGGCCATATATCCTCCAGCTGCACGAGGCAATGGAGAACGGCAAACCAGAGTCGAGGACTCGCTGGAGTGCCATTCAGAACTCACTTTCGGATTCTGTCGCCGGTCCGGCGGCTGTGAAAATGATGTCGCGGGTTCGTCTGGTGGTTGACGACACTCTCAAGCTTGACTATAAGTCTCATGTTTCGAAGGCCGAGCGCAAGGCCCTTGAGGCTGACTCGAATATGCTGAAGAAGTATTCTGACAAGGATGTCATTGCGACTTGGAAGAACAAGAAGGTTTACCCGACGCTGCAGCAGAAGGAGGAGGCCCGGGAACGCATCAAGAAATTCCAGTGGGAGGCTCGGAACCCTCAAATCCAAGAAAGTTCGGATTAGCAAGAGGAATTTTCCTCGTGACATGCACTGATTGAGGCTTAATCAAATTCGTGTTGGACACGACGAGACCGTGATCTCGATTGTATTATGTTTGTATATCACATATTGGGGGTTATAGATGGCGTTGCATATTTGCATTATGTATATAATACCATTTGGTACATTCTCTACTTCTAACTGAACAATAATCAAGATTTCTAGACGGATTTGATGTTGCTATCAACTTCTAAGATCTATATTCCATGATTGTGCTGAGCTTTTCTATCTGCTCCCCTATATCAACTGCCAAGTGATTTGATATTCAAATATTATTATAATTCTGTTATTTCTATCCTCTATACAAGGTAAAATCGATCCAAAGGAGCACAGGACATAATAATCTGCCATGTCGGGTTGTCGAGGAAAGCATCACGCAATCTGACAGCGGATGGTGAAATGCATCCCTAAGATGTTGTGAATACTGTGGGGATGATGGCGAATGTTTGATCTACGACACGCCATAGTGAAAGATTCACCTATACTCGGAAACTTGCCGTTCCCCTCTTTTTCACATTACCGATGGCGCGAGATACGTGTATGATAGGCGAATTTGGAGTTGGTGGGGTACATCTGGGCAAAATAGTCTAGGAGACGAGGGGCGTTGTCACTTTATATACTATACTAGATCTTCTTTTGAACTTGTGAGAGGAAGCATTGAACGCGATAAAGGGTCTTATACATCATGGGAGACAATGCAGCTACTAGCCAGAATGGCTCGGCCGCTGGCAATGGCAAGAAACAAATCTTGCTAAATGCTTTTGACATGTCGACCGTGGGACACTTATCCCCTGGACAATGGAGAGTTAGTATATGAATTGAAGTAGAAGAACCAAAACGCTGACAGCTCCACAGAATCCCAAAGACAAGTCTGCAACCAAGCGAACGCTTGAGTATTGGATAGAGTTGGCGAAGCTGTTGGAGCGCGGTGGAATCAACGCATTGTTCCTGGCAGATACAACTGGAGGCTATGATACCTACGAGGGCAAACTGGACGAGTGTATTCGACGCGCGGCACAATGGCCAGTGACGGACCCGACTATCGTGAGTGTCAATCAAACAAAAGGTACGATTAGGTCTGACTTTTGGTTAGCCCATTTCAGCGATGGCTGCAGTGACAAAGAATCTGGCGTTTGGTATCACGGCGTCGACTTCATTTGAGCAACCTTTCTTGCTGGCTAAGCGTTTTTCAACCTTGGACCATTTGACTAATGGTCGAGTGGGTTGGAACATTGTGACCTCATATAAGAAGGCAGCTTTCAAAGCCATTGGTCTAGATACTCCAATTGAGCATGACGAGCGGTACCGTCAGGCAGATGAATATCTGAGGGTGCTCTATAAGTAAGCTACATACCCACGGCTTGTTTAAAGTGATATTGTTGAAGACTGACTCGGCGGTTGTTGCGTATAGACTGTGGGAGGGCTCCTGGGCTCCTGATGCGCTGTCGCCCAACCCCGAAGCAGACACATACGTAGATCCAGATAAAGTCCGCCAGATCAACCACAAGGGCAAGTACTTCTCATTGAGCACACGACACATTGTCGACCCGTCTCCGCAGCGAACACCATTCCTTTTCCAGGCTGGGACTTCACCCGCAGGATCAGAATTTGCTTCGACCCACGCTGAGGCAATCTTCGTCTCTTCCCATTCGCCGGAGGTGTTGCGGCCGAAGATCGCGAATATCCGCAAGCTAGCCGCAGAACGAGGCCGTGATCCTCAGTCAATCAAGTTCTTTGGTACCTTAACGCCCATCGTAGGCGAGACTGACGAAGAGGCGTGGGCTAAGTATGAGGAGCTGAAGAAATACGCCTCGGTGGTTGGAGGACTGGTTCTTTTCAGCGGATGGACGGGCATCGACATTTCCAAAATTCCACTGGACCAGGACATCACGGCTGCAGACTCATTGGAGGCAAGCAAAGTCACTAGCTTGCTTGATTCATTACTCACGACCAGCAAGGATATCCCGCGCTGGACGCCTCGTGTGGTTGCTGAGAGGGCTGCAATCGGTGGTCTTGGACCCGTGGCTATTGGAAGCCCTGCTACTATTGCCGATGAGATGGAGCGTTGGATCCGAGAAGCGGACCTCGATGGGTTTAATCTTGGCTATGTCACCACGCCTGGCACCTTTGAGGAGGTGGTTGATCTGCTAATTCCTGAGCTGAGGAGACGCGGTCTTTATCCCGAGCTTCCAGACCCCTCAGAGCCACCTCTCACAGCTCGTGAGAAGATATTTGGTAAGGGGCAGAAAGAACTCAGGGCTGATCATACTGGAAGTAAATACAAGTACAATGTGTATCAGGAGGAGGAGCCTTATGTTGACGGTACTGGGGAAAACTGATTGTTAAATTAATGAAACCGGATCATTCAATTTATATATAAAAACAGTTTCGGATTAATCAGATAGCCCATCTGCAAGACGTGCGGAGTGAAATGTGAAACAAAACGTGCCTGGTAAGATTACCCGTGACCTGGTACGTAATGCCACTCTAGCCTTTCCGGGACAGCTTGGCCAACTCGCTTTCATACTCTTCGATAACCTTGAACGTTCTTGTCGAATTCGCCTCTAAGAGGACTAAAAGAGTGGAATTATTGCGCTAGTCTTTCAACCATCACGACCTTACCACGCGAACCATGGCTACCGTACACCAAAGCCACCCCCATGGTGATCCCCATGATGATGATTCTCTCCTTGGCGATGATTTGATCGAAGCCGATGATGGTGATTACTTTCCTTTACCCCCCTTTGGTCGTCGTATCGGCAAGACCCTAATCTGATGTGATTCAGCCATCGACGCCGACGACCCCCTGCGTGATACCTCCGACACAGCCCCTCTGCGAGGCAACATTGAATCTAGCTCGAGCAACCGAGGCAATGCCTCAGGTTATGGAAACTACCTAGCATCTTCTATTGGTGGTGAAGATCGTCGTGCGACCCAAAACACCATCGATGAGAGTGTTTGGGATACATTGTCACGCGACTTGGTTGCCGTGTGGGAGAAGATGCGCCAGGTGCTTTGGCCAAAGTACTTGCTTGGAGGAATGATGCAGCGTGCAGGCCGTGGCACCGCTGATTCTGAGCAAGGAGGAGTGTCTGGATTTGGTGGTAACATTCGAGGACTCGTTGGACGCTGGCCGGATGCCGACGTGGTCCTGCAGGGTGGCATGAGCGAAGGATTGCGGGACTGGGATCTCTGGTAAGCTGCCCTGCACACGAAAACTTTGCATGGAAACTAACTAAGGGCTTACTCCAGGGGGCCGCTTGTCTTTTGTCTGGTCCTGAGTTTGTTCTTGTCTATCGCAAAGGGTGACCAATCATCGGCAGTTTTCTCTGGTGTTTTCTGTCTTGTTTGGATCGGAGAAGCGGCCGTGACCCTTCAGATCAAGCTCCTTGGAGGCAAGATGTAAGTGTTACATGAAACGTCCCCTATCGCAATTTACTGACATTGCGGCCTACTAGTTCTTTCTTCCAGTCGATTTGCATTATCGGCTATACTCTATTCCCCTTGGTCATTGCGGCTATGCTGAGTGCCGTGGGACTTCCTACTATCGCACGGATACCGGTATATCTTGTGTTAGTCGCATGGTCTTTAGCAGCTGGAGTAAGCATCTTAGGAGGCTCGGGGGTGGTGCGGAACCGAGTCGGCATCGCAGTTTACCCGCTGTTTGTGTTCTACATTGCGATCGGATGTCTCTGTTTCATCAGTTAAGGCTATTGTGATAAGGCTCTCTGTTGTGGTCAAGAGAGGAAATGCGCCGTCACAAGCTTCTAGGCTCTCAATAACAATGGATATTAGAATAGGATACCGGTATATCCAGACTTGAAATTGAATTTATGTCGAGGCAACAATAGATTGTAGATGAATACGCTTTGTTCTTCCATTGACGCTCTTTAGAGAGAACCCGTTTGTTGGGCCCCGCACCCGGCGGTCAAGTTATATAAGAACCGGCAAGCTAGCTTTTCCTTCTTCTCTCACCTTTTTCACCCTCCCATCCTCTTGTTCTTCTGTTCGCAACCTTTGCAACTTTCGCAAACTTCAAATCTTCTATTCTTCGTTGATTCGGCCGGTCCCAATCGATCCCATCTGTTCATCTGCGGTCAACGTGACCTACCTCCGCTCAACTCAATTTCGGCATATCTGGAATACCCAATATCTTTTTGAATTTGTCCTCAGGACGTGACACTATGGCTTCTGCTTCCCGTGAGCAGAACTCCTCAGCAGGCGGTAAGTCATCATTGCTTGGGCGCATGGCCACGAATCCCCCACAGAGTTGGGCAGTCTTGCTAACAACCTCAAAGCTCCAGATACAGAGCAACTGAAAATGGACCACAGAGGTACGTTTAATCTAGTGATCCGTCTTTATTCAACCCTACAGCTTTCCTTTCTATCCTCAATACTCCTTTGCTGCACGGCTTTCTCCGACGTTCATGTGATCTGACGATATCTTGACAGTAGCCGCGCAGTCGCCCCCCTCGGACAATGACAGCGAACGCCCCGTGCGACAACAGCTCAAGAAGACTAATCTAGGCGCTGTGGGCGAAAACAACGGTTCTGCCCGTCCAAACCGAAAGCGCTCCCTCGACGACACAGATGGAGCAAATGACACACCTCCAATCAAGCGATCTCGAGAGTGCACCCCGGACATCCTACATGCTTCCACGGAAGCCACCTCCGACCACACCGGAACCTCCAACAATGGCATTACGCAAAATGTGAGTGACAATGTGCTAGCCACACCCGCGAACACTACCCACGAGACCACCAAGGTCCATATTCCCCTGGGCGTTGAGATCAAGGTCTCAATTGCTGGATCCGAGAAAATTACCCGTTTGAGCATCCCTCTGGACATTGATGTCAAGGTACACCCTGGCGTGGTTTCCTTGGTTTCTGAGACTTCGAGGTCCGCTGAAGACGAATCTCCCATAATCAATACCACCATTCCATCTGCAGAGCGTATTTCTCGATCCGGAAACCCTTACCCTGGACACACTTCCCCTGGACACCCTTCCCTTGAACACACTTCCCTTGGACACACTTCCCTTGGACACGCTTCCCTTGGAGACACTTCCTCTGGACATGCTTCCTCTGGGCATGTTTCCTCTGGACATGTTTCTGGACATGCTTTTAGAAATGCTTCCTATAGATATGCTACCTCTGGGCATGCTTCTGGACACGCTTCCTCTGGACATGCTGCCTCCGGACATGCTATTTCTGGACATGTTTCCTCTAGACATGTTTCTGGACATGCTTCTGGACACGCTTCCTCTGGAAATGCTTCCTCTGGACATGCTTCTGGACACGCTTCCTCTGGACATGCTGCCTCCGGACATGCTATCTCTGGGCATGATACCTCTGGGTATGCTTCTGGATATGCTTCTAGACGTGCTTCCTATGGATATGCTACCTCTGGGCATGATACCTCTGGGTATGCTTCTGGATATGCTTCTAGACGTGCTTCCTATAGATATGCTACCTCTGGGCATGCTTCTGGACACGCTTCCTCTGGACATGCTGCCTCCGGACATGCTATTTCTGGACATGTTTCCTCTAGACATGTTTCTGGACATGCTTCTGGACACGCTTCCTCTGGAAATGCTTCCTCTGGACGTGCTTCCTATGGATATGCTACCTCTGGGCATGCTTCCTCTGGGAATGTTTCCTCTGGGAATGTTTCTGGACATGCTTCTAGACATGCTTCCTATAGATATGCTACCTCTGGGCATGCTTCTGGACACGCTTCCTCTGGACATGCTTCCTCTGGACATGCTTCCTCTGGACCTGCTTCCTCTGGACACGCTTCCTCTGGAAAGCATGTACCCTCTGAAGACTACATACCCCTTGAAGACCCTGAGTCAAGCGGAGATTCCTCGTCCGAGGACTCTCTGCCTGACTACCGTTCACCTGAATTCCCGACTTCTCCGAGTCCTGTCCCACGCAGTCCCACGCACCCAGATTACCCCAGACCCATGGTTGAAATTATTGATCCTGACCGCTATAAATTCCCACAGAATATCGAAACGACCGCCGGCGGAAACGAAGATGGTTCTTCACAAACTCTCAAGAAGAAACGGAGCCGAGAACAACTTGAAGATGATGTATCGAAGAATTCTCACGCTATTACTGACCCCACTCCCGGTTTGGCTGAGACCACTTCATCGGACGAAAAATCTACTGCCGAAGGACAACCCGAAAAGAAGAGACCGCGCGACAACTCAGAGGAGCGCAAGGCCAAGGTGGATCAGGTTGGTTTGCTACTTTGACTTCCCCAACTTTTTTTGTCCCGTTCTTCTACTAACGCTTGCCTCCGATAGACTTTCACCGCGAGTGCATTCGGAAAGGCTTCTGCCAACCCCTCACCGTTTGCAATGCCTGCAGCTAAATCAACCTCTGATGCTTCACCTTTCGCAACCAGCGGTGCCTCGACTACTGGTTTGGGTGCCCTCGGAACTGGCTTCTCTGGATTTGGCAGCGCTTTCCCTGCTCCATCTGGTAAACTCACCAGTTTCGCGTCCTCCAATGCTCCCGCCGCTTTCCCTGGAGCAACTGGTAAATTGACCAGCTTCGCATCTGCCAACGCCCCTGCCAGTTTCTCTGGAACAGCCGGTAAACTAACCAGTTTCGCGTCTCCTAATGCCCCCGTTTCCTTTGGAAATTCCAGTGACAAGACCCTGGGTGCAAAGCAATCCGACAACGAAGAGAGTGACAACGAAGCAGCGGGTGAAGCTAATGACACCTTTGTTGCCGAGAAGACCGACGAACGTTTCCACCAACAAACTGGTATGGACCCCTCCTTGCAGCGTATCCCCAGGAAACCAGAATTGGCCAGTCGCTCATCCCAGGTTAAAAAACCAGTTGAAACCGGCGAAGAAAACGAGACCACCAAGTTCACATCCAAGGGCAAGCTTTACTACTTTGCCAACAAGAAATGGAAGGAGCGTGGCATTGGCACCTTCAAGGTTAACCTCAAGACGGACTCCCACGGAAAGCAATCTGGCCGCATGATCATGCGTGCCGATGGTGCCTTGCGTGTCATGTTGAACAGTGCAATTTGGCAGACCATGCCATTTGGCGACAACAAGGGTGATCGCCCGGCCACCCGGGATATTTACCTTGCCAGCAAGGACGGTGAGAAAGTTGTTAGCCTGCTTCTCCGGGTAAGTCTTCTCCAAATTATCCCAATCTTTTTGATTATAATGCTAACGGATCAAAACAGCTTAGCAACGAAAAGCCCGCTCAGGAACTGTACGATGTGCTAAAGCACATCTTGGAGAAGATCTAGTTGATACCTGTGGTTAGGTTGATGTAAATAAGCAGTAACACAAAAAAAAACAAAAAAAAGAACCACTGTGGGGGTTGGGGGTTGTTATTGCAGATTATTAGCGATCTTTAATACAATTGTGTGAATATTGTACATTTCGTTCTTGTAGACTTATAGAGAGGACCATTGAAATAGCCATTTTAGGTCATATTGGTTCACGTGATCTCGCGTTTCCCATCAGTTCCCAACTTTTGTCGATTTCGACTTCAACAACATTATGGGGCTTCGACATGACGGGCTCCTCGTCAATACCACCGGACTCATCACTCAAACGGAAACGAAGTCATGAAGGCGATTGTGCTGTCGAGTCCAATGTGACTCCCCCGGACGCGTCGCCCCAAGACCTTGCCGATCAAACACCCTCGACTACGGCCGATGGTTCTCTCAACGAATATGATGTGCATGGAACCGGATCTATCAAAAATATAGCCACCAAAAAAACAAGCAAAGGAAAGAAAGTTACCTCGAAACCCGCGAAGCCCTCGAAGCGAACTCCATCTACACCATTACCAGATACCTTCAAACGCCTCTCACAAACCCATCGCGCCTTGAATCTCGTTTACACATTTTGTTGCACGCGAAAGCACTTCGCCACCACATTTGACAACATAAAAAAGGCAGTACAAGCCCAACTTGGTCAACGAGAACTCACCGTTGAGGATGTTGCACGCGTGAAAGTCATAGTTCCGGGCGCGGTCCGCTTCGAATATGTGGACGAAGCCAAATTGGAAGTAATGACTGCTGGAGATGAAGAGATATCTCAATATGGATTACACAAACGATCTAATCTGCCATTTGGGAACACGGACACAGCTGAAGACGCTAGTGGCGATCTTCACGAAGACACAAAGCAAGTTCTGCTATTTGAGTTTGTGGACGCTGATCTGAAGCGGGAATCACTACATCCTAAGACGGGAGAGCCTATGAAACCCGTCCGTCGTATGAAAGACGAGGATCTGAAAATGCCCGTCTACAGCCAAAAGCAGATGCTGGCCTTGATTGAAAAACGGAATGTCAAATTCTCAGACGCTTTGAATGAGTTTTTGGTTCGATGTGAGGACAATAATACTGACCCGGTCGATTGTCTTGAACAAGATAAGAATACTTTTATGCCCACCCCTCTTACAGCGCAGCCGCCAGCAACAATCCCCAAGGAGCGAAAGTCCATTGAGGAAATCATTGCAGAGATTCGGCAGATGGATTGGTATTATGCGCAGATTGTGCCGGAAGGCCATCGTGTATTCGAAGCCCAGTCTCCTGTCTACGGTGATTTGACATTCCAGCTCTCGCAGGACCTTGTGAATGCTCTGTATAACACAAAAGGAATCACACAAATGTATACTCATCAAACAGAGGCAATTAACCACCTATACGAGGGCCATAATGTGATTGTGTCGACGTCAACAAGCTCGGGAAAATCCCTTATCTATCAAGTCCCCATGTTGCACGAGCTTGAAAAGGACCCAGAGAGCAGGGGGATGTATATCTTCCCCACGAAAGCATTGGCTCAAGATCAGCGCCGCAGCATGATGGATCTACTTCAGTTTATGAACGGGCTGCAACACACAATGGTTGAAACGTTTGATGGGGATACGCCTATGGGGAGCCGAAATTTGATACGTGACGAGGCGCGGATCATCTTCACCAATCCCGATATGCTTCATATTACAATTCTGCCGCAGGAGAGTTCCTGGCGCACTTTTTTGAAGAATTTGAAGTTCGTCGTCGTCGACGAATTACACGTCTATAACGGCTTGTTTGGGTCTCATGTCGCTTTTATCATGCGACGTCTCCGCAGGATTTGTGCTGCCGTCGGTAATCAGCATGTCAAGTTCATATCTTGTTCTGCTACTGTTGCAAACCCGGAGGATCACATGAAGTCTGTCTTTGGGGTGCAGGATGTGAAACTCGTCGATTTCGATGGATCTCCCTCTGGTCGTAAAGAGTTTGTTTGCTGGAATACGCCATTCAAAGACCCCAAAGATCCTACCTCTGGACGTGCAGACACCGTCACTGAGACCGCCAGACTATTTTGCCAGCTGATTCTCAGAGGCGTGAGAGTCATCGCCTTCTGCCGAATCAGGAAGTTATGTGAGATCCTCTTACAAGGTGTGCGCGTGGAGTTCGATAGACTCGAACGAACAGAAATCGGCAAGCTAGTGATGGGCTACCGAGGAGGGTATAGCCCTCAGGATCGACGCCAAATCGAAAAGGAAATGTTCGAGGGGAAACTCATGGGAATCGTGGCCACCAACGCACTGGAACTGGGCGTTGATATTGGCTCCCTGGATGCAGTAATCACCATGGGCTTCCCATACTCGATTTCCAATCTACGCCAACAAAGCGGCCGCGCTGGACGACGTAACAAGGACTCCCTCTCCGTCCTAGTCGGGGACAGATACCCAACCGACCAACACTACATGCAGAATCCGGATGAATTATTCACACGGCCGAATTGCGAGCTGCAGATCGACCTATCCAACGAGCTCATTCTCGAAGGCCACGTCCAATGTGCTGCATTTGAGATGCCTATCCGCCCCGAAGAAGACAGCATCTACTTCGGGCAACAGCTCCTTGCCCTAGCCCCAACCCGCCTAATAAAAGACTCACTCGGCTTCTACCACTGCCACCCACGCTTCCGCCCACAGCCCTCCCGCAGCGTCTCAATCCGCGACACAGAAGACCAACACTTCGCCGTCATAGACACAACGAACAACCGCAATATAGTGCTGGAAGAAGTCGAAGCCTCGCGCGCCTTCTTCACAATCTACGAAGGCGGAATCTTCCTCCACCAAGGCACAACCTACCTAGTAAAAGAACTAAACACCGAATCCTTCCTAGCGCGCGTCGTGCGCGTTCACGTCGACTGGAACACCATGCAACGCGACTTCACCGACATCGACCCCATAGAAACCGAAGCTATGCGTGTGGTCAGTAACGACCCCCTAGCCTCGCGCGCGTTCTTCGGCGCAATCCAAATCCACGCCGTTGTCTACGGCTTTTTCAAAATCGACAAGCGTGGCCGTGTCCTCGACGCCGTCGCCGTCGATAACCCGCCAATCGACCGTCTTACAAAGGGTATGTGGCTCGATGTCCCAACGCGCGCTATGGAGATCCTTCAATCGCATCGGCTTAATATAGCCGCCGCCATTCACGCCGCTGAACACGCCGTCCTCTCCCTCCTGCCCTCCTTCGTCGTTTCTTCGCCCGGTGACGTCCGCACGGAATGCAAAGTCGCGAAGAAAGAGCTTGGCCGGTCGCTCCGCCGCGCGAACGTGCCCAGTGAGTTTGAGGAGAAGCTTAAACCGCCGACGCGGCAGAGGCCTGCTCGGCTTACCTTTTATGACGCGAAGGGTGGGTCATGTGGGTCTGGGATTGCTAATAAGGCGTTTGAGTTTATTGGGTTGCTTCTTCGACGGGCGGTTGCGCGCATCGAGGCTTGTTCTTGTCTTTTGCCGCAAGGTTGTGTGGAGTGTGTTTGTGATGAGCGATGTAAGGAGATGAATGTAGTTATGAGTAAGGCCGGTGCTGGGGTTATACTGCGGTGTTTGCTTGGGTGGGATGTTGATGTTGATGCCTTGCCGTGGGGGGAGGAAGTGGAGGGTGACGAGTTTGGAGTTGGAGGTGCTGGGGAGTTGGCTGGTGGGTTGGAGACCGTTGTCGTGGCCGGGGAGGTGCCGTGGAAGCCTGGGTGTCGGGTTGGTTGTTGAAAGATATTGTGTACAGTATGCATTATCAAGTTGTACCAATTCCTTCTAGGTGAAACCTCGTGCAGCTATGGATGCCGGACATCCACACCCCAAGGGGGCTAACTGCCTGTGTATATAATTAATTTCATCTGCCTGCTGTTTCCTAACTCTTATACAGACATAGACTTGGTACAAGAAAGGGGTGGTTGAGTATTGCCTTGGGTTTCAAGGTCCCTTGAGGTCCCATGCTCTTTGTGCAAGCTCAATGTGACCTTCGCTTTTGATTTTCTGGTTCTCTTCTATGCCGGGTCTCTCAAACTTTCGAATGTTGGAATAACTTTTGGATAACCCCGTCATTTGTAGCAGTTGAGTTGTTCGGAGCTTGCTGTTTCGCTCATGAAAAAAAGAATGAAATCTTGGAAGATTGGAGGTATAAATAAGTAATGAACGGTATCAGTCAATGATCCTATAGGAAATTGGGTATAATAAATGTACATCAAGTCATGACCGAGAGAGACCACTTTAGGATCAGAGGGAAGGAGAGATAATAGTGTAACAAGGTAGATAAGCGAGGAGGAATGTGTAATGTGGTGATGATGGGGAGAGGCTGGATGAGAGGTTATATAGCAAGGACAATTCAAAGGAAGGCGAGAAGATGGGTAGAAGGTGTGAAAAGGCCAGGGCAAAGATGAGGGTGTGAGTCGATGTCCAATGAAGATGGAAATTGGTCCAACTGGGTATTTGTGTCATCCAGTCATAGGACATGAGTGGGCTTGGTTGCCTGGGCGTTGTCGGGGTAAGGGTAGAAGGCATGATGTTTGGTGTATTTCGATGTGGAAACTTCGAGAAGATCGTGGGTAGCAATGAAGCGATGGCTGTGCTCGTGGCTAAGGGAACTCAGGGCCGAACATTCAACGACGGAAACCCCCCATTCACACAAGACCACTATGAAGGGCTCTTGCTCTTGTTGCTGGTTTCATCTAGATTCAACCCTCCGAACAGAGACTTCATATCACGAATATGCTCACGCATCTCATCCCGTGGTTTTGATGAGCGTTCATTGGTCAAGGAACGAATCTCGCGGACAATACTTGTATATCCTTCGTCATTAGGAAGCCACCAATGGTGAACCTCTGGAGCTTGCCAGATGGTAGCAAGCCCGGAGCGGAAACTAGGCGCGATGATGTACCTGTTCGCATAGATCCTGGTTAGCTTTGCTCTTGATCATTCAAACCTGAAACATCGATAAGTGGGGTAGAATCTTACCCATGTTGCTCTAATAACGCCAACGTGCGCCGGGACCACATTTGATACTTATGCTCTCTGGGAAGAAACATGCTAACCATGCCTATGCTGTTCTTGAAATTGAGACAGTATCCATTTTCCTTGTAAGGCCAGCGAATCATTGTCTCGATTAGGCGGCACTGCTCTTTGGCCACGTCGTGCAATTCTTCAAGCAAAGGCTGCCGCAGGACTTGCATGGTCTGGAACTTGTACATTGTCTCGGTGGCCAGGATATCAATCCATGCATAGTTGAAATCCCACAAGGCACCACGATGCAAGCCACCGGGCACGTATGGATCGGTAACGTCATCTTCGGTCAAGGGCTGCTTCTGCGGGTAACTTTGCACTTTGTATTCGTAATCATCGAATCCCCTTAGAATCGTCTTGGCCTGCTCGATCCACTGGCCCAGGTGTTCGTTCTGGATGGCGAATGTTTCGGTTGATATCATGCCGCGTGATAACTTTGCATAGAGGGAAGCCATATCCAAGCCGAAGCGTCGGTTTATTGATGCAACAAGGGCGAGTTGTTTGGATGGATCGTCCGGATACATAGCGGCTTGCTCGGCGTCATACTGCTCCTTTGCAAGATACCAGTCTCTACCGAGGACTGTTTCGGTGCCGGCCAAAATCCCCACAACCACGTCGAAACGCGAGTACCATAAGAAGATACTAGTATGTAGCTCGTTCACGTTGGCGGATTCCGGTGTGACTAACTCTCGCATAAGTGCATGTGCCGCCTGGTGGTGATCGATCAGGTTCACCCAGTCGCCGATGTATTCCTATAAGCGCAACAAAGTCAGAAAAAGGTCGGCGCAGTAATCACCGGGGAAAGAGCAACACACCTCAAATGTTGTCAGAACAAGAACGGTGCACAGTGTAGCCTCACTGTGCTCCTCTCCAGAACCCAATGATTTCCGGAGGAGAACCAAGGCTTTATTATAGTATTTCAAAAATGTGTAGAGCTTTCCCCCAGGGGTGTGTAAAGAATGATGGTAGGCCGCAAGGCCCACCAGGGCGTAGAGGAGAGGCTCATAGTGCAAGGCAAGTTCGACGAGGGTGTGATGGATGAAATGGGAGCAACCCTGTCTCAAGAAGAAATGCGGAGGGGTCATAAACTCTTGCTGGAAATTTAGATAAAATCGCAGATCGTCTGGTAGGCGCGCATTGTTGATCAATTCTGTTGTGGAATGTCCAAGGCTGCCGGAGCGCACGCTCATCGACTCAAACCGCGACTCGGCTGAGGGCGAACTACTTTGTTCTTTGATGTAGGAACTAGTATCGGACGTGGGCCTTGTACTGTGCCTCCGGAGAGATTGTGCGCTCTGACTCTTACGCAGGTCCGGGTGTGTGGCGACGCCGCTGCCTGGGGATGGCCGGGATTCGGATGTAGCGCTGTCGGGTTCTTCTTCGTCGATGATGGGCTGCAAGGGGCTGATAGTTTCGGAGTCTAATTTTCCAGATGAATCGCTGCCGCGCGACTGCGGGCGAGTAGCGCGTGACTTGGCTGTAGTGCGTAAGCTAGCCTTGGATGTGGATGATGCAGTGGGTGATGGATAGACACAATCGCGGCTCCCTTTCCTACACCGTTCACAGACTGGACGGTTCTCGTCACACTTGATTCGACGTGAACGGCAGGTAAAGCAGCCGCTCCGGGTGCGCTTATGCTTCTTCTGGTCCGAGAGAGGTTGGAACAGTTGCTTCTGGGAGGTATATGCAGGAGGTACTATCATCGTCGGTGCCGTTGAGGGATCGTGCCAAAACGCAACACTCTCGGGATACTGTGTTGGGCCGAACAAGGATTCTTGTTTCATTGAATCGAGGAAGCCCGACATGGCCGCCTGGGGTGACTCTGAATGCGTCATCGTGTGCAAAACCCCATCCAAAGTCCCTTGTGATTTGATTCCTATGATATCCCCTAATTCCACCTGAGTGATTGAATCATTTTGAAGCTTAGAAGGAGTTGAAGTGGGGGAAGTAAGTGACCCAGACTATTTAGGAACTGGGGGACGTGCGGGGATTAAAAAAAAAGGAAATGAAAAAAACGAATTTGACTATAAAAATGACTTTCGGATTTATCTAACATCTTATTTTACCTTGGTATTCTATTTCATTCTTCAATGCCCAGCCTCTAGAACATGATCTGCAGTATCTGATACATTATGTAGTAATAATGATTCTCCCATATGGATATGAATATATGAATATGAATACTGTGGATATACCATGGGCTGATCCAGGAGCTCCGGCTAAACTTGGCATATGGGTCTTAGGTATAGGTATTACCCTTCACGGCCATATAGCGCGTTTAATTCAATAGCCAGCCCACTAGTCTACTAGTGTTGAAAGAAATTATATATAGATACCGAGGTAAAGTGCAAGTTACATTTTTCAATACAACAGTACTTTTTACATATGTACTTTTTTTTCTTTGCGTATCATAGACTAATCTTGATCTCATCCATTCTCAAAGAAGTAGATCTCAACCTCGGGTCCCGGCGCAGTAAAGAAAGAAATTAAAATTAAAAAGGGGGGGGACGATCCCAAGCCACAGGAGAGAGGATCATAGAGGATCCCGGCTTATGGTATGGTATATTTGACAGCGGATCCCCGGGTATTCCATGTGTGTCTTACCTTTCGCTTTTTTTTTCTGTTTGTAGTCAAAATGGCGATTATCAGTTAAGCGCCGGTTGATCTTCCCCCTGTAAAGTTCAAAGAACAGTTTGAACGGTCCCATAAAAAAAAACCTAAACTTCGGCATTTTTTCTTTTAACTCGAAAGTTTCAAAATTGCCGAAAACGTTCTATTGACGGAGATCGGTTCCAAAGTGGAGGGGGTTGATTGTAATTGGAATATTCTCATTCGACGGAGAAAATAGTCTGCCCTATGATGCATAGTCTTTTCTACTCATTGTGGGGAGATTCTGTTTTTTTTTTTTTTTTCTTTTCTCGGTTTTTTTTTTTTCTTCTTCGAGTCAAAGTATCGCTGTAAAATACAGTCAGCTATTCTGACCTGCCAATTCGAGCTAAAGATATTGGGTTCAGCCGGAACTGTATCTAAATTGACAGGTGGGCCTGTGATTTACATAGATCGAAAATTAAAAAGACACTAAGACTTGTCGAAGCCTTGGATCGACTCCAGTATCGGATCAAGTGTCTCAATCCAGTTGTGAACTCCGTCTCTAGCCTATATGATCCCTAATTTTCAACAATATTAGTAATATATAACTAAGTGGAAGGGGTAGAGACGCACGATATAGATTGCCCGAAAAGGATCCCCTAATCCCCGAGCATTCAAGGTTCTAAAGCTCTGGCCTCTTAAATGACCGTGCACCATTTTGTCTGGGTGAGATATAATTTGAGCCAAGACAACGCTAAGGGACCATCCATACCCATGTGTAGTACCAATTGACCACCCTGAGGCTCTTAAGCTAATTCTTTTTTTTTTTTTTGACTTTTTTTTATACTATTCAATTATATTAAGCTTCCTTACAACCTATAAAAAGTACATTGTACATCATAAATCTGATCTATGTGATTCCTCTACAACTGTAGGTGATTGTTCTACAAGACCGCCATAGATCCTGCGCGTTAATGCCCCCACTAATTCATTTTGACACTATGCCTGATTTGGTGTCATTTTGAGAGCAACAAGGTTCTAGTGGGGAATCAGCTCTTTGGTAAGATCAGCAGGCAGCAAGTCCACGGGTGGTTCTTTGGTGGACTCGTCGAAGATCATATGGCGTTGTGATTTGCAAGGTGCGTGCGCTGAACATGAAACTGGACTTTATATATACTCTGTACTCCGTCCGGTACTCCGACGCAGCATTTCAAATCCCGGTCAAATTAAAATAGGAGTAATTAAACATTTACTGTACCGGCTTATACTGTGCCGAAGCAGAACTTTGTTTCTTAAAATGCAAAATTATACGTACATCGGCCCAAAACCCTACAAGATCTCCTATTGGCTACCATTGAAAAAGTACATATGAGTCTTTTTTATCACAATAACCTGCGTGGATCATACTCCATCCAGATCTCGAATCTATCGGCAGTCGGAACTCATTGCCCCGAGTAATGTGGATAGCCAAAAAGGCCTTATCTTTCCAACAATGTAACTCTCTTCAATGTGTTACATTGTACGAAGTACTCCGTATACATATAAGTACGATATGCAGGGCTCAGCACCTACCAAAAAGAAATTTCTCACAAATAAGCAAAGAATCACCGTCAGAGCTCTTGAAATTGGCCAGAACAGATCCCATTCCGCGCCCGAAATGGCTATGATAATCGCCGATCTCCAGTAACAGGCCAGCATCTAATTGAGTTGACGCCAGCCAATTCGGGGGCCAAAAACAATCCACACAAATCCACCATCAAGCCCAACATCCAGTGGCTAGAACGAAAATAGTGGAGCCCATCACACATAAACCAAGACGTTGGGAATTGGGTTTGATCTGTCAAGTATGCGCCACGATCATAGGCCCAACGGCCAGTTCAACGTTGCAACGCTTCCGATTGCCCACTTCTTCGTCTTGGTTGCACTGCATGGACCACACTTTTCCTCTTTGGCTATGATTTTCCTCTTTCGAGGCTATACATTCCCCGCCTGAGTGGTGGTTTCCGATTTGTTCATTGCATGGAGTATGGAGGAGACAGGGGGATGTCGTACACATACGGTGTGGCGCGTGGCACATGCCTGACTTTGTCTGACTCGGGCAGCCATGAACTTCCCAAAAATAGTTTCTATATTGGACAGGGTCTTAGGTGCAGCTAATCCCGCTGTGTAGGCCTAGGCCTACAATATAACTAGCATGTGATGAGAACTCGACCGGTGAAATGCTTGGAATTTACATCCCCGTTGACTATGAAAGAGATCTCGGGCCATTTGGGTCATCCTGCATTTCTCATTTCTATAATGATCATGAGGCATAAGAGATTTTCCCATGGTAGGCTAAGCATGTTCTTGGCTTTCCTCGGCGGGGGCTCTAATTTTCAAATTGGCACCCCAGGACGAAATATACATGCAACATGAAGTCTTTTTTTTTTCTGCAATCATACAAGATATATGAAGGATATAGTCATAAATCGTCAACAGCCCCGACGATGGCATCATTCGGGATTTGAAGTCCTGGGCCGATCCCTGGTCAAACACGCAGATCAAGAAGCGCGGCATTCTCTTCGTCCAGTATCCGGCACTATGCGGAGTAATGTCATCCAAGACAAATGGGTATTCATGCACTTGTGCCTTTTTGCTTCTGGGCCATCAATTCTTTCACCACCTTATCCACACCTTCAACGACAACACCCCACTCGGTTTCATGAACTCGAGTTTCAAAGGTCTCGAGGTTCTCATCCTGACCCTTCTGGAAGGGGATCTCCCGTACCAGAATTGGTGTACCCATATCCACCTCAGAAATGACATCGTGCATCATAACACCGGTCTTGTCAATCTGACCCTCCAACCACGCAGCATGAGCACGGCCAATCGCATTCTAATGATCAGAGAGAAAAAAACAGATATCAGCATACCATCCTAAGTAACAAGGAACACTCCTAGAGGTCTATGACTTACAACACCGTTGAAAGCCCCAGGCAGCGCGGGATGCAAGTTAATAATCCTTGTCTTAGCATTCTCCAGAGGCTCCAAGAACTGCGGCGAGAGAATGTGCATGAAGCCAAGACACACGACCAGCTCCGGCGCGTCAGCAAGGATCAGCCTTGCGAGCTCAGCATCGTATTCCTCACGCGCAAGCTGGATGCCCTCCGGCGTCGCGGGATGCTGCTTCTTGTACTTGACAAGGTTGTGGTATTCGGTTGGGATGTTGGCCTTGCTTGCGCGCTCGAGGCCAAATGCGGTTTTGCGGTTGGAGATTACGCGGACGATTGTTGCGTTTAACTGACCTGCAGCTACTTTATCGATCACAGCTTGCAGATTTGAGCCATTGCCAGATATAAGGACTGTGATGCGGATTGGGGAGGCCATAGTGGATTGTAGGTTTATAGGTCTTTGGTGGGTTGTAGGTGGGGGTTTTGGTGAAATTGCAGACTTCGGAGGTTGAAAGGGTGGAGAGCACGCTTTTAACTTTTTTCGGCCACGGTGAGGTCAATTGAACACTGGCCTTGATAGTGAGACTGCAAATGCTAGTCTCAAAGCTGAGAGAATAAATGAAATAGCACAAGGTCGTTGGCGCAAGCTAGCAATGGGAGTTGGGGGGATTTTTTAGATTACCTAAGTCAGCCGCGGGGCAGCGGGCCCCAGGATTGTAGATGAAATATATGTACTCAATACTATATCTATACAGAGAATATTAGGGGGAATCATTATAAGAACAAAAATATCCAAGGTTGGTTACGCTACATGGTATTTGTACATGGTTTCAATGTGTGAAACATTTCCAGACCAGTCAGAGCCATGGGAGTGTGTAAATCTACGATAATTGACCGAAGAAACGAAGACCAAGAATTCATAGACTAACATTCTCGGGGCTGGAATTCTGAGTTATCTTCCAAGAGGGTTCCTTATTTCTAGGCCCAAGAGCAAATATTCAATAACCCAACACGATAAAAGCACCTAAAGCCGATGCACAAAAATGAAATGCAAAGGGGATATCCATGGGGAAAAAAAAATCGTTAAAAGGTTCTAAGCACACGCTGCATGCTAAAGCTAAAGGGAAAGAAGAATTCAAGTCAAAGTTGGGAGTTGGGAGTTGCTCACATGGCTGGTTTGACCATGCTTGCTAGGAGGCACAGCGGATCAGACGGCTGTGCCATCTGCAGTTGGAGCAGGGGGAGGAGCAGTATTGGGTGCCGGGTTGTCGGTGTTGGAGTCGTTGCTGGGGGTTTCGTTGACGCCTTGACCTCGGCACAGAGGACAAGAGTTTCTCCCAGTGGTTAACCACTACGATATACAGTCAGCAATGGAACAGATCGAAACAAAATGGGTAAAGGTAACAAACCTGGTCTATGCAGTCCTTGTGGAAGACATGCTTGCATTTTCCCAGCTCTCGAACTTCTTCGGCCACCTCATAATCACTCAAGCAGATCAAACAGCGCTCCCCGTCTTGGATTTGAATGGTGCTGGTGCCCTCCACAGCTTCGGCGACCAATGAGCCTGCATATTCAACAAGACGGAATAGTCCGCCGGCGGAGTTGACGTCGGTTTGAGAGGCAACGGGGGGTTTGGCTGGACCTAGCAGTGACGAAAGAAGGATCATATCTTCATAGGTTGGGTTCTGTTTGAAAAGTGTTAGCTAGCAGTTTTCCGATAAAGGGCGGTAGGGTATTCTTACATCGGTGAACAGGCTTGGTGTCGTCAGAGCCGGGTGATTTTCAGAGAGATTAGTCCCAACAACATAGATTAACCAACTGCGACCTCCGCTTGGTGGGGGTTGATCGGGCTCGACCATGCCATTGCGTCGAACAGCACCAGAGCCGAGGGCCCGATGACGGGCGTACTCAGAATCGCTTCGGCGTCGCTGACGAGCGGTATTGAATGCCATAGGCTCTCCCAATGTCTCCGCCGGCGGCTGCATTGCCTGGCCTTCATGGAGATGGGGTAGAACATCTGGGGGAATTGCTGAAGCAGAGGACGGTCTACGGCTCGGAGTGGAAGTGCCGGAGGATAAAGCGGACACGCCTTGTTCTGCTGGGGTTGATGGAGGCGGGTGCGGGCCTGGCGGACTTTCGGAAAACCCAGAGGGATGATAGGATGGGAATGCAGCACGTGGCCCGGTATCAGACATTCTTCTAAAGGCATTGGGCACTGATGGGCGTGGGAATTCTGTAGTTCCGGCGGGAGAGTGTAGCCCTGCATGGCCTGGCTGCCGCGGAAGGTGCAATCTGGATCGTACATCACCCCGTTGGGCAGGGTCGCCAGTGGCATCTTGAGGCCGTGGATTAGTATTGGGCGGCAAAAAGGGTAGGCCGAGCAGAGCATCTAGGCCGGGGCCTGGACTTGCAGGCTGTTGTTGCTCGGTATTACCTCCGTTTCCAGCCGGGACGGATCGAACCCCAACGACAACCAATGTTACTGTTCGTCCTTCGCCTTCGGCAGGCTCGTCGACGTCCATTCCATCGGTCTGGGTCCCCTGGTCGCCATTCGCGCTCTGTCCGGAGGCGCCTGGGTTCGTAGGTGATTCTGAATTGGCAAATCTGAACACACGCAAGAAATTGACGGGATGTGGGGGTACCTCATTGGCAGCAGTGCTCGGCCCCTCCCCTGTTGTAGTCGGTTGAGCCTGGGCAGAAGTCGCATGCTGCAAACTCTGGATGAAGTTCTCCAAAGAGCCATCTAACCCATCATTGCCCAATGCCTGGATATTAGGCAACGCAGGGCCGGCAGTGCCGGATAGCTGAGCTGCAATTGCGGATGCGGCGAGCTGAAGAACTCTTGACAGAGGTGTTTGCTCCTCTCGTCGCATGACTCTGGATGATCTCGCTCGGATGATCCCAGGCAATCGGCGCATCAAAGCAGGACTTGGCTGGGTAGGGGATGAATCAGTTACCGGCTCCCCAGTCTGGACGGCCGGTTCTACAGAATCAAGTTCATGAGGTGGCTCGCCGAAGTCTAGACGCGTGTCCATGGCCCTATCGTCAAATAAGGGATCTGACATTGGATATTCCGGGCTTTCGTGGGGTTGCAAATCTGAGTGTGGCTGACCGAACATGTGTGAAATGGGAGATGAAATCGAATGGCGCATGCGTTGTAGCCTGACACTTCGACGCCAGGATGCTCTTGAGGGTTCGGGTATTTGAGATGACGAGTCGATATAGGTCGGGTTTGCTGGTGCATCTGGAATTCCACCAGCCTCCGAGCGGGGTGGAATAAAATATGGAGCATGAGCAGATCGGCGCCGAGTAATTCCTCTGGAGCTGAGTGAGTTGAACGCACTAAAACGACCGGATGTGTGAGCGGTTTCGGATCTTGGGATGGGCATATGAATTAGGCCATGTCGATGCGCATGTCCCTCCGCCGGGGTTTCTTCCTGACTGTTGAGAAGTCCACGAATGACTGAGTTGGGAAGAAGCCTAGAGCCTAACCTTGACATGGTCGATTGTCTTCGTGCTGCCATTCGGGCAAATGCTGCAGTGCGGTATTCGCGGGGTGGGAGCTCATACCCGGCCCCGTCCTCCTCCTCGATACTCCTCATGGGTTGCGAACCCCCCGCGGAGAACCGACCTGGCCGGTCGGATGGCATATCTTGATCGCTCCTTGTGTGTGTGTTCACGTTTGTCCGGGGTGAGAAACCACCCTCTCCGTTGTGTTCAGCCGCTTGTCTATGATTCATGTCTTCTGCATCCCTTGAGTTAGGGCCACGCTGCATCGAGAAAGGGGCAAGGTGTGCCGGATAGCCAGTGTTAGATGGATCACGATGCGTAGAAGAGGACTGTCCCATAGTAACAGAGTGGTGGCCGGTGGAATGATGCAGAGAGTGTCAAAGACTGTTCATTGCCACGCGAGGATCATAAGGCTAGTAGCGGCGACCGTAACGATATTGGGCTGAACCTAGGAGATGGATATAACAAGTAAAAGGTATATGGGTGATGTAGGAAACAGATGTGGATTTATTTCCAAAGATGACGGAGTTGATGCAGTTGATTCTCGGGAGTGATTCTGAAGAAGCCGTATATGTCGGACCTTTGGAACAAAGGAGTGGAGAGCGGATAGGGAGTGGGCGGTTAACGGGTTTTTTGCAATAGGCACTAGACGCGTAAGACAAATTTCACTGCCCAATATGAGCAACAGCGGCCAAAGGTCTCAAACTGTCTAACGAGTTCAGGCACAGCCCACGCTCCGAGTGGTATAACCACCGAGCCTTCAATCTCGTGAGCTGTGGCGACTGCGCTCAGAAAGAACGGCCAGCTACTACCAGACGCGAAACGGAAGTAAAAGAGCGCCCGGAAAATGAAAAGGGGGAACTAGAGGAAAAGGAAAAGAGGAGTAGAGGTGTCATATCAAAGCAAGCAATTGATAGAGGACGATAAGTGATGATGTTTGCCTTCTTTGCTTCGACTTGAGTGCCTGAGGCACCATATGCCATTCCGTCATCTTCCACCTGGTGGGCCACCCGTCTATCTGACAAATGCGCAACCATTCCGAATTGAGGCAATCACAGCCTAGGCCCTAGTGTGGATTGCTACGGCTCCTAACCTTCTTTGGCCGCGCATGGAATACGCCCCCCCTTAAGCATATGGCTGTGCCGTCGTCTTCAGTTTTTTCTCTACCACTTCCGCCTTGGCTCCAGCCGCCTGGTACTCGCGTATCTCAACATGACCGCCGGAAACGCAAAAGGAGTGTGGGGTGGAGTGAAAGTGACCTGGATGTCGAAGAAGCAACTGATATAGCCTCTGCTACGGAATCTGAGCCGGCTGGAGCTCCGTTGGTATTGACACCGAATGAATCCCATCAGTACCGAATTGCCGGTTTTCCGGCAAACCAAGAATTGCCGAAAGGCCATTTCCCACATGAACCAGATAAGGATGAGCAACTCAGGAGAGAAACTACCTCACGTCACCTCAAAGACTTGGCGGCATTATCACCTCCAGTCTACCCTCCTCAATCGGCGCAGCAAGGCAATATCCGCTTCCAACATCTGGGTGCATTGACAGCCATTTTGCATCGATGTATGCTCCAAGGTGATTATGTCCGAGCCGGACGAGCTTGGGGCTTAATCTTGCGCGAAGATTACAGAGGCTTTCAAATGGACGTCCGCAATGAAGCAAGGTGGGGCATCGGCGCTGAAATCTTGCTGCGGCGCGACGAACAGGAAACCCCAGTCAGTCATGGTACCACCAAGCCGACCAAGCTGCCAAATGCAATGGAAAGCACTTCCGTAAATTTTACCACCAAGGGCTTTGCGGCAGCCAAAGAATATTATGAACGACTTATTCTCAACCATCCGTTCATGAAATCTTCACCACAGTCTATCTCGTCTTTGCACTTCTACCCTGCGATGTTTGGGCTTTGGGTGTATATGATCCAGGAAGAAAGCAAGGCGAATAGGAAAAATATTGCTCTTCGCCAAGAAGAAGAGCCTGATGAGTTTTCTGAGGACGAAAATTCAGAATCAGAATTCGACCACCGTCGAAAGTCACAAAACAAGGCAGATGCTGCCATTACAGCAATCAGGGCACTGGAGTTGGAACAGGCACAGCAGGTTGCTGCGCGTATGGACCAGCTCCTAGGATCTCCTCCCTACTCTGACTCACCTGAATTGTTGGAGCTTAGAGGGATGATCTCTTTGTGGATTGGTGATCTATTTATGTCCGCGCTATCATTACCGGCGGACTTTGAAGAAAATCCTGACCCTGATCGGATGCTCATGGATGAAACCCCAGGTTCCCTCGAAGCGAGACGTGAGCACAGGCTTGCAACTGAGAAGAAAGCAACTGAAGTTCAAAGGTCAGTTGAACTTTTCGCGAAGGCCAAGAAACGAGGCAGGAGTATGGCACACAATATGGAGAATCTTCATATTTATGATGACTCCCCTGGTTGAGATGATCTCGATGTTCTTCTGCTGTGGAACTGCTCATGTAAATCTAGAACAATAATATACCCCCAATGAATTGCATTTTTACAACTAAATACCCTCTCGCTCAGCATAATCAATGGAGTACATCGTATAAGTTGTATTAAGACACCTTTATGTGGCCTTAGGTGGTCGTGGCATTCGCAATGTAGCCAAGCAAGCATGTTTGGCATTTATGCTGAGAGATCACCGCCACTCCAAGCCCCCAACTGCCATCGATGAGGCTTGAAGATGTTTAAAATGATCGGCACGTGACTACGCGGCGATATCGCGTTTGCCCAACAACCTTACCGTGGACTGATCCCCATCATCTTTCTGCGTCATCAAAAAAAGAAAGATATCTTCACCCCCTTAAGATACCTACTGCACAAGGAACATGGGGGTTGGCGATTATGTGCACTCCAAAGAAGGTGGACAAGCTCGTGGAGTCCCCGATCAAGCCACCCAGTCGCGCCAGCAACGTGCAGAACAAGCCAGAGTCGAGGTGCCAGTCACCCAGCTAGTTGATCCACGTCTTCCAGGTGTCAATGGTACATCTCAATTTTCCAATCAGCCCCGCAATCTTCCTACCAATGGAGTGCAGCGGGACAGGGACGTTTTTGACACAGATGTGGAGGCGATCGATGATTCAACCGTGGCAGGTACCAGCGTGTACGGATTTGATGACAACAAATCTCAAGCAGCGTCAAGTACCAATGCTGCCTACACCAACCCTGATCCACCATCCATGTACCAGCCCCGGCCTTCACGGCATACCTACGGGTCTAACTGGTATGAAGGCCTGGGTGACCAAGCCATGAAGAAAGCTGGTTTTGATTCGGATGACTTTAATGACTTTGGAAGCCAAATGACTTCGTCTGTTGGCGAAGAGGGCGGGGATAACGAAAAGCCCGAAGAAGCACACGACTGGCATGTGTCGCACAAACCGCGAACGACCGGGGAGCCATTGAGCAAGCGCCTAGAGAATTTCTGGTCTGCCAGTAGAAAAAGAACTACTTCGCGGCAGCCTGTTACTGTAGACTCTGACCCTGAGCCGCAGACTCAACCACAGCCCAAGTCTAAGCCGCGGAAATTGGGTCAAATGCTTCCTCCTACTGGGCCGAGGAAGATTGTTCTCCCTCATAGCTCCTCGGCGATACCCAGGACACGTTTCAGTCCGCCAAAGCCTTCGCTTCTTGAACAACTAGACCAACAGCTCGATGCATCCCCCACCCGCCACAACTCCCAACCTCCACCAGATGTTGGCCGGTCACTGAGCATTACTTCGTTTCAAGATAATACTGACAGTGACGGTGGAAGCGATGACGGCATGGACCGTACTATACGCGCAGACGGACGGCGGGAAAGCGGCGGGCATTCAATCAATGCCTTTGATATGACCAGTTTGACCGACCTAGACGTCGACCATACCATGCAGGATCCTTTTTTTACGCATGAGTCGCATGAGTCACACGAGCCGCACGAGCCGCACGAGCCGCACGAGCAGCCGCATCGTAGCCGTCGCAACACTGTCATCCATTCCAAAAAGCGTTCGCTTGAGGCAGACTATCCCCCAGAAGTACTTTACCAAAAGTCTTTCTCTGAGCTCCAAGCTGAGCCCTTTGACAAATCCCCCACCCCTCCTCCACCCGTCGTCAAATCACCTTCTTTGCCACCAGAGCCAGCTTTTGTCCCAGATACTCAAGAGCCCAGGAATGCCGTCTCTCATCTGTTGGCTCTGACGGACCAAGAACGTCAGACTTACTTGTCCCACATGACCTTGGATGAATGGGAAGACTGCGGAGACCAAATGATCGACCGTTTCACTCATCTTCTTTCAGAAATGAAGAACCTAAGACGTGCCCGCCGCCGCACAGCTGCTATATTTGAAGGCGAAGTCAAGCGCCGCCATGACGAAGTTGAAACACGAAATTTGGAGTTGACGAATAAATTGACGGAGATGAGAACCGGTGGTGCAGAGGTTCTGCGTGGACGCCACTCGTGAGTGAGGGATAGCTATCTTGCTCTGTATGGCTTTACTTTAACCGTTATGTTGTTTGAGATGATTGTGTTATGCCCCAAATTACCCACGGCGGGACTAGATTTATTCATGCTAATACCCCTTTTACGCTTTCGCGTCTTATTTTGATTGTTATTCTATCCTGTTTTCATTATTTATTTGCTCGAGTCCTACATGAAGGAAGGCTTATCAAGTTCACATGCATGTGGTAATCTGAAGGATTGATTTTTGCTAAAATGATGTATGATATGGACAATATCTCATACCCGAGGTCGCCAAAGCTATGCTATCTAATCCAATGTGTATTCCAAAGTTCGCCCAGATGAAATGTAATACAAGATATAATAACGCCATAATGCAAGAATACTCCATCTCTCACCATGATCAATGAGAAGGAGATGAGACAAAAAAGTGCAATACAACCATACAAACTTATCGAGACTCGGCCGTGGGTTTATGAAGCGCAGCAGCGAGTCTCTTATAGTCCTCCAGTAGAACAGCCACATCACCAATCCGGAGATCGCGCGCATCCTGTGTCTCAAGGAACCGCTGGATCGGAGGATCAATTTTCAATGTGGGGAGTGGACTGACAGGGCCACTAGCGCCGTCTGTCGAGGCAGGCGATGGCTTGAATCTATCCAGCCCCGAAGGAGATACGGACCTGGCGGTGGGGGTTTCTGGTGTGTTGCGGCCAAAGTTCTTCATCATGCCCGGGATGTGGTTCAGAGGGTTAAGCGTATTGCCAAAGTTTCGCATTGATTCTAATGGAGTGGGGCTGTTGGCTGAAGTCGACGCGAGATCTTCGCGTAGTGATGCCGTGATGGATTTTTTACCGCTCTCCTGAGTTCGGGTGCTGTCCACACTCCTATCTCGAGGGGCAGGGCCGCCGCTGGAGAGATCTGTAAGTCTTGAACTACTTCGAGGGGGTGTAGTTTCATCCACGGAAACAGAGTTGATTGCCGCGAGCTCCCCTTGAGTCAGGTTTTGGTTGGCAGCAGAGGCAGGTGGCAAGGACACTAGACGGCGAGCTTCAGCCAGTGTCTTTGGCAGTATTGGTCCACTACCCTCCGGGCCGGGTCCTTGGATGTTTTGCATTTCCTTCAGTCGACCAAACAGAAAGTTGAAACTGCTGTCCAATGTAGCACCAATATTCTTCAAGCCCTGGTCGGCAGTGGTGCGCACGGCATCATTTGCAGCCCCAAGGACTTTAGAAGGCGGTTGGAAGAGGTTGCTGAGGCGTCGTTGTTGTGGTGTGGCAGAGGGTCGGGGCATGGGTAATGTAGAGGAAGTGGGTTCTTTGAGTTCTGGTGTTGATAATTCCGGTGATGCAGATACAGTCGTGACAGCCAAGGTCGTAGCCTCCTTGGGAGGGCGAAAAGGATCGACACGGTCTGTGGATGGTGTCGTTGTCTCACTGGGAGTCTTGACAGGGCCATCCTGCAGCTCATCGGCACGCAGTGTAGAAAGATCGACATTTTCCAAAAAGCTTATTGCGGCCTCTAAATTGGTTAAGCAGTAAGCCGTCTCTCCGTCAATTCTGTTTGAAGACCTGAAACGCTGGATAAAAACCAAGTTGCTAATAATGTTGATCCCTTCAGGAGGGCACGTCACAAGCGAATAGATCAGCGTGGGCAGGATTTCGTCTGCAGAAGAGGAAGACGGTAAAAGTTTAGTAAGGGCGTCGACTATAGCTTTGTGCGCCGCTGCGAGTTGCTGAAGCTTTCCAAGGGGATATTTGTAATCGTTCATCTTCGCGAGATGCTCTCGAGCTTGACCAAGGAATTCATTCGCCTCGTCCTGCTTCTGCTCATCGATCGCTTCGAGGTCTATATCGATCCCAAGGTCCTTGAGGTTAATGCCGACCAGCAGCAAAGCCGCAGTCTTGGAACGCAACTTTTCATCTCGCACATCATCCAATGTGCTTTTGTGCCTCCAGAGTTTATCATAGACTAGCTCACAGACCCTCCGTTCGGCCGCCTCTTCTAATGCACTCCGTTTGTTTTCAAGGGCTTTACGGGCCTTTCGCCTTTCAGCTACTTCAGACGCGGTCAACATTTGGCGTCCTGAAACGACTTGTCTGATATCATCCTGAGAACGTTTGCTGCTCAATTTCGATAGTGCGCTTCCACGTGGAGCTTTTGCGGGAATCTGAGGGGAAACATCCCGGTTGATACGAGTTATGAGAGCCGATATATGTGTGGCAATGTGCGACTCGGCACGGCTGTAGAAAACTTGGAAGAGCTCGGAGATCTTCTCGATTGTGGGGGGCGAGTTGTGTACTCTGGCGCTCAGGGAGTTCACGAAACTGTAAGGGAAATGGTTGTCAGAATAAAATGCTAAAGCATGGGTATCAATATGAGCACACTTACCGATCTGCTAGGCTGATTAATTCGATCGGTAGCTCCTCGGAAGGGTCTTGTACGCTACGCGAAAGCACAAAGCCATCATCTGTCTGGGCATCGCCTGCGGTGCTAGAGTCTGCGGAGTCCCGTCTTTCGAATACATCAGGTCCATTTTCCTGCCCCTCAATATTGACAGGTGAGGACAGAGGTGCTGTTTTGGAGTCTTGCTCAATCGTGGGGGATTTCACGTTCGAGCCATCCATTCTGGTGAATGACCGTGCTGAATGTAAATAAGGCTGAGTGCTATTTTCAGAGGGGCCAGACATTTTAGGGCCAGGGGCGATGGGGTCCTATAAGGCACTAATTATTGCGTGTCTCCGCTCCCAGGTGCAGCTGATAGGCCTGTGCCGATCTGCGTCTTGAGACCCCCCCCCCGGTTCTAGCCTGAGCCTGTTGTCTAAAAGTGAAATCAAAAGTAGTCTGTACCAAATGCAGAGTATACTGCAGATGATCAGTAGCAGCTCATTGCTATTCTGATGATCCATTCATAAGACACCAAATTGACGAGGAATTGGATTCACACCCGCGTCACATTACAGGGGGGTACTCATCACGTGCCGATCGCTCTCCGCACTGCGTCACTTATCAAGTGACTCGCCGATAGCCGCGATAGACTCACGTCTCTTTGATCTTGATCCTCATCATCACACCCATCATGTCTCGAAAGCGTTCATACATTAACATCAGCGTCCATAGCCTATTATTATCGGCTGCAGTATTATCAAATGCTGTCTCCGCCGTGGGCTACTATCCACCCGCTCAACAAGTTCCCATCATCCCGCCCCAGATACCTTTGAATGGGGCTGAAGCTACACCAGATACACATGAGTTTGTAAGATGTCCTACGCAAGCTGAATTACCCTAGCTGATCTTTAATTACCGTTAATAGTCCCTGCGTCACATCTTCCACCGAGGTACCTATGAACAACCCGATCTCCATGCAAGACTCGACGTCAAGCCAGACACTCGCCTTCGAGCCGTATCCGAAGATGGCCGCGAAGAACAATATATTGCATCAGAGAACCCTCTGCTTGCTTCATCTAGTCCTCTCACAATACAACGATTAGCAAACCGACGAGTCCCGGTGATTCAAGGTCACTTGGCAGCTGCGCGGTCTTCCGGCTTTGCGTCCGCTTTGTCTCCACTAGATTGGGTCATGGACACATTGCCTGGGCCGAATATTACAGACAAGCAGACAGTGTTGACATTTGCACAAATGACGGCAAACGACTATATTGAAGAGCCTGGAACAGGAGAGTGGCACACTATCCACGGCCAATTTAACTATTCGGGGAGCTTTGGTTGGCAAAAGGATGGACTGAGAGGGCACATATACTCTGATAAGACAAACGGCACTGTGGTCATTTCCCTGAAGGGTACTTCACCCGCTCTTTTTGATGGCGCTGGTACTACAACAAACGATAAAATCAACGATAATCTATTCTTCAGCTGTTGCTGCGGCCAAGGAGGCTCATATCTATGGAGACAAGCCTGCGATTGCCAGACCGCTACATTCACGGCAAATTTGACATGCATCGTCGAGTCTATGACTGATGAGAACCGTTATTACCAAGCAGCGATCGACTTATACTCTAACGTGACCGAGATCTACCCGGATGCGAATATTTGGATGACCGGGCATTCGCTAGGTGGTGCAATGACGAGTCTTGTCGGATTGACGTTCGGATTGCCTGTGGTCACTTTTGAAGCCGTCCCAGAAGCATTACCCGCAGCTCGACTTGGCCTCCCAAGTCCGCCAGGGCATGACCCACGATTGCCACAGTCGCGACAGTTTACTGGAGCTTACCACTTTGGACATACGGCAGACCCAATCTATATGGGAACCTGCAATGGAATCAATTCCATCTGTACATGGGGTGGCTATGCGATGGAGTCAGCATGCCACACCGGACAGGTTTGCACGTATGACACCGTGGCAGACAAGGGCTGGCGTGTCGGTCTTGGTACACACAAGATTGAGAATGTGATATCAGATGTTATTTTGAAATATGACAATGTCCCCTCATGTGTCGCAGAGGAAGAATGCTTCGACTGTGAACTCTGGAAGTTCTTCCGAAGCAACGGTTCCGAGCCCACGACTACTACAACTACCACCACTACAGCATCTCCCACCAGAACTTCTACATGCAAGACGCCCGGATGGTGGGGTTGTCTGGATGAAAGCACAACCGCTACCACTACCACTACCACTACCACTACGACAAGCGTCACTACTACGACATGCATGACCCCTGGTTGGTTCGGGTGCAATGATCCTACCACAACAGCCAGCCCGGCACCCACAGTGACTACCACTTTGCCCATGGTGACTACGACGACCAGCTGTCACGACCCAGGGTGGTTTGGCTGCCGTGACGAAACGAGCACGGTAGCCACGACTACCGCCAATTCTGCCTCGCCCACTTCTGCGAGCTGTCATAACCCGGGAAGGTTGTGGGGATGCTGGGATGAGTCCAATAACACGCCTGCGATCACATCGTCGCCCACTCCTACCAGCTAAACCCCATTCCACCCCATGCACGCACTTGCAGGATACTCCTAGTGCCATTTTATTTTGATTCATCTGTCGGCTCTTAAGCCGCAAGCGCTAGATATACCCGCCCACTTTTATGATTTGTCCCGATTTCAATTTGCTTTGGGTTCTCCTTTCCCTGCGATATACAGGATATACTATTGGCGCATTGAGCGCATTGAGCGAGCATTTGCTTTGGTTTTGGATTTTTTTTTTTTGTTTTTATCCTTTTCATGACTCTGTCAGCTCGAATAAGAGAGTTTCGGTTATTCGCCCCAATTCCAAAGGAAGCACTATTCGAGGCTTTCTGCGATACACGCAACACCTTGGAAGGACTCACCTTTGAAGATTTGAGATCGCTATCATATGACAATTAGATTATTTCCATGAATTTGTTGGGATATAAGACTGTATCTCCGGGGTCGGAAGCCGGAGATTTCCGATCTCGGATCGCGATAGAAAACAGTTGCCCAGGTGACATCGGATCGAACTGCTGAATTCGAATATGCTTAGGAGAATTACTTGACCTTCCCGGATTTCTCTTGGTCTAGCCGCAGCCCATTTACAAAGCCTCCCCGATGCTTTGGTCTCGGGGAGTGGACCCGACAGGGATGTACATGGGCTTCGCGATTGGATGAAGAACTTTTAGTAGTTATATAGGTATCATTCAATATAGAATCCTGATGATATTGAAAGGCAACCAATAAACAAGTGGATGATTTCTCAAAATCCAGTGGGGCATTGGACTTTTCCATGGCTCCCCACCGGGCCCTTTTTTTTTTCTTATATAAGAGAGGGCTCTCCGGCCTTTTCTCTCTTCACTATAAGCTCAGCCATCATGGGTCAAGATAACGAACCTAGTAAGTTTTACCACCAGGTGCCAGAGCCCCCAAACTAATACCCTCTTTCACAGAAACCTACCGCTACAGTGAGACTCCAGTCTACACGGCCTCTAACGGCTGCCCAGTACGCCCAGCTCACTTTCTCTTCAATCGCAAGGTCTAATCATATACATATAGGTCATGGACCCCCAGGCTGCTCAGCGTATTGGCACAAATGGCCCTCTTCTGATGCAAGATTTCCACCTGATCGATCTGCTGGCACACTTCGACCGTGAGCGCATTCCTGAGCGCGTGGTTCACGCCAAGGGTGCTGGCGCCTACGGCGAGTTTGAGGTCACTGATGATATTAGCGATATCGTATGTACCACATGGGAAGCTTCTATAATTCCGTAGAGAACAACGGGCTGACAAGGCATAGACCATCATTGATATGCTCAAGGGTGTCGGCAAGAAGACCAAGATGCTCACCCGCTTCTCGACCGTTGGTGGTGAGAAGGGATCCCCGGACAGTGCCCGTGATCCCCGCGGATTCGCCATGAAGTTCTACACCGAAGAAGGAAACTGGGATTGGGTCTTCAACAATACCCCCGTGTTCTTCCTGCGCGACCCTGCTAAATTCCCCGTCTTCATACACACCCAGAAGCGCAACCCGCAGACCAACCTTAAGGATGCCACCATGTTCTGGGATTACCTCTCCACCCACCACGAGGCCGTCCACCAGGTGATGCACCTCTTCAGTGATCGCGGCACCCCATACTCCTACCGTCACATGAACGGCTACTCCGGTCACACCTACAAGTGGATCAAGCCAGACGGCACCTTCAATTACGTCCAGATCCACTGCAAGACCGACCAGGGCAACAAGACCTTCACCAACGATGAGGCAGTCAAGCTGTCCGCCGAGAACCCTGACTGGCACACCCAGGACCTATTCGAGGCTATTCAGCGCGGCGAGAACCCCTCCTGGACCTGCTACGTGCAAGTCCTGAGCCCCGAGCAGGCCGAGAAGTTCCGCTGGAATGTCTTCGATCTGACCAAAGTCTGGCCCCAGAACGAGGTTCCTCTGCGCCGCTTCGGCCGCTTCACCCTAAACAAGAACCCGGAGAACTACTTCGCCGAGATCGAACAAGCCGCGTTCTCTCCCTCCCACATGGTCCCCGGCGTCGAGCCCTCCGCCGATCCTGTCCTCCAGTCCCGCCTCTTCTCCTACCCCGACACCCACCGCCACCGTCTGGGCGGCAACTACGAGCAAATCCCCGTTAACTGCCCGCTCAAATCCTTCAACCCTTCACACCGCGATGGCTACATGAACGTCAACGGCAACTACGGTGCCAACCCTAACTACCCTTCTACCTTCCGCCCGCTCGCCCACAAGCCTGTCAAGGCTAGCCAGGAACACGAGAAGTGGTCCGGCGCTGTCATTGCCGAGCAGTACCCTGTGACTTCCGAGGACTACGTCCAGGCTAATGGCCTTTGGCAGGTCCTTGGCCGTACCCCCGGTCAGCAGGAGAACTTTGTCGGTAACATCTCTGGTCACCTGTGCGGCGCCGATGAGCGTGTTCGTAAAGCTACTTACGAGATGTTCCGTCGTGTTAACCCGGATCTTGGTGCTCGCATCCAGTCTGCTACGGAGGCTCACGTTACTGGTGCCCCGCCAGCACGTTTGTAGATGTGCTTTTCCTTGCTTGTGTTTCCATACTAGAAATAATCGTGGATTTACCCCCACATCCCTGCATAGATATCTGAGCAACTTGAATACGATTTACGAATTATTTGGTATTATCTCGGGGGTTTCAAGTATGTAGGAACTAGCTGAGTGTTTCGTAGTCATAGTGGAAACTGTTGATATCCCCCCTTCGGGTCTTAGAATAGTAGTGATATCAACTTATCAAAGGCATGAATTTTCCTTACAAGCCAGAATCCAAACTTCTCTTAACTTCTTACGAGGGTACTAAATGCAGATACGAACTCTCTTGCAAAAGGGGACTTGAAAGTACGAACTCTGACATGAATCTATTCTACAAACCAACTCAAGACAACGGATGGCACGCGATATCGCAAACAGTCACACATCCCAAAGTCACACGAAGCGACTAACCAGGGAGCCAGGTGGCTAAACTTCCTCCATTAAACGATGAACTGGCCTATCAATATCTCGTTAGCAATCAATTCCGGGAAGGGGGGGATATATCATGGGCAACTCACGAATGCCAGTGTAATTGATCGCATTAATGTTCACATGATTGTACGTCCGTCGGAAGAGAGCATAATCCACGTTAGCGGGAACGGGAGCATTTCCACCCGACCTGTATTTGCTATTGAAACTGTCGTAGATCGCAGAGTTGGCGTCAGCTAGAAGTTTCAAGAATCGGTTACGATCCAGATGGTAAATCAATTGCGACCTATCTTGCAGATTAGCATATATCCCAGAGCGTATCAGAGAAGCGAACTCACACAAAATCTCTACAGCCAACCAAGTTGTCATTGCTGTAATCCAAATAACAGGGTGTTGAGCCAGAGTTTCGAATGATATTCAGACAATCTCGGAGAGTCTTACCACTGTACATGGGTAAGTTTACCCAGTGGAGGGCATCCTTATGCGGGCCCTCGTACCAGAAGGTTTTAATAATCAAATTGGAGATATTTGCGTCGTCCTCAGAGTCATCTCGTAAGTCTAGGATAACTCCCCTGGTGCCAATCTGTGCATATGGGGTATCGTCTTGTAACTGATGTGCGAATGTGAGTCGGAGAATGGCATGGTTATATCGATTTATATCGTTGGGGTCATTTTCGTTCATGGAACCGACATCTAGAAACTCGAGTTGGCATTGAGCAATCTTCTTCTGTGCGAGGCCCTGTTGGATCTCCGTGAGCAGATAGGTCCGGTTTTCGGTTGCATCAGGGACTGGAGGTTTAGCAGGGGGTGGGGGTGGGAGAGGGGGGTGGTAGTAGACGTTTTTAGAGCGATGTTGACGAAACATATCCATTTCTAGATATGTGGTTAGCTTGTGGGGTTTTAACTGCAGGGACTGTTGTTGTACTCACTTAGCTGTTAGCGGATTGGGGAGGGGGGGGGGGGGATGTTGATGAGTTGCTGAAGGAGAACTAATGGTTGTTGACACTGAAAGATTGAGTGTATTGTGCGACAAACGCATTGTATCTTATAGACTAGTTGGAGTTGCCAGACAATGCCGTATTGTAGTGATCCAGCAACTCTTGAAAGAAGTGAGTCTATAATTAATCGAGTCAAAGAGTCAAGTAAAGGAATTCAAAGCAGCCCTTAAGACCAATTTGATCAATCTACATTGTCTAGAAAGCTATAACTAGTTCGCTCAAAGAAGATCTATGAAAGAGGGTTATACACAGAATAGTACATGCTCTAAGCCCTAAAGTTCGAATAGCATTCAAGTTAGGAGCAAAGTTGTGGAAGGGCAAGTAATAAGCATCCATCTTAACAGTTTCAGACCAATGTTGGATTAGATATAGCATCAAAATGTAGTCCTTTCTGTCTGGTTTATATAGATGAAGTTATGAAGCCTAAGAAGGCCACAAACGTAACATACTCTTTTGCTATACTATAATTGCTGCAGAAAATAAAGCCTGGCTTTAGGATTTCCTAGCAATATTAGCTTCTAATCCAAATATGACCAAGTATGTATAATTTGGAGTATACATATGTAGTTATAGATTGGCATGTGCATATGTCGTACATTCTTGCTGCAAGGGTTCGGAGAATTATCTCCCACGTGGTGTAAATTGTATACAACGAGCATATAAATTTTTATTACTATATATTACTATTATGTATATTATTATATAGAAGAATATATTAAAACAAGTATGTTGTAGGTCAAATGTTAACTCGTGACCCATCAGTTACCCCATCCGGATATCGCCAAGCCTGCCATCCCGCGAAAATTTGCGCTTGGAGGCATCGAGCCCGTCAAATCCCCCGTTTCCCCACCAATTCGGGCCATTGGCTTTTATCCTCATTCTGTCTAGCCCCTCGCTCTTGCCGCAGGATTCGTATAACCTCGGGAGGCGTTCAAGGGAACTTTTCGCTGTGCTCGCGTGCAATGTTTTCATTGTGGGTACTTTGATTTTTTTCTCCCCTGACTTCCGAAGGGCCAACTTTTAAACCCATATCTTGACGACTACCCCCCAATTTCCTCCTGCCTTTGGTTATTCCGCCTATCCAACATGGCTGAACCTAAGGCTTCCGATCCCATCACACCGGTGGGCCTTCCCGAATATGGTTACTCTTCGACCGCAGGACCGGCCTCGGACTCCTCCACGACCAAGGTCATTCAGAATGCAAAGGCAGCCACAGAGAAGGAGCAATCTATGACCCTATTGGAGGGTATCCGGCTGTACCCCAAGGCCGTTCTTTGGAGCGTGCTCATCTCCACTTGCATTGCCATGGAGGGTTACGACATTAGTTTGGTCAACAACTTCTATGCATTCCCGCAGTTCAAGCGCAAGTATGGTGAGCTACTGCCGGATCATACATATGAAGTATCGGCAGCGGTAAGTTCAACCAATTCCGGCGGTCATCCCTCCGTCTCTTGGAGGTGAACTTGCCTCTTCGAACAAAAGAAACTGACAAGTCTTTGGATGTACAGTGGCAAGCAGGTCTGAGCAACGGTGCCTACTGCGGCGAAATCATCGGTTTATTCATCAACGGCTGGGCTTCGGAACGCTTCGGTTATCGGTACACGATTATGACCTGCCTCATACTTGTTAGTGCGTGGACCGCAATCTTCTTCACGGCACAGAACGTGCAAACACTGCTAGCTGCGGAGATTCTCTGCGGTGTCCCCTGGGGTGTCTTCCAGACTTTGACAATTACCTACGCATCGGAGGTGTGTCCCGTGGCGCTCCGTGGATATTTGACGACCTATGTCAATTTCTGCTGGGGTCTTGGCCAGCTTATTGGCATCGGCGTGATTAAGGGCATGCTGAGCCGGACTGACGAATGGGCCTACCGAATTCCATACGGACTGCAATGGATGTGGCCGGTGCCGCTCTTCGTTGGTATTTGGCTTGCGCCGGAATCCCCATGGTGGTTGGTTCGGAAAGGCCGAACCGAAGATGCGAAACGGGCCCTTGTGCGGTTGACTAGCCAAAATCAAGGGGATTTTGATCCCGATGAGACAGTCGCTATGATGGTTCACACCACCGCTCTAGAGGAAAAAATCACTAAGGGTGCTAGCTACTTCGACTGCTTCCGGGGTACCGATCTCCGTCGCACAGAGATCGTGTGTATGGTCTGGGCCATTCAAAATCTTAGTGGAAACTCCTTCTCCAACTATTCGACCTACTTTTTGGAACAGGCTGGATTGAGCTCCTCGAACTCTTACGCCTTTGCTATGGGTCAATACGGTATCAATATGGTTGGTGTATTTGGGTCATGGTTCCTTATGACACTCGGAATCGGCCGACGGACGCTGTATCTTTACGGTCTCTGCGGTCTATGCACCATGCTCTTGATCATGGGTTTCCTCGGTCTCGTCCCTAAGGACCACAAAGACCAAGCCTCCCTAGCCACGGGTGCTATGATGTTGATCTGGGCCCTATTCTATCAGCTGACTGTTGGCACGGTCTGCTTCTCTCTTGTTGCCGAGCTCTCTACCCGCCGACTACAAATTAAGACAGTCGTGCTCGGCCGCAACCTGTACAACATCGTTGCCATCATCTGCGGCGTTCTGACCCCTTATATGCTCAACCCAGGTGCTTGGAACTGGGGCAACTACGCCGGTTTCTTCTGGGGTGGCATCTGCTTCCTGTGCATCATTTACACATACTTCCGTGTCCCCGAGCCTCGCGGCCGCTCGTTCGCCGAGCTTGACCTGCTCTTCGAGCGGGGTGTCAGCGCACGCAAGTTTGCGACGACCGAGGTGGACGTGTTCGATGAAACCATTGAGGGCCGTGTCATCGATGATTACCGGGCGGAGACGAACAACCGAACCGATGCGAGCCAGCTGGAGAAAAATCACGGCTTGATATGATGCAATGTGTCTTATGTTTACGACTAATTCTCCTTCTTGGCCCTAAATTGATAGGCACTCTTGGATGTACATAGTATTTTTCAGCAAATAGTATTAATCTAATATTTTCACAGTCACGCACTACCCCTGATGCGTTGAAAGCCCTATTTCCTGTATTTCCTTCATGGTCTCAATCAACCAACAATTATTATCCAGAGGATGGGATGAACGTGGATGAGGCACCTAAGTATGACGCTGCAGATGAATATTATAGGCGAAGTGAGTTTGATGATACTACTCCATATCCTATAAACGAGTCCTCTATTCTACAGCTCCAGCATCGTGAATTACACGCATGCGATGAAAAATACCAGCTTCTTCATTCCGAGTTGATTCCACCATCTATTCGTGGGACCACTCAGCCTTCTTCTTTTCCGCAAAGGCAGTCATACCTAGAAAAGTCATTAGCAACCTAACTGAAACCCACTGAACAGACCAAAGTGCCAACTCACCAATTTTCTGATCCTTACTTCCAAAGAGCGCATGGAACAACCGTCTCTCATACTCAACACCCTCCTTGAGCGACAACTCCTGGCTCTTATTAACAACCTCCTTTCCAGCAATAACAGCCACTCGGCTATAGCTGGCAATAGTCTCGGCAGTCTTATACGCCTGCTCAAGCAACTCCTCCTTACCACCCGGCACAACCTTCGCCGCAACACCCCATTCACCAGCCTCCTTACCGCTGAAGTTCTTTCCGGTGAGGATAAGCTCCATAGCCTTACTCTTGCCGACCGCACGGGTCAGGCGCTGAGATCCACCTGCACCGGGGATCGTACCCAGCTTGATCTCTGGCTGGCCGAAGGTGGCAGTCTCTGTGCAGTACAGGATGTCGCACATCAGGGCTAGCTCGCAGCCGCCGCCGAGGGCGTAGCCGGAGACGGCAGCGATGACTGGGGTGCGGATGGAAGTGGCGAGGTGGGACCAGGGCGCGATGAAATTCTCGCTGTAGGCGGTTGAGAAGCTTAGAGGGGCCATTTCTTTGATGTCGGCGCCGGCTGTGGTGGGTTTGTTAGATTATTATATTGATTTACGGCCGGATTGAGTCGAGGGATGACGGGAAATATATTGGATGTGAAAGGTGTAGAGAGGACATGTACATACCGGCAAAGGCCTTCTCGCTTCCGGTGATAATAATTGCGCCGATGCTCTTGTCATTGTCGTAGTTGGTCAGGGCTTCATTGAGCTCCTTGAACAAGGGACTGCATAGTGCGTTGAGGGCCTTGGGGCGGTTAAGGGTAACTATAATACCAATGAGAAATTGATCTCATGTTATATTGACTGATGTTACATACTCAATCCCACGCCGGGCTTGGGGGTCGAGGTGAGAATATGCTCGTAGCTACCAGCAGCTGAAGAATAACCCCGGACTCGGGCTAGGTAGGAAGTCAAGGGGGCCGATGTCCGAGAAGTGGCTAGACGAGTGCATTGACGAGCAAACATTGTGCTATGAAGTAAAAGACAATTACTTTTCAGATAATTGAAATTGAATTATGCAGAGCAAGGAGAGAGAATAGCTATGCTGTACGGAGTACACGGTAGCATAGATGGCCGTTTCCCCGCGAGTCTGAGCGCCGAAGTTAACCGTCCCGAGGTACACGTGAAATGACTAAACCCGTTTAGTCTGTATTACGTTATTGCACTGCCACATATGCAATCTGCCACCTGTCACGTGTGCATAAGTGGCTGGTGACTCATCTTTAATCTGATTGGTCTGTCGGCTGTGGACACTTTTCTGTCCTGAAGGCGCAGTGCCTGTCCTGGAATGTCTGGTTTCAGCAGCTTATCTTAATCATTGCTTTTCCTTTACTTTCTCTATTTCCTTTCTTTCTTTCGGTGGTCTAGCCCTGTGCCCGTCCATCCTCGCTAATTTCTCCATCATGGACGTCCCTGAGCCCGATCAGTCGCCTTTCACAGCCGTGTCCGCGCACACATCTAGACTGACCCGAGTGAGTGTCTCGTGAGGAGCAAGACATTGTGCAATGTCTTTAGATCCTTTATTCCTAAAATCAGTTGAGATAGTCTGATCAATATGCTAATACGTCAACCACAGCACTACCAAGCCTACCTCGATGCCTCGACCCCGTACACAACCTACCGCTGGATTGGTTCCGGCGTGCTCCTGTTCGTTTTCTTCCTGCGCATTTTCCTCGCCCAGGGCTGGTATATCGGTAAGTGTGCATGGAACCCCTGAAAATGGAATTCGTCAAGCGAAAATAATGCGCCTCAAATGCAACACGCGAAAGCCATTCATCCACAGCGCTGGGAACATCTGCATAAACAGACCACTAACTCTGGAATCTTAAATCTCAGTCGCTTATACGCTCGGAATTTATCTCCTGAACCTCTTCCTCGCTTTCCTGACTCCCAAGTTCGACCCCTCCCTCACCCAGGACGAGGGTCTCGAGGACGGTGATGCGGGTTCCCCCAGCCTCCCTACCAAGAAGGATGAGGAGTTCCGGCCTTTCATCCGCCGTCTGCCAGAGTTCAAGTTTTGGCACTCGGCCACTCGCGCCATCGCCATTGGCTTCGTCTGCTCCTGGCTCGCTGTCTTCGATATCCCCGTCTTCTGGCCGGTCCTGGTTGTTTACTGGATCATTCTCTTTGTGTTGACGAGTATGTTTACCCCTTTTGGTCTGAAGCTGATACAACATCTGTATCAATTTTGCGGACATGCGTCTAACATGATCTTTTTTGCAGTGCGACGACAAATTCAGCACATGATCAAGTACCGCTACGTGCCTTTCTCCTTCGGAAAGACGCGGTACGGCCGTTCATGAGATTTTTTATTTCCTTTCTGTCTCTGACTCTATATCCACGAATGTTCGCACGTGCCTATATCTGTATGTGCACTTTGAGGTGAGCAACAGACAGACATGATATGATAAGAGGTGAAAGCGCTGGGCTGATGGTCCATTTATGAATTTTCCCAGACTCTTTTTTTAATCACTGCTTGCTTAGAGGGCCGCTGTTTTGGCGTGTTCCAGTCTTCTTCACCTGTGAAATATGATTAGACCTGAAGTCAATGAATGAACTGACTTGCAATATATTATTTTTTGAGAAGACCGGGTTATTTGTACATTTCTATAGTTCCCCAAATAGGAAGGTAACATCTAAGACATTTCATATGCAAATGAGCAGATTTGCGCTGTGACATTTGAGAACATTTTAGATTGAAGATGAACCTTCTAATACATTTATCTCCCTAATTGATCATCTGATCTCTTCTCTCCCCTATTGCCTGTTGCCTACTTCCCATTCTCAACCCCTAACATGGAGTGATACCACATCGTGGACTCAACCTTAACTCCGACTCACTTCCATACTCGGCCAAACACTCTAACACGACAATGGACATGGACATGGACATGCCAGCAGTCTTTTCAACCTCAACTCAAATCACAATCCTCTTCACAGGTTGGACAACCTCAACCACGACCCAATATGTCTTCACATTAACCTTCCTCTTCCTCCTCGCCATTTTCAACCGTTTCCTCGGCGCTCTCAAATTCCAGCTCGAAAAATCCTGGTCTCGATATACGACCCCTCAAACTCTCCTTCTCGCTCCAGTCAATACAAAAAACATACGCAAAGCAAAGCTCAGTCCTATTCCGGACTACATTCGTGTGCACGGGGACGAGTCCGAGGAAGAGACGTTACCAACTTCAAATGTCAATGAAACAAGCACGTCAATAAGGAACTTCAAAAGAGATGCCCGGAATAAATCATTGAAACGACTGCTTCCGTCGTGGAAGGCCAGTGGAACATGGAGTCTTCGGAAAGATGGGACTCGTGCGTTGCTTGAGTGTGTTAGGGCTTTGATTGGATATTTCTTGTGAGTTGGTACATCTGCATAGTGAGGATTGGCTAATTAAATAGGATGTTATCCGTAATGACCTTTAACGTTGGTGTTTTCATTGCTGTGCTTTTTGGCGTTCTAGTGGGTGAACTACTTCTTGGTCGATTCTCTCAGGGAACACCAGGTTGGCAGGAAGGGACTTGTCATGGTGGGTGATTGTGTCGGAGTCCAGACTAGGCTATCTTTACCTCAAAATGTGAAACGCTATATGTTTCATTGAAGTGACCTGGTAAGCTGCCCAGGTCTATTGAGAGGGGCTATTAGGGCTGTCGATATAATCATGATAACCTCATACATATTTCATCATATCTTCTTATGAACAAGAAAGCCCATCAATATGACCCAATCATTTACCCTCAGTATAGACACAATTGATATGTTACTGCTGTACCGGCCGAATCTTGTACTTAGCTCTGCAAACATTCAATCCTGTCAAAACGACGTTACTACAAATCTACGTCCAGTCTACATCGTCGATTCCTCTGGCATAACATACCTGGAGCAAGAGGAACCATAATAGCCCAAACCTCCCGACAACTGCAATCAATATTAAGATGCGAACACTTCGTCAACGGACGTCCAGCCTTGGGAACTCTCTTCATTGGTCGGTCATAGTGTGTGCATTTTGATGAGCGGTGGCCTCGAATACAGGATTCACTTTTTTTGTCTGTAAGTATGTATGTCTATAATCTGGTATAGATCTAAGACAGGAGAAATCTCACCAAGACCACTTATCACCTCGGGAATCGAATGGCATGTTCCTGATTTGCTTATAGCTGAGTCCAATAACAATGTGCTGTCTATGGGGGCCTGAAACGGAGGGAATGTGGGTCTATTCAGTGATATTTGAAACATCTTCATTTGCGCAAATCTGCTCAAATTAGAGCTGGGATCGGCATTGACTTTTTCTGGGGGCCTGGCTGGGGATCTGCATTGTAGGTTGGACACCTTAACCCTAACAAAATCTTGTTCGACCACTTTTATTCAATAATTACCTGGAAAGTCATCGATGAGATATCAATTTGCTTTGGTGTTCCAGAGGAAGCCTTGGAAGGTTGAGGACTCATAGCCTGAGGAGAGTAAGGCCTCAAAATGGAGATATCTAGTTGCATGGTTGCTTGGGATATATTGAGCAGTTGCAGAACCTGTTTTCTAGTGTAGCGATTATGGAGTTTAACAAAAAGGATATCCCTGTTACATGATTTTGAGGCTAAGCGAAGGCATGACATAGGTTGCAAAAGCATAGACAGGGATATATAAAGATGTAGAACTTGTTAAAATCAGCTCATGTTCCAAGGTACTCTCTGACTTAGATAGCCCTAGAAATATTTTAAGAATAATTGAATCTGCAAAATAAAGATGGGACAAACCGCCGTCATCCTGATTCCGCATTGTTTGGACCATACTCCTGATCCCTTACGCTCTTAAAGACATACGACACACTCCATCTAACTCCATATCATAGGTATCATAAACAGACATCGAAGCACATGCGGTGTAACTTGAAAGAACCACAAGAGTTATCGCCTTAAATCAGCAAATTCTCCACACTGCTCGACATCTTGCCCGCAGGAATAGCACTGTCGGGCAATGAGAGAGCCGACATTTTGCGGTCTGTATTGGGACGGGACAAGTCCTCTGTTTTAGTACAGATCCAGGTCGATGCGTACATGTTCACCCTAGAACAGATATATAAGCTTCGTCCGTAATCAATAACAAAGTTAAAACTCACCGGTCAATACATGTGCCTGGGAAACGAGCTCCCACACGACGAGCAGTGAAGCCGTTTTCTTCAAAGTGCTTGATGTACCAAGGGTTGATACTGGCGGAGCGGAGGAGGATGCGACCACCCTTCTTCAGGGCTTTGTTGAAAGTTCGGGCTTGGGCTGGGGCTGAGTCCTCTGCGGGATCGAACCAGTCCATTGAGTCCATGACCTGGTTTACATTAGCAATTGAAATACTGCTGAATGGAGATTTTGGTACTTACCACGGCGATAGTTAGAGTTCCTGGAGTGATACGGTTGATCACTTCGTTGATCTCATCGGTGTGGATACGAAGGCCATCAAATGCACCAGGCGTGGAAAGCCTGACGTGGGCTTGAGGAGAAAGATAGGTGGGGTGGCATCTATAACCATAGTCAGCACGTGTAATTGAAAGACATAGAATAGAGAAACATACCGTCGTGAGAATTTGCCCTGAACGCAAAGGTAGTAGAAATAGTTGTCGTTGCTGATCAAAGTATCCTTGATCACAGGGTCAAGAGTATTGACAACATATTCCCAAATCGATTGGCCGCTGACATCCTTGCCCTTTTTCATATCTTCAGTCAAGCCGTTGCGGCGGAAGAAGTCTTCAACAATCATATTTCGTTGGTTACGCGGCACTCCGGCAGCCTTCCAGGCAAACCATTCGGTGCTCACAATAGCCCAGTGGAGTGGTCGGCTCATTAGCACACCTCGGATGCGAGGCCAGATTTCGCGCTGCTCTGCAATGGTCTGCGCTTCACACAGCTTGCGGACTTCGCCCTGGAGTCCGAAGATATTGAAGAGCCATCGCACCATACGAATGGCGTGGCGAGATCCACCGGTCTCATACAGACCATGGCCGGAGGTAGAGGTGAAGGTCTGCGTATGCTCGAGCCAGTACTGGAAAGCCTGGCTGGAAAGATGAGGGCTGAGTTTGGAGATTAGCAGTTCACGGAACTGGGCGTGCTTGCCATCACCGAATATTTTCCACATATCCCGGTGACCCAACGCTGAGTAACAGGCAACCTTCAGCTCGAGAAGATGATTCTGGTTAGGATTCAAGTCCACTGCATGCACTCGGCGGGGACCCTTTTGCAGATAATCAAGGATGTTGTCACCGGCGCTAGTGATAGCCAGGATCACGTCGTCTTTACCGATGTTCAAGAGCCGGTGGTCAACTCGGGGATCTTCCCATGTGAACGCGTAGATATACTCGTTCTTGAATTGAGTATGTTTGGGTAGCATGTCGTTGTAATGAATGCGGTAATGGTGGTTCTGGTAGAAAGATGATGGGAGCGGCAGATTTGCACTCAGGTTAATCACTGCAGACTCATATGCCTTGGAACGAATCTCCTTTGCGCTTTGCACCACTGCATTATCCATTTCCTGCTTGTGATTGGCAGGAAGCAGGTAAGGAGACTCAGTGAAAGACGCATCTAGCGTCTCAATGGATTTGCTTGATGGGGTAGATGCGATTTCCTTTGGGCAACCAACAAATATGTAGTAAGGAATACCACCGAGGAAATAATTTCGTTCGCTGGCGGAAATCACCGTACCAAACTTGTATTCCAGATAGTCTCGACGGGCGGCTTCAAGACTGACACGGTCGAAATCGAACCAAGCTCTCCAGAATACACGGCCAAGCCAGTTGACATGGCGGTTGAAGGCACCACCAGTGTAGTTGCGACATGATACATCCACAATACTTTGGACTAGATTTGGATGAGTGTCACTCATACACAGAATTCGAAGTATTACTTACCGTAGAAGTCACACACACCCAGCATTCCAGTTGACTTCAAGCGGGAGGTTAATGAGTCGACGACGCTGTAATAGTCTAAAAAGAATCAATATCAACTGCCTTGAGTGGATCTTAGATACTCACCAGGGATCATAGATAAACTGTAGCTCATGGTAATCAAGTCCACGCCATCACTTGCTGCATTTGCATTCCGTGGGTCGAAGTCCTTGTCAGGCAGTTGGAAAGACCGGGCATCCTGGCAGAGAACGGTAACATTTTTCCACCCAAGACGCTCGAAGCGCTCGCGGGCAACTGCGCAGAGGGACGGGGAGAGGTCGACTAGGTAAACGTGTTTGAAGAATTTGTCCACCGGAAGGAAGGCCGCCATGGCTTCGATGTTGTATCTGTCACAAGTCAGATGTTCGATCTGTATCACGTTGGGGCTCTAGTGCCTACCCAGTACCACCACCGACCTAGAATACATTAGCGCTAGCTCCAAAATATACCAAATGAATACTTACATCTACCCAGACAGCCTTTCCAGCCTTGACTTCTTTGTTGCCAATCTTGTACTTCAGCTGTGCGGCCACAAGACCAAGCATATCCTCGCGACCACAGAGGAGACGGCGACGAGTGGCATCGTAAATTGCAGCCTGACAATGATCAGCTTGGGACCTATACAAGTTCGTGGTCATTTGATCATACCTGTGTCTTGTAGAAGCTCTCCAGCGCATCCTGCTGACCCCCGGCCTTCTTATCGTGCGGTTTGATGAAGTTCGCCCAGATGAATTTCAAGTAAGGGCCAACTCCAGTGTTAGCGAGTTTGATATGCTGAGTCGAGACGAGAAGAACCAGCCCGACGAGGGCAAACACCAGTAAGGCGGCCCCGACGATGTAGATGTGCATCCAATCCATGTTCAATGTGCAAAGAGTGTAATGAACGAAGAGCGAGGGAAGCGACCGAGAGATTCAAATACAAACGGAATTGGCTCTGGTCGACCACATGAACATCTGATGCGGCAGCGAGTACCATGCCCTATCACAGCGACACATGGGGGGGTTTCAAATGATAAGAGGGGCAAGGGAAGGTACAATGGACATGAGCTACAAGTATAAAAACCCGCATTAAGGAAGTAGCTTGTACATGTTACTTGAATTGTAAGAGTAGATCATCCCAAAGTAACCTTAAAATCAATCCACTGTAAAATCAATTCCAATATCTAAAGACAATTGGGTTCCTGCAGTAGCCTGTAGTCCTCGATATCTAAGCCACTCACAACCCAGTCACTTCCCATGTGGTCCCGGAGAGTCTTGGCATTGACCGTTGACGTCCCATCGACTTGGCCCGTGGGGTCTGCTGTGCCCCCCATAGGACCCCCCAAGCCTAAACTTCAGGCCCGCGGGCGCCAATCAGCTCCCCGTTTGCCGGCACACTGACGAGATCTCAATGTTAACGATTTATTATATAAAGTAGGTCTCAAAGGCCGGAATTTGCGATTATATAGTTTGTCAATTCCATTTGTAAATCCATATACGGAAAAATTTTAAGGCTGCTTTCGTCTTAGATACCTTGGGTCTGTATCAATTTTTTATACAACATACATGGGAAACGTCGGGCGGTACATGAAATTGGCCGTCTTGTTCTAATTGTGTTATTTATACCGAAGATAGGTAACAGCAAGGAATCACCGAGAATATGATGCTTCGTAGAATCAATTGCATGTTTATGGGTACTCCGTACTATGTTGTATAGAGGCTAGTTGAAAACAGTAAAAGCTGTCCATTCTGGACTCGAAAGATAATGGCCATATGCAACTGTTCCATTTTAGGATTAGCTCGGGACCCTTAGAGCCCCACCAACTTAAAGTTATCTCCAGGGCTGAACCTTGGAACTCTGTGAGTCTGACGGTTAACACTTGGGTAGTAACACATGTCTTATGTACTATTCAATACAAAACTACATCTACAATACATTAATTGTGCACATAACTACGTTGACAATTGACTATACGTAACGCCATTTTCCATTGCTCAGACGCCAGACCCATGAGAAACTATCTAAGCAGAAACTTCGAGGTAATGTTCAAAGAAAGATCCATAATACATAATAGACAGCCGCGATCTACTCATCATCGCTCATGTGAGTATCCTCATCGGCCGGCTTCTCTGCGTCCTCGTTCTCCAATGCGTGTTCCTCTTCCTGAGCAGGCTCCGGTGGCATATTGCTTGCAAACTTCGGATCAATGCGCAGACGGGTCAAAGCACGCTTGTAGATTTCAGCTTCGTTGGGGTCACGCATCACCACCTGCATCTGGTCAACCTTTTCCTCCGCCTCTTCAGTGGCAGTGGGAGCAAGTCCAGCCTGCGCAATGGTGCGGGCACGCTCCGGCTTGAGGCGGGCCTTGCCTGAGATCGGATAGTAATAAGCGGCCAATTGTCTGGTGTCGCCATCCTTGGGCTTGAAGAGCGTCAGTGCAATGTCCTTTTGTTCCGTGTTGAAGACCTGAGCACTGGTGGCATAGGTACGGATACGATCATAACGGTGGAACTTGTGGCCATCGGCGGTTTCGTTGGTGTAGAGGTCTTCGCTGTCTCGGTTTGGGTTGGACAGGTTCATGCTTGCGTCAATGTTCTTAACAGATTGGGGCTTCTCTGGAAGGAAGAGCTGGTAGTCATATGGGATTGGGCCAGGGTGGGGGTAGAGAGCAGGGTTCGTGTGGTGAAGATTCAACTTAGATTCATGCTCCTGGCAAACGCGCTCCTCAGGCGCGACTGGTGTCAGAATACCAACATCCATACGTCTGTCCCGCTTCCCTGCGATGGCTGGCAAAGGCGCCTTGTCGAACTTGAATTGAAGGTAACCACCAGGGTCTGGGAATCCTTCCAGGTCAGGCATCACAGGGAAGAAACCGACTGGCTTCAGCTTCGGGTTTTCAGGGTGAATGGGATTAGCCCAGGCATCAAGTTCTGCCTTTGTGGCAGGAAGACCACGGATTTGGCTGTCGGTGTCATCTCCGGTGTGCTTGCTTTGGGGGTAGGCGATATCGAATCCTTTTTGGATGAACTTCTTAACATGCTTCGGGTCATCCACAGGAGGCTTTCCTTTCTTCGCGGTGCGTGATTGTGTTTTAATGGGTGCAGGGCGGGAGCCATCTCCAGCGCTGCGGTCGACACCGATGTGCTGTGTACGGCGGAGGAAACTGACATTGGTATTCCTTGGGGCAGGGTTTCGGAGTTGCTCAATAGTCATGAGAAGGGGAAGATCAGCGGGGTCCATGGGCTGAGGATTCTCGGGTGCCATAATAGCTGATGGAGATGTTAGTTGGAGGACTGCAATTATAGGGGATGCTGCGTGGACATACCACTCTCATCGCCCAAATGTAACCCCGGAATACCGACAAGGTCAATTGGCATTCCACCTTCCGCATCAACTTCAATGTTGGGCTCCTCGCGGCGTGCCAGATTTGAGGCGAAACCGGGGGTAAGGAAGCGGCTCAAGCCCTCATGTGGGATGTCAAGGAACTTGGGGGGCATGTCGGGGGGAGGGAGATCATTGCGATAGCGGAGAGACGCAATGTACTCCTGGTGGAAGCCACCTGATGACTGACCCTCCTTGGATTTGGAAGACATATTGTCGTCTTATTTGCTCGCGCGGTTGACTGGGCGATTAATTGCGCATTAGTGACTCGGCGTCTGGACTGGGTGGAACGGAAGCTCACTGTAATGGACTGGGATGAACTGGGATGAACTGGGATGCTGTCGCCTCAATTTTGGAAAACAAAAGTGGTAGCGTAGCTGTACAGTATCTAATTAATATAAGAGCTCGATTCAGAATGGAATTGGTCGCAAACCTACCGTGAGGAAAGTCAATGGCTTGTATAAAGGCAGAGACAGCCGTAGGGAGGAATATTGGCGATGATATCAGTGCCTAGTTGTTCAGCTCGCCAGTAACAGAGACTTGTCCAGACTTGACCACAAATTGAGCGGGAGGAATCGGCAAAAGCTGCTATACAGACTCGCTCCGGAGCTGAGTCTGAGAACCATTATTCTGCCTAAATTCACCGCATGGATGTTGTGGTGGACAATACAAGCGTGGAAATATAGAAATGATCACGTGGAAAGACAGAATGTATTGAAAATATGATATTTTGAAGCGAGGAAGTTCGTACACTTATCTAACCTCAGCAACAAGTCAAATCTAATCCCACGCACGCATTTTAGGTTTGAAGGGTTCCTTTTGGCTCATCTACGATTGTTGCGACCTCTGAGATATTGCGATATGCAAGGTACATACTCCATTGTATTAAAAAAATATTGAAATCCTTTTGAAAGTGACCATACACGTACAACTCCCACGCCGAATTCTCATAATACCATAAATAAATCTTCCAAAGTGCACTTAGTAGGCCCACATGCACTTGTACGCCATCAACCGGGGCCCAAGTCGATCGTACTCCAGCCTTCCGATCCAACTGTCGTTTGTACCGCTCAGTTTGCCGAAAATGCTGGCTCCCTTCCACACAACAACCTGGGGATCGAGATCTCTGGGCGGTGTCCCGATCATGATCTCCTTCGAGAAGCCGGGGCGGAGAGCCTGCAGTCGCTCCTCCAGGAAGAGATGGAAGCCGCTAGTCAAGCTGCCGCCACCAACGACCATGATGCCGCCAATGAAGTCCCGCATCTTCTTCTCGTCTGAGCGAGCCGCGTGGGCAATGGAGGTCAGGATAGCGTTGTCTAGACCGAACACAGGCATGATATCATCTCGATCTTCCACCGCAGGAGGACGGGTAGCTTGGGCTGCAGCGGTTGTGGCAGCAGGTGTACTCGTCCCTCCTGCTTGAGGGGTCCCTGTGTTCTCCGGTCCTGGAGAACCAGCGACAGAAGATCGTGGTGTGCCCTCCAAATCTTGGACTTTGCTTAAAGCAGGAGGATGTTGGGGGCGGCTCGGTGTAGCCTGAACACCCGGCGTTGCCGAGTGAGACTCCCCATTTGCCTTACCGTGAGAGGGGAGGGGAGGGGCCATGGCGGTCAAAATCTCTGACTGGGCTGCGGAAGTAGGATCGTTAGGTGATCCATCGTAGATGTCAACGGAACGATCGATCAAGGTCCGTCTGCCGGTAATTTTGTCGGAGTTGTCGAAAATATCTGGCTCAAAAACACCCATTGGTGCAAGGTGAACTTCATCAAAAGCCTTGAAGGTATACTTCCGAGTATCTTGGCCTGCCACACGCAGGTGGAAGTCAAAGACCTGTGGAGAAACGCTGGCTTCGTTCATGGTGCAGATGTTCTTCTTTAGCTCTTCGGCTAGAAGGAAGTCATGTCTACGCCATAGGTTGATGTCGGCATAGGGGAAATGATCGTACAGCATCATCTTGACGAACGTTTCGGTCACATCTTGGCCACCATACTTCAGGTTCACTCGGGAGTTCTCAATACACATGCCTTCTTCCACGCAGCAGATTGAAGTCTTCTGCGCTCCAATATCGACGACACATGCCGAGGTGAAGCCGGCGCCAAAGGTGGCTGCCAGACTCTCTTGAATGAAACACACCCGGGCGAACGCAAATTCTCGCATCAACATATCCAAGACTTGGGTAACATAGGACTTGTCGTAAAGATCCGGGATGACAAACACACACGAATACTGGGTCCAGTCCTTCTTACTTGTCAAGTGTAGTTGGTTCTTGATCGCATCTTCCACAATCAATGAGATATCCAAGAAGAGAGACCTCTTGCTTGTATAGTCCTTCTCGTTGCACCAACCATTCCGGATCGGCCAATACAGCTTGTATCGAGGTTTTGAAGAATCCGGTACCCGCAGAGCCGGCTTCCCGACAATATACTCTGGCGGGGGATTAGAGAGCTCAGTCCATTCAGCACGCATTGGATCATTGTGTTCAGAGATAATTTCTGGCACGGTTCTGCGGTTATAGTTAACAACCATCTCCTTGGAGTTTGGAAGCATTCTTCGCTTGTTCTGTCGCATGTGCACCTTCAAATCCGCGGACATCCGATTGAAATGAGACGACCACTATAAAAAATTAGTACACGGCCATCTTAATGGGATTGCGCTGAACATACTTCAGGTCCAAAGGCCTTTTCGGGCTCCATTTCAGAGCCATCCTCATGCTTGAACCTCTTGGGCTTAGGTTCATCATGGTCTTCGGATTCGTTGGTGGCCGCTTTCCTCGCAATCACCATTGGCAAAGTCTTCGGCAGTGCGTCGCTGGCAAGTCCAATCCGGAGATTCTGACTGCCCATATGGATGATAATAACCTTGGAGCCAGCCATCTCGGCTGGGGTCTCCTCCGCATCTTCCATGTGCGCGTCACCATCTGCTTCACCCTCGCCTTCTGCAGTTTCAGTCTTGGCCATAGCGAGGGCACGGTCATGATCCTTCGCTTTCTTGGTCATCTTTGTCCTTGCTTCCTCGTTTTGGAGTCGGAATGCGAGGTTTTGATCGTCTCGTTTCAGGTAATCGCTACATAGCGCAAAGTCAGTATTGATTCTCAAGTAGAGCAGTGTAGCAGGTATCGGCCAGTGTATACGTACGTGTAGTAGTTCTTCTGGTTGATTGCTGGGATCTGCGGCCAGCTGGATAGTTCCATGTTATTGTCGGTCCGCTCTAGGCCTATGTCAAGTATTAGCTGTTCTGTTGTTGATAGTTATATTCCACCAGTTTGGACGCATAAACTTACCCTCATCACGGAGGGCCTTGCCCGACTTCTTTCCAACCATGATTGGTATCGGTCTGAGGTTGGCCGTCTTCAATTGAGACTGATTGCGGCAAATCTAGGGAGTGCGCCGGAGGTAACTGCAGTTCACTGGTTGCACATGAGATAATGAGAGGTCGCGTAGAAGGCGATAAAAGTGATCAGAACCAAAATATGAAGGGAAAAAAAAGACAATGAGTTTTCTGAATGAGGAGAGCTCAATCCCGCAAGATGATGATCCCCCCGATTGACCGCCCACACCGCACAGGCCGATCGGCCAAAGAACATTCAATGTGGTTGCCACCAATGCCTTCTTCTCTTTCACCTCTATCTCATCTACTTGTACCATAACTCCATAGCGAGTTTGTCTCCTTCCACTAGATCCATACCACTTACGCGCCCCTCACCCTGTTATCCTCGGGTCCATACTTGCCCGGACAACCTTTAAACCGAAGGACAACAGTGGACAACGCGCCCACTAATTAATCATACACACCATGGGAGGCTCACTATCGCGCATCTGGTCTCTGCTGTGGTCCAAGAAGGAAATCCGGATCCTGATTCTAGGACTTGTACGTTGTGTCTCACTGCATCCCACGCGGGGAAAGCAGGATATTAGTGCGACCAGGACTGAAACTAATTAACATTCTTTTGGTGCTTTAGGATAACGCTGGAAAGACTACTTTGCTGTACAGACTCAAGGTAAGATATTATGGCTTTGGGACCTTGGTTCTAAGGCGCATTTGAATGTGAAGTTCGTGGGGCTGACACCTTCCCTCCACAGATTGGTGAGGTAGTCACCACGATACCTACAATCGGTTTCAACGTCGAATCGGTCACATATAAGAATCTCAATCTTAATGTCTGGGTATGTTTTACCTATCTCCAGGTTCATTCAGGTCATAACTAATATCCCTGGATTGTAGGATCTTGGAGGCCAAACTTCTATCCGTCCATACTGGCGATGCTACTACGCCAACACTGCTGCCGTTGTCTTCGTCATCGACTCCACAGATATTGAGCGGTTAGGGACTGCGGCAGACGAATTAGCAGCCATGTTGAATGAGGAGGAACTTCATGACGCGGCACTGCTTGTGTTTGCCAACAAACAGGATCAGCCCGGTGCCAAGGGGGCAGGCGAGATCTCAGAAGCTTTGAAGCTGGGAGAACTACGGGACCGAAACTGGAGTATTGTCGCATGCTCTGCCATTGATGGCAAGGGTATTAATGAGGGAATGGATTGGCTAGTGGTTCGTTTCTTTCCTCAAAACAACCTGGTTTCTCAAACTAACTCTTTTTCTACTTGCAGCAAACAATCCAGTCCGAGAATGCATGATTTTCTGGCGTTTCTATGTCGGTTTAGAATTTCATCTTTGATACCTTGGTGTTCGAGTTTCGTACTCGGAGACCTTCTGCTGCATTCGGAGTGCTGTACCACTTCTTCCCTTCGACTCTGCTTAGCAGAGTCCTTGTCTTATATTTCTTCATTTTCGATGTCAGACCTGCGGCTTACACATAACTGTTTAATTGAATTGCTGACACTGAACTGTGTAAAAGAGAAGTGTCAGATTTATTCCATCCAAGTTCGTAATTGATTATTCGTATAGATATCTTGATCTTTGTCTTCATCACTTGCCTAACAGCCTAACCTGCCCAAATCACCTTCTAATATCTTGGCATCTGCTAATTGTTTCTGCTTATCTTTGCTTCCTTCCTTCCCCCGCATCTGCGATACGACTAATGCCGCCTATCGGATCTCATAGCTATTTAAGCCAAGTGTCCTAAAAGATTAACAGACCTTCTCCAAGGATCTTGCATATCCAAAGAACCAGCAACATGTCGGTCCCTCCGATTCCCCTAATTCAAATCGCTGCTGTGATTGCCCCGAAAAGTGATACCGTCTCCGCAAAGGTGGGGATCAAGAGCAACCGCCCCGTGCCAACCCCAGGAAAAGGCGAACTCCTCGTCAAGCTCGAGTTTTCCGGGGTATGTCACTCGGATCTTCACAGCATCCGTGGTGATACGCCTATGTTGACTGATGTCGCGGGTCATGAAGGTGTTGGCAAAGTAGTCAAAGGTAAGAACTATTGGTACATCAGTTGAACGCAGTCTACAACTTATACTAACATTCGTCACCATTAGTCGGACCCGGAGTTGACGAGAAGCAATGGATGGGTACGCGGGTTGGTATCAGGTCTGTATCCTTCGTCTCTAATTGGTCGTCGGGTTGAATTTATATTGACGCTGAAGGTATTCCCGTCATTAGATGGCTCTACAGCTCTTGTCGCGAATGTGAGATTTGCGAAATCAACCATACTGTATGCCCATATCAGAAGAACGCTGGTGCAGTAAGTTGTTGACCACCGCAAACCATTTGTCTGCTGCCATTGTTTCTGTTACTAGTTATACTGACGGTTTGCAGAATGTGCCTGGAACTTTCCAGCGTGAGTCTTTTATCTTTCAGTGTGATTATCCACTCCATTTGAACACTTCTAATACATACTTCAGAGTATATTGTTAGCCCGGCACTCCATGTGACAAAGATTCCGGAGCAGCTTTCACCAGATAGTGCCGCACCTCTTCTATGTGGTATGTTCTTCCTATTGGAATTTCGACAGTACTAACGCTAATCACTATCTCCAGCTGGCATTGCCATGTATTCTTCCATCATGAAGACCAAAACTCGCCCTGGACAATACCTTGCCATCCTCGGTGCTGGAGGTGGCCTTGGTCATATGTACTTTCCCCCAGTTTTCGGTGACTAAAAGCTTAGTTTTCTGACGAATATTTCCTTTGCAGGGGAATTCAAATTGCCGCTAAGAAGGGCCTCAAGGTCATTGCGATTGACAGGTATGTGATATGTGATATTTCGAGTTGAACATGTTCTGCGCCTTTATAACAAACTAACCTGATGGTTGAAAAGTGGAGAGAAGAAAAAGCAACTATGTCTTTCGCTTGGAGCTACGGAATTTCTGGACTACCGCGAAGTTGATATTGTCCAGGCAGTGAAAGACAAGACAACCTTTGGTGTACACGCTGTAATCTGCACAGCTAACGGTGAGCGAGCATACGAACAAAGTATGCAGATGCTGCGTCCTTTTGGCACCCTGGTCTGTGTTGGTATCCCCGACAAGCCATTCAAGCTTCCAGCTACCCCATTCGATATGATCGTCAAGGGTGAGTTCTCTCTGGTCTATGCACAATCTAAAACATAACTGATCTGAGAAACCGATACAGGTCTCACTATTGTCGGAAACTCTGCCGGAACAGCGGATGAGATGGATGAAATGATGGCTATGGCCGTGGCTGGCGATGTGAAGGCGCATATTGACGTCTTTGGGTTAGACGATATCAACGATGTGCTGGACCGCATGGAGCGCTCAGAAATCGACGGCAGGGTGGTCCTGAAAATCCCCCAGTAGGTGTCATAGGTGGCGCACTGTAGGGCTCTAGATACCTTTGCGTTGATATTGCAGAAAATATTATTATCTTGTGGACTGAACGTGCAGGTTCATTTGCCATGTTATATATAATCCAAGGGTATAGGTGCTTGTCAACTAATAATAAGCAATATATAGTAGCACTTTGAACCTTGCGAACAATATGATATAACACCTATATTCATGTCTGATAACTAATCGTTGGTTAAGTCAATAACTCTAGTTTTACCCTTTCCAACGTCATTCTCTAAATGCCCTTCGAGGCAAGAACTCTTATATCTTTTCGTGGGTGGACCAGGCTCCCCACTGGCCGATCTCTTTATCTGCCCCTCGGAATGACTGCGTCGTTTGTCAAGATCTGATTGCTCTTTGACAAAACATCCTATCGCTGCCATTTCTGCATCACTGCAGCTATGGGCCTCACGACAATGTGCTAAGTATTCTTCCCTGCTTGTCCAAGGATACCCTGGACTTTCTGCAGGGCCACAATCTCCTTTCACGCAGCACCATTTTAATGCCATATCATCCTTGTTGACCCCGGCATCTCGTCGATAGGCTTCCCAGAAGTGAAACATGGCTCTTTCACGCAGCTTAGCTCGAGAATTTTCAGTGAAGTGGTTCGCCCAATCCGCTAGCTGTAGTGATGCGTCAGGTGCTAAAACCAATGATTTGCTGTGCTCTTTGAGATATTTCCTGAACTTGTCCGTGCTTGTTTGCTGCATCAGGAAGCGCAGATCGTTGGCGTAACATATCCTACCAAATTCATGCCATGCCTTCAGATGACGAATAACATAATCTCGATGATCTGTCACTCCCCAAGAATGTATTTGATCGATTAACGACAAGAGCTCCCACGCTTTACGCTTCGTCACGATCCGGCCACTCCATATTCTTTGAAAAACCTGCATCCATAGTGAGCTCTTGAGGGTAATCTCAATCTCTAGGGTCTGTCTTACATAAACAGACTCACTGAGCCCTTTGTGCCCTGCGTATTCTCTCTTCAGGCGTGGTCTCTTGTAGCCCACCAGTATGTGCCAATGAGCTCCAAATGAGGTGAAAACGAACACTTGGTTATTGCAACTCTGAGCTGATTGGAATGGTCGGTTCTTGCCACCTGCCGTTCCTGGTTTGCGTGCCAAGTTGTCTAGCAAGTCAAGATAAGCTGCCCCTGCCGAGCAAGCCTGTCGACGTGCTTCCCGAACGTCGCCACTCCAGCCCTTAGCTTCATAAGCTGCAAATGGGAAGACTAAGTTTGCATTCCCCCATTGGGGGTCAGAGATAAGACCACAGTGTCTGTGAAATAGAAGTGCCTCCAGACGATCATGATCTAGATCCCATTCAGCCAGAGAATCAATATAGTCTGTGGGTTTGAAGGTCGCAAGCCCAAAAGTTGCATCTGGTATTCTTTTGACAAACTTTGGTTGGCCATCTAGAAGACATGAGACTTGATGTCGTTTCTGTTTGATAGCATTGTATTCATGCTTGTCTCTGTATCCGGGGTATTAGACGTCAGGACTAGAACTGGACGGGGGCAACCCACACGGCTAAAGATCTGTCATTTCTCATCAAACCGAAAACATCTTGCCAGGCATCTGCTTCCCAAGCATATTCGCTCTTTTTCCAATTTTCGTTGTTCACAATATGCTTGAGCAGATTTTCCGCCCTTGCACGGCGACCATCCTCGCTGGTATGGCTCCAATGCACATCGTCCACTGACGGTAGCCATAAGTCATGTCCGGCCGTCACCCAGTTGGTGGAGTAAAAATGCCGATAATAGATACCTCGAGCATTCAGTCCCCAATCGGCACCAAAAGCATCTCTCATTACTGGAGGGACCTCTTCACCTGGTATAAGGTAACTTGTTCAATTAGCCTCTTAATGCTCTATAAGTATATAGGGTTGATACTTACTGCTGAGCGCCAACGTAGTACTTTTCCAATGCGAACTCAATATCGTCATCTGACCTTCCATCTCTTTCCGTCATGTCGACTGGTGGCCACATTATATGTGCTTCTAATATTTCAGGCAGGATGGGCTGCTTTTCTGCCTTTAGCCCTCGAATCTGCTGGTATAGGATTTTCTTTTTTTCTTTCCATTGAGCTCGATATTCTTCCCTTGTGATATCTGCTGCGGAGTCCTGACAATAATCCAATGATTCCCCCCCTAGAGATAATGGGTCTAAAACTAACGGCCCATCAAGCCAACCTTCCGTTCTCAACGGTTCTGCCATTTCAGTTTCAGCGGGTACTGTAGGTCTCAGCCGAAGAACGGGATGGGCTCCGTCTGAAGCCCTTCCAATGCTTGACTCCATTAAAAAACTGCACAATTGGTAAAAGGTAAGGAATTCGGACGACAGTTGCTCGGGGTCAGATTTTGTTGTGAACGAGAAGACATTAAGAAGAAATTAGTTAAAATAGGGATGGTGTCTGGCTTTGGCATTTTCTAGTCCAAGATGAATCAGCAAAGTCTGGGGGCCAGGCTGCCATTGAGGGGGTGATCACATAGCTGAGTTAGGCTAGGCAGCCAGGCAGTTCTAGATTCCCAATCTCCGAGAATTCCCTATCTTGCAGTCTTCCCATGTACGGAGTAACTCGCGCTAAGCTAAGCTAGTACTCATCCATTTCTCACATGGCGGCATGCTGGTTGATCAGTAGTAGGTATGCCGACTCGATAAATTGATCGGCTAACCGTCTAAAGCATTCACTGACGCTAGTCTGTCATGAGTAAAAAGGAAAATGATCACCAATTTCCGTTAAGTCATTTATTCAACATATAAAACGTATAGAGGCTTCTAGATATAGAGATAAAGTATATTCTGAAGCATTTTACCAACAATTCTAGAACCATAACTGAAGAGAAAGAAGATGAAGTATATCCAGTGGTGGTAACAATGTAAGGCTACCGCCCTAGAGATTCTGCAGACTTAATCGCCACCGCCCGGTCTGTGCAGCAAAGAACCCGAATCCGCCCTCGAGAACTGCAAGGGACGTGCGAGAACCTCGGATCGTGCTCAATTGCTATTGTAAGTGCTCTGTTAAGTGCATATTGACCTGTATCTACTGCTACCGCTGGATTGTTTACAATGCGGGTCGATTGGAGCTTGACTAGCTCCACGGCCCCATGACAATCCACTATGAATTGCAAGTACTAACCGCTATATAGGTTCGATCGGGCGTTGCCGTAGCTCCGCCGGCGAATATAACTAGCTCCACAAACAGTAAAAATGGCGTGCAACTCCGCAACGATGGCCTGGAGAGCCAGCGTCCGGGCTCGCGCCCTTCCCATATCCCGATTGAGCCAACGGCCGTCAGCATTGCTACAGAAGCGGGCCCAGCGCTACCCTGGTGCCTCACGATATGCTTCGGACTCGGCTGCCCCAGCTGAGGCAGCTAAGGAGACAGTGAAGGATGCTACAAAGGAGGCAGCCAAGGAGATCCCCCGCAAAGCGGGCCGTGGATCTAAGAAGGCCTTGTACGGTGCTTCATTGGCCTTGACCCTGCTGGTTGGCTATATCTATGGAACCGACACCAGAGCCAGTATCCACAGATACGGCGTCGTGCCCTTGATCCGTTTCCTCTGGCCCGATGCGGAGGATGCGCACCACATCGGCGTGGAGAACCTGAAGATGCTCTACAAGTACGGTCTTCACCCGCGCGAGCGTGGCGATCCGGATAGTGATGGTGCCCTGGCAACCGAGGTAATGGCATTCCCAACCCGGCCTATAACCAATCACTAACAATATCCGTCTCCAGGTCTTTGGATACACACTCTCCAACCCTATCGGTATCTCGGCCGGTCTGGACAAGCACGCCGATGTCCCTGATGCGCTGCTCGACATCGGTCCCGCCATCGTCGAGGTGGGCGGCACCACCCCCCTGCCCCAGGAAGGAAACCCGAAACCTCGAGTGTTCCGACTGCCCTCACAACACGCCATGATCAACCGTTACGGCCTCAACTCCAAGGGTGCCGACCACATGGCAAAGGTGCTGAAGCAGCGTGTATCTGACTTTGCCTACGCCGCTGGATTTGGCCTACACGAACAATCGGAGCAGCGCGTCTTGGACGGCGAAGCCAACGTCCCGCCCGGAAGTCTGGTCCCAGGCAAGCTTCTGGCCGTACAAGTTGCCAAGAACAAGCTGACACCGGACGGAGATATCGAAGCCATCAAGCGCGACTACGTCTACTGTGTGGACCGAGTGGCCCCGTACGCCGACATTCTCGTCGTGAACGTCTCTAGCCCCAACACCCCAGGTCTGCGCGACCTCCAAGCCGCTGCCCCCCTCACAGCAATCCTGACGGCGGTCGTCGCCTCCGCCAAGAACGTCCAGCGCAAGACCAAGCCCTACGTGATGGTCAAGGTCAGCCCTGATGAGGACTCCAACGAGCAGATCTCCGGCATCTGTGAGGCTGTCTGGAACTCCGGCGTCGACGGCGTCATCGTCGGCAACACCACCAACCGTCGGCCCGACCCGTTGCCCCAGGGTTTCGTCCTCCCCGCCGAAGAACAGAAGACTCTGAAGGAAACCGGCGGTTACTCCGGTCCCCAGCTGTTTGATCGCTCCGTTGCGCTCGTCGCCCGCTACCGTGCCATGCTTGACCAGGGACCCCCGTCTGCGACCGACTCGGACAAGTCTATCGTGTCTCAGCTTCCTCGGAAGGTTATTTTCGCTTCCGGCGGTATCACTACCGGTAAGGAGGCGCGCGCGGCTCTCGATGCCGGCGCTTCCGTGGCTATGATGTACACCGGTGTTGTCTACGGTGGTGTTGGCACTGTCACGCGGGTTAAGCAGGAGTTGCGTGAAGAGCTGAAGAAATAAGCGGTGTGAACTAGATTTTTTTTTTCTCATTTGGTCTTTGATAGATCCTGTAAATAACATGGACATGAACAAGAAAAGCAATATTCTGTATTCATCATTCTTCTGATTTCTCGCCCGAAAGATTCAATCGGCACCTGATGGATATATGCAAGGGAAGGCCGAGTAAGGCAATGCCGAAAAATGAAAAAGGGGTATTCATGTCGAGTGGATAAAGCTTTGGGGAGCTCTATAGCTCGGATTACTCGTTCGGTGCAGAGTCCACCCCACATCAAGCACGGAGTTGGGCCGATATATATGGATCCACGACATCGGAAGCCTATTGCAATTGCCGAAGCTAAGAAAAAGCGTTAAAAGTCATCTGAGACACAAATCTCTGATCAACCGCGTGACAAGTTTGAAAGACCGGGGTTCTCTATCGGGTTCCCCCAGATAGGCTTCCCGAAGTGTAGAAGCCGGTTGAGCCCACTTTTGATCTTCGGTTTTGTCTAGATGCGTCTTTCTTTTTTAATGTACTTTTCCGTATAACCATGACGAGGATTCGTATAGTGCGAAACACAATACATGTATAATTGTATGTGTTAAGGTGTCAAGGTGTCAACTGTCAACTGTCAACCTTGGTGTCGACCTGGTGTAGTGTGGCGTAGAATTAGTGAAATACATCATGCGACAGTCAGTGTCTCCTCCACTTCACGAACAACCTCACGCACGCCCTTAATTTCATGCGCGAACCTGCCCAAAAACATTCCATCCACAGCTTTACCAAGACCCCCCGCCCCCCAAAGTCCAGGCCCCGCACTGCCCCCATACAGCACACGAGCGGTACCCGGCCGCTCCCCAATAACAGCCCGGATGCCCTGCACAACAGCAGCAACGTGATCAACACCCGCCGGCTTCGGCTGGCCAATAGCCCAGACAGGCTCGTAGGCAAAGATAACAGGCGCGTCATCCGGGATAGCAGCCAACACAGCGCGCACCAGCACCGCGCACTCGTCCACAGCCTGGCCGACTGCTTGGGAGGCGACGGGGCCTGGGGCTGTTACCTCGCCGACGCAAACGAGCGGGACCATATGCTGGGCGCAGGTTGCGGCGGCCTTGCGAGCGGTTTGGTCATCTGATTCGTTGAAGATAGACCGGCGTTCGGCATGGCCTAGTTCGACGATTGTGCAGCCCAGGGCGCGGATTGAGGCGGGGGAGACTTCGCCTGTGTATGCGCCTTGGGGTTCCCAGAAACAGTCTTGGGCGCCTAGGAGGAAGGGGGGTGTGGATTGGGAAGGTCCGAGGTTGGCTTCGTACTCTTTCAGGATTTGGGCGCAGGGCCAGATGGTTAGGAAATCGGGGATTAGAGCTAGGAGGAGTTTGTCGCTGTTTGCTGGATGGACGATTTCGTTGGATGGGTTGAGGAGATCGCGGAGGTAGGTGAGGGTGCGCTCTGGGGTGAAGTACATCTTTAGAGAGATGAGGAGGAGCTTCTCTGGAAGAATTGGGTAATTGGACGCCATGGTGATGGTGGTGATGGTGGTGATGGTGGTGATGGTGGTGATGGTGGTGATGGTGGTGATGGTGGTGATGGTGGTGATGGTGGTGATGGTGGTGATGGTGATGTGAGAATTGATTGTTTGGGTGTTTGTTAGGGGAAGCCCAAGTATGCTTAGCGTTCCCGTGTAGGGTAGGGTACTCGGAAAAGTTGCTTTGTATAGCAGCAATTGAAAGGGTTATAATTGTAATTTCAAGTAATTCCAAGGTTTTTTTTTTTGACAATCTGGGAAAGTAAATATGTGTCAGTGCGTTGCATTAGCGGCAATGGGCCAGACGTTCCGATATCCCATATTAGCTTGGAGGGGTCGACATAGTATATTTGATGTCACAGCCATTCGGAGTACTCAATACCGAGTGCAACTGATAGGTCAATGGGTAATATTACTGCCTAACCCTGAGTAGAAATGAAACTATTCCGATCTTGGTATGGAATTGCACCTATTCCGTACATACACTTTAACATATGGTTATATCCTGTCTACTCTGTATAACTCAACCATGAGAACTCAACCATGAGAACTCAACCATGATGTACAATGTATACCATCATACAGTGCAGATCCAAACGAAAATCTTAAACGAAAATCCGGAGTACATACCCCGTAGTGCATTTCAGAGAACCAGTGGACTCAATTCCAAACAGTGACCAACAACATTGGGACAGTGGAGTTCGAAAGTGGATGCAGGCAGTGTCAATTATGGGGGTTAGCGTCGGGGAAGAATAGCCGTGCACTGGGACATCAAGTTATGTTGTAGGTTGTATGTTGTCCTCCGTAAAAGCAATTCAGAATTCAGATTTGTTCAATATATATTTTCCCAATAGGCAGGTCAGGTTTAAAATCGTAAATTCCAGTGTATGAGGCCTAATTTCAATAAATCCCTCTTCCCGTCCGGGATACGGCTGGGCCCATATCCGTGTATTGGACACGCGAGGTCTTAGCCACTGACATCCTTGCGGGAAATAAAAAGATGACACCACCGAGATACCAAGATACCAAGACACCAAGACACCAAGCCATCCAGACCCTCGTCCCTTGGCCTTGAGGCACCAAGATTCAAAAGGGCAGGTAAACCGCCATGTCTGTGCAAAAAAAAAAAAAGCCACAGCCGTCTTGCCCTATAAACTGTGTTTACCACTGACATCGATGGCTTGAAGAAAGTGAAGTCCGTGGTCTCAACGCCAGCGAGGTTTAATAAAAAACATCCCGTGTAATACGAGGTAACATGCATGTATGAGCCAAAACAGGGTTCCTAAAGTATCCGACCTCGGTTTAACCTCGTTATGACGCTGACCACTCATAGTCCACCATTGGGGGTGCTATGATGATGGAGTGGGCCACCCCCGGACAATTGTAATACGCGTAATATCAGAAGGTAAATTCTAGTGGAGAAGGCTACTAGATGATTGCATCAAATGCAAGGATTGGTTTGTGGAATTTGGGAAAAAGGAGGGGAAGAAGAGCATATAAAGACCCCCTTTGTGTACTCCCAAATCAGGATTTCTCTTCTGTATATTCCTCAATCTCTATACTCTTTTGTACATTCTTCCCTATTCCTTACCTTCATCATGTCCACTACTCCCTTCCGCATTGTCATGGCCTGTGACGAGGCCGGTGTCCCATACAAGGATGCCATCAAGGCCACTCTCGAGAAGAGCCCTCTTGTCGCCGAGATCATTGACGTCGGTGTCAACTCAACTTCTGATAAGACTGCCTACCCTCACCCCGCCGTCGAGGGTGCCAAGCTCATCAAGGATGGCAAGGCTGACCGTGGTCTTTTCATCTGTGGCACTGGTCTGGGTGTTGCCATTGCCGCGAACAAAGTACCCGGCATTCGAGCTGTTACTGCCCATGATCCCTTCTCCGTCGAGCGCTCCATCTTGAGCAACGATGCCCAAGTCCTCTGCATGGGTCAGCGTGTCATCGGTGTTGAATTGGCCAAGAAGCTTGCCACAGACTGGCTCAACTACCGCTTCGACCCCAAGTCTGCCTCTGCTGCCAAGGTCCAGGCTATCACCGATTATGAGACCCAGTTCCACACTGCCGCTTAGACTCTTGTCATTGTTCCCCTCGATACACTTGGAATGTCTTGAGAACCCTCCTGCTCTTGTCGTCAACCTCATCAACCTCGTCAACCTTAAGAGCAGGTCAAGTCCATCGACTGGTCTGCATGATTGTTACGTCTTTCTTAGTTCTCACAGCGCATGATACCACGAACCAAATGTCACTTCCGCTTCCAGATTGGATTGGAAAATCACATAGATATGTATATAGTGAATAAAATAACTATTCAACTTCAAAGTGATCTTTCAAAGAGTATGAAAAAGTATGAAAGTAAATTCCTATACAGCCAATTAAGCTGACTCAGACCCTTCTGCGGGGATCTATGAGTTTCCGTCTTGTTTCATTTGGTTTCACAATACAAAAAATATACCTCATCACAGACTAAAAGTCCTTAGATTCCCATCTTTTAAGAAGTACAATATCATACAATATCCACTCTATCACTTCTAAGGTCTATATGGTGGACCGCCCCACATTGGGGATCAACAGGAGAAACCCAACTTAACTCACACATAAACCATGGCCCAAGAACTGAAAGCAAAGGGCAACGAGCTCTTCAAAGCCGGAGATTACACCGGTGCCGAAGATTTCTACTCCCAAGCGTAAGCTATCACATCCGACCCCTCCGACGCTTCCGCCCCCTCACCTCAACCCTCCAAAACAGTCGCAAACCATTGAGACATCCCTGATGAAATCATCCTAGAATCCAAAAGAACCCCCGAGACGCAACCTTCTTCACAAACCGCGCTATCACCCGAATCAAGCTCGCGAAATGGGCAGACGTCGAACATGACGCTCGCGCCGCGATCGAAATCTACGGTTTAAAGAACCCCGCCGCCCTAAAGAGCCACTATTACCTAGCCCAAGCCCTCCTAGGCCTGCAACGTCCACAAGAAGCGCACGATGTCGCATCCGACGCATACCAACAGAGTCTAGCAGCGAAGAGTGCCCAGACGGAGAACCTGTCGCGCACAGTCTTGCGCGCGAAGCAGCAGATCTGGGCTGCGCGGGAGACGGCCCGGCTGCGCGAGCTGAATGAGACACTGGGATCTGTCGAGGCGCTCGTTGAGGCTGATGTAGCGCGTGCGCTGGCGGAGTTGCAGGGTCGGTTGGAACGTGGGGAGATCGGGGAGATTGGGTTTGGGGAGGATCAGAAGGCGTTGCGGGATGATGCGGAGACTAAGATTAAGAATTTGAGGGAGGCTTTTCGACTTGCTTCGAAGGGGGAGGTTCAGGAACGGGTATGTTTTGATTTTCGGACTGAAATTGGTTATTTGTTGACGTTTTTGCAGGTTGTGCCGGACCATCTTATTGATGGGATCACCTTCGAGATCATGCATGATCCGGTTATTACACCGTCTGGGGTTAGTTTCGATCGCTTGGGTATCACCAAGTATGTTGAGAAGTCGGGTGTCGATCCTTTGACTCGGGCTCCTCTTAGTGTCCATGATCTGCGGAACAATTATGCTCTCAAGGCTGCTTGTGAGGAATTCCTTAAGAACAATGGATGGGCGGTGGACTGGTGATTGCTCTCTCTTTCTCTTTGAATTTGTACATTGCCCCGGGAATTCTCTTTTGCTGTTTTCTGGTGCATAGCGAGTGATTTCAACAGTGCATGTAAATAGTGCATATGCTGGCGTTAATAATGAAGTTGTTAAAAGAGATATCAAGATAATTTGGGCTTACTCCTAAAGCTACATATATATTCTCCGAATGTATTGCCTACGTAAAATATCACCGAACTAATCATGGCCTGACCCTTTAAATCAACTGGCGAGTGCCCTGTCAGCTACCCCCACCTATACCCGGTGGACCCCGCCCTCAACCGTCTCCAACTTCCTCAACATATAAATCCTCTCTTGTTGACTTTTCCCTCTGCTTATACAAAATACAAAACTCCTCAAATTCAAAATGTCTGACATTACCCCCTTCATCACCGTTCTGGAGGCCGCCCAGAAGAAAGAGAAGTTCACCCCCGAGGTCCAAGAAGCTGCCGCCGGCATCGATGTTGCTGCCCTTAAGGACATTTTCGCCAAGGTCGCCGAGCAGGGCGAGTTCGAGAAGCTCGACGATGCCACCGAGGCCGAGACCCTCCGCAAGGCCTTCGAGTTCGCCGCCAAGGCTGTTATGATGCTGAAGACCTCCCCCGGTCTTTTGGAGAAGAAGGACCTCTACATCTACTTCAAGGTTGGCAAGGGTGATGTTATGGAGAAGCCCGGCATGTTCGATATCCAGGTATGTTCAACCTTAACTTGATTGCGAGCTCGGGAAGACCCCCTGGCCTAAGCAATAGCACTTTGGAGAAAGACCGGTAGCTGACATTGTTTTTTTTTCAACCTTACAGAAGAAGCAGCTCTACGGCGCCTGGGAGAAGGTCAAGGACTACAGCCCTGCCAAGGCTCACCAGCTCTACATCGACTGCGTCAACACCTTCATTACCAAGTACGGTACCCGCGACCAATAGATACGATTGGGAGAACTGGGGAGAATGACTCGTGATCGACCGGATATATTATCAAGAGATTTTGGAAGGTGATCTTGGAGGGAAGAGATAATCGTATTGTCTCAATCTCTCAAGACGAATAAACGAATACAAATGCATGCTACTTTCCATGACCCAGTACTTTCGCGTACACCACAATCCGTATACAACATATGTATATGCTCTGATAACCATGCGACTCACGCCTATGGACTGCTGAGACAAAACCATCAGATATAGCTGAGGATACTAAACAAGAAAACAAGCAGATTCAAACAATCCAGCTCTGTCCCTGCCAGTCCGGCAGATGATGCGAAGCAGTCGCACACCACGGCTCATCGCCTGCACCGTATGGCGTCAACGGAAGATCATAGGGCATCCGGAACCCGACGACCACAGAAGCCGTCTCAGCCTCCTCAGACACAGCAGGACGATCCCGCTTAAAGCAAGGAACCATCAGCGCGTCCGGCGCAAGGGATTCCCCTTCCGCTAGAGATTCAGAAGCAGAAGCAGAAGCAACATCGTCACAACCCCCATCTCGGAAAAGCTCTGGCCAAACAACAATACCAATCTCCCAGCTACAAATTCGCACCTCACCACTCGAATTATTGTTCGCGCCCCACGCCTGCGTGGACAGATTCGCCGACGACACCATCGCCCAGTCGAGAGTCTTCATGTCCGCGTCCGCGAAACGGATGTAAGTCTTGATGTGCGGGGCAGCGCGGGCACGGCCTGCTTCACGTCTCGGGGGGCTGTCTTCGGATAGGTCGATGCATTGGTTTGGAGGGATGGAGTCACCTGCCCATTGACAGAGGTACGGACGCATATATTGGAGTTGCTTTTGTTGAGCTGCGCTTTGTGTTTTCATGTGAATTGAGCCGCCGGAGTTGTAGCCGTCTAAGGAACGGCGGATCTCGTCTGGGGTTGGGAAAATTATCGAGTAGGTTGTTGGTTGTGTTGTTGGGTTGAGGGCTTTGAAGAAGACGTCTTTGAGCCATTTGTTTGTTTGGCCGAGGGTTGCTACTGAAGATGTCTTGGTTTTGTTGGAGGTTTGTTTCAGCATGCTTGTCTGGGGATACGTACCTGGATGACTATATGTGGTTTCTTGCCTGTGGTTTTCTGCCGGATGGGTATTTGGCTCATCAAGTCTTTCAGTGCAGGCCAGCCCCATAGTGTGTCCTCTTCTGAGCTGGAGTCACTGATGTGCTTTTTGGACGGGACACTAGCAATGAGGGCTGCGCGAATAGCGCCGAAGTCATAGCGGTCTAACTGCTGAACTAGCGGGCCGGTCTTTTTAGGTCCATATGCTTTCAGATAAGTTAGAAGATCCCTTTTGAACCGTGCGCCTGATCCGATTTTTGAGCCTGTCGGAGGTCCTGCTGAGCTTATTCTCTCTAGGGGAAGCAGTGGAGAGCACCAGGCGGCTTGTGTCATATTAGTCCAATCCATAGCGATCATGTTCGCAGTGTGGATAACGACTCTGTTGTTAATTGGTCAGATCTAGACCGAGCCATAGTGAACAATAAGCTTGGAAGAATCTTACTGAGCTAGGTCATCGTGCCGAAGAAGAATCATCATCTTGGAATGATGTGTCCCAAAAGGTTCCGGCATGTACGCCACAATAGGCTCAACATTAGGATATCGCGAACATGTTTCCTAGTAGCAGATTAGTCTCATTTCACCAAGCCCTCGGCCATTGATAAGATGTAGTCAAAGGGATGGAGTCCACCCAAACAAGTCTCGGTGCGAACATACCTCAATTCGAATCCGATTTGAATCCTCTCTCCTCCACGATCCATGCACAACCTTGACTTGCACAAGACCCCGGACATCTTCGTCAAACTGTGACATGAGGAAGTCCACATCGAAGAGGAAATTGAACTGCCAACATTCCCGGATCATGGGATCTCCGAGAATGTCGCGTAGTCGGATCGTGTCGACATTATTACCATTCGATAAATCACGAATATGGGTAAGCTGTACTGGCGAGTTGACGATCTTGGTAGGGCGAACAGTGTCTTCAGGCCCAGGAGTTAATCCGCTATCAGCCAGTCGGGGAGAGCCCCGTGGCAATGGTGGGCTAATGGCCCTGCTTAAAGACGTCAGGGGTGTAGTTGGCGAGTCATTATCGGAGTCTGATGAGATTCTCACTCTTTTGGAGGGGTGCTCCATTCAAATTCACTATGAGGGTAGTGGGTGAGTTGATGGTTGAAAGGCGGTCGAGACGTGCGATCGTGAGAGATACAAGTTGAAGTCTTCGAATATTTACATCGAATGTTATGCCACACTATTCTGTTACATGATACATCTAAATTTTCTGTTACTCTCATAATTCTAGCTGTTTTTTGGTCTCGAAGTATTGACCACAAAATTTTGTTTTAATTTACTTGCGAATCGCAAGCTTCTTGATCTCCTCCACAACCGCATCAGTGACCTGCTTCGTTGTGGCATTACCACCCAAGTCACGGGTAAGAACTCCCTGCTCGCATACATTCTCGACACAATCCAACAGTTGCTTGGAAGCCTCCTCTTCGCCGAGCCAAGCAAGCATCTCCGCAGCCGTCCAGAACGTGGCCACAGGGTTTGGGATACCCATACCAGTGATATCGAAAGCAGAGCCGTGAATGGGCTCGAACATACTGGGATACTCCCGTGTGGGGTCGAGGTTAGATGTAGGTGCGATACCAATCGATCCAGCCAGAGAGGCAGCGAGATCAGAGAGGATATCAGCGTGCTAGTTGATCGTCAGTCCATGGACCTAGATATGCATCATTTCTCATTTCGATAACTCACCAGATTAGTAGCAACGATGGTATCCAGGCTCTCGGGCTTCAGAACCATGCGAGTAGTCATAGCATCAACAAGCATCTTGTCCACAGTGACATCGGGGAAATCAGCAGCAACAAGCTTTGCCACTTCATCCCAGAGAACCATACCGTTGCGCTGCGCATTACTCTTAGTAACCACAGTCAACAACTTGCGCGGTCGCTTCTGAGCAGTCTCAAAGGCAAACCGCATAATCCTTTCCACGCCATGACGGGAGAAGATGGAAACCTCAGTCGCGACCTCCCATGGCTTTCCGGCGTGGGACCGGCCACCCTGACCCGCATACTCTCCTTCGCTGTTCTCACGGATAATCACCCAATCGAGGTCATTGGGGCCGCACTTGCGCAAAGGTGACTCAGTGCCGCGGAACACCCGTGTTGGGCGCACGTTCGCATACTGCTGGAACGTCTGGCAGATGGCGAGTCTTAGACCCCACAGAGAAATGTGATCGGGGACGTCTTCTCTCGTGTTTAGTATCATGTCTTGAAGGCATTGGGTGTATCAGCTTACCAGGAGCGCCGACGGCGCCGAAGAAAATCGCGTCATGCTTCTTAAGCTCCTCGAGTCCTCCATCGGGAATGTATTTGCCGGTCTTCTTGTAGGTCTCGGAGCTCCAATCATAGTTCTTGAAGTCCAACTTGAAGGTCTTGAGGGTATCGGTCAAGGCATTCAAAACAGTAATACCAGCATCGATAACCTCTGGACCAATTCCATCAGCTGGAATGGATGCGATGCTGTAGGTATTTTGGCTAGCGGACATGATATTGTAAGATTCTTGTTCGAGGTGATTTAGTTGGGTGAGGGCAGAAGACGAACTCGGCGCGTGCGAGAGCCTTTAAAGAAAACCGGGTGCTAGTTCCCGGATTTCAGTCTCCACATGCGACCTGCCATAGAGCTATCGCATAACCCCTCATCGCGAGCTCATTCGACTATCCAGTTGTCGCGGGGTGTAGGCGGAGATTCAAATGCCCGGGTTAGGCTAAACAGGGGGCCCCACTCGGACAAAGACAAGTCCGCGTGGCGAACAAGCCTGGTTCATATCAATGAGCTGAATTGGAAGTATTGGGAATGTTCTTCGTGCAGGACATGGCTATTACACATATCTTTCTTATAAATTATATATCCAAAATCACAATAAGTTATTGTGGATCATCCATGGGCCATCGGCCACACTCCATAAATCATTCATGGCCATAGATGATGAAAATGGCACAGAGTCTTGACCAGCAAAACTCGGATTAAAGGCAGGGTTTCCGTCACCCATGTTGCCGAAAATGAGACCGGCCGAAGACAGTCCACCGAGATAGTTCTCAGCAGGGTCTAACGCTTCGGCAAAGTTACCGATATTATCAGACGGCGAAAAAAGGGCAGAGTCGTAGTTTCCCGCAGGCCCAAGGCCTTGGGAAGGAGAGCGAATCGATGATTGAGACTGATGGAGTCCGGTAGAGTGTGAAAGGGCTTGAGGTCGAATTGGTGTGAGGCCTGTATCGACAATCTCATTATTTGCACCCTGAACCGGCAGCATTCGTGATATCCGTTTATCCGTCATTGGTGTAGCTTGGGCATGCGGTTGATTTGGTCTCTCGGTGCCGTTAAGTGTGACAGTAGCCTTGGATTGCTGGCCACTAGATGTTTGGGCCTCGAAAGCAGATTCCATGCCTTTGATCGCCTCGATGCAGGTCTCTGGCCAGCTGCTTCCACGTAATGATAGGTTCTCTAAAATGGCAATCCCCATTTTCGCATATTTGAGAGCAGTTGGCGTGGGGAATGCCTCTTCCCATGCTGCATACATCAGAATGAGACAGGCCATCCAAGTTGACCACGTAAAGCCTGGCCAGGAGAGCGAGGATCTTGGTTCGGAGGACATGTGCTTTTTCAGTGCCACAAGTATAGACCGAGAGGATCCAATACAAGTCTGCAATGCATTTTTATAATCTGCACTGGGATTCTCAGAGGCTAAAAGAGGTCGGTTGAGCGAGATGATAGCTTCATGCCTCAGGATCATTAGTAGTAGCCGGTGGTATGGCTGCAAGATCGGCTCTTGCTCTAGTTCAGCTTCGATAGGCTCATCAACCGGGTTGGCATCGTCATAAACTTCATTCCACCATTGCGCTAGTTCTCCAGTAACATGAGCCACTTCCACCTGGCTGGCGAGTCTGTGGGGAATGGATTTATTACGAAGCTCAACGATCAAACCTCGAATCCGCGCAAATTTCGCAAGGTGGCAGAGTAAACGCAACCTGTGATCATCGGGGAATTTGCCAGTTACTGAAGAATGCATCTCGGCACCGGGATAGCACACATCGATATCGTCATCTCGAATAGAGAGCGGAATGCCGAGGGCTTGAGAAAGATATCTTTCAAGCGAATAGATCGACCAGAATAATCGACAGCGGATGTCAGCTTCTTCGCTTTTAAAGCAAGAATAGCGTCTCGGGCAACGATGCAACCCGAGGTGGAATGCAGTGCGGGTGATGACACCCCCTACCCGCGAGGCGGCATTCAGACGCAAAAGAGATGTGAGCGCAAGTTGAGCGGTGAACGCTGCTTGTAGAAGTGGCAAGCTAGTTGGTTCTTCAAGGAGGTTTTGTACATCTCGCATCACATGCTGAATGGATCGAAAGACCAAGACAGAAGGAACGGGACCCAGCTTCAATCCGGACGGCGTTTTCTGTCGATTATCACCGAGAGAAATGGACACGATGGAGCGGAGAATCATCAATTCTAGTCGATTGATCGATTCTGTCCCCTTTTGGCTGACTGTCTCTATAGTTTTTAAGATTGTCGGAGCGTGGAGGCATGGGAAAATCGGATGCCAATTTTCGAAATAGCTGCGTGTCCACTTGACAAGATCGTCGAAAGCGAACAAGGTATCTGGTGCATAACTTAATTCCTCCCTTGCCCACAGCTCATCCGAGCTTTGGATGCTATCTGGATTTTGCTGTAGCCGGTCATCTTCCCCTGGCACTGAGGTTCTGTCACGAGCTCGTGATTGGTCCAAGTCTGCTGAACGACGTGCGAAGGCATGGTAAACATGACGGATAAAATGAATTCCACTTGAACTTCCAAGGAAGGTTGCAGTTCCATCATTTTGAGACTCTCTCATAAACCCAATTTCGCGAGCTGAGGGTCCCGAGGTACCTGCGGTGAAGGTGCGTTTGTGTCTTTTGGTTGCACGAGATGAATATGGCCATTCAGACTCATTTTCATCGAAGCGCGTGCTGGCAGGTGAAGCCGAAGCCATTATAGCTGTGACTTTATGTATCACATTATTTTTTTTAAATCGAGATATTGAAAGTCAAGTTCCCTAGTCCGTTTGGAAGAAATTAACTATGCCCCGTTTGGTTATTACGTCAGCGGCAGGCAGCCCAACCGGCCAATCATCAGATTCAGATCTATAAATTCGAAGGGGTTTTGTATCGAAGACTAAACTTCAAAGATTATATTATTTTATCAACATGTTTGAGCAATACGATTACTTTCTACTTCTATGACTCTTATGCTCCTAGTTTTCTCTAGAAGGCACCCTTTCCGGGAGTGCTATCTCCATTCAAAGCAGCACATCCCTGCTCAACATCCTCAGGTCGAAGCAACTTACTGTTGGAACCATGCCTGTAGGCAAGTCCAACCAGCGTTTTCTCTGCTAAATAGTTAGACCTATGAAGCTTGGAAAAATTGATCGGGAACTTACCATTAGGATTGTATCGGGGCCATCCGAACTTAGTCAAGCCCTCTTGAGGATCACTTGCGAATGCAACCCAGGCGGAAGCCATGTATCGGGCAAACTCATTTTCCCGCTTGCTGTTTGGAATTCCGCTGACATGCTCTGCAGTTCCGAACACCATAGGCAAGTCGACGCCGTGGTAACTTCCGCTCTTAGGATGCAAACGCAGGTTGTCCCAGTCGCCGAAGTAGTGGGACTGCCAGACCGGAACGCCATTGTCAACCCGATATCTTGCGGACGCACCACTAGGGCAAGTGAAAGCCGCATCGTTGAAGGTTTGCCATGCGGCATCACTAAGAGTGATATTTGCCTTGAATGCGCTGATACGATAGTAGCCAGGTTCGTAGTGGTTGCTGTTGATCAGATATGGCTAGGGCATGTTAGTATCTTTGTTGAATATGGAGCCAACTATACGGTGTTTACTTACCAGACGTGCGAATTGGCCTGCAGCAGATCGCTCGGCATAGTTGCCGAATACGGTAACTCCATCCACTGTCGGATGGAACACTGCCTGTGGAATGGCTGGCGAAGGTGCGGGCGGGACCTTGCCACCTGCCTTGACGACGTCTGCAAATGGCTTCTGGCGAACACACTTGACGACTTCTTCGGGGTCACTAGTCTCATCACCACAGCCGAGGAGCTTCGAAGCAGTGTAAAAGTAACTGGCGGACTCTTCAGCAGTGTTGGGTACAAAGCTGAGCGATGTTCCAGAATGCGAGATGAGACCGGCAACAAGGGGATCCTCTGCCCAGGCCTGTGAATAATAGTCGACGGCAGAGCCACCAGCAGACTGCCCAAAGATTGTGATGCGCGTTGGGTCTCCACCAAACGCGGCGATATTTCGATGGGCCCATTCCACTGCCATACGTTGATCCAGAAGTCCAACGTTTTGGGGAAGATTGGGTGCGCCAGAGAAACCAAGGATATTCAATCGGTAGCTGTTTTAATCAGTAACAGTGTGCAAATGCAGGGTGAAGAGAATAAACTGACTTTATGGTTACCACCACCACCTCGTGCTCGTCCGCCAACACCTGCCCATCATAGTATGGATTGTTGGCACCGCCTCCAGTGAATCCTTTGAGAAATGTTAATCATTTGAAAACAAAAGAGTCGAGATGAACATACGGCCACCGTGGAACCATAGCAGAACTGGCTTCAACTTGGAGACTGTGGGACGAGTCCACACATTCAAGAAAAGACAGTCTTCGCTCTGGGGAGTACCCAGGGCCTGGGTAAACGACTTGAAAATTCTAGGAGCCTGCGGAGTAAAGCCAGGATAATCTGGAACTGAGCCAGCATTTGCAGGACAATCACTAATTTTTGGTCAGTCATCTGCATTATCATAGTAAGAGCACAATATACGCACGGGCTCTGTTGATGATATAGTTAGCTACTTATACCACGGAACAAATAGAGAGATCTTACGTAGGCAGTTGCATGAATGGTGCCATTGGCATCATAAGCCACCGGAGCAGCAAATCGGAGGTCTCCAATTGGCGCCGAAGCATAGGGAATACCCAAATACTCAGAGACTGCAGGCCTGCGAGGGGCCGCGTGCCCCTCAATCAGTCCACTGCTGGTCACTACGGGGTCACCGACGTGATTATGCGGGTGACCTGGACATAACTGTCCCCAGGCTGCGGGGAGGCATGTAGCCAGCAACAGTGCAGATCCAATTGGATTCCAACCCACCATCATTTTCGAAATTATCAACAAGATTGAGGGAACAAGGCCAGGGCTGCGGAGGTTCCGAGACATATAAGGTTCGCGTATGTCGCATTGTGGAATCCACCATCTATCGCCAGGGGTTCCGAATATTCCGTTCGCTTAGTTGCGATACGATCGCCGATCGCGGCTTGAATTGGTATATTGGCAATCTACACCAGCTGCGTAGCTTGAGAAAACCGGGGGCCATAAGAATCCTTGGCGACTAATATGGAAGTTAGACATGACGATCTTTCCTATAGACCGGCTTTTTATTCGTTATACCCCATAATAAAAGTATGGTGTATAAAATAATGAGACCGGGATTTGTCAGGCGATCTCTTGTCGAGTCATATCATCAGATTTATAAGACATGAGCGCCCTTTTCACAGACTAATTCAACATCCCTGCATATGTGGAGAGTTTAAATGCTTACGCGGAAATTAAAACCAATTTGAGCAAGGCTTCTTTTCTTTGTTCGAGGGTTCTTTTTTGCTTCTTTATGCATATCCACGTGGAAAACCGCATTGTTATGTTGTACAATATAGATGGATCGGTTAGTGTCTAGCCAGATGTGTATTCGATCTACATCGAACCTATCTATATACCCACAAAAATCGCCTATAGCTCGATTGCCGGCGTTTCTCCAAGTTCTACCAAAGTTTGGACTACTCCATAATACTTTTTTGATTCGCTCTAGAGCCGAGACCATCAATATGTATGCCGCACATAGTTACATTGCCCCTACGGACTTTAATACCACCAATCTAAATTCATATACCTCTCTTCCCTATCTTCCGATGTCCGTCTAGCTTACCGGGCCAAGACTACTATCTGAGCGAGGATTTGCCTCGAACATCGTGGGGCCGCCCGCACCTGGCGATGTGATCGTCGGGGGCCATCGCAGTGCCGGGCTATCATAAAGAACCAGGCTTATTCCCTTTCCTTTCGCAAATTTGCACTAGCCAAATCAACGTGTTATGGCCTACGAAATCGGATTGAGTACACCTGATGTGCCCAATCGAGGGTTTCCGCTATGGATATGTAGTGTTGTGATGGTAATTGTTGCTGGTCTCTTCGTTTTGTCTAGACTTGCTATTCGATTCCATCACAGCCATTTAGGATCGGATGATTGGATGATTTTGGCATCACTGGTGGGTTGTTCTCGAAGCATGGGGATTATAATCAGAATATTGACATATGACAGATATGCTCAATTGTTCTCACAGTGACCGAGTGCTCTGGTAGGTTACGTTCCCATCAATATTTGTCCGCAGAACGCCTACTCATTCAAAATTAGCGGTACACTATGGATATGGAAAACATTCTAGAGATCTCACCCAAGATGATCGAGTGGCGGCACTCAAGTGGTTCTTTGGCGCGCAGATCGTATACAAGATTGTCATTGCTGTCAACAAACTCTCCTTCCTCTGCCTATACCTTCGAATATTTCCCCAGCGCATCTTCCGGTTAATCTGCTATTATGGATTGGGGGTGATCAGTATTTGGGGCGCGGCATACGTCTTCCTCACCATCTTCCAATGCAAACCCATCGCCTCGTTCTGGGATAAAACCCTCAAAACCCCGAAATGTCTGGACAAAGAGGGGTTGTGGATGTCTTATTCAGTTATCAACATGGTACTTGACCTGCTCATTCTCGCCCTACCTATATACCCCTTGAGTCAGTTACGGCTACAACGGTCGAAGAAGATTGGTCTCCTCGTGGTCTTCGGAATGGGAGCATTGTAAGTGCGGATACATTTTATACCTTCCGACAAACTGCTCATACATATAGTGTCTGCGTGACAACGATCATCCGGATTTCCACACTTATTCAATCTGCCACTGATGCGGATCCGACTAGTGAGTTTGCTTCCCGCCAGTACAATCCACGGTATATATAGGCTAACACGATCAGGCGGTCCTATTCCGGCCACCATCTGGAGCGTGGTTGAAGCAAACACTGGCATTATCTGCACTTGTCTACCAGTATTCCGGCATCCGCTCCAATTCTTCTTTCCACGTCTCTTCAACACCACCCAGCAAACTACCAATCCATATAGCCAACATAAGGCACGTCATGGGCCGCAAGCGAGTGGGTCCGAAAGAAACCTCACCGACAATGATTTATGGCATGATGATAGCCTGGAGATGGCGAGCCCAGGGATTGACAAGGAGAATGCCAAAGGTAGAATCATGACAACGACGCGCATAAACATCTCATATCAACAGGGCCAGGAATCGGATGCGTCATCACGACCGATACGCAGGGATTTTGAATGACATGGCGATGCATTTCGCTTATTAGAATAAAATTAATACATCTCCTTGTACTTACTATATAGTCTTGCTGCATTTTATGGTTGATAATATGGTGGGCATCACGTGCCTGCCAATGATGTTCCCGGAGGTTTCTTACTCCGAAACTTTCTCCAAGCAGCATCAACTATTCCCATGACGGTGGTAGTCTGATATCTGGTATCTCCGACGATTGCACTGCATTTTGGATTGTATGACCCTTTGATCAACAAATGGCGCAATTGCGATCGAAGCGGAAGGCACCTGGTGTCACCATGTCAGGTGTGGCCAGAATACCCCACATAAAAGCATAGATCGACTGACTCCGGAGATCACCAGAGAAGACCTTGAATCCAATTTCTTGCGAGCTATGCAGACAACGCAAATGCAAAGTATGTTTTTCTTTTGTAGCAGCAAGACAAAGTGCTGACCACTAAATGCATATGTAGTGTGATCGCACACTGTAAGATCAAAAATGGTTTCACATTTAAGTTCGATAGTTCCATTCCTAATCATTTGCACCATCAAGTCCGTTCTGTTCCCAATGCGCAGGTGAAACATCGAAATGTATCTACCCCGAGAGTGGTAAAAGGCAAGTACCCAAGTCTACATATTTATATATGCAGGTACCCGCGGGAAGCTAACTCATTGGCCCAGAGGCTTACCATTAGGATACTTGAACCAATTGGAAGATAGACTAGCAGAGACCGAGTCAGCCCTTTACGGGGCTTTGATGACCATCCGCTCGATGGGTCAATCGACAGCAGTACAAACCCCAGCACAGACGGATACCGCGCCGAAAACCAAGGCAGCCCGCATGGAAGAGTGGTCTCAGCTGCCCCTTCGAGAACGGCCCGATATGGAGCGTTGGCTGACGGCTATGTCGGCCCGGTTTACTATTGAGCAGCCAAATGACATGGTTTCGGACACATCGGGAGGTGGCTACGCGATTCCTAGGACTCCTATTCACGATACATCGCAGAACTTGGGAGATCAATCTCATTCCGGATCGGTCTCATATGCATGGGAACACAGGGACAACAGGGGCAGTTCGGGAAGTTCATACGATATACATCAGCCCATGCCGTCTGCAGGTAATTCCCCAGACGAAATAATCGGCGTCGAGGATGATGCCGGTGTCTCGGTGGGAGTGGAGACGGGACGGCCGAGCAAAGCTGAGAAGCTGTCACACAATAACCCGAGCCTTTATTTTTGAAATGACATGTCTTAAACATGTCCAACAATTATATTGAAGCCTCGCTCTTTCCTGATGAAGCCTAGGCTCTTTCCAAATCTACAGGCTACCATGTTGGTGTATGAACTTATAAGGGTTACCTATGGGTCACTGCCAGGTCTACTCTCTAGCGTAATCTCTCAGTTAAAGATTAGACATATTAGATGTTTACCTTATGATCTGGGTCGTATATTTAATACAGAAGTTAAATAAGAGGCTTTCAAGTTCTGGCTAGTTTTTTAAGCCCTGACTGGGAAATTAAAGAAGCGATCTCGTGAATATCTTGAGACACAAATTCTTCGACTTCGTCGTTCATCCGCCCCCAAAGATAGAACTTGTTGCTAGACAGGAAAATCGTGTGCCAGCCGTTATTATCCTCCATAACTGGCTGTCCTGGTTGGAGACTATAGGCTTGAGCAATTAGTTGACCTTCGGAGTCGGCGCCTATCCACTCTTCCTGACAATGAGGACTTGATGGGTTCGAGGTCCAGCCAGAGGGGATGGTAAACTGGCAATCCTTAGGCGACATGACCAAAGGAAGAGGGAGTCAGCCTATACTTCAGAGCGGAAGTTTTCGTAGGTGACTTGACAAGCGAGACCGCCACAGAAGGTGGAGTAGAAACTCTGGAGGGAGGCATTAATGCAACAGTGGACAGAGTTCCAGGAGCCCGCTTGTCAGGATTGTCAGTTGGTGAAAGGATCACCGGGATTAGGCGTAGGTCTGATGTAATTGTTAGTAGTTTATGCCAAGCCGAACCGCGACCACGTGCATGGATGCAAAAATAACAAACAAAACTATTATGGCCACCATCCTATTGTGGCAATCAATCCGATGAGCAGCAAGTGGACTGACCGCCTGGTACCACTCGGCTCAATGCCTCCATACAACATACCTTACAATTAAGGTGTGCAATGTATCTTAGATACTATTGATTGGACCATATATTACCCAAAACGACAGGTTTTGACATACCAAAAATGCCTGAGGCTTTAACCTTTATTCATCAAATCACGTGTATTAAACTTTCAAGGGTTTTAAGGGATCAGAATGGCTTTGTCAAGTGAAAGAAAAGCCTTCACAGCAAGGAGCAGTTTACGATATATGGGACACCGTACGGAGTACAACATACAATAGATTGCATGCAGGCTTCATTACATTGTAGGACCCTAGCGGGTTCACTCCACTCCACACAGTTTTCAGTGGAGTCTGAGATGAAGGGCTTAGAAGAATTTAAACACCAATACTCCACAGAAAATCCACCAGACTAGATAACGAGCAAGATTTCGATCTGGAATCCCAACCCCTCCAGACTTGATCAGCTACAAGTGCTCGCAACAAAACCACTTGACCTGAGAGTTCTTCCAGTTGGACTCTCTGATTGGACCATCTCTGGATTCGAACCAAACGGGTCACGGGGCACATACTTTGAACGTGGAACGGATACAAGTGGTTGATGAAACGCCCGTGCCTTCAGACTAAAAGCCCGGACCTGCATCCGTTTCAATTAGATTATATTCGGGGTAACATCGCATTACACAGTACGGGTCAGTTTTCAAGGGATAATATTCAGTACATGTAGGTGTTCACATGCAGACTTCCAAGGGTTAATATGGACCCGTGGACAGCGCAGATGGGACACGTCAAACAGGTACACAGGTACGGAGTACACATTTACTCCCTCCATACCCAGGCACATATCCGTACCCTGGAAAGATGACCCTGGAAGATGACCCTAGAAGATGGAACTGGAACTCGGAGATGTGTACAACATATCAAAAGAATAAATATAGGCGTAGTTCATATACCGAAGAGGCAAATACTAAAAGTTTGGATGAACCACTCTTAAGAACTCTGGGCCCTTGACAGAACTGTTGGGCTCCATCTTTTAGCCTCCCACTGGTCAGAGTAGTCAAACACTGGTGTAGCGCCCAAAATCCCCCGTAAGGAGGACCGGCCCCCCCCCCCTTCTCTCTTTCTTTTCCAACCTCCTTGGGATTGTGTGTGTGTGTGTGCCTTTGTTCCTTCATTCTCTCTTTCAATTCTTTAAGTCCGAGATACAAAGTGATCTGAGATCCTGGACTCCTTTCTTTATTTTCTTTTTATTCTCTTGTGCGCCACTCCTTAAGGACACAAGGCTATTTCCCTTTACATTTTGCTGCGCAAAATCAAAGGAACATTCATTTTGTGTTTCACCATAGAATTTGAAGATTCAAATCACACTGATCAAACCACACCGATCTGATATTGGACATTCCAGTTGAATCTAACATTCTTTCACCCCGCGATTGTCTTACCACGCGAGAGTCTCAACTACGAATTCGATCACAAAAGAGCGACCAGATTTTAAACACACATTGGATGTGTAAACCTATAAATCAATTTCCGACCGCACCGAAACGCTCTGCATTATTTTCAACTTGACCACTCCGAGTTCGCCATGTCAAACCTCTCGAGAGCATTCACCCGGCGCAATAAGCGCCCGGAAGTATCCGCACCTATGCCATATCGTGGCGAAGGGCACGTGCGACTCAACTCAGCAAGCATAAAGCGGAGCAATATATCTGGACCGGTCCAGCTGTTGTCCACAACCAACATGCTCGCTTACGACGCACCTGATATCAACCCAGTCAAATTAGCCAGCTCTTCATCTGCTTCATCGCTAGGATCGCGCGACGACTCGGACGCCGGGTTCTCTCCGCAAAGCTACGCATCTTCAATGTCTTCACCCGACATGTCTGCTCACGGAGGCTCTCCAATTGACGCAAACCCGATGGCGTCGTATTTCCCGAAGCGCACGGGTACGGTGACAAGCCACCCGCGCTCCTCCACTTCGTCTTCGTCAACTACAGATGCTCCGCTAGTGCCCAAGCGGGCTCTGTCCCACACCAAGCGGTCGCATCAGGAGCTCGCTCGCTCGCGCTCCATCTCTAGGATGTCCCCGCCCCCGCTGAACGCAACGCGCAGCACACCGACCATTCGTGAGACACAAGCATTCTTCCAGGCCGAGCCGCATCCATTCGGCAAAGAGCTAGAGCAGGTGAACGAGGTTGCAGAAGAATTTGGAGGCTTCAATATACTTGATGACGAAGAGCGGATTCTCTATTCCAAGGGGCTTAAGAAGTTCTCTGTCGAAGATTATCTTGTGGAAGTTGAAGAACTGTACGGCAGCATTTTTGAGGACACACGTGGACCTATGTGCACGTCATGGTTCTAATATAATTGCTGCCCCCACCCCGGTTGATCCGGGATGATCAACGACACGAGATTGCGGACTTGCAAGGACTGGATATTCCTTCGCCCGCCACGACAACCAACTATCATTCTTTCTTTTACGACTATTGCCCCTTGTTCTACGATACCATGGGAGGACCTTTTGCTCCCGCACTCCTGATTTTTGAATTTATTCCTTTTTTGCCGTAATAGACAGTCTTTTGTCGGTATTGATTTCTGTCTCATTTTGGGGTCAACTGCTTCATACGATCCTTTGACGAGACGTACAAAGTCTTTGTGTGAAGATTTTGGGGTCTTTGATTTGACTTTTTAGGTCATATGGAGTTTCATTGTTTCATTTGGAGCCTCGAATATATTCCAATCAACGCGTTCAAAAGTGTCTTCAAGAGTCGAACAAAGCAACACGTACGGAGTAGAAGATGATGTATAAAAAATGACAATTGAGCACACGATGACATAAGTCAATATTACCCAATTAGGTATAGCGTAGGGCTCACCGACACGGTCACGGGTGTTCCGCTGGGCTCCACAAGTGACCGAAGGAAAAGAAGGAAAAATTTCGCTTTGCTTTGGATCCAGATCCAGCAACTTGACCATTCTGTCTGCATCCGATTTTATTTATCTCAAGCAACTGGACCTCCACGGATGCAGACAGACTGTTGCCATTTCCTCCTATTCCAATCTGTAGCAAAGCCCCAAGACCTCGACGTGAAAAAGTGTCGTGTGCTTGGACCAGGTTTTGATAAGCTCCCGACATTGAATCGGAAGTCCACTGGATTTGATTTCTGCCGGAGTGCAGAGAAGCAAATGTCCATACTGGCTTCTGCTTAGAACCTGTCCTACATCCCTTCTTCCTCACATTCGGCCATGGTCTCCCTTGCCACGACCTCACGCAAACCGGCGGTACAGGCCACACCCACGCTATCTCGATCCAAAATGCTTCCGACTTCCTCCCCAGTCCCGATTCTCAAAACCTCGAAAGCTCCTCCCGTGGTCGCCGGCTCGAAACGCAGAATGAGCGAAATGGACCTCCCCCCCTCCCCTTCCTCATCCCAGGCCGATGACGCGACCGAAGACCTTCCTCCCAATAGGAAGCGACCCCGCGTCCAGTTTGATCAAGATGTGATGGTACATGATGCTAGCTTGTCGGAGAAGAGTCTGGCAGTCATTCGGGAAGAGGTCCGTGGGGCTATCCACCGACATGTCACAATGTCAGAAAGTGAAGGCTACGACCGAATCAAGGGAATCTTTTCAGCCGATCCAAAAAAGCAAGGCGACGACAGCCTGCTTGCATATGAATCGCCAACGCACACCTCTTTGCGGAACTATCTCCTTGGTCTGATTTCCCATGTTGCCTCATTGGACCGCTCTTGCAGCGGGTTGGTCCATGCGATCATCAACAGCGAGTGGCTTGGACGGGACGAATCCTACGTCAAGCTGTACACCCGGTTCCTAGGCAACCTTGCTGCTGCACATGGTACTTTCATGGGTCCTGTCTTGAAGATGTTGGCCACCAATCTCGGGTCCCTCCCTCGAGGAACCGGTCGACTGCCCGGTTACGCCGTTGTTTCACAATCCGAAATGCACACTCGCGTCCACATGGCAATGCGCCACCTGCTACGACTCATCCCGGCTGGTAGTGGATCACTCTCCCCGATTCTATCTACTCAGTTCCCCATCGACTCCGATCTTGCTAGCGCGAACATCGCCTACACCCGCAATCTCATTCAAATCATCACCTACGCCCCAGAGCTTCAGTCCGATATCCTCGCTCTGATCACCGAGAAACTTGTCAAGGTCGACGTTGAAATCCAGGTTGATATGGAGGACTTTGAAGAGGATGTTGACGATGAAATCTTACAGACTGATGATCAGGAGATTGATGATGATGCTTCCTCGGTTGCCAGCGATGAATCAGAAGATGAAGATGACGACACCAAGGGGGCTAAAAAGATCAAGGACAACATTCTTAAAGTGGATGGGATGATTGATATCCTCTTTGAATACTTTTCTCCCCCATTCACGTCGGGCACTCTGGACGATAAGGAGAATGCGTTGGATCTCCTCCTCAGCCACTTCCAAACGATCATTCTTCCTACATACCGATCCCGTCACTCCCAATTCCTCTTGTTCCATTTCTCCCAGGTCTCCCCTGTCCTTGTCGACCGCTTTGCGTCCACATTTGTGCAGCTTATCTTCAACAAGTTACAGCCTGCCATCCTTCGCCAATCAGCAGCCGCATACCTGGCCAGCTTTGTTGCACGTGGTGCCCACATCTCTGGAGAAGTAGTCCGCGACGTTTTCGATCTCCTCTTGACACACCTGAACAGCCTACGCATGGACTACGAGGACAGCTGCCGTGGTCCAGATCTGCGTCGCTACGGACCTTTCTACTCTACCGCGCAGGCTCTGCTGTATATCTTCTGTTTCCGGTGGCGCGATCTTACAACTGCTGCCATTGATGGTGATACTGCGGACCAGGTGGACGAGCTTGAGCCGGGCCAGATCGTATTCCCTCCCAACATCAAAGAATTCCTTCACAAATGTATCTATTCACGACTGAACCCGCTCAAGGTCTGCTCCCCGGCCATCGTCGCCGAGTTCGCTCGCATCGCACATCACTTCCAATTCCTATACATCTATCCTCTCCTTGAGACCAACAAGCGCATTCGGGTCACTGCCTTCAGGAGCATTTCCACTATGTCTGACCCTCGCTTCAGCCACGTGGGCCGCGAGATCCGCGCCGGTGATAACATCGGCTATCAACTGGATGCATACTTCCCATTCGATCCCTACCAGCTTCCCCGCAGTCGTCGCTGGCTGGAGGGCGACTACGTCGAGTGGCGCGGCATTCCAGGTCTCGACGACGCGAATGAGTCAGACAGCGGAGCTGACGAGTCCGATGATGACTCCGGTGAGGATGTCACTGAGACTGATGATGAGTGAATAGGATATGATGTTTCTTTCTCGAATCAGGACTTGATTTTCGGTTCGATTTTTTTGTTACTTCAGCGTGGCGTCTGGGATTTCCACCAATCTTTGCGATCTTTTGATCTTGTTTTTTTTTTTCACAAAAAGTTCCCGGCTTCTTATATGACTGATGATATCGTTCTTGAGCGCGGAACTATCCGGTGGAATCCCTGAGAAATTTCTACCTCGTGTACTACCATTGAATCTAGCTGTTCAAAAAAATGGGAAATAATTACATGAAATTTCGTGATATCTTCTAACTAATAAATCATATGGCTCTGTTGTGCATTAATGGTACATATCCCTCACATCTCACCACCATTGTGATTCCTCCAAGTCCCGGCATAATGATGCTCGACCAATGCAGGGCCAATCGTCTCATTGCCATAATAATTCGTCAAAGCAGCGAATGAATAGCCCGGCAAGATCAAAACATCCTCAACCAAAACAGGCTCCAAGAGGTTCGAGATACTCGCCATATCAACCGTCTCATTGCGAGCCAATTCCAAGCTCTTGAAAACCCCCCTCGTCAACCGCCTCGGCCCCGTAAAGTCAACCACATTACCCGTCATATCCAAAGTCAACTCCGAAACCTGAACCCCATACTCCTCCGTCTTCAGACGAATCCCCTCCATAATATCCTCAATAACCACCAATAGATGCGACGACCTAGGAGCCGCCATTATCGCCCAACTCTCAAACTGCCGAAAGAACCCTTCCCCCCATCCAACATCAAACTCCCACCCAACAACAAGCCTAGCTTTCGCGCGCATTGTATTGGGAATCCATTCTCTAATGGGTACATCACCACACGAGACATCAAGATCAAACCAGATGCCACCTTCATTGAAAAGAAGTAGATAGCGCAGGAAATCGGCTTTCAGAATCGGCACCGCGAGAGAAAGGTATGTGGCGACGATATCGGGACGATAAGCGAAATTGGTTCGCACATATTCATCGCCCGTGAGGTCTGTCATGATCTGCGCGCTATGAGCTGGGTTTTTGTGGAGACATTCGTCCATCCAGGAGTGTGACTGGTCGCTCAATCCTTTAGGCCCGGTTTTGTACCAGATCTTCTCTGGGATCTGCGGTGATGGCATTTGGAGATCCTCTCTGGATACATCATGAGAGTGCTTTTCTGGTGTCGCTAGTCTCATTGGGTGATAATAGAGGATGAAGAAGAGACATGATAGGATCACTATGCTTGCCGTTGAGAATTTTGTAAATGTCTGCCCCTGAGCGAGCATGGCGATGATGAAATTGTCAAGAGAGGGAATAATACATATAGCATATACTCCGTATGCCGGGAAATGCTGTCCTGGGCTATGACTGAGGGCCTTGGATCTTCATTGCGATATTGTTTTCCCCTGAACGGGTTTTTTTTCAAGCCCTATTTTTGAGCGAGACTTTTATAAAGAACGCCACTTTAAGCGACAAAATCACTTGGGGAAATGGAATTCGCTTCTATTCGTTGGATAAGAAAAAAAGGAAATTGGCTTGTTAGTCTCTTAGTCTCCACCTATAGCAGAATCTGTTTCCTTTGAATGGTGTCCATATTGGAGACTAGCGTTTTTGAGGCTGATTGTGGAGGTCCGAGTGGAATTTCTTTCCTATTCTCGATGATGCCTTCGAAACAAAGACATTGCTTTCTATATTAACTCCTTATATTTCCATTGAAATAAGATATAGATACTCTCGGCATCTATCTTCCCCACGTTGCAAGCTTTATAGAAGTGGAACAAGACAGGAAGTATATATATCGAAGACATGGAAGAGGTGGGATAGGAACAATTGGAGTTTGAAACTGAAGAAGAATCGCTATTCATAATTCATCTATGGGAAGTATACCAGATTAAAGACAAGATATTGCTTCGAAGAGTTATCTGCTCATCCAAGGTACACCCCTAAAGGGAAATCGAGGATGGCGCCGAACCGAGTAGCGATAGAACCAAGACCGACGACTGTAACAGCCACAGAGAGCCATATAGCAATTGTCGACGAGATGTCCATTGTGATTTCGGCTAACCAACCCGCGATCTGTTAGGAATGAATGAGGGTGCATAATAGCCGTTCTTTTTGAAGTCAACGGGATATTTATAAATGGGACGTCGTCAAAGTTGCATTTTGGGAAGGTATGAATGGGTATACCGTAGTACTCGCCTTTTTGCTTCTCGACAGGCTCTCTCATATTGAAATAGGTCAAGCAGAGCCCCGTTCATGTGTTTGCTCACCGAGGCTGTCTCATGCAGGTATGCGAACAGACATGTCTAATCACTTCTTTCTATGTACGTTGATGTACGTCGATGTACATTGTGCCTGTGCCTAGTGGCGGTTAAACATCCCTGTGTCGATGTAAAGAGATTTATTTGGCCTACTGAGGCTCATACCCACTGGCTGCACTTATTTCTTATTGGAATATTTCCCAATTCAGTAGAGTTGATCGTCTACTCATATCAACCAATAGGAATTGAAATCAAAACTTTGGGGTTATGGATCGCCATATCCCCGGACTCTTTCCGCCAGGGCATTCACATAGCGCTTAGCCCTACATATTGATTAGAAAAGCTACATACATACTCGAATATCGGTAAAAATTAGTGTCAAAACGTGGTCATTAGACATGCTAGTTCTATATCAATTGCGCCTTTTTGCCCCTCATTGAGCAAATTCGGCGATACCGGAGCGCGGGGAAGTTGCCCCTCACAACGCGCTTACGCGCTCCTGAGCTCTCCTTGTCACTCTCCACTTCTACCTACATTGCAGATTCTAATTACAGCCAATTTCAATCAGATGTGAGTTTCGACTTGTATTGATCAATCACAACCAAATTAATAAAGTATATGCAGTGTTGCGATCTTCACAATGGATGAGAACATCCCCAAACATGCCTCGAAAGGTACGGATCGACAGGGCAATCTGAAACCCCGCGATATGTCTCAGTATGATAACGATTCTCAGTTTGGACCACGCTCATAACAAATACTGCGTACCTGTCTGGCCTTTTGACACTTGAATACTCTCTCAGAAGGGTGGGCTCAAAGTATCCGCTTGTTGTTCTCTACACAGACTCATTCCCCGCCGAGGGCCACAAAGCCCTTGATGCCCGGAATATCTTGAAGCGCCATGTACCGTATCTCCTTCCGTCAGCTCCTAAGGACTTCACCAACGATGTACGGTTCTACGATTGTTGGAGCAAACTCACCCCGTTCTCACTCGTCGAATATGACCGTGTCGTGCAACTTGATAGCGACATGCTCGTCCTTCAAAATATGGATGAATTAATGGATCTCGAATTGGACCCGCCAGAGATGGCTGGAAACGGAGATCGAGTCTTTGCCGCTAGCCATGCTTGTACCTGCAATCCGCTTCATAAACCTCACTATCCAGCAAACTGGTAAGACCGACCCTCTCCCCGGAGCCAGGAATCATTCAAGCGCAAATTACAGCTTAGCTAATTCGACGACTCTCAAAGGATTCCGGCCAATTGCGCCTATAGTAAGCAGCATGAGAATCCGGACATCGCACAAACAGTCGGCGCTCCAGCTACTTCAGGATTGGGGATACCCAATGGAGGCCTGCAGGTGGTCAACCCAGCTCAGGCAACATATGAGAAAATTACTGGACAGCTTGCCACTTCTACAACATCGAGTTATGACTTTGCTGATCAATCCCTTCTTGGTGATCTGTTTTATGGTCGCTGGGTTGCACTCCCATATATATACAACGCACTCAAGACCATGCGAGCGGAAGGTGTACATGGCACTATATGGCGCGATGAGAATGTTAAAAATGTACATTACATTCTCAGCCCGAAGCCGTGGGATGATCTCGCAGAGAAACAGGATCAAGATCCAACGCACCCATGGTGGACATCGTTGAATGAAAAGAGGTGGAGCGAGGAGCAGAAGGCAGGCACAAGGGATCAATTCTGAGCTGTCTGTTTAAGAATTAACCACTGATCTCGGTTTATTGTATTCCATATTCATATGCATCAAATATCCCATTCGTTGGGGATTTCAACAGTACAATCACCCAGTGGTGTGTATACATTTATTTACTCTGGCCTCTCGTAGTAACGACAGCCGTGACTATTCTTGTGTTGCAAGCTGGTAATTTTACTTTTGGACTTTATACGAAGTGATAATTATACACGCAAAATAATCGACAGTTCATCCCTCGGTCTCCTTAACAGACCGCTCAAGATCGGGCACCTTTCTTTTCCCAACACCAAGTTTCTTCCGAAAGTTCAAGGCTCTCACACGGTATGCTCGCTTTCGCCTCCGCCGGGGATAGTTGACTGGACTCTCACCACCAGTAAAGATAGCCATATCATAGACCAAGGCGCCAAACAATGCACCGGTGATGTCTGCGACCCATGGCCCCCAGACCCACCATGCATGATATTCTCTGAAGATCTTACCACCCCATCCAGCCATGAGGGCAACAAGTCGAGGGCCAAAGTCTCGTGCACCGTTGAAACAACTAGAGAAGACGGACAATTAGCATCAAACGCATGGGATCGGGAACTAGAAATCGGACACATACCCTCCGGTGTTATACCCAAGTGCAAGGACTATAATACTGATGATAATCCCAATAATGAAAGCCTGCATTCCCGCTCCTGGAGGAGCATTCGTATCATCTCCCAGAGCGAGAATAGAGCCAACCAAGATTGCGCTTCCCAAAAACTCCGTGAAGAACGCAGTCGCAGGTTTGACAAACGGTTTCGGTAACGTGAGGAGCGCCTGGGCGGCGACGCTCGCATTCTGAGGCACTTTGGCTACTTTGGTGACTTCAACAATGGCGTCATGGTATATCGCGTATGATATACCGCCTGCGGTGATAGCACCGAGGAGTTGTGCAGCAATGTAAATTGCGCATTTACGCGCAGGGAATCCACGGAACGCAGATAGCGTGATTGAGATGGCTGGGTTTAAATGGCCACCAGACATACCTCCAGTGGTGTAGATAGCTGCCATGAATCCAAAGCCCCAGGCGGCGCTTTGAGCAGGATATGATCCGGCTTGGCCGGAGGATGTAAAGTTCGATAAGGTGGCGCAAAGACCGATTGTCATTGCCATAGTTGTCTGCAAAAGATATTAGTAAATCAATATGTTTTTGGGGCCATATTGAAAACTTACGCCGAGCCATTCAGCCAGCGGTTCGCGAAGATGGTGACGGATTTTCGACCAAGTATTGAAAAACTCGTCTTCTTTCGGATCGTTGACTTTCTTCTTTCGATTTTCCACCGATTTTTGTTTCTGAACTTCATCCATGTGTGCTAGATCCTGGCCGTTCTCTGCCATAGGAGCTTGATCCTCCCGTCGATCCTCTGGTAAGGCGCCATGACGCATGCCAGGTCGGAGAATATGAGGGAGTGGCTGGGCTAGACTCCATGTCGGGCTATCGCCTTCTTTGCCCTTGTGGAATTGAGAACTGTACTGTTCGTACTCTTGATTTGTATATCCACGGTTGTTGCTTGGATTCTGTGCGCCAGAGCCCGCTAAACTGTATGATGGGACGTTTCCAAGGCCATCATTCTTACTTCCTTCTTCTTGTGTTCCCTCTTGTTGCTCGCGTTCGGGAGCTTCCACGGTGTCTATCGCGATATTAGCGTTATTGCTGTTTCGCAATCTCTTTGAACCGTTTATCATACCTTGGACTCCGACATCCTGGTCGGATTCCCTGAAGGGTCCCATCGTGAAAAGGAATATGAAAGGAAACAATGCACGAGGTTAAGCAAAGAAAATTAGAAAAAAAAAAGGTATGGACTCGTTCCAGTCGATATATAAATCAGTTTTTAAAGTGTCAAAAGCTTGATTCTAAACGTAAAGGGTGGAGAAGAGACGGTTAACTCCACTCTTTCGTCACCGTTGATCCCTTGAACCCTCCAGATTCTTTATATCAGGGAAAGTCCATGCCAAGGAATAAAAATTCTATACATCAGTTAATTGGTGGATGATATTCCACAAGTATTCCTCTGCTTCCATTATTATAAGATCTATACAAAATACAGAGTGAAGCGAGACTTCGCACAACACTCCGCATATAGCCTTTAGACTTCTATACAATTATCATATATATACACACCTAAATCCCTCTCTTGTACATGGGTTACATCAAGTATACAAACCATGCCTATATTCAATAAAGTCATGAGTCCTCGTAAACTATGACACGGTGATATCTCGGGATCTTGAAAATACCTTGCCCTGCCATGTGGCGATATTACGATATTACCTCACGTCAAGCGGCTAGAAAGGGCTATTGGATTTGGTTCCGCCAATAGCAATCAACCCGCCACCTGAGCCGCTATAGGCACATCTAGACGAACTCCCAAGTATTACTACATTCGGCGAGCCCCTTATGGAATGCCGAGAAGTCAGTTTTTCCTGTTCCGGCTTGCAAAATGCTTCCAAGGTTGCTTTCTCACCTGAACGATTGGGTCATACCCTCCTTTTCATTCGTCCCCGAAGCTTCCAGAAACTTGCTTCTTTAGACCTGCATTAAATCCGGAGTCAACATACCATACCAAAAGGTTATACTTGGAAAAGTCGTTTGCACAAATAAAGCCTTTTCCCACCTTTTTTTTTTGCCGTCAACCTATAAAATTGACAAGACTACTAAAGAGACCACTGAAAGACCACTGAAAAGACATCACAAAGCCGCTTTTACGGCTGACTATTCTTGTAAGCATATAAATTCCCTCTCAACCATTCCATCTTTTATCCTAGTGCCACTTCGAAGAGACTACGATGATGGCCACGCACCGTTGTTAACGGGTAGTCGCTAGCTCCTGGGGCGGTTTCCCAGCAGCCGAGAGCTCACTAGGAGGAGAATAAACGGGTGCCTGCCTCTGCACATCCCACTGCGCCGCAGCAGCCTGGGATTGGAGTCCTGCCATCGTAGCCTGAACAGAGAGACGTTTTCTCCGTTCGAATAACGCCCAGCCCAACGCAGTGAGAAGCAGGACTCCTAGGGGGATCCCCACTCCGGCTCCAATCGCGACATCATTGTTACCTTTCCCATCCTTGTTCTCGCTGCTTGGTGTTGTTGAGGCTGTAGGACATGTAGTTGTGTTCGAAGGCGAAGTGGAGTTTGAGCTATCACCACCATAAGTGTAATTGGTGAGTGCAGCCTTGTCCCAAACCAAATCCCCACGATCGAGGGTGAAGGGGGAGCCAGCGTAACAAGTAAGCTCGTTTGACGGACCGACCATGATGGAGTTGGGGCAATAGTAGGATTTCCTATCCTTGACATGATGCAAGGGTAGCACACACCCTTTATTGCGCATATCTTTCGCTGAACCAGGAAAATAGCCGTTAGCTTTGAAGCAGGGAATCGAATTTGGTAAGATTGGCTTACCCTCAGAACATCTATCGTCGCATCCCCCGTCAATTGGCCACTTCTTATTGGTACAGCTACCTCGACTCAGCGCGAATGGTTGTGTGAGTCCATAGCAAAGTCCATTGCTAAGACAAATTGCATCTTTGGAGCAACATGGTGAGTCCGTGTCACGCGAGAAACAAGGGACATCATCGATCGCGATATCCCCGCTAGGATAATAGCATGTCTTGTCCGCTGTGACCAGGGATGCTAATAAGGAGAGAGGGAGAAGGGTATAGAGGAACATTGCCAGATAAAGGAATGTCGAAGCAGCTGAAGGAATATTCTACAGTTCCATCATTGAAAAACCAGGGAGGCACCACCAAGCTAGAGCCGCATTTTGGTCTAAGCCATAAAGAGACACGGGAAATGACAAATAGGGATCAACATTTTAAGCGACGCTGTGATCAATCGGTCTCTTTTGAGTCAGTTCATAGACCAATAGTGGTATATATTGTGGAGGAAAAAGCGGAGAAGGCACGGGAAGAATTTTGGGGGCCATGTAGATCCGAGGTATGAAATCCTCTATGTTGTATATTGAAAGATATCAGCAGTTACTTGCTCATTCTTTTTGAGCCTTTAAATATACCCGCAGATCTGGTTTGATACAGTCGATGCTTGAGATACCGCAACCGTATAGATGATACTACAGTGATCGACATTGACCGAGAACCAGTGGAGACTTCGATATGTAAATTGATATGTAAACATTCTTATATTCATCCAATCTTGAAAAAGCATACCGAAGTAGACAACTTACACCAGTTTGGCAATTTCAACACATTGCGATTGGGAGAATACCCGCCTTTACCCCAATAGTGGAGTATACCGAGTTCAACATGATTGTTGTACTCCGTAGAATCTGCTGAGACTACTGGGATAACTGGGCCTGATATACAGCACCAGCTGCAAAGCCAGATGTGTTCTTCTTGGGGTTTGTTGCTGATCGCGAAGGCTGACCTGAAAGCCCTAGGATGACCAGGTTATAATCCTGAAGATGAGCACACGGATTCGATCAAGATGCTCTATCCCCTGATATTCCTTGAGACTTGCTAACATCGGCCATAGTAATCGTCCCACCATTTATTTCGTAGGTACGAAAGATTTCGCTCAGCAGTGTGCAGCTTTACTGACACAAATATGAGTCGATTCAATATTGCTAATGCCAGCTGCTTCCATGCGAGGGTGTGTTTAGGCTATTTTTGCCCTGCATGTGTATTGTATTGAAACCTAGAATGGATCATTAGACCTCGGCAAGATCTGAGCACCAAAACAAAAAGGAAGGTCCTGACTGACATTCGATACTCCGAGCATCGCACCCCGTACTTTTGTGCGGATGCGGCGTTGCCGTTCCGAAGTGGGCCTCCCGAGGTTCCAAGGTCGGCATCAGCCCACTAAGCTTTCAATATTGCCCACCTGGCCCCGGGCCGAGGTGTATGAATATTATATGATTTCAGCCAATGCGATCTGAGACAGCTACAGCGATACTTAATCTACATAGTATGTTGTATGTATACAATATGAGGCTCATAAAATGCGAGTTGGATGAACATATCAAACGCTATAGACCAGCAGACGCCGTGAATGCCAGTAGTTCAAACGCCAATGTCCCAGAGTGCTAAAAAGAAACTAAGAATAATACATGAAAAGTGAAGCAAATCGATCACCGATCACCGATCACCGGTCGAAGATGGCCTTCATATCCGCGCAGGCATCGCGGTATAAAACGTCCACGCTGTTTTGGTCCCGCCACGGATTGGGTGACTTGTCCCACGCATGTCGGGCTCTCTCGATTAGCATAGCACGGGGGCGTTTACCAAGGCCCTCTAAGCGACGAACAAAAGCTTGGCCCTCCTTCATCAACATGTCCCACTCGCAGATAAAGAAAAATACGTCGCGGGGAAGAGCTTCAGACAAGATACGGTCAGATGCGTGCACTGGAGAGGCATATGGAGAGGAACGTTCAGCCAGATCAGGAAGATATGACTCATCAAAGAGGGTGGTGAAAAATGCAGGGAGAGTCTTGTCCGGCATCAGACTCATAGCACGACGGTGGTCGCGAGATTCTTCAAAGTCCAGAATCGGGTACCAGCAAAATAACGCAACGATGTTGAGATCGCTGACCTGATTGAGTAGATTTTGTGTAGATTCAGCTCGACCCAGATGCTCCTTCACTTCCGTGGAAAGTCGGCCACGCAGCCGCAAGGGCACCGTGACAGCGAGGTTGCCGCCTGCCGAGAAGCCGCTCAGCGCCACACGGCTCACGTCTAATCCCAGTTCGCCGGCATGTGTTGCGAGATATAATAGTGCCTCGACTCCATCGTCTACTGCCGCAGGGAAAGGGTGCTCCGGGGCTCGTCGGTAGCTGACACTCACCATTACGGCCCCGACATTGTCCAGCACTATTTTGGCCCAACGAGAATCATCCGTAGCAGCGCCAAGTGTGAAACCACCACCGTGGAAGTTGACGGCGACAGGGAAGCGATGGCCAAGTCTTCGTTGTTCGTGGTAATTTGGTGGACAGTAGAAGTGAAGGACGACGGGATGGCAATCAGAGTCGGAGTTAATGGTACGGGTAAATAACGGTCGGGGGGGTCTGGGAGGGCCGATCTCGTGGAAGAACATGCCGATGCGCATCAAAAACCGCCAAAAGATGGCCTGCACATATAGCCACCAACGAGAGGACGCCATGATGCTGCGGGAAATAACGTTCGTCCTACTGAACTTGCATGCGTATCGGAGTGACCCGGATCTGCCGAAGGTGATAAGACGCGGCAAGGCGGAAAGACCGTAAGCACCCGAAATATTGAGATTGGAAGAAGAATTGAAATCGCCGAGTAGATGAAAAGAACAATCTCGGGAGTCCTAGATAAAAGAGAGACAAATCGTCGGAGTAATAGGAACTCAATGCAACGTAAGATGCGAAGCAATGGTCAGTTTTGCTGGGCTCCATACCAAGAAAAGCAGGGTTTCTTGGTATTGGATGATGTCATCGCACCTTGTGGCCCTTCAGGGCTATTCAGGGCTTGTCACGGGCTTGAAATTTTTGATTAGAATTCTTCTAACTCTTTATTGACTAGTATTATAACTATATCAAGTTATATATCCGAGTCCGTTCCTGTTTCGCGATCTTTTTACCTCCAGAGTTTCCAAGATTTGAGACAATTGGATCGCCCGCTCCGGGCCCCCACCCTCTTCCTTATATATACAAGCTCCCTCTTACTTTCTCTTTTCCCATTCCTCATAAAACTTACATTATGTCGATTAAACGCGCCCTCTCCAAGGCCATCAGAGGACACATGGGAGGTGATGACGACTCCTCCGGTTCCAATATTCACTCTGCCCTGCCAGCCAAAGTTCGTTCCGCCCAATCTCGGTCCGGTTCCCCCACCGCATCCCCTCGTCGCAGCATTCTCAGCACCTTCCTACGTGATAAGAATGAGTATGTCTCTTCATCCGATGATGTCTCTGACGATTCCTCTACTGGCGCCTTGAGCAAAAACCAACAAAAGCGGTTGGTGCGTCAGCATCGTCGTAGCGAGCGCAGTCGTCTCAGCGAGGAGATGTTCTCCGAGACCGACCATCGCCGCAAGGAGGAGGAGATTGCCAAAGCCGCAGCCGAGGAGACAGCAGATATGAAAGCTCGATATGGCGAACTGCCCTTGATGCAGTCGGCCACTCGATCACGAGAATTGCGGACCCGTATTGATGACATATCTCTTTCCATGGAGGGACAGAAAGTGTTTTTCAGCGCACGGCTGCACGTCATCCGTCGAATGAGTGCCAAACTAGTGTTCCTGGTATTTCGCCAGCAGTTAGGTACCTTCCAGGGTGTTCTACATGAACGGGAGGGGGTCTCGTCTCTCGCCATGATCCAATGGGTAGAGCACCTCAGGGTGGGCTCTTTTGTCACGGTTCGCGGCACTATACAGAAACCTGAGGTTCCAGTGATGGGCTGCTCAATTCATGATGTCGAGCTAGCCGTTGACTCGGTTCACCTCCAGGTTCGCCGCGAGGAACCTGTTCCCTTCAGCGTCTACGAGGCAGAGATTCGGACTACCGAAGAAAACAAGGCCGAGGGCCGCCGCAATCATATTCCTGACCGTACACGTTTGGCCAACCGAATTCTTGACCTGCGAACGGCAACCTCGCAGTCCATCTTCCGTATTCAGTCGGCGACCTGTAATCTTTTCCGGTCTGCCCTCGACGACCGCGAGTTTATCGAAATCCATACCCCGAAGCTACAAGGCGCAGCTACCGAGTCTGGAGCGAGTGTCTTCCAGGTCAACTATTTTGGCCGCCCTGCATTCCTTGCTCAGTCTCCTCAATTGGCGAAACAGATGGCTATTGCGGCAGATTTCGGCCGTGTCTACGAGATTGGCGCCGTTTTCCGTGCCGAAAACTCCAATACTCACCGTCATCTCACAGAATATACTGGATTGGATCTTGAGATGGCTATTGAGGAACACTACCATGAGATGCTTGAGACCCTTGATGCTGTCATCAAAAATATTCTTAAGGGTATCTACACCAAGCACCGCCGGGAGGTTGAGCTTGTCAGGGATCAATTCCCCTCTGAAGATGTTGTATGGCTAGAACAGACGCCAATTATTCGTTTTACCGATGGTATCAAGATGCTGAACGATTCGGGCTGGTTGAATGAAGACGGCGAGCCGCTACCTATGGATGAGGATTTGGGTACCCGTGATGAGATTCGCCTGGGTGAGCTTGTCAAGGAGCAATATGGCACCGATTACTACGTCCTTGACAAATTCCCTCGTGGCGCACGTCCCTTCTATACGATGCCCGATGCTGAAGACGACAAGTACACAAACTCGTTTGACATGTTTATTCGTGGACAGGAGATCGTCTCGGGTGGTCAACGTATCCACGATCCCCACATGCTCGAAGAAAACATGCGTCGTGTGGGCATCAACCCGGATGATATGGAGGAGTATCTTGAGGGCTTCCGCTGGGGCGCCCCGCCTCATGCGGGCGCAGGAGTTGGTCTGGAACGTATCGTGATGCTTATCCTTAAGCTGGGCAACATCCGGCTGACATCAATGTTCCATCGCGACCCCAAGAGTTTGCCAGCGAAGCCTGTCTCTGAACAGCTCCGCCACCCAGAATCGTCGACCATCGAACCGCCGTGGCAACGTGAGCACAAAGCTCGGGTGGCTACTGACCCCAGTGAGCTGCAACCCCTGGAACATCTGGTGGCCAACTACGGCGATGCCACATCAACCTCCTGGTTTGATGACCGCTTTAAGATATGGCGTGATATGGCAACTGGTGCAGCCGTTGCCTACGTGCCTAGCTCTAACAACTACGCAATTATTCCCGGTAACCCGGCCTGCGACCCCAAGCAGTACACTCGCACAATTACACAATTCCTGCAGTGGCTACGCCGCGAGACCAAGTTCAAGCCCGTGTGGATTCTTTGCTCGCCTGAGGTCGAGACTATCCTTGGCGAGCGACTAGGCTGGCGCAGTTTGTCCTGTATCGCTGAAGAGCGTGTTGACCCATCCCGCAACCAGGCCGCTTCTGACGGCGAGATTGCACGCAAGCTTCGTCGCGCCGAAAGCGAGGGCATCAAGCTGGTCTCTATGAACCAAGGCGAGATGGTGCCAGACGATATTCGCCAGAAGATTGACGAGCGTATCAACGAGTGGCTGTCTAACCGCAAGGGCACGCAAGTGCACCTCTCCCAGATCCGCCCATGGTGCGACTCCGAGCACCGTTGGTACTTCTACGCCCTGGACAAGAACGGTGGCGTCTGCGCCTTCGTCGCTTTGGCCATGCTGTCTCCTGCCCACGGCATGCAACTCAAGTACAGCCTTGATTTCCCCGGCGCACCCAATGGTGTTATCGAATACATTCTCACGCATGCGATCCAGACCGCCGCCAAGAGCGGCGTCAGTGGCCTCACATTTGGCGCTGGCGCCACTTCCCAGCTCACTGCTGGCCACAACATGCATGGAACTAAGGTCAAGATGCTAGAGCACACCTATGAAGCCCTTGCTAAGCAATTCCATCTTGTGCGCAAGAGTGAATTCCGTGCTAAGCTCGGCGCCACGGAGGACCCACTGTACATCTCCTACCCGTCCCACGGCCTGGGGTCTAAGGGTATCCGTGCGATCCTGAACTTCTTTGAAGATTAAGATCAAGCTACGTTATTTGTATCAACGGCTGAGCCATTCATGGAGCTACGATTTAACGGGAGTTTTGTGCGATCTTGTTGTTTGATCTAGATGGCAGTGCGTGGGCTTACATTGAATAGACTGGCCTAAGTGCCAATCGGATTCTAGGAGACACATGAAGAGGAAAGAATAGAGAGAGGAGAGGAGGGGGAGAGCTTGTTGATCTACACGTTGTGGTATTAGCTCCCGGCTTTTTTTTTGCTTTTGACTCTTCTCCCTGTTGCCTCTCATACACTACCCATAGCTTTGTTTCGTTTTATTCCCCATTGCTGTTGTTCATCCTGTATCCAGCACCCCTATGACCATGTACCTGCCGCCTCGGCATTTAATTGTTATGCTATCTGAATTTTGCCATTTACAGCTCCATCATCGGGTCATTTTTGCCTGGGTCTATAGTCATATATTGGCTACACAACCTTGCTTTTAGGACTAATGACTATGTAGAGTCTATGTTATAAACCTTGAATATGAGATACACCCATAGCTAAATGAGCCTGCGACCCTCCAGACGGGTGAGATATAGAAGTAGCCGTCACAAACGCCACGTTCGATCTCCACAGAAAAGCCAAGAAATATATCTCACAAGTCCTCTTTATCCAATCTGTGACTACTTGTTTAATCGTACATCTCTAATAAAACACACAAGACCCAAACGATCCTCATTTCTTCTTCACCTCCTCCAAAACACTTTGCCTTCTAGCATCATTCACAACCCTCCCAACCTCCTTCACAGCCCATCGCCCAAGCACCACCGCAAGAACAGTAACAAGTACAATCCACCCAGCGGTCGGCACCAACGAGCGCGGGAAAACATTGAACAAGAAAGGATCAAGAATTAAGTCCACGGCCACAGGTGGAACATTCTGCATGAATGCTTGGTCTGTACTAAAATAATCTGCTGCGGCTTGCACATGCAGGAACAGGACCGAGTCACTGGTTGGTGCAGGGTCGAGCGGATCTTTGCTACCATGCGAACTAGCACCGCGCGGGATGGCATTTGCTTGAAGACTTGTGTCTAGCGTTGCAAGCCGAGCTGCTGAGTATGCGCTCAGGGAAGACATGAGGCTTTCGTCTTCGATTTCTTTTGGGAGGGCGTAGGTGTTGAGAGTGAATGTTGTTGGTTGCTAAGGGGTTGTTAGTTATGTTTGTGTATGACAATAGGTATTATATGTATTAATAAAGAAACACAGATGGAGAGAGGGATGTAGATGATTGGAGGGAAGAAATTGGTGGATCGTCTTACCGTGGCTAACCAGCATACTCGTACTTCATACCGCTGGCCCGGGTTCAAGTTCTCAAGGAAGAACCACGAGTCCGTACCTCCGGGTGCGGCAGTCGATGGGAATGAGGCATTGAGGCGAGTGCGCAACACGGGCCTCTGTGGTGATAGACGCTCTAAACCTAGGTCGTCGAGATCTGGCTCCTCGGAGGGAACGGCTGCTGGTGCTGGTGCAAGGAAGATGGTCTTTTCCACGTTTGCTTGCGCCAATGCTGTGAAGAGAGGGAGTATGAGCCCCAGAGTGGGAATGAGTTTGATATGCATGATGAGAGAGTTGATGCTCTGCTGTACAATATAGGCAGAATTTTAAGTGGAGTGATGTTTTAGAAATGTCTTATTCTCAGCTCATGACGAGATTCAGGTAGTTCAAATAATAGTGCTGGAGTTTGAATTAGCATTGAATGTGCAATACTGAGGGAAGTATATATACAGTACCGAGACGTATGTCTTAGTCTTCGTACTTGGATATAATGGCCGAATGGTGGTTCGAGGGGGTCCTCCGGGAGTGGATCCGAACTGACCGAGTAATTCGATAGCTCCAACACTGACACCGCTGTCAACATCACCCCTTAAATCGATCACCTACAATCTCCTAAATAAACTTGGAAAATCGTTGAATGTTTCCCACATAGCTATTCGATGAAATTTATTCCTATAATTTGTAATACTCATATTCTTTGATCATAAGTTCATCACGTGCCATCACGAGATCACTACGAGGCGGTCAGTAACCGCTGCTCCTCACCGGGAAGGAGCCAATCAAAAGGCCCAACGCGACCCAACGAACGGATCAACAACGAAGTTCCCCCCTGTACAGCACAGACGTCTCCTCCTCCACAACATTTCTTGTCGACTTTGTTTTCCTTTCCATCTTCTCGTCCATTCCTCATTCTTCAGGTACGACTATCCCCCCGCCCCCTTCCATCGTGCATTACCGTGTCAATCTGATCCTAACCGAGTTTCAGACCGCCGCGTTTGTTGTTTGGGTTCCCGTTTTCCCCTCCTGATTTTTTAGCCTAAAAAACATCGACTCGATCACAATGAGAGAGATTATCAGTTTGAACGGTATGTCGACCTCGTCCATCTATTCTGCACGTCAGAATTGATATATTTTCTTCGGAAGCGCTGACATGATCGTTCTCTACAGTCGGCCAGGCCGGTTGCCAGATCGCCAACTCCTGTTGGGAGGTAAATACCCCATTGAAGGACAAATCTTCAGTAAACTGACAGCATCAATTTTCTAGCTTTACTGTCTGGAGCACGGTATCCAGGTATGTTGAAATTCCTATCAAACTCGTGGTGACGCCCAATCTTGACTCGGGCACCCGTACCCCCTATTTTCCTGCCGAGAGGTAAACATCCGCGACTAACATGGATAATAGCCCGATGGATTCCTCACTGAGGAGCGCAAGAAGGCCGACCCCGACCACGGATTCAGCACTTTCTTCTCTGAGACTGGTATGTAAAAACTGATTTTTTTTCAATTGTGTTCCCCGCCTTGATGTGGGAAATTCCAAAGCATGGCTTCCTAACATTCTTTCTCCCCCACTTCATAGGCCAGGGCAAGTACGTTCCCCGTACCATCTACGCCGATCTCGAGCCCAATGTCGTCGATGAGGTCCGCACCGGTACCTACCGCTCCCTTTTCCACCCCGAACAGATGATCACCGGTAAGGAGGATGCTTCCAACAACTACGCCCGTGGTCACTACACCGTGGGTAAGGAGATGATTGATGAGGTCCTTGACCGTGTCCGTCGTGTTGCCGATGCTTGTGCTGGTCTTCAAGGTTTCTTGGTCTTCCACTCCTTCGGTGGTGGTACCGGTTCCGGTTTCGGTGCTCTCCTGATGGAGCGTCTGTCCGTCGATTACGGCAAGAAGTCCAAGCTGGAGTTCTGTGTCTACCCCGCTCCTCAGAACGCTACCGCCGTTGTTGAGCCCTACAACTCCATCCTCACCACTCACACCACTCTGGAGCACTCCGACTGCTCCTTCATGGTCGACAACGAGGCTATCTACGACATCTGCCGCCGTAACCTCGGCATTGAGCGCCCCAGCTACGAGAACCTGAACCGCCTGATTGCTCAGGTTGTTTCTTCCATCACTGCTTCCCTGCGCTTCGACGGTTCCCTCAACGTCGACCTCAACGAGTTCCAGACCAACTTGGTGCCTTACCCCCGTATCCACTTCCCTCTGGTCGCCTACTCTCCCATCATCTCCTCCGACAAGGCCGCCCACGAGGCTCACTCTGTCACCGAGATCACCTCCAACTGCTTCGAGCCCAACAACCAGATGGTCAAGTGTGACCCCCGCAACGGCAAGTACATGGCCACCTGTCTGCTCTACCGTGGTGATGTCGTCCCCAAGGACGCTCACGGTGCCGTCGCCACCCTCAAGACCAAGCGCACCATTCAGTTCGTCGACTGGTGCCCTACTGGTTTCAAGCTCGGTATCTGCTACCAGCCTCCCAAGCAGGTCCCCAACGGCGATCTCGCCGACCTCAGCCGTGCCGTGTAAGTTTTCCCTCTGATTCTTTAATCCACGATCCTAAATTCAACTTTGATACTAATTATGATATAGCTGCATGCTGTCCAACACCACCGCTATCGCCGAGGCCTGGTCCGCTCTCGACCACAAGTTCGATCTCATGTACTCCAAGCGTGCCTTCGTTCACTGGTACGTTGGTGAGGGTATGGAGGAGGGTGAGTTCTCTGAGGCTCGTGAGGATCTCGCTGCTCTTGAGCGTGATTACGAGGAGGTTGCCTCCGACTCCATCGAGGGTGATGAGGAGCTGGAGCCCGAGTACTAGATTAGCCATGTTTTCTGACCGGTCTTTGTGACTCTTGGTTGTTTCACTTCTACGGGTTGGCTTGGGATCAACGCCGGGTCTAGAGGTTCGGTCCTCATGCGTCTATTGGGCTTCTTGCAAATAGAAGGGAACATAAGTTTTGCTGCCAATGATTTTCTGGCTTTGTTGTTCGATATATCTTTAATATCCCTGAAGCAGCGATGAAATCTCCCCTCGTTCCATCACACTTTCGGGTTTCTACATACGTATGTCATTGTTATTACTCTCTCAAGTTGTCTCCCCTTAGGCCTCGTAAAGTGTGCAGATCATACATGAGTAGCTAGCTGGCTTGGCTCTCAAAAGTCCTGAAATGAGAAGTAGTTTATCGTTATTGCATTGATCACTTTTCCTCATACGGACCAATCCGGCCGTAGTATAAATAGCTGGTTGCAAGTAGTCTCAGGGTTCGTAAGGATTGATACACAACATCTGGATAGTACATATAATTGCTGCATCTGTCTCAGGGGAAGTAATACATGTACCACTTTGATTAGGCTAGTATCTGACTGAAACATCTGCCGAGACTTTCAGGGTTATTGTTGATGTTGGCTCCGTTTATAGCAGAGCACGAAGGTTAAAGAAAATGAAGCATACCAAGAGATCAGGCACCTGTTGAATTGATGCAATATATTTGGCAGCATAGAAATTCTCCGATAGAGGAACCTGTCTATACTTTTCATGTTGTGTTATTTGTCCATACGATGGATATATATAGTTCCGACATCCTCTGTAGTATATATTCAGCTTATCATTCGGATCATGCCTCTGGGTACGCCGTACGGAGCAATGTTTTAGATAGTTTCACCGAATTCCTTTAACTTGCTACTGGAAACTTCGATTTCCTCCTTCTCTTTTTTCCCCTCCCTCTTTCTAGCTAGGATACCTTGTGGAAGTAGCTGTCTTTGGTGGATACACGTAGGGGCTCAACTGAGATTTAGAAACATCTTAGTAATAAGATAATCACTTTGAGCCGACTAGTATAATAGCAAACGTATCAATTGGCAGCAAAGATTTACCAATGTCTTTCAATTGTTGCTCTTAGTTAGGAACCCCTTTCATGGACCAAACGTGTTGGGTCCGGGGCGCTAGACGAACTGACCGCCTTAGAGAACCCCAGGAACCTTCCTTACGACATCGACTCCAGCCATTTCCTATCATTCCTCTTGAAGTTGTTTTTCTTCTTTAGAGCTCGAGATTTAGTATCTCGTGTCCTTATTGTTTTCGCCAAATACTGTGCTTTGCCCATGCCTGTCGCATATTCAGACTAAGCTGACAGCATCCCGTATCTCCAACTTGTCCCCTCAAGGCCCCCAACTATTGTGAACTCATTGGAAAGTGGGGAGTCAAGCTCCTCCTAGGACACAGCAATGGCTGATACCGGTAAGTGATACTGAATACTACTTGCCAGACCCAAAATGAATTGCAGGAGAGCTTCGGCGCACTTTAAGGAGATGGCCCGCCGACCTCCGTCATCACTACCCCCTCCCCTTCATACACCCCCGTTCTATATGCGCAAGCGGAGCTGACGGATCACGATCTTCTAGCACAACGACACCCGAACCTCCACCTCACTCCGGAGGAAAAGCGCGTCTTTTTCCAGCTCTTCCAGGCTGCTGATACCACTAACCTCGGCGTCATTACTGGCGAAATCGCCGTTCCATTCTTCGAGAAGACTCACCTATCCCCGGATACTCTCGGCCTGGTATGTGGATATAAAACGGGTCTTCGATCGCAATAATAAGAGGCATGGCTAATTATTGGTCATGTAGATATGGCAAATTGCGGATAAAGAGAACAGGGGTCTCCTGACCCCGTCAGGCTTCGGTATTGTTCTGCGATTAATTGGACATGCCCAGGCTGGCCGTACACCCTCCGACGAGTTGGCTCTGCAAAGTAAGTGACGTTGCCCTCAAAGAAATCAAACTTATGCTGATCCCGCAACTGCTTCATAGGTGGCCCTCTACCACGTTTTGACGGAATTGTGGTGGATACAGCGGCAAGCATCCCGGAATCGGGAACTAAAAGCCCTCCACCTGGAGCGAATGGGCCTATTCGTGTCCCTCCACTCCAGCCGGATGACGCCAACAAATTTGTTCAGCTGTTTGAGAAGTCGGACGTCAAGAATGGGATGATCTCAGGTATGTAGCTCTTCACTGCCTAGAAAGTTCTACTCCATCTAACATGTTCGCCGTTTGATCTATAGGCGAAGTCGCAAAACAGATATTCGAACGCGCCCGGCTTCCAAATGAAGTTTTGGGTCGTATCTGGTTCTTGTCTGACACTAAGCAGCGAGGTGCCTTGGATGCCACAGAGTTTACCATTGCCATGCATCTTCTGACCTCATATAAATCTGGAGCCCTGCGCAACATTCCAGCCACCCTTCCGCCAGGTCTGTACGATGCGGCAGCTCGAAGGGGATCCGCACGGGGGTCGTTTGGGTCGAGACCCAATGTGCCCCCCATCCCAGCCATTCCTCAGCAATTTACTGGCCCCCAGCGGACCGCAAGTCCTATGAACCAAGCCAATCGTATGCCTTTTGGAGGTTCTCTTTCCGCTCAGGCCACTGGAGGTGACTGGTTGATTACCCCACAAGAGAAGGCTCAGTTTGATAGTATTTTTGAGACTGTTGATACAGCCAAGTTGGGGCTGATTACTGGAGACCAAGCTGTTTCTTTCTTCATGAAGGCCCAGCTCCCCGAAGAAACGCTTGCTCAAATTTGGGACCTTGCGGATATCGACGCAGACGGCCAGCTGAGCCGGGACGAATTTGCCGTGGCTATGTACTTAGTGAGGATGCAGCGTAGCGGCAAGGAGCCGTTGCCACAAGTAGTCCCTCCAGCGCTCATCCCGCCCAGCATGCGCCGCCAAGTGCCTGCACCAATGGCAGCCCCCACTCCTCCCCCGGCGCCTGCGCCCGCTGTGCGCTCAGCTGCGGATGATTTGTTCGGCCTCGATACGCCCGCACCGCCATTCGCCCAGCCTCAGATGCCTCAGTCTACTGGAGGTTCCAATAACGCTTTCCAAACCCCAGGCTCGCCTTCTTCTAGAGCATCCCCTCAGACGGCGTCGCACACCTTCAAGCCTTTTGTTCCAACTTCTACCTTTGGCCAGAGCTTGCAGCCACAGATAACTGGTGCATCGGCCGGAACCCCGGCAGGAGTTCGCTCCCCTCCGCCTCCATCAGATGATCTCCTTGGTGACAATGATCCTGAAGAATCGAACAAGTTGACTAATGAGACTACGGAGCTCGCGAACTTGTCCAACCAAATCGGCTCTCTGGCCAAGGAAATGCACACCGTACAAGAGAAGAGGACCACTGCTGAACAAAGTATTACACAGACTTCGCAGCAGAAGCGTGACTTCGAGGCACGTCTTGCACAAGCACGGTCGATGTACGAGCAAGAAGTTACCAATTTCAAGGCACTTGAGGAGCGCCTGAAGTCATCCAAGGCAGAGACACAGAAGCTGCAGCAGCAATATGCATTGCTGGATGGCAGCCGTCAGGATCTGCAAAACCAATATACACAAGTTTCGACAGCCTTGGCTGCGGATGAGCAGGAGAATGCTAGCCTAAAAGAGAAGATCCGCCAGGCTAATGCTGAAGTTGCCCAGCTTAAGCCGGTACTCGAGAAGGCGCGATCTAGTGCGCGCCAACAGAAGGGTCTTGTTGCCATTAACAAAAAGCAATTGGCTACCGTCGAAGGCGAGCGGGACAAGCTCCAGGGTGAAATTGACGATCTGGCTCGTGAGACCCCACAGTATTCTGAGGAGTCTGTGACGCCAGCCGGCAGCGTACCCGAGGTTACAAGCCCTGCTGCCTCTACGGCAAGCCAGAACACAAACCCGTTCTTCCGTCGAACAGGCAGCTCAAGTGATCAGGCACGGTCCCCCGATGTCTCAAATGACCAGCAAAGGGCATTTGAAAGTCTCTTCGGACAGTCATTCGCAGCTGCTCCTGCTGCCGGGCCACCACCCACATCGTTCCGCTCTGAGTCGCCACAAGTTGCGGTCACATCCCCTGTTACGTCTGCTGTCACAACCCCATCAGTCTCTCCGCCCCCTGGTTCTTTGCCTGGCGCATTCCCTGTTGGGCCCTTCTCTGAGCCACCACCTGCGAGCCAGTCCCGACAGCTAACCCCAAACTTCCTGCAGTTCAATGATAGCCAGTCTGTGACTTCATCTACTATGGTCTCGCCTCCCGCTAGTCGATTTGGTGGCCCTGAAGCTCCTGGCTTTGATACGCCTTCTCAGGCGGCCACCAGTGACTTTGGGCCTCAGTCAGTGGCAGAGTCTAGTGACTACAGTCATGCGCCAACCTCCTCAACTCTTGGAGGTACGCCAGCACGGTCTCCATTTGAGGAGGAAGGCCAAGAGACCTCGGCTAAGTTCCCTGAAATCCCAGCCGCAACTGCTCAGCAGCCCGAACCTGCAACATCCCCCATCGCTAAAGAGAGCGAGGTTGAAGCTAGCAAGGACCTAAGCTTTGATGAGCTGTTTGGTAGCAAGGCACACAAACGGTCGGAATCCCAGCAGGGTAACGACTTCGAGGAGGCGTTTGCTTCTATGAAGCCTGTATCTGGAGCTGAGCGGACAAATGGAGCTGCATCGGCTGGTGCATCCGAATTCCCCCCGATCCAAGAGCTACACCATGATGACGATGACGATGAGAGCTCTGACGATGAGGGCGCTTTTGGATTCGATGACAATTTCACGCCTCCCGCACCAGTTGCCACAAAGGAGACCAAGCAGGATTCCCTCGACGCCGCTCAATTGGCTGCTTTCCCTGTCCCGGGAAGCACAAACAAACCCCCGTCTCCCGGGGAACAACAGAGCCCTCCAGAGTATGAAGCCCATAAAGCAGATAACGTTCATCTTCCTTCTCAGTTTAATGGCCTTTTGCCCGAACGCGTCGACCCCACCGTGGCACCGGATGCACCACATTCAGTGGAGCACACCACTGGGGCGCCAGTCGTAAGCAATGAGACTCAAAAAGACTCTATCTCGGGTGCTGCCATCCCCTCCGGTGGAGCGAAGGTGGGAGGACCGGACTTTGAGGCAGCCTTCGCGGGAATGAACCTTGCACCGGCCGCCGAAGCAGATGACGATGATGACGATGAGCCGCTGAGCCAAGAAGCCAAGAACACGACCGACTTTGATTTCTCTTTCGACTCCCCGTCCCAAAAACAGCAGGCTGTCTCCGGTGCCGATGCTAGCCAATCTAGCTCCTCTCAGTTCTTCGCTTTCGATAACAACGTCCATGCATCCGCCGCCCCGCCTGTTGGATCGCCCAACGAGGGAGAGACAAAACCCGCTTCGCATGAATGGGATGCACTCTTTGCGCCTCTTAATAACTCCAAGCCCGATGCCGGCGAAGACTCGAACGGGGCGAAATCCAAGGAGCCTGGATGGGCTCTGAACAACGACACTGGCGATGACCTGATCCTTCAACGGCTGACCGGCATGGGCTTCACACGGGATGAGTCCTTGGATGCCTTGGAGAAGTTTGACTACAATCTTGATAAGGTAGGCTTCGTTTCGCGCTAGGTTTCGTACTCATACTAACTGAAGACCAGGCCGCGGACCACTTGACTTCGAAGACTTGATTTATGACGCCCTCCCTTTTCTCACTGCACATATCTCCTACATACTCTTTGTTTTTGCGCCTATGTCTGTCATTCCTTCATGGAAGCTCTGGGCTTGATGACCAATCTATCAGTGGCCTCCTTTGCATCGATGTTTCCTCCGTTTGTCAAGCGCTGTGTATATCGTTTCCTTTCATTTTCTTTCCTTATGTTGCGACCGCATTGGTCTCCTATGGATCCGGCTCCTTGCCCAATGCCATTGGACCGGAACTAAGGATCTTGGTGTGTTTGTTGTCTCTTTGCCTGTGTAGTGTAGTTTACAATAATTCATAATCGAGTTAAATATTCTCATCGATCTTATCAATCACACGTATACAACGGATTTCAGGCCAACCTAGAGCTTGACGTATACTAAAGTCAGGTAGCTCTCCAAAAAGGAAAGCTCCCTTTGGGAGGGAGATCTATTGTAGTTAGCTTGTATTATTTGGCCTAGAATGCATTTTCTATCAAGTTTCTATACTATCTGTATCATTTGATGCGATCATAAATCGCGCTGCTCTTTAGCTCTCGAAACCCACGTCCATAGTTTCCGGTCTGCAATGAACATCTTCGCATTCTTAAAACGATTTAAATGCGGTTTATAGCGGAACCCCCAATTCGAAACCATAGTGAGATTTCGCGCTATAGTGAAACCTATGGCATTCCCAAAATAATCCTTCTCCCATTTCTGGACCTCAGAAAAGGGCCTGTCTTCTGCATGCACTTCTTCGTATAGTCGCACATAATGCGGTAAAAGTCTCCGTGAGGTTATAAAAGTCTCAAGATCACAGTCAGAATGAACTGTATTCCAAAGGGTGCGGAAAAGTCGCAAATCATCCGTCGAATCAAAGGTAAGAAGTCTGATAAGAGCCCAGGAAAACTCGCTATCCTCTAGAATGGTGAGTTCGTCGGAGGAAAGAAACGGCTGCCTTTTGCTAAGAGAATTTGGGCGAGATGCCGACTTATAACCTTCTCTAAAGGCCTTGGTAAGATCCTCGCTAAGTGCATGTCGGGATGGTGGGAGCCCAGGAGGAGCTAATAAGACCGCAAGCGGGACGGAAGAACAAAATGACCAATCGATTATTGATGTGATGTTGAAATCATCGTCAATGAAGATGTTGTTGACGCTTAAATCGGGGTGGTGGAGAGGAAAAGGATCCGGTAACGTGTGTGTCGGATGGCTATTTGTCCGCTCTGCAATGATATCTTTGATGGCATCCGCTACAAGGATGTAGTCCAACCGATTCTCTGCGGAATCAATCTTATCCCCGAGGGCCTTAAAGCCGTTCCATAGATCAGAGGCATCCCGGTGGGCAGCATCATTTTCGTAGTCCTCGCGAGAAGGTATGGGAGCAACGAAGCAGTGGGGTCTAAGCGGGAGAGACTCTGCATGATGTATCATGGCAGTTGTGAGACTATCGTAGAACTCAGACTCTGTAGCAAAAGGGCCACGAGGAATCTCGTCTAAAGAATAACGTTGGTGGAGAACATGACCCCGAGACATGCATTGCCCTATTTTGATATCACCATCTTCTTCGAAAAGCGAGCCAATGCGGTCGAAACGAACTTGAGCAAGATTCCACGTAATTTGACCTAATTGGGACATGACTTTCGCTTTATCGACTGAACTTAGACGGTCTGTTGAAGGATTGCTTGTCCAGACATTTCTAAGAGGCCATCCTTGCGCTTTGCTCATCAAAATATATGCAACGCCGATTGGATTGTTGGAGGATGCACTATCAAGTATTAGAGGATAGACCTAAACCGTCCTGTTATATTATTCTACCTATATGAGTAAACCTTTGGGATGGGAATGTCCGTAACTTGTTTGAGGTGCTTTAGTGTTATAGCTTCACTCGCAAGAAGTTTCCCGCTCAATTCACTAGGAAATTGGCCATAATCAGATCTAGGTGACCGCATGATCCATTCAACACCGTCCTCAAATTGGACAGTTACTGCCCAATTGAAACTACCTTCCATTGGCTCTTGGGTTGGGTCACAGGAGCAAGGTATCTCGTTCCGGGATGCAGTGGCCATTTTGCAAAGTGCGCCAGTATTGAATGTGGAATGGCGGAAAATCACACTGCGTTGCGTATCATCACTCATGGTATGATTGTGTGGTATCCTTCAGAACTTCCAAGGTCTCGAGCAGTCCTCCTCTGCATAGAACAAGACAAGTGAAGAACCAAATGTGTAAATTGTTTGGACTAGAAAGGTTCCACTTGGATGAGTTCAATAGCCAAGGTAATGCAAAATCCTAGAAGACAGAAGACAGAAGACGTCTAGATGGCTCGCCCCTTTGTGAATGGACATGTCAGTTATTGCACGTGATTAATGTACATAATGTATCAGATTTTAGCCTAATCAGGGCATAAGTAATGTAAAAGTAATATATGTAACTACGAGGTTGACTCCGTTTTCACTGTTGAATTCTGTGCCAACGAGAATAAGAAAAGTCGGTTTATGCAAACACTCTTAACGTCTTTCGAGGTGCCTTTCTAGATGTCTTTCTAGATGTCTTTCTTCCTTCAGGTTTATAGTTAGAAAGGCGATAAAAAAGAGCCTAACCCGTATAGAAACATTCCTATGTATAACCAGGATTTGAGTGGGATCCTCAACACTATGTAACCACATACGAGGTCATCGTATCCTATGTCGAAGTCCCAGAGATCATAAACATAGAATTTGTTGTAAACCCGAGAGTCGCTGCTGGACTTCGAATTTCAAGCATCTCATATCATCTCTGATAGAAGTATCGCTGGATTGCATGACGGCTTCATCTGATATAGCCATCGAATCTTGCCATGAGACAGACATAGAGTCCTCATTAGATAGATATAAATCTATCGCCTGGTTCTGTCGCTCGGAGAGGTACGAACATATCTGCACAATAGAGACAAGTCGAATATCACCCAGTGCTGCCCTATCCGCCTGATTGTTTATCTTTGCATCATGCTCAAGAACATCTAAAACTGATATATAAACATTCATGAGTGAGGAATGACAGCTGATACATAGATGACGGATGACGTTGTTGAATGGATTGGGTTCCATAGACGATGGCATAGCTCCGGCATTCGGATGTAGATCTCGGAGAATTTCTAGCATAAAATGCGAGGCCGAGAACAGGTAGTAAAGGATACCACCAGGTGTTTTCATATCATGTTCCTGTGTGGGTCGGGCATTTGGGCATCGTGTCGACTCAAATGAACTTATGCCAGTGGAGCCGTGGGACAGTCACGAGGCAACCGAATCAAAAGCAGTAGCATCTATGAGCGGTTTACTACTGATGCAAGCTTGTTCTTGTCCGGATTGAACTGAGGATCGTGAGGGACTCGCCAGCTCTTCGGCTAAGCGACACAATCTCGAAAGACGAATGCTGAGTTGGGAAAGTTGTCCAATGATCACGTCGGGATCAGTTCTGCTGCTGCTAGCTTCACTGACACTGCCTCGTGCATCAGTATGTTGGGACTCGTCACGATCAGGCGATGCCTGCACTGGAACGGGACCAGCCCATCCAGGGTCCGGGTCATCGGCCGTATCCTTCGGTGAGAGCTGCCAGTCCATGAGAAGGCCCGGGATACCGGATATACATGAAGGCTTGATAGAACCTATGGTCGATTGACCGCCAGGAGATGCGGGTGGAGGTAAGGCTAACGGTTGAAGTGGAGTTGATGGTGGATCACAATCTGTGTCGATAGGCGTGTACACGCTCGGTCGGCCCTTGGGAAGGGAGAAGCTATAGATGCATTGTACATGTTTTCGCTGGCAGCGTATGCATGCACCTGTGTTTTCGATACTGGTACGTGCACATCGTAGCTTCTGACTATGACAGCGGTCGCACGAGTGACGCATCGGTGTCTCCACCGCCATTTGGCGCGGCATTATTTAATTGAAGGAAAAGACAGGTCAAAGTCTCTAATAGCAGAGAACGGACCCCTTCTAGGTTGAGGTTTTGCGCAATCCGTTATTGAATGTGTGAGATTTTTATTCCGCGGGGCAATGCGAGGGGTTGCGGGATAGCAAAGACTTAACGTTCACATGAATATCGTTACCAATCACGCTTGGGGCTAAGAAAAAAAGAAAAAGTCAGAGGATGATCGACAAGTAGATAAGTTTTATAAAATATATTTCCATGCTTCAAAAATATGTCAACTAAAATAGAAACCATATTGGACTTCCCTTGAAAGATCGAATAATACAATGCTCAATGCTTGAACAGCTTTCAAATAACCATCACCACCTTATTCCTCAAATAATGAGGGTACATACCCGGGAAATAATAGCTGGACCTCTGCAAAGCCCATAAAGTCCAAAATCCCAACCCAACCCATTAATGGGTTAGGTTTTGGGCCTATTGAGACCCCTCGGGGGCCTCGCCGGTATACCCCTAGACGATAGGGCGTACTTCGCGCTATAGCTATATAGCAAGCTGCCATCTTATACATAAGACCCTATTCTTATTTCCTACCTTTAATCTTGTTTTTGCTACTACTATATCTTTAATATATGGTTCTAACTTACGTATGAATATTCCCCTCGAAGCTCCACTGACTCTAGAACTTTGTCAAGGCAATAGATGCAATGGTCTTGAACAACTTCCCAGATAGCAGCTTGATAGTATAGGGTAGGATGATTGAGGCTAAACACCTTGCTGCAAAGGCTACATTTCAAGATGTCCCAATTGCACTTGATACAATTTATTTAGTGTCTATGTGTCCTTTTCTTGTGCTTAGATTATTACTCTTCCCTTTTGTGGACATCATGAAGCACGATTAATCAGGAAATGAGCGGCTTGATCGTAATTTCGCTCCTGAAATCGTGCTTGGATGATTGCCTCTTACCGTCGAAACGGCGTTTGTGTCTAACCGGATCTAATGGGAAATTATCTGGGACTTCCTGTCTCGTCATGATAAAGGGCAAAGTCGTTATTATATAAGATTCCATATCCTCCGCTGCTCTAGATTCCCCTTCCAAATTCAGCTCGACTAAATATCTCTCCGGGACTTTTTGCTGAAACAAAACCTGAGCAAAATCTTCGTAGGTTATCAAGTCCTTCCGTCTTCAACGAGGCAATCCCCCACAAATGTGGTACTAGGCAAAGTATAAAATGAGAATCCTTCATATTCTCGATTCTTTCAAATTGCGGCTCACAATCAAAAGTGAGTAATTCGGGATGGGCTTTATCTTCACAATAGACTGCCCAAACTGACTCGTAATGACATAAAAGCCTGCCTCGACGAATATGCCAGCAGAGGTCAGAGTTTGGGCAGACGGTTTCCAGAAAAGGAAAAATGGAGTTCAAGGTCGGCATCGAAAAGGCTAGCATAGTCAGCAATCAACATCTAATATCTTAGAACGGATCAACAAAACCGACCATCTGGGCGATAGGAGACTTTCAGCATAATTAACTCTAACAATTCCTCCTCTTTATTTAGAGATTGCCAGAGTGCGTTGTCAACAGAAGAAGTGTGTTTAGAGTCGATACCGGCAACCGAAGCTTTACTGTTGAAATGTATGAGATGGGAACGAAGATCTCGCGAGGCGGCTCTGAAAGTATGTTAGTGACGATACAAATGAAGAAGTCTCCTTTCTTACCGATCGAGGATATGCCAAAGGACACGTTCGCGTTCACCCTCTGATATACGGCTTAAAGGTCGAGGTCTCCCGCCATTTACCCGAAAAGGTTGCTTCATAGAGAAAGTGTACGATTCTGAGAAGTCATATAGAACCGTATCGTAGAAATCATCGGGGAGTCGAAAGTGGTAATCGCGAATGTCGCCATGGGTTATTCCAATTCGATGTAAAGCATCCAGGCGACGAAGTCGGTCTTTTAGTAAAGAATGATACCACTCTTGCTCGAATGGGCTTAGAAGAATCACTCCAGGAGTGGTACAAAACCTTTCAGAGAGAGTTCTTAGGATAGTTAAGAAGCTTTCAGAATAGGAATTGACAACTTCACTAAGAACACGTCGAGAACACAAGTCCGGTTTTATTGCCTCTACCACAACCGCTCGTTCATTATAATACCCAGAAGAAAATCGAGATTTTGGTATATCGGTGATCACTCCATGGAATTGCGGGAAATAGATTCTTTCACGCGCGGGACAGCATAGGTCAATATGGCTGTATGCCCGAGCCTCCCGATAGAATCTATCGAACTCGTACACAGCATCATTTATCGTTTCGGGAGTCAGTGGTAGTCCGACACGATGAAGCTGTATCTTAGCATCTTGCTTAGAATAGCAAGGAAACTAGTATATGATTAATCGGAGCACGCGTATAATGATTGTCTCCACTTACGACTTTGGCGATATATTTTCTGTGTCCCCTGATGCGAAGCCAAAACACCTGTATAGTGTTCGCATCCGAGGGTCTTTGTTTGTCGGCCTTGGCTCCTAGTATCCAATTGTCGTCTTCAGGATAGAAAGGTCGGAATATTTGGCCCTCATGTTCACTTGTTTTCAGTATGTCTGGACGACTGCCAGAGAAAAATAGGTTCATCCAAGTATCTCCTTCCTCCATGATAGGCGATCTGGAGATAGGATGTAGAGAAGATCCTGCACTCACTTTGAAGCTGGTTGTAGAAATAATTAAGACGAGAATATGTTGAAGTCGATTGTAAAGCCGCCTCCCGAAATTATTGTCATGTGAGATAGTCTAACTAGTTATTTATGTTATCCTTGTATCATGTTGGGCACGCATTCTTAACTGTCAGCCGGAATTACCCTTTACCCGTACACTCTTTTAGTCATTCACTTCTTGATTATAAGAACTACACACCAAACATCAGCCAGCACATGCTTTGCAGCTGTAAAGAGCGGTCAGCCTTTCACGTACAGACCTCATGCATTAGACCTGGGCTTCATGCATAAGATTGAGTCAACGATCATCTGTTGATCATTGAAGGTTACCTGATATCGAAATAAGAGCTGGCTGAAAGGTGGACTTGATGTAACAACAATAGCCATGCTACAATTGATCGGCAGCCTGGTAGAGGTGTTCTATGCGCATGGCTGTCTGAGATATATACATAACTAGAGGGCCTCAATGGTTATTATGTAACCAATGGCCAACAGATGATTAGTGTAGGTTGATTCAATCTTATGCATGAAGGCATTCATCAGGCGGAATTGGCGGCGATATAAACAAATCCCGGACCAAGGATTCGCCTTTATCCTTGAGTGGTGTATTGAGGCTATCGGATCTCGAGAATAAAGTGCAAGGGGCCGTTTCCGGCACGCTAGCGTTATTGTTGAAGATTATTTTTGAGGCCGGGTGTTGATAGATCAACATTTGTTTTGTACAAGACCATTTTAGTGGTGTCAAATTTGAGTAGATAAGCTAAAAACGCGTTGATTTATATAGTTTAGGCTATCTGTTCGTCCTATTCAAGCCATCGCCACAATATCCTCCTTTCCGTTGCTGTGGATCTTCTTCCAGGGAAGAATCAAGCTCAGTACGAAAGCAGTTCCAAACATTGCAATAGAAACCGCGAATGCAGCCTTGATACCTTGCATATACGCAAGTATGATACCGGGGATTTCTTCCGCAGGGAAGATGGTTCGAAGTTCAGTGGAACCTGTAGCGTAAACAGCCAGCGGATCGACTCCTGGGGCAGTCAAGGGCAAAGTTGCGATAAGCCTGTTGACGAAAGCAGATTGGGCCGCTGAGATACTGAAAGCACCCCCAAGTGTTTGAAAGACTGCGCCCATGTTAGCTTTGCATATAACTAGACGTGGCAATAGAAGGAATATCTTACAATAAACGATTGCGGTGACAGTGGAGATATCTTCAGCATCGACCTTCGCGTGAACAATATTGAGACAGTTCTGATATGGAAATGCAATGGCTGCTCCCGCAAGAATTTGATAACCGATCCACTTCGCGGTCGAAGTATGGATATCCATTGTGTAGAAAAGGCCGCTCGCGACTGTCGCAACGGCCGCTCCTAGAGCCATTCCTGGCGTCGGACGACCAGTGATAGTGACGATGATGCCGCCGGCGAGAACAAAAATCCCGATAGCAATCACCATGGGTAGATTGTCCACACCGGACTGAATGGGATCGGCTCCTTTAACACTCTGGAAGTATTGAGGGAGGTAGTAAAGAAGTAAAAAGAACGAGCCAGCGAAGAAGAACTGGTAAAGGGATGCGGCCCAGATAGCCCGCTCCTTCAATAGTCTCGGCACCAGCATCGCATATTCACCCTGGTAATATTCCCAGGCAACCATAGTCAAGGCAATTACGACAAAGCCAACAAGCAGCCCTATCACTTCGCTGCTTCTCCAAGCGTATGTTGTACCTGCGTACTGCAGCGCAAGGATGAAGCAAATAATGCATGCCATCGCAAGGACGATGCCCACTGGATCGATCTGTAGGAACTTCTCTTTCCAGGTAGCCTTTTGGACCTTGACGGCACTTGGAAGATGGAAAAAGAACAAGATGATGCCGGCGACCACACCACCGATTGGAAGGTTGATATAGAAACACCAGCGCCAGGTCACTTTGTCCGAAAACACACCGCCGAGAAGTGGTCCAGCGACGGCGGCGACAGCATAAGTGATCCCAATTAATCCCATGAGAGTCGGTCGCTTTCTAGGCTCAGCGCAGAAGGCAATAATGGTAGTTCCGCCGGTCGCGATTCCAGCGCCGCCGACGCCGGATATGGCCCGGCCAACAATTAGAGCGTTGGAGTTCGGTGCAACACCACATATGAGACTGCCGAGTTCAAATAGGAAGAGTGTCACGAGGAAGGTCGATTTCAAAGGGAAGAATTTGTATGCTTTGCCCCAGGAGGATTGGAAACCACCGAGACACATGAAGTATGCTGATCCATACCAAGAGACCTCTGAAAGCCCGTGGAATTCATCTGTGATTTTTGGAATGGCGGTTCCAACGATGGTCTATCAAATGTTAGAAGCTAGTAAGTAGAGATGAGAGATTGTAAGAGTACTCGCCTGGTCCAGAGCGATTAGGAAGACTGCCATCATGACCGACCCAACAAGGAGCCACAGGGTCAACCCCATGGGATATTCATCTTTAGTAGAAACCTCATTAGAGATGATGGGTTCACTGTCATCTTTCTCGTTTCTACTTAATTCCGACATTGTGTCTGCAAGAAAACGAATGTCCTCTGTGAATGTTGTGAAAGCACGCTGGTGAGGCTTTAGCACTTGTGAGGGAGCCTCCTCTTATATCCAAGAAACCAAAACCAGCACCTGACGACATGATACAAATGACCTACATGGTATTCTGATGAGGTTAGGGCTTCGGGACAACATTAAGCAGTTCTTCGGTGTATTATTCAGCTTTGGTCGATGCTGATTGGCTGTAGGGTAGTTAGTTATGCCGATTCAGCAAAAAGATCCCTGCAACCCCAATGCACAACGACATCACACTGGCTAAACCGGCCAATTATTTTACCGCGTGGCACCAATTCGTAAGGCGACCCTGATGGCCTCGCAAAATTCTCGGGAAGGTTATTTATAACAAGCGTGTATCGCATTGCAGTGCCGAGCGCCTACCGAGTCTTTTAAGGTTCACCAGTTGAACCCTTAAAATTGTGATATCGACCTTGATTCCCTCGGGAATTTTTCGGGAATGCATTTTTAGCAAGCGTGTAATCATAAGCAGAAGCTTCCGCCGTTTATATGGCTTGTATACTTCGGTAACGAGATTGGGCTTAGTTAATCTAAAAGTCACCGTGGATCTTCCCCCGGACTTCCACGGTTGTTTTGAGATGATATTACCCCGTACTGCGATAGGCCGAGCTCCCAACCCTCGGAGTTTATCCTTTAATTTGTTTGTCTCGCGCGATCTCTCGATGAAGACAGTACAAAGAACCTATTGTTTTATTAAGTTTTAGGGACGTACCTTTTCCGCCTATCGCGCTGGGGATTGCCAAGAGTTCCTTTCGAGAATCCTCCACCGTACGCGCATATATATGGAGGAAAAGTGTCCCATGGACGCTCCTTCCAGTCCAAAACCCTGCCAACCAGTCAGTGTGGATTCTAAGGTGATCCTCTAGCGAGGCAGATCGAAAACTGCTTCGATAATGCGTACTTCGTGAGGTCTATATTCGAAGATCTAAAGGGTCTATTTATAGGTAAGTTATTCCTGCTAGTCGCTATTTAACTTTTCTAATATACTATAAACTCTATTTTAGCCCTGAAACCAGGATTTTATATAATATTGTAAAGCAGTATTAAATTACCTTTTATATCGCAGCTGAAGGGGAATTCTCTGGGTCGTAGCATTTGTGAGATACAATCATTTTCATATGGAGTAGCTAAAATCGCCCACTATGCTCAGCCTCATTTCAGTGATGCAGCCCATTTGTCGCAGCAAAGAATGAGTTTAGGCAGTTATAAAAGGATCAAGGTTATTACCCCGAGGTCTCATGTTGGCTATCCACTTGGGTATGTGTTAACTCTATATAGAGAAGGCGTCAAGGGTCATAACAAACTTTAACCCACAGCCCGTGTTCACGATTAAAGCGGGGATAGGTAGACGAACGAGTAGACCTAGGGTTCAAACACTTTTTCGGGTTTCAGTTTTTATCCTAGGCAACCACCTTTATCGTTGGAAGGAAGCAGGCCGAAGTGGCCCTCATCTGACGATAGTGGATCTGCACAGGGTAATCGTCATACGCCAATGAGGAAATTTACTTTTCTTGTAGGAGAAGGCAGGTACTTCTAGGGCTGAAAGGCCACGTGAATATATACAAGTTTCAAATTTGAATTGAGTTTTTTTCCCCCGGGAAAATTTCCGAAAATTTCCAGGCAACTTAATTCCTTAATTCCCCGTATATTCATGAAATAAAGTAAGCAGTAAGCAGTAAGTATAGTATTCTAGTAAGGAGTTATTCTGTTGCCTAAATATGAGAATATGACCCTGAATAGTAAAATATCCACTTCTTAAGCTTTTTACTACTATGTTCATATAAAGCTTGGCTTTTTCAAATGTTTCCATTGGCATATTATTTTAGTAAGACAAAGACAGAATCAAGGTGTAACTGAATGGGGCTGAGTCCTTGTCTTCCTTCCTCTTTTATGCTCCTTTCTGACAACACTCCATTCTGAACACAGCATTGCTTCATTCCTTACTTTATTAAACATCTCCCTCTTTTGTCACTTCCTCTTTGCAAATACATTCGCTTGTCATGATCCATACACGACACCCTCACCCGACTCCTCTGGGCACAAAGGACCTAGGTCCAATTTCCATCTTGGCCCCATTTTCAGCCTTGATCATCTCCATCATCTTGACGATATGCTTTCTCATTCGCTTCTACATCCTCGAAGGATTCCTCATCCGTCGTCTCTATGGCCCCATCTACACGCGGATGAGCGAGCTGAATCGTCGAGGCTTCATTAACCACCACATCGCTGGAGTCACCAAAGTTATCATTTTGATCGTTGCCGCATACCCCTTTATCAGTGTCGCTTTCTTCAGAGGGCCATCATTCAGCACGCCCTATGTCCATGGCTCAGTGGTGACACTTGGGGACATCCTGGTGATTGTAGCCCAAATGCTGATCGGTATATACATTTTCGAGTTGATCTACCGTGTGAAGTTGTCACCCGTCGCTGTGATGCATCACGTCGGAACAATCATCATTGGCCAAGTGGCTATCGCGATCACTCTGCCACCGTTACGCGAACCCGATGCCTACCTCGAGTTCGTTCTCTGCTTAGTCTGGGGTAAGAATGGAACTCTGATCTAGCGACGAAAGGAAATGCAAAAGTACTAATAAAATTGCGGTCTAGGTGCATTCGACGTTGTCTTCGAGCTGTTCCCCCATGTTGCCATAGTCCTCTATCGGATCTTCCCCGACCGTCACCGATTCCTTGGCAATGTTTTCCTCTTCTCGTGTTGCTCGACCGCATTGGGCACAGTCGCCGAGACCATTGTGATGATGTGGCTATTTTCAACCTCGTGGGACCGGTGGCGGCTTGCCTTCAAGATCGTCACCCCGATCCTGCATGCGGCGTTCTCTGCGGCACAAATCCATGGAAGTATTGTCTTCTGGCGGATGTACTGCCGACAGAAGCGCTTTCAGGCAGAGGACGATGTCGAAGCGAGAGAACCAAATACTAAGCATGAGGGTGAGGACTCAGTACATCGTCAATCCGAAAGTCAGGGTGGGCGGAGTGTGGAGTGGGAGGGCGATCTTGGCTTGATCACTATAAAATCGGAGGTCCCCCTTGTTGATGCCGTTGAGAGATCACGTTAGTCCATTTATATATTTGGATTATCTAGGACGGTGTATAATATACGAATACTTCTTTCACTCTTTTCCGAAGCAATACTACATCGAATTTTCGCCTTTTTTTGCTAAATTATCCCCTTTTCGCTTAAGCTTATGTTTTAACACACCCCTACGCCTGTAGCTTGTATAAAGATCCAAGTAACTTACCCTCTGACAGACTTGGTAAACCAATCTACAAAGATGAGACTCATCTTCCTCGCCGGACTTGTTTTCCTCCTCTTTGGGCCCCTGGCCTTTCTTCTGCTGCACAGAAGGCACCAAATACTAGATCACAGTATAGCGTTATTAGTGTCTGTTGGCCATGGGAGTTTTGTTCTTCGGCTGTCCATTGGTTAGTATCTATCAACACACTGTCTGGTCACTTAGCGTAGATTTACTGTACCAAGGTTTGTTGGCTGCATTTCTAGCAGGTTCTTTGGGCGAATATATGCCCTAATGATGGGATGTGAGAAGATGAAATCCTGCGTGAATATAAAGCAGATTACGCTTCTGCCCTGTATCGTATAATAATAAGATGATTTTCTTTTTAGCTACATTAGAATAGTCTTTATATACGGTCTTACAATGTCATCTCGGTGGTCTTCTCGGCTATTTCCTTTGGATGCCTTGTCAGTTTTATAGATCAATTGCCAAAAATGCTTAATTTAAGAAATGGATTCATGGGATTATAACCTTTGATTGACACTGTCATATAACCCCAACCCTGACGTTGACGGAAGGCTACATGGCATTCTAAGACATGTGCAGCCAAGACCAAACAGCCACTGATAAAATGCCACGCAATGTGAGGTACACCTCACAGTTCTATATGGTGGCCCACCAACCGTGCCAATGTCCTAGAACTGGACCCGGAGCTCATCCCAAGCCCAGCGGGCGGACGATTGGGTCCCGCCACTACAGTTTGTCGGTCCTAGGGCCGACCCCCGCCTCCCTCGCCAGAACTATGACTCTGGCGTCTAAGAAAACGTCAACAAGGCCCTTAGGGGCAAGGACAAAGAGTCAGGTAGTAGGCAAGGGTGCGGTGTCGTGGCTGGGGTAGTCGGAGTGGTTCTGTTATACATACGATGCCTTCTACCACCTCAGCCATAGCACCAGCAAGAGGAGGAAAATAGGAGAAAGGGTAACGTTGCTATTACTTTATGTTTCACCCTCCTACCCCGGAACTGACCGGAATGGTGGATCCGCTAATCCTTTTCCTCGTGTATGCCGGAACACCCTACTGCTTAGTACACATAGATGTAGTATGGTTTTGGTCTTGGTCTTGTGTCGGGTTTGGGTTATATGCGAGGAAAGGGTTAGCGGATCTATTATCTGGGTCGGTTCCAGAGTAGGTGATTGAAATAAAAACCAACAGCAATGTGATCCTTTCTTCTTTTTTCCTCCTCTTACTAGTGCCATGGCCGAGGTGGTGGAAGGCATCGGCTATATAACACTACCCCGACCACCTCAGCCACGGCACCACATCCTTTTCACTTTAAACGAGGTAAAACCTTCAATAGATCGAAGGATTTATGAGAATAATCTGAAGCTGTTCTGATACCGTCGAGTCCTATCAATTGAACCATTGAGTCTGATAGATTGATGACGTATTCCAACCAATCAAAATGAAATCATCTTTAGAGTTAATCCCCGCCTTTCACCATGACTGGTGGGTTGTTCTTTGATAGCTGACCTTATTTCGACCTCATCTCTACGATAGTGCGATATATTCCATTCTAGTCTGAAAACTATGCGAAATATCAAAGAGAACATGAGATTTCTTTCCATTGGCTTTGGAGTGAATTAACTTTTTGGGCTGTTCCTTCCTCTTTGAACAAGACTTCCTGTCAAAAGCATTCTGTAAAAGACAGAAAACAATCAAATCAAATAAAAGAATGATGCAGGGCAGGTACACTATTCAGTTAGTCCTAGTTTCTTTATACTTTCCATTCAGATCTTCTGTTTGGAGTGCTTGTGCCTTTCTATCACCCAGCTTCTGCAGGTGAGACAATTCTAGCACGTTCATGGAACGTACGTAGTTAGCTCGCTACATCAAATCCTGGTTTAATCCACGCCTTATAGAGCAATGATTGGTTTCATGGTAGACCCTTTAGTGGCCAGGCTGGAAGAACCTTCTGAAAGTTAGGGCTTGGAGATACCCCCGGCTGCGGGTCCATCCATGGGTGTTGACATGGATATTCAAGTGAACAAGATCAGCAAGATCCCGTAGGCAATCTACATGCATACATATAGTAATCTTGAAAGGTCAGATATATCTAAATAAGTGAATTCGTGTTGACTTGCTTAACTCAACGTACCAATTTCCTCCCCACGTACTGCGAAAACCATATTGTTAAATATTCACTTCCATGCTCCACATGAACTCTTAGGAGTTCTATGTTTGCAAAGGTACTCCTGGGTAAATACTTCCTTCAAGTTACTATATCCGAATGCATGCTCGTCGTTGCCTAGTGTCAATGTTCTGTGACGAGAATTCCAATTCTCGAGTCGATGTCAGCCAAATAAGGGAATAGGCACGCTCATTTAACGCAGCTGCGCTGCCTACCAAGGCTGCGGCGACTGCTCAATTGTGCAGAATGTGCAACTTGCTGCAGAATAATTGTCGGATAGTACTGTGCAGGCTTCGAGGCATTGTGGTGGCTGCCACAATCACAAGTCCAAAACTGTTACTATGTCAAAAGCCCAGCAGAGAGCATACAATAGAGGAAAGGAATCATAATAATCAGTGATAAAATTAGGCAGGATCTGTTAGTCACAGTACAACGTCCGATAAGAATAGAACGAGGACCTCAAGCCCACGGGTGAAGTCACCTCTGTTGAAAAACACCTGCACTTCTTCATCTCCTTTCCTTTCAATTTCCTCCTCAATGTCATAAAATCATGAAAATGCATCCATTAGAACCATGGTCACATTCATCATCATCGTTCCATCGTCATTCATTGCAGTGAACGGGGGTTCCCGAGCAACCCCTAGCTGCACTTTTCATGCTTCTCATGGAGCTTGGTCAGTCGCTGCATGTTGAGACCTAATATCGGTTAGTTTCTCGTGCCAAAGATGCAAGAAAATTCAAGCCTCGCTAACTTACCGATGTCTTCCCAGGAGCGCTCTCTATCCCCCTTACGCGGACCTTTTCCGTGCATCAGGTTGTCGAAACGTTGGGAATTATGCATCACAAGGTAAGCCAGTGCGTTCACACATGACACTCCGAAGGAAAGAACCCACACACGGACGACAGTTGGCCAGGATGTGGCTTGACCAAAGGCACCATATGCGGCCATCAGGGTTGCAGTCAGATTGACAGCAAACACCGCAGCGACGAGGTAAAGCGATGGGCGATTAGCCCAGGAAAATCCGTTATCAGTACCAGCTCCACTGACGCGGGTTATCAGAATTAACCAGCTCTGGGTCAGAGCAATCTCAAGGAACAGGACCTCATCTCGCGAACCCCAGCCTTCGATAACACCACCGTTCTTGCCTTGCAACAGCATAGTGCCCAGGGTCACCCATGTGCCGGCTGCCAGAATGAACCCCAAGACAATTGATTCTCCCCAGAGTCTGGGCTGGTTCCATTTGACAGGAGACTGAGAATAAGATGCATTGTCATAAGCAATGGCCAAGGTCGCAACGTCGGCAAAGATGGCAAGGAGGACAATAAGGCGGAGGTCAAGGGTCTCATTCTTGATCACCATCCAGAGCCCTAAGAAGAGTTCCAGGTGAATGGACAAAGCAATTCGGAACGCAACATATGAGTACACACGGTGGAAGATTTGGCGAGCGATCTTGATGGCCTCGATAATGGTGGACAAGCCAGGTTCCAAGAAGACAATATCAGCAGCAGAGCGGGCCGCATCGGATGCGCCCTCGACTGCAATACCCGTGTCTGCCTTCTTCAGAGAAGGAGCATCGTTCACACCGTCGCCAGTCATTGCCACCAGATAGCCGCGTCGCTGAAGGATCTCTACCACACTGTACTTGTGCTGTGGGTACACTTCTGCGAACCCGTCAGCGGCCTCGACAAAGTCATTCACCTCCGAGCCAGACATAGAGCCGGCGCCGGTGAGACCAAGTCGTTCAGCGTTGTAGATATTCGTTCCAAGTCCGAGTCTACGCGCCGTCTCGCGCGCAATGGCAACCGCATCTCCGGTGAGCATCTTGACAGATAGTCCCAGCTCTTGGGCCTCGGCCACTGTCTTAGCAGTGTCGTGGCGTGGGGGGTCCAAGCATGGCATGATTCCCAGAATCTCCCAGGGGCGGCCTTGGCGCTTGCGGGCAACACCCAGTGCACGGAATCCTCGGCTAGCAAACTCATTGACCTTTTCCTCGTACTCGGCGAAAAACTGGTCACACAGTGTCGTGTCCTTCTCCACTGTTCTCAGGATCGTCATGGGAGCACCCTTCACACAGATGATCTTCTCACCATCCAGAGCTTGCACATATGCAGTCACCTTCTTTGACACTGGATCAAACGGAGTGAACTCGAGAGTCTTGTACAGGGGAATTTGAGATTTGGCCCACGGGTACTTGCGGAGATCCTTCAGGAATGCCTTGTCGATGGGATCAATTCCGCCCTTCTTTCGAATGGCCGCGAGACAGGCAACCAGCATAAGCTGTTCGGCATCCATTCCAGGAGCAAGATATGGCTCTCCCAATGTCAGTCTGTTACGTGTCAGTGTTCCAGTCTTGTCCGAACAGAGGATCTCCACTCCAGCCAACGACTCAATTGCCGAGAGCCTTTTCACGATGGCCTGACGCTTTGCTAGGTAAGCTGCACCAACGGCCATTGTTGTCGTGACAACCACGGGAAGGCCGACTGGGACCCCGACGACGGTGATCGCAAGCGTGAACTCGAGTATCTGGACAATTGGGTTTGAACGATAATAACTGCTGACCCACACAACTAAGAGGGTGAAAAACACCAGCAACAGCAGAACATCGGCCATGTCGCGCAAGACGCGGGTAAAGTGGCCAGTGGTATTGCCAGCCTTGTTAACCAGGACGGCTGTATTTCCGACGGCGGTACGATCACCAATGGCAGTCACAACTATGAACCCAGTCCCACGTTTGACAGCCGAAGAAGAAAACAGAAAATCCCCTTTATGCTTATCCACGGCGAGAGATTCTCCCGTAATTCCAGACTGATCAACCTGAATATTGGCTTTGTCACCTATGAGTCTGCCATCTGCCGGAATGATTGTGCCCTAAAGCGAATGTTAGGCTCAATGTCTTTTCTCTTCTCGGATCATTATGAACTCACGTCTTCCACGTAAACGATGTCGCCAACAACGACCTCTTCAGCACCTATCTCCACGGTGGAACCGTTACGAACGACCTTAGTCATCAGGGCAAGACTTTTCTTGAGGTGGTCGATAATGTTGCCAGCCTGGTACTCCTGGACAAATCCGACCACGGCATTCAATACGAGCAGACCGCAGATTATTCCGAAATCAATCCAATCTGCCAAGCCGGCGGCTAGCAAGATGGTAACCTGGAATTGGGAAATTTTTGTCAGCAAATGCTTTTTCCAATTAGACCATAATGTCCAATGACGGATGGTGTTGCTTACCTCCATAACCCACTGGACAGGGCCATGGAATAACAAGATGAAATTGATAATATGGTTCCGTTTCTGTTCCTTCAGACGATTCCAGCCATACTTCTTGCGCCGAACCGCCACCTCTGCGTCGCTGAGGCCCTCCTCGGCCTTAGTTTCCAGCATCTCAGGAGGGATTGCGCAAACCTCCCCACTCTGAATAGTGACTGCGTCCATGTCAGGCTCGTCTCCATCTTCGGCATGAAGATCATCAAGCAGGTCATCCAGAGACTGTTCGCCTTCTCCCTGGGAAGAGGTAGGGGGCTTCGACGTCTCGGGGAGGGAAAGGTCGTCATTTTCCTGAACCCCAGCGACGTAATCTTTGCTCTCGCTGATGGTGGAATCATGCGTTTCGAATTCGGAAGCCACATTGGAATCGATTTGAGGATGATCATCAGGTGGTGTCAGCTTGCGCCTGGAACGACCGCGTCGATCTTCCTGGGCCTTGGCACCAGCAAGCAGGCTGGAACGAAACAGTCTAAGTTGATCTTTCTTCTCGGCTACCAGGCTGTCGCGCTGTTCGCCTTCTTCCTCACCGGAAGAGTCATCGAGGCTGCTGAGGCTTTCACGAAACATCCGATATGCCTCCCTATCTTTCTCGTCCAGCGAACTATTGTGCTCGGTATGACTGTCGCCATGTTGTTCCTTGTTAGGAATAGCGGCCTTGTCAGAGTGAACATCAGGTTTGCCAAGCTCTTTGGACAGGGAAGATTGCTCTCCGCCGAAACCCAAGTCCGAAGTACCCAACGGGCCAGTCGAGGACTTTGCAATGAATTGTCCCAGGCCACTGGTCTGGATTGGAGGCAGCTCGGAATGGCCTCGTCGCTTAAAGGGACTAAAAGATCGGTAGTGTTGCTGGACACGTTCCTGGTAACGGCCCCGTTGCTCACTTCCAGGCGGCGGAAGAGTAGCGGAAGATGAAAGTTCGTCTTCAGCGTTGTCTTTAGTTGCGGGTTTGTCAGGTGGATGACTTCTGAGCGGCGCGTTTCGTGGGTCCATTATGTCAGACTTGGGTCTGGCCATGATGGCGACTAGACCGCTGAGAAAAACTGAAAGAAGTTAGCAAACTGTCAAACAATCGGGCAGCGGGCACATTTTCAATTCACATGCTCATACAGATGGTGGGAGATGATACATCATTGATATGATACAACAAAACCGGATTCAAAACAGATGCGACGACACAGTGGGAGTATGCAGCCCTTCAAAAAAACATGCCAGGCTCTCAACAGATGGAACAAACACAAGCCGGACTTACCTGAAAGAGATAATTTGTGCTTTGGCTTAAAGCGATGTGATGGGTGAGTTGATGGGGAAAGGAAGATATCGCGATGGGTGGAGGAGGAGAAAGAGAAGCAAGCGCCGAGATCGAGGAATTTATCTCGAAGGAGCGACCCTCGACGCCAGGTGCCAGCAGACACCAACCTTGGAACTAGGCGCCAGCAACTATGGACAACACGTGCTTCATTACAGACGCCTGCCTGCTCTTCGTTCGATATACACTGTCCTTTATCTTCCGATAGAGAACGGGGCCATTACTGTCGACAATGAGCTCTTTCGTTCTTCTATGGAGATTAACCGGACCCACGGCAATGTGACTCGCGATACCGTCCAAACACATAAGTAGAAATAGTATACCAACCTATCGAAGCCTAGAGATGCATTTCCAGGCTACGATTCAGCAATTATTTTGCGGTCGCGCAGCCTAGCATCGCGGCCTAGGGCCAAACAAGTGGCAGCCAACATACACCGGTCAGGTGAACCATGGAATGGCGCGTTATATAAGCTTATCGCAGCCTTGGATCACGCATGGATGGATTGGGCAAACTTGGAAGGCTCATGTCACATTGAATAGAGCTCCAGCCATCAGATTACGGCGCGACAAAGGTCGCGAATATTGCCGTTGCATGTCACATTGCCGGGGCCTAGATAAACTTCAGTAAGGGTTTACGACTGCGTTGATACTGGGTCACCAAATTGGTATATTGACTATTGATTTCCAAATATCCAGTGTGGTAAGCGCGATTCAGAAAGTTGACTCGCATGTTTGATATCGAATGGGACATATAAATCATAACATGGAGCGAGTCTGGAGTTCATTGAGTTGATATGTGTAGGGTACGCTGGAAACAAAAGAAAAACAAAAACAAAAGGATGTTCGCGCATCGTGTCATCCTCTTAGGGCAGTTATCAAAAGTTTGGCCTGAGGCATAAATCTGACATTTGATATTACATAATCTCACGTCACTCCCGAACTTTCAGATTCAATGCGCGGGTGATAACCTTCTCCGTGTGTAAATCAAAAGATCTTCTGAATCTGATATTAAATAGACCTATTTTTTGTGTTTACATTCATCTGTGTTGAGGTCAAATCCACTATGATTGTTTGTTTGTGCTAGACACTCGAAAGTGGAAGTCTCATGACCATTTCGATGACTTGAACATAGCTGGACTTCCCTCTTTGTGCATTCTCCCTGATCTTTACCTCTTGCAACCTCGCGTGTCATCTACAGTTATGGCTCGTGAAATCCCAGGGTTCTATTATGGTAAGTCGCGTTGTGATGCGTTCCTTCCCTTTTGCCCGGGTATGCGAGGGCAGTACGTAAAGGCGCGTTCTGCTATATGCCAGTCACACAAATAGGCTGAATAGTACTGTCTAGACCATGGTCTACTGTTATATGTTTGCCATGATCAACTACCTGCTACAAAACATGAACTTTTTTTTGTCTCATACTGACCAAATATTACAGACGAGGAGAAGAAGAAGTACTTCAAGATTCAAGCCAACCATGTCGCACCTCCAAGTGCACAATATACACAGCAATCTGTGAAGCGAAAGCGGTCTGAGCTGAAGGTCAGTGCAAGAGACCCGAGTGTATCATTACATTCGCTAATCAATCGCAGACACGTGAAAACAAGTCACGATTCAGACAACGTGAGAGTAAAGAGACGATCAGAAAGGCCGCATCGTTGAGGCGGCCTTTGGTTAATGTCCACAGAGAGATAGGAACCCTTGTATCCTCCAGTGCCAGACAAGAGCAGCAGGCTCGCATTCAGGCCAGCCAACTGCACCGTGGAGAACTTCATCGTTTTGAGCCATGGCCCAATTCGTACAGTATCCGACATGTCTTGCGCAACCCACGTTCTGGGACATTGATTGCCGGTGAGTTTCATTGGCTTTTAGTATCCCGATACGTGGCTAACATGCAGACAAGGCTCGGCTCGCGGATATGAATCATCTGTATCGTAAGTTGACGTCGCAGTCAAGTGTCAATTCTTACTAACCAGAAAATAGGGTCTGCTTTCCTGACATTGACGGGTCACAGTGGAGATATGATTACACCATGGAACGGGTTCTATTCAGAGAGCCATACTGGGTGAGCACATTCGTCCCAGCACCTCCTTCCACTGAAGGCATATTTAACACCTCTTCTAGTTAGGCTCGATGTCTTTGAGCTCGTCAGGATACCTCCTGTACGTCTCCAGAAAAGGACATCCAGTAAACTTACAGCTAACGGCTGCAGTGCAACAATGAACGAAGGACCGCAAGGTGACTGCTTCCTTTCGGCTCATCTCCTCCCGGAGCCTGACGAAGGCGGCAACTATGTCTGGCCAACCTGTATGATTCCATATTTACCTCCATTCCTGGGAATTGTGCTTACTAAGTCTTCTCAGTCTCTCATCCAATTCGGATCAGGCCCCACTACCCAATGTCCTTTTGGTGCTCCGCGGCCCAGCCTACAGCATCAAGCGCTCACTTTGCCATAGGAACTTCCGAAGGGCTGCACACCCTAGAGGGTACCACTAGCCACTGGAGTCTATCAAAGAAGCCATTCAAAGGCAATACGGTCTCCACGAGCAACAGAAGACGCTCGGAGCACAACCAGAACAAAACTAGCGTGCATGCCGTGGAATGGATGTCGCCAGACGTGATAGCGGCGGGACAGAAAAACTCCAACATTTTCCTCCACGACCTGCGTAGTGGTGGTAGTGCCACTCGTCTCCAACACAACGATGCCGTAATGGAAATGAAGAAGATGGATGAGAATCGGCTCGTAGCGGCAGGACCCAGTTCGGTATGTCGCATCTGCTCTTCCTTCTTTCTCTCCTACGTGACACGACGTTGGGTGTTAGCTGACATTCATATCAGCTTCGAATGTACGACCTCCGCTTCGCGCCAGAGGCGCCAAAACGTCATGGCTCCTCGAAGGCCTACCTCAATTTTCACGAATTCTCCTCAATCCCGCTCCCAACCTTCGACCTGAGCACTGAACTCGGTCTGTTGGCTAGTCGTATGTTTCCTTTGAACATCAGAATACCCCAGATTTGATGCATCGCTAACATACACCTTGCTTTAGCCTCCCAGGACTGCAAAATCCAGCTCTTCTCGCTTCAAACCGGACTACAGGTCTCCTCGCCTCTCACGGGGCATCAATATTCCTCACCACCTAGCTGTGTGCGATTCGAGTATGGGAATGATACCCCGGAGTGGCGGGGGCCGCATGGACCGAGCTTATTGGTCGGCACGGATGATGTAGTTGAACAGTGGACCTGGTAGGAGGGAATTCTGGCGCAGGTTATTTATTTCGTCGTTCCAGCTTCTCTGGCATGGGGATCTTCTCTGGTATGGGGGAATTTGTGCATGGTCTTCGGTGTTTCTCGGGGATTTTCTCTTGAACTATTTTTCTATTATGTGCTGGCGTTCGAACACAGCTAGTTATGTGGATCTATGCTGTATGGTTATTATGTCCTTCATGCAAGCGTCTACTTCACTGTGGTAGGTAAGGGATTGTTAGCGACGTCGAAATCTCTATGGTATCTCGCAACTCCGCCTCCTATGCACACAGTAGGAATTGGCTAGTCAAGGGGGTAAGTTCGATAATCGTGGACCTTGTAACAACGCACAAGGCCACAATCTACAAGTGATTCAAGCATTTGAGTGATGTAGGTGATGGCCAAGTAAAATAATAACAAGGGTATAATTGACCTAACACGTAAAACCAGTATGCAATGGAATTCCAACAATCCAGGAACTCCCGTTGGTAAATGCAAGAACATTCGCCAGTACAAGGACCAAAACCCGCTCCGACATTACTCCCAAGGAAAAGTGAATTAGTCCAGACCACCAGCCAACCACTCACCAACCTCGACACCAATACCCTTAGCCAGTTCACCGACCCAGTCACCAGAGACATTGACACACCATTTATCTCCCGCATCAGCAGTGGTATTCCCACTGCTAGTCGCCATAGCGTTATGGCTAGCAGCGGGGACGACAAGCCGCAGGCGTCGCAGCGTTGCCAGTTCGGCGTAGATACGGTCTGCGACGGCAGCAACTCGAAGTGGGGTTGCTGGGGGGTTCGGGTCAATCGCATGGTAGATAGCCAGGAGACGTTCTAAGGGGAAGGAGCGAGCAGTGAGGATGGTAGATGGGCCGGCGATGCCTGCGCCACCTCCGACTGCCGACGTGGTAGCCGACGAGGTCGCGAAGGCGGAGGAAAGGGTTGATTTCGTGATGCGGGTTTTAGTTCGCTTTCCTTTCTTGGGTGTCGAAGGGTCATCGTTTGCGGCTTGTCTCTCTTCTGCTTGTGCTTGGGAGAGGACTTTCAAACGCCGGCGATGATGAGCACGCTTGTTCCGGGCTGAAAGAGATGATGAGGAGAATTTGGAGAAGAAGATTGTGTCCAGCCGTTGAGGCGTGTGCGAGGCCAGATATGCGGACGTGAGGATCAGGGTCGAGAAATATGGTAGAGAAGGGAGAGCTGAAGGCATAGAGGATTTTGCCAGCGGAGTGCGTTTCGCGCCGGCAGGAGTCTCATCCGGGACAATGCGATGCACCAGCGCAGACTCGCCCTGGTGTCGGAAGATAGCTCTGTTTTTGACAAGCAGCCGCGAGAAATCCCACTCATTGTTTTCGCCTGGGGGCGTCTCGCCATTTACTACAGGCGCAACAAATCGAGGCCACAATCTCTCACATATGGACCGGAAGTCCGGTATGGAACCTGCTGTTGGTCCGACCAATGAATCGTAGACTGTAGATACAAAGTACGGGTAGACCCGCGAGGAGGTTTCGTCGGGCAACCCATCAACGACCGGCGCATTCGAACTGAGAATAATGTGGATGGCCTCCTTACGGGTATAAGGAGGGAAACTGACGTGCGGAACCGCGGCATTTTGGAGGAACAATGGCCGAGGAGTTGAGCTGAGGACCAGAACAACACACAGAGATGGAATCTACAAATCATCCAGTTAGTCAAAGCATTCTACACCCAACAAAACTCATCGAAAGCCAGAACTCACGATCTCGCCTAGCCGTGCAAGCGCTGACAGCAGGGTATGCGGCGCTTCTCTTTGCCTATCAATCTCGTCCAGCACCAGCACGAATTTGCCTTGGTGCTCAATGGGCCTTGCTGCCAGGCACTCCTCAAGCAAGACTGCAAGGCCACTAACGTGCTCGCATCTTCCCTTGCCGGATTTCTCCCATTCTTCTTTCTGGGCTATTGCCTCTAGTGTATTCCATAGAATTTTCGTTAGGAGATGCCGTCCCGTAATACATTCCGAGCTCCTGACAATGGCGTGTGGGACTTCGAGCGTAGCGAGGACGGCTCGGAGAATAGTTGATTTGCAGGTTGCAGAGATACCATGGACGACCAATGTTGGAGGACTAGGAACGTGAGGCTATTCAAATAGCGTTCGAGGTCAGCCGCTTTCTCCAAGGATGGCTTGCGAATGTAAGGAAGTTGGCATAGTAAACTCACGGTTAAAAGACTAGCTAACTGCCGTATTTGAACATCTCGACAAGGCCATTGTGGGCTCAATGAGCTGACCACCTCTTTAGGTAGCATGAGAGGCCCAGTAAGTTTGTTTCGAACCTCGTATACTGAATTGCCAAAAGCGAGTTGCGGCACCTTGGTGAGTCCGAAAGGCTCCCTTTGTAACTCACGTGATCACGCGTCGCGCTGCCAATTTGGCTACAAAGCTAAAAGAAATTACAAACCAAAGAAAATCTAGGTATCTACGAGGTTCGGTTGAATAGAGAAAATTGTATGAAAACTTAATTCAGCTTTCCATTGCTAAAATACATGCGAAAAGTGTGTGTAGGATCATGCGTGATGAAGATCTGGCCCAGAGACCAAATTGGCACTCATCAATCTTGAGTAGCAAGCTGACCAGGAAATAACCAAGGTCATCAAGGGATAAAGACTCCAGAGCCATTGTATCCACGCTAGGTTCAGCTTGCAACAAATGAACCAATGTAAAAAAAAAAACGGGGCACAGCACAAAAAGCAGTTCGAAAAAAGCAAGGCGCAAAAGTACAACGATGAATGGGTAAAAATAAATGTTGAAAATCACAATGTGGAAGGGGAAAAAAGAAAATCAAAGGCAAAACAAGGAAATAGAAAAAAAAAAAAAAAGATCCCAAACTGGGAGACCAGTCCTCAAAGCACAGCAATAGAATACCAGATAGTTCAAGGAACAATCCAAAACTATCGCCAGATAACCCCCAAGGCCTAGAGATGGAAGGCATTGGGGAGAGGGGTAACCGCCAGGGGGAAAGGGGGAAACAAGAAATACATGTTGGGAAACAAAGGAAGCAGGAGAACATAGTTCGAAGTCTGCATCATGCACGGGTCGCTTCATGAAAGGTATGCAATATGCAACATGGGCCAAATGCAATGATCATGGCACATTGCTTCAAAGGTGTATGCAGTAAAACGCAATGGTAAATCATGGGATAAATGATCATGGCATGTGCAATTGATGTAGGCCCAGTTCGATGACAGTGTAAAAGGCAACCATAAAATCGTAAAAAAAAAGAAAGTTTCGTCGCATCGTCTCACTATGAGTACACTGGGGTTGTGAAAGACAAGGACTGATGTGGGTGTCCCAAACCCAATCAGAAGTAGTTCTGGATTTGCTGTGATCCAAGCTTCACGGACATCTGGGAGGTAGAAGCGGTGTAAACAGACGAGGTATCACTTTGTCCCGAAGGAGTGTTGGAGACAGAGCTCTGCGAGGATTGAGGCAGATAAGTCTGGGTGCTGTATCCGCTGGATGAGCTCGAAGACTGTGTACCAGGCTGATGGTATGTGAACCCCTTCTGCAGCAAGGTCTTGGGGATCTGTGCACTGCTGGTCATATCATTGGGGGTGACCTGGCCGCTAGTAGTAGCGCTACTACCGTTGCTACGGTTGTTGGTATCCGCAGCCATGATCTTGCCAGCAATACGACGACCATGGGGAGTCTGGCGGATAGACGGAAGAATTGGGCGAACAGCCTCCACAATACGGTTGCGAGTCTCGAGATCACAGAAGTCCATGGCAGTCTGAACAACATAGTTCGCGAATGAATCACGGAGCATCTTTTCAAGCTCATTTCCCATGAGGAACTCGTCAATCATCTCACGCTTCATGTAGTTGTCGGCGGTCCGGAGGCACTTCTCGATCACGTTGGAACTGAACTTTTGCTTGGACAGCTGAGGGATATTGCCTCCAAAGGTAGCACACAGTGGGTTGGTGAAGCTAGGCTCCGCAAGGTCCAGAATGTATTGCACAACATAATTTCCGAACGGATCCTGGACCAAAGCAAACGAGTGCGAAGTAATCTGCGAAATCAGGCGAGCCTTCTGATGACCCGAAGCGTGATCGATGCAACGTTGGAGGACACAACATCCATGGCGATGTGTACCAACGACTACACAATTACCCCCAACGGCCTCATAAATGAACTCGGCATCCTCGGGTGTGAGGCGGTTGAGACATTTCTGGATAACGTGGTTGCCGTTCAAATCCTGTACCAGCTCAACGACGTGATATTGCAACGCATTGATTACTGTTTGGGTCTGCTGGGGGGTCGAGATGAATTCGATCATCTTCTGGAGTGCACGCGTTCCATGCTGATTCAGGGCAATCTTAACCAAGTCAGACGCAGCATTGTCGATCAAAACAGTCCGTTGTTCGTCGTTGGAGAATTCTAGCAATTTCTGGCAAAGATAATTTCCGAATGGATCTGTTGAGGGAGAAATGTTAGTAAGGGTTAAAAAGCAGGTGTTAGATATGTTTCATACCGGTCATGAGTTCAATAACATGCATGTAAGTCTCACTGAAAATCAGCTGCACATGATCCGGGTTACGCTCTTCCAACTTGCGCTGCAGGTACCGACAACCATGCTGGTCCTTGCACAGACTGTACAATTCACCCTTGTAATGCTCCAGGGGGTAGTTGCCAAAACGAGTGAGCTGGGTAGCATCATTCTCCTGGCGACGCTGAGCCATGTTACCTCGAGCTGCAGACTCATTAAAGCGGAACCCAGGGCCATAGCCGGGATAGGCATTGTTGAAGGTGGAACCTCCGCCGAAGTGTTGCAAGTGACCGTTGATTGGGGTTGCTTGGCCGACATAGGGCTGGATTCCATAATTGAAGGCAGGAACCGCAGGGACTTGGAATGGTAATCCCATTGGAACAACCGCACTAGAAACATGGTTGGCAGGTGCAGGCGAACTGAGCTGGGGCCCAAAGGGTGGAGCACTCGCGTGCAGAGTCGATTGAGTGCCATAGAACTCGGTCTCATCGAAGTCGGTCTTAGCCTGGTTATTCACACCATTCTGGGAAATGCGTCCCATGCTTGTATTGTGATGGTGCATGTGCTCATTGTGGGTGTTGGGAGGAGTAATAGTGGTACCCGCTCCATTTCCCTTGATAGTAGGCAGATCATTAGTTGAGTATGATGACTGCAGAGCAGTGGGCCGGCTCGAGGGAACTGGGGTAGCTGTCTCATCATGGCGGTCTTCATGGAAGGAGATCTGGCTTCCCATAGAACGACGGGCGCTGTGGCGCGAGGTCTGAACAGAGTTGCCGTGATCCTCATTGTTCTGGCTTCCCACCTGGTCCAAGCGCCCAAAGTTGTGAATGTTCTGCGGCATGCTCTGGTGAGACGATCGGTGACGATTATGGTTGGAATAATTATCGGAGCCCGGCGCACGAGGGTTGGCGAGATCATGGGCGTCAGGATTTGCCGACAACACGTTTGAGTCACCACGACGGGACAGAGTTGGGAATTTGTCATCAGGCTCGGTCAACTTGATATAACTCTTGATGTCAGGAGTCGAGAGGCGTTCTAGCTCCCTCAGGTGGCTGTGGGGCTTGTCCTCGTCACTAGGGAAAAGATACTTGGGGACGTTGAAGCTGTCAAGGCGTGATCCATTCAAGCCGGAGATACTAGACCGATGAGACTGGCCATTCGGATTGCCGGAGGGCAGCGAGTATCGATGAGCAGCACTAAAGAAAATTAGCAAGGCCCTCGGTACCACAGCTCAAAACGAAGAATGTTTCAACTCACGATGGGCCTGATCTGAATGGGGAAGTAGGATCAGCAAGGAAGTCGTCCTTCTCGGAGTTTCGGCGGGAACCAGGGACAGAGTGTCCAGCAAATCGATCAATCGAGGGCTGGACGGGCTGGGAAGTAGCCTGGGGCGAAGTCAAGTTCGAAGGGGCAAAAGCGTTAAAGAAGCCGGGCGAAGAGGTAACACTCGAGGTGGAAAAACGAGCAGGGCGGCTAAAGGCATTCGACACAGTAGTATCTCGATACTCAGGCGGGGTGGTTGGCTCGCTGACTGGGCCAGAGATGCCAGCCTGAGCCAAGTCCCGAGCGAGCTGGTCCATTTCCAGCTTCTCGCGAGCGTGTTGAAGATCTAGCATTTTCATGTCTTCTTCAAACCGGCGTTTCTGTTCACGCATGTACTCGATGTGCTGTCTCTTTTTCTCAAACTGCTGAAGTGGTTAGATATGATTCCCAGATTGAATGATCAAGGCAAAATAGTATGGGAGGTTTGGGCAAGATATCAGCTTGAACAAAGTGAGGGAGTGTAAGCTCAACAACTCAACCGAAGAAAGTTATCGAAATTGCACAAGTATCGCCTAAGACACTTCAAAAAACACTTCAAGAAACAGATATCTCCATAGACCACCAAAACAATTGTTTGCATGAGGAAACACGAACCGAACACCAAATGTGAAGATAAAAAGCAACGGGAATGTGACGTAGAATCAACGGGAATATGACGCAGAATCAACGGCAAATAAAGCAGTTTCAGTAGCACAGGCAGTGACTTGTTCGGACCTGAAGATATGAAACAGACGGAGAGATAAAGAGGCAGAAAGGAAAGAAAGGAAGAAGTATCGGGGTGTAGTTTTTATACCAACCCGGATCGGATCGCAGCCTAGCAGGCAAGACTATATCTCAAGTCTGAATAGGCTCAGAATGGATGGAGTTGAAGCACCAATAGGTGTCAATCACGCCAATAGCTTCGGCAAGCTGCCTAAATAACGAAATGGAAAAGGAAATGGATGGGAAACAATGGGACGATTGAATAAAGGAGATAAGAATGATGAATGGGGATGGATGAATGAATATAGATGAAGAGAGATGAATGGTAAGGTGACGGATCAATAGTGCATGTGGGAGCCTCATCAACTCCAGGCTGCAGGGAGAGCCAGAAACTGACACAGCTTCCAGGCACCTCAAATCTTGGATTTTGAAGACACCAATTCATCCAAGTCCATTCATCGACCCAAATTCAATGATAAAAGGCATGTGTGTTCAATGCAGAGGGGCAATGGCTAACTCATAAAAGAAATTTTAATCTTACCGAAGACAACAAATCCAATGGATCTTGCATCTGGCCCGAACCTGAACTAGGACTTGAGCCAGATCCTGAGCTTGGATTCAAATAATTCCAGGATGAGAACTTGCTCGAATCAGTCGTAAACCGACGTTGCAGGTTCGCTCGAACATCTCCAGCCGGGCGAGACGAGAATCCCGATCCAAAGTTCGAATGACCCGGGGAAAGAGACGTGTACCCAGGGAATGCAGACTCCGAGGGCGGGGATCGTGGGGATGGGAAGCGCAGCTCGTCGAGGCGTTCACTCAGCCCATGCTTGAAGGCCATCGTGGGCAGCGCAGCCGAATTGTTCAACTATACACCAAAAATGACGTCCAATCAGCAAATATAGGGATTTGTTGACGCCAAAAACGGATTTTTAGGGGAGCTTCTTGGAGGAAGCAATTACGACCAGCCCCAGATATTTTGATACCACGTCCGTTGATCGGGGAATATCCGAATTGGAGGAAAGGTTGGGCTGGCGGTGTGTTGTCGGCGTCTTAAGCAAGGGGAAACCGAGGAGAGGGGCTGAGGGGTTGGCCAGGCGGAGACGATCTGCGCTCACAAAAAGGACCCAACTCACACAATGAACGCCTCGAGAGGAGTCAAATCCGGTCGATGAGAGAAGTGCTATACGATTTCAGGTTGCGCAAGTCATCTATGGGCAATTTTGACAGAAAATATCGTGTGTGCCTGACGGTGCGGAGATCAGCAGGGAGTTGCAGAGTGGGATAGAGCTCCTCTTACCGCTTCGACTTAGCGAACACCGAGGGATCGAAGGGGCGAAATGAGCGTGTCGCGTGGGGGAAATACAACCTAACAATGACCCAAACAAACGATACAAAACTGTTGTACAAAAGGGGAGTTGCAAAGAGAGAGAAAGAGAGAAGAGGAAGAGGGGGAGAGAAAATGGCTGGGAGTCCAGATCAGAGCGGGGAGATCCTTTTTTAGGAGATGACTGTGCTCTTCTTTTTTTTTTTTTCTTTTTTTGAACTATTCTGTTTCTATTATTTTTCCTTTTTGTTTTTATCTAAGAATGAAACGGCAATGGTCATCTTATATTATATTATTTATATGTATTCTCAAGTTTCTATATAAATATTTGTTGTTTCCACGCTCTCTCTCCGGGTGAGGCGCCAAAAACAATATATGTTCCTTATACTCTATCTCTCCCCACTTCTGTACTTGTCTAGTATATCGCCAACACAACTTGACGGCCACAGCAGATGATCGACCAGCAGTTACTCGGAAATTGATCGGGTTCTACTGATTGGAGAGCCTCCGTTGTCTGTACTACTTAGGCTCTTTTGTCCCGGGAAGAGCCCGGGGTAATCAATGGGCGATAGTTCCTGCGAGGCCATGAAGCGGCTACCAATGGTCAATTCCATGATGGACTGGGGATGGGCTGTACGCGAGAGGAAACCATTGTGCTAGGACTCCGGTAAGGGGGGTTTCAATGGGTAGAGCGTGGCATCTGCAGATGCATTTGGCCCCTCTGAACAGCCACTTGTGGAGACCGAAGTGATCAAAGTGCCCGAAGATGTGACAGCGGATCACCCTCTAAGGTAGTTAGGCGCCTGTACGGAGTACGGAGTACCTAGATCCTATGAAATTACTGTTGAAAGAGATACTTAAGAGGATTAATATCCCACTAGGCATATCAGACCAATAAAATAGGGGGTTCGATGGAAAACCCTTGGAATGGTTCGCGGCGACTCACCCATGGGTTGTTTGCTTTTCTTTGTTCTCGTTCCACGGGTCCAATTCCTTTCTTTTCGCCTCGTTTTTTCCATATACTTTTTCATACTGGAATTTATTAACCTGTTAACTTCCCCATATCACATTCTGCAGGCTCTCAAATGTCAGGACAAGCGGTGTAAGTGCCACCAGCGCTGATCCGCGTCGCTTGGAGCCCCTAATCCACCGAATGACAAGCATACGAGGGGATCCTCTAACCCCAGTCATCCTTATTATTTTATTCACACATCGGGATCGCCAATCATGGACCACTTTTTTCCCCTCTATTCTTGTATCGATGTACTTTCTGTTTATATATTATTAAGATTTCCGATCTGAGCTGAGTACTCGCTACGGTCTGTGCTGATCACTTAGGAAATCTCCAAGTGATGGTCCATCGGTCCATCGAACCCCAACTTTGCACGAACTAGTGTACTAGTTCCTTAAATGACTATGGTCACGCTTGTAATACCAATGATTCTACTCCGTAAACATAATGGGACTCAGAAACCCACTTATTGACGCCCAAGTTGAACCAAGTTTAATTACTTTCTTTCATGCCCAACGCCTGACTTGCGCCTCCGAGATTGACTGGCTGCCTCAAGTTTTAAATCGCGAATCACAATCCGAGGTCATTCGTAAAACAGACTTAGCAGAAGACACTATGATCTGCTTATAAAAGTACGGAGTACGGAGTACGTTGGCAAATAATATCTGAAACTCCCTAGGGGAGAGTGGCCTCCGCCCCTTCCGTCCAACCAACCCCTGCTGCAAAAAGCCCTACTATGGATCTTCTAGACTATGCACTCCGTCTTGATAACGAAATATAACCCCCGGGGCCGGTCAATAGCATTACTAATGCTTTCGTTTAGATTGTCGTCTCAGAGGATACTGTGCGAAGTACGGAGTACAGAGTACACCGTAAAAATTGTATGTTGTATGGCAAAGATAACCCCTGTCTTACCAACCACGTGTGGATGGCATTGCATACTTTTTAAATTTCTTTTGCCCAGCGATCAGCACCATCTTTACTATGGCCGACACATTGGGACCACTCATTATGCTGATAGATCTATGCCTTTTCATCAAAAATGTACCATTTCTTCAGCAATAAGCGATCTCGTCAAAGTCATCACTCGTCACTCGTGGTGCACTTGGCTTCCAAGTAAAAGGTGGCAATTTCGAAGTTGCGGTCAAACCTATTTCGCCACATATATCAAATTAGCATCATACATGAAAGACGGAGTGTTCCCGATCCTCGATAACTCATATGCCACCCAAGCAGTGCAACTATGGTTACTAATAATAACCTTAGGATTCTTGTGAATGCCTCGCGCTTAGTATAGCCCTCTTTCCCACGTCTTCTATGTGACCGCCTCTTTGCTACTTGATGCCCTTCATACAAAGTACTGTTGTAGATCGTCTCCCCAAGTAGAACCAATTTCTGATTAATAATTCATTCGTGCAGCCCTGGAGGCATAAACGTCCGGGGTTGGCCTGCATGCGCAAAGACCCACTAAATGTATCACCACGTCAATGGACGAATATTTGATAACCTGGCAATGTTTCGTGAATCAAACCCTGCACATAGTACTCGATGCGTTCTGAAACGTTGAAACTCATATAAATCAGTTGAATCAGCTTACGTTCAGTAAGTCCAAAACCTATTTCTTCCTCGTTATTCTTTCTGAGTCTCCCGCTACCTCGGAGTTAAGGCAAGTATGCTCCGATCATTGAATCTTGTATTGTTACTTGACAACAATATCGACTTTTTACTATAAACTCGGATGAAGGCATTTAATAGCCAAGAAGTTTTAGAAATATCTATTTTTGGCCTATGTTCGTTTTTGATGGCAATTCTGGAATGGCATACTAGGGTCGGCTCAAAATATATATTTACCACAGCTGGTCGAACCTTGTTACTACAAAAGAGCTTCCAGAATAGCTATTATATCTTCCGCGAAAGGAAACAGGTGAACACTGAATATTACTTCGGCCAAATTGACAGATATGTCATTGATTGCAATGACAATCCCGGTTATACATAGGAAAGTGTACAGTGTACAGTTAGGGTTTGTTGTACACCGTACAGTGTAAGCCCTGGATGTCTACCCCGTACTCCAGATGTCCGTCCTATTATTTCCATTCATGGTGGCACGTCTATAACTAATGACTATGGTTCTATAACACCGAGAAGAAAAAAGATCTAAAAAGACATTTGAAAAGAACATCGAAACAAGACATCGGAGTCTTATCTGGCATATGTCCCCATATCATCTTGAGCCAGATAAATCAGACTATTGGAATACAGAGGACGCATATGCGGGCAACTACTCTTGTTCTTATATATCAAGTATGAGGCTCGATTTATGCCTCAGGCAACTATCAGCTTCAACCGGCCCGCCGGGCGGCTTATTAAGCTATCTCCAATTTCCTCAAATCTTCCCCCTCCATGAGAATCCACCTTGTGAGCTTCTCTTTGGACAACTGAGTAGTTTGCCTGGGATATTTTTTTTTGGATCAATATCTCTGAACCTCAGCCGTCTAACCAAAATGCCTCCGCGCAAAAGGCCACAGCCCTCTGCGGCTGGTCGACCGCTGCGTCCTTCAGAGGTAACAAAACTTTTTTCTAGTCGCAAGTCTCATACTTTTGATAATCGTACTGACTGCTCTACTACTTGGCTAGGCTGGAAATCGATCGGCGACTGATCCCACGAAAAGCAAGCGCTCGTCCCAGTCAAACCCTGTTCCTGAGCCTCACCAGCATTCCGAGCCTAGAAAAGTTGAACCGGCTTCGAATTTCAAAGCTAGAGATCCATTCGATGCGCTTTTGGAACCATTTTACTACAACAAGGGGCTTACAGACCCGATCGACACGGCCAGGGACAAATGGAACCTGCTGCCAGCATTCCTTAAGGTCAAAGGGCTGGTGAAGCAACACATTGACTCATATAACTACTTCGTGGAGGTGCAAATGAAGAAGATTGTCGAGTCAAGCTCCACAATTCGAAGTGATGTGGACCACAATTTCTACATCAAGTTTACCGATATCTACGTTGCCTCGCCTCGACGAGCCGACGAGCAAGGCGATGGTGGAATTGATTTCGAGTCCACGATCACGCCGCAAGAGTGCAGACTGCGAGACACTACATACGCCGCACCCATTCTTGTTGATTTTGAGTATGTCCGTGGACGGCAAAGGGTTATCCGGCGAGCAGTCCCCATCGGAAGAATTCCGATCATGCTCCGCAGTTCTAAGTGTGTGCTGTCGAATAAAACACCTGCTCAGATGAGCGTCCTCAATGAATGCCCCCTCGACCCCGGTGGTTACTTTGTTGTCAACGGAACAGAAAAGGTTATTCTTGTACAAGAACAATTGAGCAAGAACAGAATTATTGTCGAAACCGATCCAAAGAAAGATATTGTCCAGGCTTCGGTTACCAGGTATGTCTATGTCCAGACTTTCTCATTCTGCTATTACTAACACCTATAGTTCCTCCAACGAGCGTAAATCCAAGAGTTACATTGTCTCGAAAAAAGGCAGACTCTACGTTAAGCACAACGTGCTCAATGAAGACATCCCGATCGTCATTTTGCTCAAGGCCATGGGCATCCACACCGACAAGGAAATGATGCAAATGGTTACTGGTGATGACAGTCTATATCAAGATGATTTCGCTATAAATTTCGAGGAGGCCATCAATGTCGATGTTTACACCCAACAACAAGCTCTTGAGTGGATCGGCTGTCGCATCAAGATCAACCGCAAACAAGCCGCTTATCGCAAGACTCATGTGCAAGAGGCAGTTGAGGCCATTGCATCTGTCATTATTTCTCATATCGAGGTCAAAGATATGAACTTCCGGCCCAAGGCTATCTACGTTGCTCACATGGCTCGTCGCGTTCTGATGGCAAAGAGTGACCCAGCCCTAGTGGATGACCGTGATTATCTTGGAAATAAGCGGCTTGAGCTGGCGGGTCAAATGTTAGCGCTTCTCTTTGAAGATCTGTTCAAGAAGTTCTGTTTCGATATCAAGATGAACATCGACAAAGTTCTGAACAAGCGTAATCGGGCTGAGCAATTCGATGCTTGGACTATCGTGACTATGCATGGAAATCATATCACTCAGGGTATGAACCGAGCCATCTCCACAGGAAATTGGAGCTTGAAGCGTTTCCGTATGGAACGTGCGGGTGTTACTCACGTTCTCAGCCGATTGAGTTACATCGCAGCTCTCGGTATGATGACCCGTATTAGCAGTCAGTTCGAGAAGACCCGTAAGGTCAGTGGTCCTCGTGCCTTGCAACCGTCCCAGTTCGGAATGCTGTGTCCTGCAGATACCCCCGAAGGTGAGGCATGTGGTTTGGTCAAGAACTTGGCCCTCATGACTCATATCACGACCAATGACGAAGAAGGACCGGTGCGAAACTTGATCTTCATGCTCGGCGTCGAAGACATATCGAGTGTGGGTGGACAGCAGCTCTATGCTCGGGGTGCTTACACAATTTCTATCAACGGCACACCGACTGGTTTGACCAGACGCCCCAAGTCCTTCCTGAATGCTTTCCGAAGACTGCGCCGTATGGGCCGGGTTTCGGAATTTGTCAGCATTTACATCAATCACCATCAGCGAGCCGTTCATGTCGCGACCGATGATGGACGAATCTGCAGACCGCTTATCGTCGTGGAGAATGGCAAACCTCTTGTCGGCGTTGAGCATCTCGAGAAGCTGCGCGATGGAACAATGGAGTTCGACGACTTCCTTGCACAAGGGCTCGTTGAATACCTCGACGTGAACGAAGAGAACGACTCCTATATCGCTATCTACGAGAAGGACATCTCAAGTACTCATACCCATCTTGAGATTGAACCATTCACAGTCCTTGGAGCTGTTGCTGGCTTGATCCCTTATCCTCACCACAACCAGTCTCCGCGTAATACTTACCAATGTGCCATGGGTAAACAAGCCATTGGCGCCATTGCTTCCAATCAGTTCCAGCGAATTGATTCCATTCTTTACCTCATGGTATACCCACAAAAGCCAATGGTTAAATCACGAACCATTGAGCTGACAAAGTACGATCAACTACCTGCCGGTCAGAACGCGACTGTTGCCGTGATGAGTTATTCGGGTTACGATATTGAGGATGCCCTGGTCTTGAACAAGGGATCAGTGGACCGTGGCTTTGGACGTTGTCAGGTTTTCCGCAAATACGTCACGACGCTGAAGAGTTACCCCAACGGAGCCAAGGATTCTCTCAGAGGCCCGACATACGAGAATGGCGTTCCAATCCGCAAACACGCGCTTCTGGAGTCCGATGGCCTGGCTGCAGTCGGCGAGATGGTTAATTCCGGCGAAAGCTACATCAACAAGGTCACACCCCGAGTACAAAATTCCTTGGGAATCACAGGCTCCGACATTGGCGGTGGAGATGTTATCGAGGCATCCATGAACTACAAGCTGCCGGATCCTTCTTACATTGACAAGGTCCTGGTATCTGCCACTGAAGGCGAGACGCAGCTCATCAAGGTCCTGACCCGGCAAACCCGTCGCCCCGAGGTCGGCGATAAGTTCTCTTCCCGTCACGGACAGAAGGGTGTCGTCGGAATTATTGCCGACCAGGCGGACATGCCCTTCTCAGACCAAGGCATCAACCCTGACATTATCATGAACCCCCACGGTTTCCCCTCTCGAATGACAGTCGGAAAGATGTTGGAACTGGTTGCCGGTAAAGCAGGTGTTCTGTCCGGCCAACACGGCTACGGTACTTGTTTCGGCGGCAGTCCCGTCCAAGAAATGTCTCAGATTTTAATTGAAAAAGGCTTCAGCTATGGTGGCAAAGACTATCTTACTTCCGGTATCACCGGTGAGGCTCTGCCTTTCTATGTCTTCACTGGTCCCATCTACTACCAGAAACTGAAGCACATGGTTCAAGATAAGATGCACTCGCGTGCCAAGGGTCCCACTGCTACTCTCACCCGCCAGCCTACCGAGGGTCGTTCACGTAACGGAGGTCTGCGTCTCGGTGAGATGGAACGTGATTGTTTGATTGCGTACGGTACTAGTCAGCTGCTACTTGAGCGTCTGATGATTTCGTCTGATCGCCATGAGGTGGATGTCTGCGAACAGTGTGGTTTCATGGGCTACTTGAACTGGTGTCCTGGATGCAAGTCGTCTCGTTCCGTTGTGAAGATGGTTATTCCCTATGCTGCGAAGCTTCTCATCCAAGAACTGATGAGTATGAACGTTACGGCTCGTCTGAAGCTTGACGATGAGTTCCCTGAGATGAAGGGACGTTAAGCTCTGAACTTGACTTTGTGTCGATTGGAGTTGGGGATTATAAAAATGGGACATGTGCATACTTGGTCTTACGAATGAATGGCATAGCGCGGCGATTTAATATCATCTTTACCTACTTAATTCTTTTCTGTAGCACGTAGCTGGTGCTTCAACCAGTGCACCTTGGATTGACAGAGCCAGCTGAGTAGTAAGCCTCACAAAAACAAAATTGCAGTTTAGAAAACAACCAGACGAAAAGAAGAGAAGAAAATGAAACCACACCACACCCATCACATTAGAGCATCAAAACATTCGACTGAAAAACCACATGCTGGTAGCGAGTAAACTCCCCCATCTCCTGCAAAAGCTTGACCCTCATATCCAAAGCCTCCTGCAGACTCATCGGCATACCACCCCTGTCATTCAAATTATCAAGTGCCACCTTTTGCATAGCTTCCTTGAGCTGGTCCCCAGTCTCTGGGATGTCCTTAGTCCAATCCAAACGCTGCGGCGGGATATTGGCCGTGGAGATGATACGGATATTAGGATCGACAAGGAAAAACGCCAAAGCTCGCGTGTACCCAGGCTTGGTCTTGTCCTTCAGCTCGAAGCGCGTGAACTTGTGTTGTAAAGTGCTCGGGTACATGACCACCCGGCCTGTTCTGGCGAGGATGGAACCTGGGTATTGGATGGCCGGTTCGCCATTTTGCAGGCCAAAAACTTGCTGCAGCCAGATGTAGTCATTTGGCTCGTGATCGATTTCTCTGAGCGTGTCGGATTCCACGATGTTGCGGAATTGCATGTACGGGTCCTTGACGTTTTCGTGGTCGTATGGTATGAATGCCGCGGCACAAATGTGCTCATTCTGGTTCATAGTTTGTTAGTATCAAGTACTGTGGGGCCTCTTGGAGCTTTCGAACTCACCATCGTACCCTCGGCATGCCAGGTTGTCTCGAAAATAGGTTCCTCCGGAGTTAGATCAATGCCCAACAGACGTGTGATCACCTGCAGTCCACGTTCCTTGTAGTCCCGGTTGATATCAACACCTCGTTCAATGCGAACGGCACTGGGCAGGTCCTCGGGCAGTCTGTCCATCAACCAGGGTGGGACTGCCCAGGGTATGAACTTGCCTACGTCGGGTTGGATAGCGCGGTAGTTCTCCATTCTCCATTTCTCCATGCGCACTTCAAACTCACTATGTGCCTCTCTTGGATGCATCTGAGGTGCCTGGGCGGTAACTTCCTTCGGGACTGGGTAATACTCCGCCTTGTGGTATTCGATTCGGGCACGGGCATGGAGCATGTCCTTGAGGGGAGTCAAAGTGGCGTTCCACTGCGGAATTAAGCAATTGAAAGCCTCCTCAATGAGCTTGTAGATGTTCCTGTGTTTGACTGGGTGTAGATTGTTGATGTATGTGGCTAGGTGCCATCGGCCATCCTCGCGGAGTTCCCAGTCTGAAGGAAGGACCTGGTAATTTCGGCTGTAAGGCCGGACCTTGATATCCTCCCGAGCCAAGACGCGCCAGGAAATGTCTTCTCTGGTTATTCCAGTCTCCTTTGGGAAAGATATCACTTCGCCCTGGCCGATGTAGTCGAGACAATCATCGATCCCAATGACCCTGTCCGTGAGAATGCGGGTCGTGCCGTAAACGAGCGCATACAATGCCATGGAAATGAGATCTCGCTCTTTGCCTAGAATTCCTGGATAGAAGTACTGTAATTGTTTATTACTGAACTCTAGCACCTGGAATTGGGATCTCATCTCGCGCAAGAGCGAATCAGGCATGTTTGTGTCGGACTTGGTGACATCGCCATTGTACAGGGCGACTACATCTGTCGTCTCGTAGATCATGGCTTTAAATTGAAGCTCATCAATAATCCATTCAGCCATGTTGAGCGTAATGTCTTTGCCACTGTTCAAGGCGGCCTTTTTCCACTCCTCCTGTGTGGCGGGATCAAAGACCTGAAACGATTTCAGCGGAATGATCAGTCTCGGCGTATTGGACCACTGACCTTTTTCCACCACTCAGGAATATCAGTCAAGCCCTCCATGAATTCTACCATACGTATCTCACGGAGGGTCAAGACAGGCAGGCTAGGAGAACTTTCAGTACTGAGCACCTCTTGGGTCTTGGGGAATCTGCACTTACTCCGCGAATCCTGCTTCGATGTCTCTATCATCTAGCGCAGATGGAAACATACTCCGACATTCCACGCCATAAATATTTTTCTCCGTTGGAGCAAAGTCTAGTGGCCGGTTGAATCCCGGAAGAGCGAAGCGGGTGTCTTTCAGTGCCCTGGTGTTAAGGAAGTTCGCCTCGCTGGCGCTATTCTTGAACATTGCTGCGTTTAGTCAAGAGCAGTATGCCAAGGCAAAGTCCTCAAGAGTGATATGATGGTGAGGCTATCTTTCTCAGTCAGAATAAAACAAGGCCATCGAAGGGTGCCAAATCTTACTTTAAGAAGGTCTATTTTGCAATGACCTGCACAATATCAGACACAAACACCAAATGGGTGAAAGATGATGATTGGAAGGGAAGAAGAATAAAGCCTGGGACACTTAAAACGAGGGCGGTAGTAATGATGCAGGGGTGTCGTCGTCTTGTTTAGGTTATATCGCAATGGCTGATGCCGGAGGGAGTTGCGGAACTTGGCTCCGGTTCTTTCGGCCGTTTGGCTGAATTGTGGTGATCTGGGGGAATCAGTCATAGTGATTCAACCGAATGACCATGGAATTGCGAAATTTTGCTGTATGAAAAAAGAAATTGACCTTCAAAAGATGGAAATGAATTCCTCCAGGACTGTTCTTTGAGCCTATATAATCATGTATGGGGCTAACATACATGTGTGATTATCGCAGATCATGATGTCCGTAACGCTCTAGTCTTACAGAAGCCCAAGCAAAACTGAAAGGCACAAAGGAAAGGAATCGGTCACGCCGATACCAAGGCTCCCAAGTACTCTTTAACAATGCCCCAATACCGATCAGGCTCAGCTCTCATATGTCCAACATGGGGGGAGTTCTTGAACAGTTCACGGCGCACCGTCCAACCCTCAGTCTCGGTGTTCGCAGCATGAGATTCCACATCGCGCCAATCCACCAAATCATCCGTATCTGAGTAGATATAGCAACGACTGAGAGTCCCACCCGGGTTAGCCGCTCGCACCAAAGATGTATCATTGATGAGCTTCCGGGCAAGGGAGATAGGATCCGGAAATATGGAAAAGGAATGGATCAATTTGAAGAGAACCAAGAAAACAAAAAGCAAGCTTTTGCCAAGTAGCCGCAAGATCCACATTTGCGGAAGCGCAAAAGAGAAAGCCTTGAGTCCCGCTCGTAGGCTAGGATTGCCCGGTGCGCTATCTAGAATCATTGCCGACATGGGCAATGGGGTCCCTGTTGTATTCTTCCAGGCTTGCAATACGTTTGTCGTGCTTGACATGCCTCCATTCGAAAAGAAGTGCACAAACACTGGATTCTCAGGGGTCACTAGACCGCGCATTGCTTCCACGGCTGGGGCGACGCGGGCTCTCCGGGTCTGGGTCCCCAGGCGCCAGATGAAGTCATTTGATGAGCTTGTGACGAATATAATTCGCGCTGATGGTACTAGTCGTCTGTACTCGATCACGTATTTAGCTAACGCGCGCGGGGGTGCATTCATCCAAAAAGCAAGGAATATCACTGGCGGATCCGCCTTCTTGTTTGGGTTGGGCGGGTCTTGCAGATAGACTGACGGGCCCAGTCTGGCAAACGCCGCCAAAGCGTTTTCAGCTGTTGTGGCCATGACGCAACCCCTTGGTCCAAGATCGATGTTAGTCGAGTTGGACAGCTGTGGACGGCGATCATCGGCTTGCCAAGAGCCGTGCGCACTAGCCGAACTATACGATGCCGTTTCTGGTCAGCATGACTTACTTGCTAGTTGAATTTATGTGCAGATACGTGTAGAAGACAAGTTTGATTGTTCCAAAGGACATGATAAAAAAATTCCTTGGAGTGTCGTAAAATCCCCCGGGATCTCACGATTCGGAGTCTAAAAGACTGGAAAAAATACCATTGTCTTAGAAACCAAGATAGAACACGGTGAATGGAACTGCCTACGGGAAATATTCAGACAATGAAATTTTATTTCAAGGGCTTTTATGTATTCAACTGAAAGTAAACAACTCCCCAAACGCCATGTTGAACCTTGCCATGCCCTCGAAGGAAATCCCGCCGCAGAATCTAGAGATTTCAACTATCTAAAAGCCCAGGAGAGTCATGAAAGCGTAGGTTAAGTAAATCATTGCAGACATTAGCGCTTCCCCAAAGTACGACCACCGCTGTCAGACTTTTTAGTATTTTCCTTCTTCTTGCTTTCAGCCTCGCTGCCGGAGGCGGTGGCAGAGTCGGACAGATCCTTTCGCTTCCCACGCAATGTTTGTCCAATTCCTTGGAATTTGGGCTGGTCATCTGGGACAACTCGACCATTCTCATCACGGGGTTTCACAGGCTTGATTGTATACCCAAAGAAGAGCTGATTGGGTGGGAGTCGAAGTGGTTGTGGGCCGTTGGTTCTTCGGGTTGGAGGTGGGTGTGAGGGACTTGATGCACCAGGAGTAGGAGTAGAAGGGTTGGGCGTCGGAGTCTTGCTGCCCTTCTTAGCATTCAGACGCTGTCCTCCAGACAGGAAGTTGGATGACGCCGCACGGGCACCTGTGGCAGCATCGGTGGCCTCGGGGGCAATGGCGGGGTAGTTGATCGATTGTGCCATGGTTCCATGGGGGTGTAATAGTCCACCAGCTGGAAGCTTCCCACCGCTAATGACGCTACCAGGCGTGCTAGTCCCGCTGGTCCGCTGTGGTTCTTCAAATCCAACCGGAGCCGCGAAATCAACCTCTAAGTCGGTCTCTAGAACAGACACAGCATTCTTGGTACCAGAGGGTTTTGTTTCAAGCACTGCCATCTCGTATATTTGATCGTTGTATGAAAAAGTGAAGACATCGCCCTTGGAAAGGCATGAGAAATTCCGAAAGGCGTTTTCTAGGACGGCTTTTGGGTCACTAATATCGAGGAAGGAGGTCGACTGTGCTTGGAGTTTGATGAACTGGCCCGGGGGGAGGTCTGTCGATTTGATTTGAAGAAGATCGCCGGGTTCCAGTAGTAATGTTTGCATCAGCTGTATAGCACGGAGTGTGAGTAAAGTTACAGCACATTGAGGAGTCTGTCTTACTCACCCAGAATGGCAAATATATCTTTCCTTCTTCAGCAATGAACTCAAGAACACCCGCATGTGTCATCCTATCTTTCGCACCATTGTGAAGCTCGAACAACATCGGATAGGTAATGTGAAGTCGGGTGAGCTTGTCCAACGCGCTGGGAGGCATTATGACCTTGCCGCCATGGTTCACATTCTCTCTTTCGGGGCCAGGAAGCATCGCCACTGGATAGCAGCGATAGTATTCATCGAAGCGACGGGACGTAGCACCCGGGCGCGCCATCCCGGCACCCAGGACTCCATCCATGGGGTCGTCGGACCAGTAACCAGGTCGGTACTGAAGCTGTTAGTTAGGAGGGGTGAAGATTGAGAGAGCGGGGTGAATAGTTTGAATTAACTCACCATATTAAAGTCTTAAAATTTGAAAGAATAAAGATGGGTAAAGAGAAATTAGTGAGGTCGGGTTTATTTGGAGGTACAATATGCCGCTCGTTGGATCGCCGTCAGTGACGCAGCTCGCTCCGCCATGATTTTCCGCTCCGACCCCGGACAAGGAAATTAGCTCTCTCAGAGGTGATTTACCTGTTAATTCCGCGCAATATTATCTCTCTCATTTAGTTTCAACTGAACACCGATAAAAGAGCCATGTCGAGCTCCTTGCCACGCCCCAAGCGCGCAGGCGAAGATTTTGCCAGGGCCCACTACAATGACGACGGCGAGGATGCCTCAGAGCACAAGAAGCCCCGCTTCGACCTTCGCAACCCGTCAGCTCTTGCAGCCGATGCGCCAGAAGAAGACGCAGTACTGGACGCCGATGAGATTGGCAGACGTGGCCAGAGAGTAAGACGCAAGGCGGTTAATCTCGAGGGTTACGAGTCGGACAGCTCGAACGAGGGATTTTCCGCGCACAAACAAGATAAACCTAAGCGCGAACAAGCCAAGGAAGAAGCGGAAGATGATGATATGTTTGCCGAACTACAAGAAGACTTTGGCGAAGAGGAGGTCGACGGCGACGCAATTTTAAACAAGAACAAGAAGTCCGTTCGCTTCCTCCGAGACGATGAAATCGAGGGTCAAGTCGCTTCTTCAAAAGGCGGAGGAGCGCTGCATGTCGACCTGAGTAATGGTGCAGCCGGAATTGACGCCGACGAAGATGGAAGCGATAGTGAGGTCGGGGAAGAGGAGCGAGCCCGAGTGGATGAAGAGGTGGACGAGGAACTTGGCGCGGGTGGGAAGAAAAAGCACGCACCCCTACTGGATGCTTTCAACATGCGAACAGAACAAGAGGAGGGTCGGTTTGACGATCAAGGTAACTACGTCCGCAAAGCAGTAGACCCCGATGCGGCCTACGACTCGTGGTTGGATGGTGTTTCCAAGAAAGATATAAAGAAGGCCAAAGAGGCTGCTGAGCAACGCGATGCTGAGCGCAAAGAGAAGGACCGAATGGACGACAGCATTTTGACAGCGGATGTCCTGAAGACGATCATAATCCACCTCGAGCGCGGCGAAACAGTACTCGAGGCACTGGCCCGACTGGGCAAAGGGCTTCGTCGAAAGCCAAAGTGGCAAAACAAGAAGAACAAGAAGAAGGCCGTCGAAGATATCGAGATGACAGATGAGGACCCCAACGAGGTGGCACGGAAGAAAGCAATTGATTCTATTACTGGTGCTGCCGATATTTTGATGGGCCGCGGCCAAATAGACATCTACGACACAGAACGCGAAATGCTCACACGGCAGTACCGCAATGACACGGGCGAGGAATGGATTGACCCTCCTGTGGACGGAGTGGCTGAGCAAGGTCCGACCATGTGGGAATATCGGTGGTCAGACGCCAGAGATGGAGGGGATGCCCATGGGCCATATGATAGCGCGATGATGGACTCATGGAAGAATGCGGGCTACTTCGGCGAAGGCGTTGAGTTCCGTAAAATTGGAGATTCAGAGCCGTGGAGTGGCACTGTCAATTTCTTGTAAAATAATCCCTATCAGCTACGAGATTGCTACACAAAATACCATTGATGAATGAAATATTAATATCAGATCCTCCAAAACAGAGGACTGCAATTGAATCTCAAAGGCCAAAATCACCTCAACAAGCGCCAGTCCTATCATACATCGTGTGATGCGACAAAAATAAAGTAAAAACAAAATGAAAAATCCAGTGTAGTTTTTTCGACCCGCTTAACTTCCCACCGAATAGCCCAGTAGTAAAACATGCAACCTAATTAAGAAAGCTCCATGGCGTCGCCATTGGCAGTAGCAGTGAAGCTAACAGTACCTTGGTCACCAATGAAGCGCTGTTCATATTGATTGACGAACTTCACACTCCGAGCAGGGTCGTAGAACAATCGGTAGCTGCGCTGGACGTCATCAACACTGACCTCCTTCGCCTTGCGTTTTTGACTCAAGAGGTGCGAGGTAGTGATAATGTTGCTGGCATAACGCAGATTTGACTCCTGACCAATTTTGGTGAGAAGGGCGAGAGCATCAGGCGAAAGATCAATTTCTTCCTCCTGCGCCCGGATGGCGAGGATCTGACGGATCTCGTCACCAGAGTACATCTGTGTGCTGACGATGACCACCCTATCGAGGAAGTCAAGGGGTAGGCCGTGGGGAGAGGTGTAGGTAGTTCCGCGGATGCGTGACTGGCCGCGATTGCTAGCCATGATGACGATGGGGGCCAATTCAGCCTCAAGGGCACGGTTGATGTAGGAGTAACACTCAATATCGAGCATGTGAACCTCGTCAATGAACAGGACACCAGGAATGATCTCTGCCTTGCCCTCTTCCTTCCATTCAGCCACCTTGGTATTGATCTGGTCCCGAACTTCACTCCGAATCTCGCCCGTGTCGCCGGAGAAGAGGGCCAGGAAGCCTTGTGAACGCGAGTTAATGACATCAATCTCGTGGAGACTGACGGTATGGACGATCTCCTTGCGAACCTGAAGCTCGCCTTCGGGGCATTGGACAAATTTGGTATCGGCGCCCATGGCGTCGTAGTCTCGAGAGCGTGCGTATGAGCGACCGAGCTTGGTGATCTTGCCCGAGGACTTATCGATCGAGATCACGTCACCTGCCATTACTCGCTCCTTGGTCATCGAATCAATCATCTTGGTTCCCATGTCGTAAATTGTTTCCATGTCCGTGGTCTTGATCGTGAGCTTTCCTTGTTTATTGCCCTGCAGGTAGTCAGTATCTAATGCTAATGATTCGTAACGCGTAAATATCCACTCACGCCAGTAACACTTCGGTCGATTTGAATCTCCACAACTTCACCCTCAATGATTTCACTCTCTTCCTTAATGCGCACACCGATGGATTTCCGGAATGCCTGGGTCAGGGCTTCTGTCTTCGACATCTCCATTGAGAAAATCTCAGAAGCAGCAAGCATGGTGAAAGGTACGTCCGGTCCAAGAGATTGTGCCATGCCCATTGCAATTGCTGTCTTTCCAGTGCTAGGAGGTCCTGCGATCAGAACAGCGCGACCGGCAATCTTGCCTTCCCTCACCATCTGCAAAATCACTGCGGCGGCCTTCCGGGCCTTTTCCTGACCCACAAGGCCTTGAGACGATGTCCGAGGTTGAAGAGTGTCTGCATCGACACCGAGGCCTCTGATGTGCGAATGGGCGGCAATGAGGTTCAGTCCCCGGAGCTCCTTGCCCTCTGCGATAGTTGAGATTGGCTGTTTTGGCGTTAGCAACGGCGGAGATATGATAGAAGTATTGTAACTCACTACGGCCATGTTTGAAAAACTCCAGACGGAAATGTATTTTGAACTGGAAGATTATGTTGGGAAAATGCGCCAGAGCTCTAGAAAAGCAAAAGAAGAGAGAGAGCCAGGGCAGATCGCAGATCGAAGTGCATCGTCACCGCCCGGCATAATAATTCCTCCGTTTACCTTTCTCAAAGAAATCCGTTTGACTTCATTTCCACTTGTTGTCTCTGCGTCACTTGAACAAATTTCGCGAATTTGGTGCTAGTCCCATGTTGATCTGACTTGCGGAGTTACTCTGACCACCTCAAGCGGATCAACCAGGCGCTTGTAACCTACAAGCATCGTACCTCATTGACAGTTTTAGTAGTGAACGCGTTCCTCACTTGTGCAAGCTCCTGATATCTTTTTACGGGCTCATGGTACATCGATCAAGCAACACTGCGCGTTAAGCGTTTCATTCTAGGGCTGTGGTACACACTGCATCTCTTGAGTCGTCCTCCCAAGTACCCCATTTCGGTTCTGTTGCAAATACGATGAGTATTTTGCAATACATTCATTTCAGGGAATATGTCCAGCAGAATGGATGTTGACTCTCCTAACCCCAATCCTCTCAAGCGACTCTCGGGCCGATTCCCGTCTGTGCCACTTACGACGAAGGCGCAAGATCCTCGGCTTGCCGGAACTGTTAAGCAATCGGTTGATCCTCAATCGTCAAACACCCAACAGTCACACCAAATCCCCGCAAAACCTGCATTCATCACGAGACCTTCCACCAACTCGCTCCCACAAGTGCCCCAACTCTCGATCCCTCATAGCGCTCCAGGCCCTGGGTCCACAGAAAGCCAAAGTGCGCCTAGTCACCAAGGCGCATTTCTTATCTCAGATTTGGTCAATTCATTGATCAAAGTGAGTAAGGGTGAGGAAGAGAAAGAGAGGCTTCAAAAGGAAATAACTGCTCTCACCAAAAACCTACAAAGAGCGAAGCAATCGCAAGGATACGCAAGCGTCATCGCTCTCTTTCAGCAGCAGCTGGACGCGGCTAAAGATGAACTGGCCAACCATGTGAAATCGATCAGGCAGCATCGATCACTCTCCAACCAGGCGCAGGATAATTTCAACTGGACATTGTCGCAGTTGAAGCCTCAGCCACAGCCTCAGCTCGAAAAGACACTTGAGAGGGTTGCGAGCCTGGAGTCCACTATCATTGAAATGAGGCAAAGCCGTGATCCAACCCCTGGCGACAATCCAATCAACGGGAATGCTGCAAAAGAAACAGTCCAAAAGGACTTGCAAGGCCGAGACCAAGATATCGCCAAACTTAAAGAATCACTAGACAGAGTACAGCATACAATCGAGAACCCTAGTGGACTGGAGGAGGCACTGGGCTACATGAAGAAAATTGCGAACTCAGTCGCTTATCAATCCAAAAAGAGTGGTCAATTCACAAAACAGATTTCCCAACTTGAGGATGAAGTGAAAGATGTCGACAAGAAACTTAATGACAAGGTTTCTGCTATCAAGAAGATGGTGGACACTGCTGAGGAAGAAATGAAAAATTTCAACGACAAGCTAGAAACCAACATCTCAGACCTTGGTTGCAAATTGAAAACTACGAATGAACAGGTTGCGGTCAAACTTTCTTCCCTTGAAAGCGATCTCACGTCCCTCAATACTAAGCGACCTGATCTGAATAATCGCGCGTCAACTCAAGTTTCGCAAATTGAAACTGACTTGGAGGCTCAAAGGAAGCAGACCACGGAGCAGATTACTGCCCAAGAAAATCTTGTTGCCTCACTCAGAACTCAGCACCAAAATGTTGATAACGGCGGTCGGCTCTCATCAGAAGTAACTCCAATTCCTAATGGCGGGGTGGTTTCAAGACTAACGTTTCTGGAAAAGAAAGTCCAGAGTCATGCAGACCTTCTTAACATTATTAAGACACTCCACCAGGAGGTAGATCTACTCCGTCTGTCCGAGTTGGAATCTCTCCGCAAGAACCAAGAATTGAGCCAAACGAAACTAGAAACGAGGTACAATGACATTTCGCACAAGGTGGATGGCCTAGTTACAAAATCCGAGGAAACGACCAAGAGCCAAATGAAACTCGCCTCCTCGCTTCAGGAGTTTCGGTCGTCCTTGCCAGCGACCTTGGACCTGTTCCGAACCCATCTTCAAAGTGGGCTAGATGGAGTCGAAAATCGCTTCGCTCTAGTCTCCGAACTGAGCCAGGCTTTGAAAAAGTGCGTGGAGAACGTGGATACTCACGCTACGGGAATCCGTTCGCTAGAAAGTCGATACAACAACCTCATGACAGGCGATTTGGTCGATCGCATGGCATGTGCCATGCAGAAAATGTACCCCTCTGTCGATCAGCTCAGTCGACAATTGACGACCCACCGAACTGAAATTGAAGCCAGAATATCTGCGCTCAAGAGAGAGGCAGACGCGTTCAAGGCGGACACAGAGCTGTTCAAGGCAGATACAGCAAAGGCCCAGGCAGACGCACAAAACGCCCAGACCAGCACAGAGAGATCTCAAGCAGCACAGCTGCCACCGGAGCAGCTCCAGACTTTGACTGAGTTGCCGACCTTGCTCCAACAAGTCAAGGACCTTTCTGACAAGCTTGTACCTATAGAAAGCCTCATCCACGAGCATAGTGCCGAGTTGCAGAAAAACCTTGAACTGCGTAGCGAATTACATAACAGGATCACAGCCCAAGAGGACACCATCGCAGGCATTGCGCAAAAGGCCGATGACCAGGACGAAGAACTCCAAATTGTTAGCGAGGCCAAGGGACGGATCGATCCGTTGATCGAAGAGGTCAAAACTCAGACCTCGCAAGTTGAACAACTTCGACATATGATCGACGAGTTAGCTACAGCCGCGGCTGAGAGCAATTCTATCGCATCGACAGATCTTAACGACCTCCGGAGACGGCTGGACGGCTTGGAAGATCGGAAAAAAACGGATGATGAGTCTCTTGACACACTCCGGAAAACACTGAAAGACTTCCAAGACCAAAACAAAGCGGATGTTGCAGGTCTTGACTCACTCTGGAAAGAGATTGAGGCTTTGAAAAATCGGAACACAGCTGATGATGCCGGCCCTGACGCACTTCGTAAACAGCTTCAAGACTTGAAAGCTCAGAACCAATCTGAAGATAACGATCTTGTCCAACTCCGGGATAAGCTGGAAGCTCTTCAAAAACAGAAACCGCCGGTATCACTGAAGGATTTCAATGAGCTGAAGGATGAAGTGAAGATGTACATCAAACGTCTAAGGACAGCCGAAGACACTTTCAAGGCGCTTGGAAAAGCAGCAAAGAATTCCGGTGCTAAAAAAGACATCGATTCCGATGATGAAGAAGCAACCGATTCCGATACTCTCGATAAGCCAATGGAGCAGCGCATCGATGGACATGGCCGTGCTCTTACCCCAAGGGCTCCCGCAACAGCAAAGTCATTTCCCAAGGGCCCTTCTCTAGGTGTATATCAGCCAGTCCCTCCTAGCGGGAAAGGTCCCGATACTTCCTTATTCAGCGCCTCAAAGCTGAAACGTCCTGCGACGCAAGCTCGACCGTTCGTGCAAACGCCCAGTGGCCCTAGCAGCAGTCATCAATCGCCCTATGCTGGCAAATCTGCCGAACCCCGCCAGGTTCAGAATCTGAAAGGAAAGCGGCGTATGTCCTCTGTAACAGACTCTGATGACGAGAGAAACATGACTGAATCCTCTTCGGTAGTCGAGTCTTCGCCAGTTTCTAGCTCTTCTGGCCCTGCGTACTTTAATCAGGGCACTAGCAGAAAGGAAAAGAAGAAGGCAAAGAAGAGAGCGGAGCAGGCTGAAGAGAATTCCAATGCCTCAAGCAGGCCAAACAAGAAGCGAAAGCGAACCAAGCAAGATGAGTGATTCGGTCGAAACCTGATCTCATACCTATGTCTCATGTTCTGCATAACCATCGGCGTGCGCCTCTTCGTCACCCGCCAATTACGACTTGCTATCGATATCTACGCGAGCCAGCTTTAAGAGAAAGCATTATTAGAAACATTTTCGCACTCGGTAGGCGCAAAGCCTGACCAGCGATTGTTACCCATTCATATTATTACTCAGCACAACACTGTGTGAATTATTATTTGTACATGAACACTCCCCCACATACGTCTAAAATCTTAATCACGTGACTTACATCCGATCCCAGTTAGGCCGACTCTAAGAACTTTACGACCGCTAGTATCGTGTAAGCAAAACATATTAAGAATTATTGTCGAGAAGAGGGAATTACCTTGGCGGAACGCTTCGGGATTCTCAGAAATAAGCCAGTGGCCCGCTTCGACGTCCACAATCTGCGCGTTGGGGAAGAACTTCTTGATGGCCGGTATAGTATCGTCCGAAACATACTTAGACTTGGTGCCCCGAACAAAGAGCGTCGGGCCATTGTATTGGAGTTTATCAGACTCCTTGAAAGGGAAATCTGCCATATGATCCAACGAACTGCCAATGACGGATAGCGGCACTCGGAACTTGAGTGTGTTATCTTCCTCGGAGCGTATTAAGTTGGTAAGAAGAAATTGGCGAATTGGAAGGGACTGGGCAGTGTTAGAATTTCAAACATTCACAAGACAGTGCTAGGCTTAGTGTCTCCCCTAATCGTCAAAAAGTTGAGCATCTTACCTCTTCATAATCCTCAAGAATTTTGTTGGCATCGGATTGCTTCGATACTTTCTCGGCTTCGATTTTCTGCATGCCGCGAACATATTTTGGGAAATCGCTCTTCAGTTCCGCATTCACCGGTGCGTTGTCAACGGGGATCAAAGCTGACACGCGTTCGGGGGCGCGTAGTGCTACCGCCATTGCAGCTTTGGCACCCCTTGACAAATTGTTAGTATGAGAAAGGCACATAATATGCGCTATCCATGTGCTTGGGTGCGCTTAATATGGGAATATGACCACGTACATAGAATGCCCAATCAGGACGCATTTGTCAAGTTTCTGCTGTTTGATAAATTGCTGGACATCCTCCGCCATGGCACCGTAATTATGCTCGGCAGCATGGAAAGAGTGACCATGGTTACGTAGATCCTGTTCACATTTGTTTAGTATTCACGTTTTTTGCATGTATTTCCGAGGAGCTGAGACTTACCAGTGCAAAGATCTGGCATTTCAAATCTCGTGCCAAAGCTCTGGAAGATATGTAAGAACAAGCGTTTTATATAACTGGCTGGTAAACATACTTGCCGATGCTCCTGTTGTTTTGCTTTGATCCAAACAGTCCATGTAGAATCAGGATGGGGTCTCGGACAGCTTGGCCGTTTTCCGGGCCAAAGACTTGATATGCCAGCTCGGACCGCAGCATACGGGCTGTGGAGAAAGCCCGGAGGCCTGGAGAACCACGTGTAGCCGTCCGGAGAGCGAACATATCCCGATTTTGGGTTGGGTATGGCAACCTTGGAAGAGTTGGATCAATGACGATGGGGAAGCCTGGGAAAGACCGTGGATCCGTGGACTGCGAGCCGTGTGCTGACTAAGCGGCGTTGATGGCCCCCCGGGGCCCTAGGGGCCTAGGGCTCGCCTGTGGTCGGGGGCTACCTAAGGGGCAGCAGCCCCGGCCCAAAAATTATAGGCCTTAAACAAGATGGAGTGTAACCTCCTAGCCGACTGCTGACCGACTTTGGCGCCCCGTCCCGGGAGACCCCGCCGTTGACCTGAAATTCTGGGCGACCTCAGGCTCCCTGTGACCTAGGCATGGTCTAACAATTTTAGGCTAAGAATCAAGATTTTTCCTTCTGACAAGCAAAGCAACAGCAGCACTAATCCTTATTCCTAACTTGAGCCATATATTGGAGCAATTATAATAGAGATAGGTACTATCATTATGGAGTAAAATCGATGCCGAAAATCAGTTCGCGTTCTTGACTCCTGACAAGGCCATTCATCAACAGGCCGATTTGTCAGCGCCGAGATGTGCTTTAATGGGGGCCCCAACGCATCAATGGGCCAGGGGTTCGAGCCCGTTTGTGGGCTTTGCGGGGGTCCGAGATCCGGGATTTACCACAACTTTTAATCCTGCGTTAAGACGTAGCGGCATATACGATGCCCCCCGCCCGGGGGGAGCAATGACTGGCGGTGAAGGGCTCGTTACGGAAACTCGGCCCCCAAACTGCCTAGCCCTGGGGGCCCGGATCTGCAGCTAACGTCATCTCACCAGAGCCTCCCCCCCGGAGGCTGCTGCCTCCCCCGCCTTAATAACCTTGCTTATCTTGATTATACAAAATCACCTCCTCATCATGGCCGACCAACTGAAACCATACACGATTTCCATTCCTGATGAGAAGATTCAAGACCTCCAGCAGCGTCTAGCGCTTTCCAAATTCGCAACTCAGCTAGAGTCTTCCGAACAAGATCCTTGGGATTTTGGAACTCCAGTCACCGAGGTGCAGCGACTCGTAAAGTATTGGCAGAACGGCTTTGACTGGCGGAAGGCAGAGGCCAAGTTGAATGAGCTGCCTCAGTATCAAACGCAGATCGAGGTCGATGGATTTGGCAGCTTGGATATACACTGTGAGTTTCGTGTAATACAGATCTCAACAGTTCGCTATTTACATGGTTGAACATGCAGACATCCACCAAATCAGCAACAACAAGAACGCAATTCCACTGCTTTTTAGCCATGGATGTAAGTAGCAACTATCCCTCTTCTATCTCATCCGTCATTTTTCCTACCACAGTGCGATCTCTGATGTCTACATATAGGGCCGGGGTCATTCATTGAAGTCACAAAACTGCTACCGATGCTGATAGGCGACGACGATAGCCCCGCATTTCACGTTGTGGCTCCATCACTGCCAAATTTCGGCTTCTCTTCGGGTGTGACCCGTCGAGGGTTTGGCCTTGCGCAGTATGCCGAAGTCCTTCACAAGCTTATGATAAAGCTCGGCTATGACCAATATGGTATGGCGTAGAAGGGGAATATATCAGCCACGCTAGAAACTAACTTGGTTAATCGCACAGTAACCCAGGGCGGAGATTGGGGGTTCTGGATTACTAGAACTATTGGTCTACTCTACCCCGAGCACTGCCAAGCTTCTCATATCAACATGGTGTTGGCCTACCCCCCTAAATTCACGGAAAACCCATGGGCAGCCCTGCAACATGCATTGCTGCCATACAATGACCGGGAAAAAGCAGGCCGCGAGCGAAGTAAATGGTTCGAACGAGAAGGCTATGGTTACAACCAACTCCAAAGCACCAAGCCGCAGACCATTGGCGCAGCGCTGGAAGATAGCCCTGTTGCCTTGTTAGCCTGGATTTACGAGAAGCTGCACGACTGGACTGACTCGTATCCCTGGACCGATGACGAGATCTTAACCTGGGTATCTATCTACTGGTTTTCCGCAGCCGGACCCGCGGCTAGTGTCCGCATATATTATGAGGCCATCCATGGCGGAACGATCAAGGGAGACTCCTACAAGGCGTTGGTTGCCTACGTCCCGCGTGTGAAACTGGCAATTGCGCACCTCCCTCGTGAAATTGTGGTCGTTCCTTCCTCTTGGGCTGCTGGCCTAGGTCCAGTTGTTCAACAGACCGAGCATCCCCATGGAGGTCACTTTGCCGCTTGGGAGGTTCCAGAATCTATCGTCCAGGACTTGCGGGCGATGTTTAGTAGGACTGGACCTTGCTACCGGGCTGTTTTAGGCAAAGATGGATACTAACTATGCGATGGTTACTTACCCCCAGTTGCGGGGGTTTTGGTTTGATGTTTGGACATGTACCCTGTTGTTTCGAAGCCTATTGACATACTAGCAGAAAGGCGGAGGATAATTAAGGAATAAATTGATTCATAGTTTCCGATCTTTCATCAAATGTTATACTTAGCAAAGTCCATTTCACAAATGGAGTCCTTTTCCGCATTCGTTTACCATCGACTTATAAAACTTACAAGACATCGAAAGGGAGTCTCAGAGAAAACCACTGGAAAGACATCACAAGGCCGCATAAGCGGCCAGCTATTCTTGTACATAATGACCTCATAACCCGAAACGAAATAGAAGTACAAAAAAAATCGTTCGATATTGGAACCTTGATATGTTTCCTCCCGAAGTTGCATGTTCATAAAACCATCACCCCAAAACTGACCGATAAAGATAGGAATACGCAGTACAGTGAGAGACTTGCGACAGTGGCACTACCAGTCGCCCTCTCAAAGCTGATGAGCGACGCATTATGACTCGACGCCCCTGTCAGAAGCACCTGCGAGGAATTCGCAGTGTCCAAACTACCCGTGAATGTGAGCTCGAAAGTCACATTTACCTTTGTGTCTGTGTCCTGCCCTTTTCCAGAATTTTCAAACCCAGCAACTGTAGCGCCAGAGAAATTCAACTCAAGAGTTTCATTGGTCACAGACCCATTGACGTGTGTTCCAGTGGGCCATCCAATGAGGAGTTTGCCCAGTTTGCTCCTCTCAGAGCATAAACTATCCGGAAGAGCAATCATCTGATCGTAAAGTCCAGCATCGGCATATCGTGCTTGCTCCGTAGAGTCCCGTTCGCTATCTGTCCAGTCTTTGAGATCATAGCTTCCGTCAAACAGAACTTTGTTGCTGTTATCAGCCGCCTGGGTTATGTCTAACGCAACGGCGTCCATGGCTTGGACTCCATTTCCTTCGAGCAAGTCCACGGTTGTGGTAAGCCGAACAAGATCCAGATTGTCACACACACTGTATGAATTATCGATATCCGAGACGCGTATGTTGCTCTCCCAGGCTTTGAAACCTATCGTGATGGGATTGACGGGTCCCACGGGAGCAGGGGCCTTGGCAGCAACCCATGCGGCGCCTAGCATGCGGATGGATTGTCTGCCAACGGGACATGTGATCAAAGATGAACTAACGATGTCGCCTTCTGTCAGATTCGTGGGTGGTGTTATGATTGTGTATTTCAGACTAGCTTCGCCTTTGAAGAAGACACCATCCAAGTCGCTATAAGCACTAGCATGGCCGCGGCGTGGCTCGCGGTTGTATTTATCGTAATGCGAAGGTTGAAGATCGTTATAGTCGAGGCGGTGGGTATCTCTGCAGCTGAGTCCACCCGAGGTTGTAGTAGATGTAGATGTGTCATCGCTATCGTTGGAGTCATTGGAACCACCGCTACTACCGCTGGAGGTATTGGTGTCGCTGTCGCTGTCGCTCCCACTGCCGCCACTAGAGCCATCACCTTTCCGCGATAATACTCCTGTTGGCGCGGCGAGCAACGCGAGAATAGTGACAAAGGGGTAACGGAGTAACATTTCCTCGAAATCGTGATTCAGTTCATATATCGTCAAAATAAAATTGTCAGCTCATCATTCCGAATTGTGAAGAAAACCAGAAAAAAAGTGCACGAAGCTCCTGGGCTTATGACGGTGAAAATTATTCGCCCTAGTAAAGTCTACCGAACCCTGAATGCCAAGGTACAAAGGAGGGTCGAAGCGGGACATTGTTCGTGTTCGTTAAAAAACTATTGGAAAAGGAGGTCATTTAAGGGTATTGCCAAGGCTGAGGAGGCTTAGCACCTGTGATACGAATGATCTGCACTTAGTATCACCATTTTCATATGAAAGAATATCGTTTATTGAGACATGGGTATATTTATATTTACACTAGCTGTCCAACAGCACCGGCACCTTCTCAACTAGATATTCAACAATGGCATCGGGGCCACGCTCGACCTGCAACCCCTCGGGAATTGCGTGAAGCTTGATATCGGGTCGAACAGAGCGGGCGATCTGGTGGATATGTTGCGCCTGCTCGGCGGTCCACATAGAGGCGCTGAACTATTCAGGAAGTTAATATGAATCCTATCTAATGAATTCTCCAAAGCCAAACTTACCAGAACCTCGGGGTTGTGCTGCTTAACCTTGGCCTCGACTTCGTCGATTTCTGTACCGAGTTTTATGTCAACCGACATTCACTCTCAATGGCTCTAAATATACTTACTCTCGCAGTTGTCGACGTGGACGATGGTGTACCGATCACTCAGAGCCTCGGCGACCCGGCCGATGAGGCGCTTGGCGCGCTCGGGCGCGGTATTGACAGTAACCAAGTGGAAGGGACCCTTAGGTGCAGACATGACGAGATATGATAATTCACAAAACGCGACAAGCACCGGGCTTTTATTCTCCAAGCTGAAATCGGTCTCCCTCCCACTTCCCCACATTGTGGGAGGCTGCCCCTCCGGCCTATACAGCGCCGGGGTAGACTTACTCCGCTATCGGCCTCCATAACCCTTATCATATATGGGGTTTCTGCTTCAATTTAATTGCTTCCTCTTTTTACTCTCCAATTAATACAATCATGTCTAAAATCGCATCTACCTTTTCGCGTAAGAACTATCAGATTGAGTACAGATCCTATACTGACAGAAAATAGGCCTGGTGCGCTTTGTCCCCAAGTCGAATCCCGCCAAAGTTCTAATCGGAGAACCCGTCGATCCCAAGTTGGATGTCGGATTGGCTCTCTACCAGGGCAAGGAGGTTGCAGTGCGCCCGTTCTCTGGCACTTCAGTGCTAAGTCCTGGAAAAGTGACAGAGACAACGGAGACCATTGCGCGCATTCTGTCTCCTTTGGCGCAAAACGAGGTTGGAACTATTCGCTGTATTGGCTTGAATGTGAGTTTCCAACAGGAGAAGAGCATTCAACTTTGGTATGTAAAAACAGTTACTAATGCGCACTAGTATGCCTCCCACGCTAAGGAGATGGCCCTCCCAATCCCAGAAGTCCCTACATTGTTCATGAAGCCGGCCAGCTCTCTAGCGGATCCTTGGCCTGCGCCAACGGTTCTGCCTAAGATTACACAGCAGGATAACACCGGTGACTACGAGTCTGAGATGGTTATTGTTATCGGCCGTGATGCTAAGGATGTGTCCGAGTCCGAGGCCCTCGACTATGTCCTTGGCTACACAGCCGCGAACGATGTTTCTAGCCGCACTTCCCAGATGAACCAGAGCCAGTGGTCCTTTTCCAAGGGCTTTGATGGCGCATGCCCGATTGGTATGTCAACTGGAAGCTCTATACTATTCGGAAGAATTTTGCACTGACCCCGTATCTATAGGCCCCGTCCTCGTTTCGGCTGCTCTCATCCCCGATGCTAGCAAGCTCCATATTCGTGGTCTTAAGAACGGCAGTGTAATGCAGAACTGCCCGTTGACGTACGTTATATTTACTTTACATCATTTCTGGTATACCAAATAGCACGCACTAACATTGAATTTAACTGCAGTGACCTAATATTCAGCGTCCCCCAGCTGATCAGCTTCCTCTCCCAAGGCACCACGCTGCCTGCCGGTACAGTTATCCTGACCGGCACCCCGCCTGGTGTCGGTGCAGCAAAGAGCCCGAAGGAATTTATCAAGGCTGGCGATGAGTTCGCTGTTGAGCTGCTGCCCCACATCGGAACACTTATCAACAAGATCGAGCACCAGTAACCAATCTAGTATATAAAATGATATATGTGAATTCTTGGGGCAATAGCTCTCCGTATATGTATATCCAATGAGATCTGTAGATTTTCTGATAACTATCAGATAAATTTGTACGGTGTAGTCTTGTAAACTCTAGCGAGGTATTCTCTACAAGCTGGACTCGATATATTCAATCTGTAGCCCAATCTACAAGGCAAGGCCTCTAAAATCGCGAGTCAACTCGTATCAACACCAAGAAGCCTCAACCAATCACAGAGCTCAACCGGATATAAATTCTTCCCTGCACGGAGTAAATATTTCCCCCCATCGCCTGCGCATCTTTTACTGGGCACTTTTGTTGTAGACCAGGGCGACCAGGGCTAAAGTGCTTAGAAAAAGGTAAAGAATGTGCCAATGGTAGCCTGAATCCGTGGATTTGATACCTCTGGGATTAGCGAAGATTTCCTTTCACTGTATAAAATCTGAGCATTACGGTAGAACCTATATAGGAATAGATACCCATTCCTGCATTTCCTTTATGTAGTACGGAGTAATCTGCTGAAATATATTCCAGCCAGACCGCATGCCGAGTTCTTCATCCGATAGTGGTCTGATAAGACCCGTGGGCCTCGTTGACCCGGGATGGCTCGATTTCAGCGCTTCGGAATTATACCGACTCGGTGTGCCGAGTTGTCCCCGTTCGGAGTGGTTTTTCTTAGAAGACAGCCCGCAGCTTTTTTTTTCTGTGAAGAGTTTTTGCTGAATTTCTATTAATTATTTCAAGTTCTAGCTCTTATTTTTCTTCGTTTATTTACACCAATCTCGCAGTTCCTCGAGCTATCAAAATTCGATGCTTCTAACTATACACATCCCTACAGATGGTGAGATACAGAAGTCAACCAGTTTTCTTAATACCTGTTATGCACTAACCGCAGATAATTTCTACCCCCGATTGCCAAATATCTTTGAAGAATTATCTAATCTATGTATCAAGTTATGTACAGTCTGGAACCACCTTGCCGTGCTTGATCCCGAGTTAACCGATATGAACCCGAACCTTTAAAAGCCAAATCCAAAGCAATGTTCACGAAACGTCTGCGCGCGAAACACCCCAACCGATGTCGATTTCTCTTCTACTCCCTTTACTCCTCACTACGCCAACCCTTACCCCGCCAGTGCAAGAAGACGGTGGGAATAACACTGACGATCACAATCAGCGCCGACCCAATGCCTGCGCTGGGAGCAACGCCAGCATTCTCGAACATGGGGGTAAACCTAAGCCAAGGTTAGCGACGATCCCACGAAACAAAATGGTGAAAAAGAAGACATACCAGAAAGGACCAATGAAACCCCAGATCTGTCGGACAAAGGTGATAAACACGCCAATATTACCAGCTTCCCGCGGGAAGCAATCGACAGCATATGTGATCATCACCGTGGTGACAAGCTGATTCCCGACAGCGGCAATAGCGGTGCCGATGATGGGCGAGACGGTCCAGTGTCCGCTGGGTGATTCCTGCGTGCAGACCAAGAAGACAATTACACCAATGATGGCGAGCGCAAAACCGAAGTAGCTGAGCCATAGGCGGAATTCTGGTTCGGCCTTACCGCCGATGCGTCGGCTGCGCCGACTCATCCAGAAGTCTGACAGTATGCCGCCCATTTGCTCACCGATTACGGAGCCGATGATCGCGCCTAGGAACTGCATGCCTAGTTGTTCGGAGTTAAGACCGAATTTCTCTTGCAGGAGGTGGGGTACCTCGACGGTTGTGAGAACGCTGCCGAAGAGGAAGACCATTGCATATGCACATGCTGGGATGAGGATCGATGGGTGTCGAGCCATTGTCAGTGGGCTGACGAACTCGAACCATGAGAATGGTGTGGGGTCGATTCGTCGCAGTGACATGTACTCAATCTTCCTTGCTGAGTCTTTGCTGTTGATGCCGCTGCCCAGATAACGTGTTTCAGGGCCGAAGAACAGATACAAGATGAATTGGCCACCGTTGATCTTTAGATTTATAAGCACATGGACCGGTTACTGGCTACTACGGGGACGGGAACGTACCATTGCGAGGATCCAGAAGATCCATTGATAACCAGCGCGGTAGGTGACAAAGCCGAAGATGAAAGGCCCAACCGGGACACCCAGAGTGATCAGCAGTGTCCAAACGCCCATATAACGGCCACGGTCTTTCTTAAAGGTGGTCTCCATCACGATCGCACTGCCAATGGCGGAGGCAGGCGAGATGAAAAAGGACACGAGGGCCCGACAAGCAGCCATAGAGGCATACGTGGTGCTTTTGGCACAGCCGACATTACACACAAGACTGCAGATGAGAGAAAGGAGGAAGATAGGCCGCCGTCCATATCGATTGGACAGCGGCTTCCAAAACAAAGGCGCAACTCCAAGAATAGCAATTTGCAATGAGGTCAAATAAGCAGCGTCTTGCATTCCGACGTTGAGCGCTGTGGATAGGTCTAAAAAGGCAGGGATAATGGCGGCGGCGGTAAATGTGCCCATACAAGCGTGGAAGGCCACAAGGATAAGGTTAACCATTTTCTGCGCATTGATACGTTAATATTTGGGACCTTTTGCTTTCATCTTGTAGGAGGATATTGACTTGCCTTCCACTCAGGCCAGTTGTAAGGGTCAGCTGGACTCATACTGGGAATAGGATCGAGTTCCAAGGTCCCGTGTCTCTCCATGAGATAGTCTCGGTGGGCCTTTGGTAGATGAGCAGTCATTGACTCGGCGTAGATGGCCCCCTGTTGTCCATGTTCTGCGCTCTCAATGAGATCGATGTCGGCTTTGGTACCAGACACCTCCTCGGACTTGTCTTGACGAGACGAGCTCGATTGCAATTCTAAGGATGTCATGTTGTTTGCGTCCCCTGATGAGAAAAATGGAATCCGAGAAGCACTCAAATACTCAAGTTACCCTCTATCTATGATCCAAGGTGATGTTTCGACTATCGCGAGAATAGTCGGAGGAAGTGTGGAAGTACAGAATAATGACAGATCTGGGGGCTTCTGTACAATACTTCTGCTGGGGACGCGAAATCAGCAAGGCACGGCGAAAAAGGCTAGGGCGAGTGTGCATAGCCAAGACACTAATACCACGGCATTCGTCTAGTCAGAGTTCCTCCTGGGGTAAGCAGATAATCTCCGGAGTTCTCGGCTCAGTTGCGGGTCCTTTGAGGAGGAAATGGAGCGAGGTTGAAGAGAAGTTGGAGAGAAAATGGAGAAAAATGCGGAGGCACTCCACAGTTCCTGATTGGAAATCGACGGCCCCAGCGAGTCAGAAAGCCGCTAAAGGAATTATTGTCTTGGGGTCGCTCACAAGGCACCACCATGGCACTTGAACACGGCTAGCCGATGAAGCTTGTTACTATACAACATCGCTACAATCCCGAGCCAAGTACCGAAAGAGTTTTTGACATCTTGGCGCAATTTGCCTGGGACCGGCTATTTCGCTTTACTGTTTACTTAGGGAAATACTAATTCGGGATGACATTTCCAATTCAAGCCGCGTAGCCCTACATGTGATGGGATTTGGTCTTAGCAGCGTGGAGGTTCTTCAATTTCTCTCCGAAGAACAAAAGCCACACATTCTTGGTCCACGCTTGTATCCGCTTGAATGCTTAAACGCTTAAACACCTTCCATGACTTTGAGTCCGAAACCTCCTTGCTCACAAGATATTACAAAACAGTAAACATATTCTCAGCCGGATTTTTATGTAGTCAAATATTTTCAAAGCCTAGGAATGGCAAAATATAAATTCCGTGATCGCATAAGCAGTCCCACACCCCACAATCACCTTCTCCACAATATAATCTGATATTCCTTCTCCTCGACATAATGTCGTCAATGGGCGTAATGACAGCACCTGCACTGCCAGGAGGCAAGAAATTAGTTTGTCGAGTATGCCAGAAATCATTTTCTAAGGCTGAACACTTGAGGGTGAGTAGATTGGCCTTCAAATCCAGCTTCTCCACGAAAGAGGGACCGCCAAGCGATACGAGATAACTAATGAGTCCCTATAGAGACATGAGCGTTGCCGTATGTTCCAATTCTATCATCATTTCAACACCTCAAAGCTGACTGAAACACTTAGACACGGGGTCTAAACCATATGTTTGTAAAGAGTGTCGAAGGCCTTTTGCTAGACAAGATGCCCTTACTCGCCATGAAAAACTGCACGCTCGTACTACAAATGCAAGGAATGACTCTGAGATCCACTTGCAGCCACAGCCTACCTCTTTAGATTCTCTCGCTTCTTGGGATACGAGTAGTGCCTCCACTGCCGAACCGGCGTCGACTTCAGCAACAAGTCACTCGTGGGATGAGTCTCATCTCGGTGATCATGCGGGTATGCATAACATTGCCTCGGAGTTGGACTTTGCATTGGTCTGGCCTGATTCGGAAAACCTGTTTCAGAGCTTGATGTCCTCGGATACGACAGACCAATGGCAGATGCCGCTTGGTACCTTGCCATTTCCGCCTGTCGTGCAAGATATCAATGGCATGAACTTCGTGTCTCCGAATTCATTCGATGATCGTAGGTCTTCTGTCGGGGCAATACCGTCCGGTGGAGGACATCAAGCAGTGCGAGATGTCACAGAGATGGTAACGAGCTCGGTGAGTTGAGCATTTCATTTTGTTAGATGAGGAAGCCAGGCTGGTCAAAATCTCGGTTGAGGCACAGGCTGAACTGATATCTTATTCCTAGTCATCGAGTGTTACCGCTGCCGTCAAAGCGACATCCATCACCTCAGTATTCCTCGACGAATGTCTCCATATGTTCTTCGTCCGCTTCATCCCCACATTCCCAATCTTGCATCGTGCAACTTTTGTTTTCCGAGAATGCACGCACCCTCTCCTTCTTAATGCCATCGCCATTGGCTCTTTGTACCTGGGCCCCAAAGACTCTGTTGCAAAAGGCGAAGCCCTATGGCACCTAGCGCATACCGCACTATCAACTTCATGGCAGTCCCTAATCACACATAGTGGCCCCTATGATGCCTGCAAGGGTGTTCAGTTGATGATTACAGCCCTTCTGGGTCAGATATACGGAGCACTATCCAAGAACCGGGCAATTCGAACCACCAGTCAGGTCTTCCATCCGCTGGGCTTCTTATGGGCAAGACACTGCGGCATGTATGAAAGCGAGCAGTACTCAATGGATAATCTGCCCTCGATCGATGCCCCTGCCGCAGAAAAAGAACACCAATGGCGAATCTGGGCTGCGCGGGAAATCCAGCAACGCGTCCTGTTAGCCTACTATGTCATGGACGGGCTCGTGGCTCAAACATCGAGCGATGGTGCCTCTTCTCGCCATGTTGCAAACCCACTCAGCCTCCCTAGCAGCGAGGAAGCCTTTGATGCCAGTACCGCCGATGAATGGTTAACTCATATGTACCCCCAAAAGCCGGATCAGTCCTCATTTAGGATGATTTTCCGCTCCCTCTTCCCACCCGTTGGGAGCTTCCGCCCTCTAGAGTACCAGTTCTCCGCCTTCGCACTACGTGTGGTACTAGAAGGTCTCCGGTCTCTGGTATCCGACTCTGATGACAATGAACTAGCTGTAGGAGTACCTAGTCAATCAGACGTCCGACGAGCTCTAGCTCAAGTCCACGAGACAATATCCATGAGTATCCACTTCACCGCAGCAGAGAGACTAGAAATCCTCCTACGGTGGCACACAGTCTGTCTAGATACAATGATAGATTCCACCGCCCTCTCCCGCCACGTCTGCTCGCGCTACAATATTTCCCAGCATGTCTCTGGTGGATGCGGAACCGTCCGCCCGGGCTTCGATCTAGTCAAATGGGCTAATTCAGAAGACGCGCGGCGGGCCGTCCTCCACGCGGTTGCCATCCAAGAAATCATAGAGCAATTACCGCGTGGCCGTGCACACGTCGTGCACATGCCTAGCTCACTATTCGCAGCGGCGACAATATATGTTGTCTTTTCACTTGCCGGAGTCGCTACTGTGAATTTGCCTCGTAACATCGTTTGGCAAGATGCTTTGCTGTCCCATTCGGATCTCAACCTGGGCGATGAGAATATCCGCCCTCCAGCTGGCTCAGAGACAAAGCGCTTTGTGGAGAATGGGAATGGATCTTCCTCTCTTCCACTTCCAATAGGTGGTGCTGTCAGGAATTTACTTTATGAGCTTAACTCCATGCAAAAGCTTTTCCGGTGTTTATCGTCACAGTGGGGTGTTGCGCATGACATGGAAGATATCGTTTCTCAATGGATTCAGCTCTGTCATTAGGTGTTCCGGCTGGACCTAGTCTCCAGATTGATGAATGCTACCACATGGAATTTTGCTCTCTTTTGGCGTTAGTGGAGGTGCTGCCGGGACTTTTATTGAGTGACAAATGTTGGATCGTTGACACATACGTATATACCCCTCATATTGAATTTGAATGTCCAAGTTGAAGAACCTATAGGAAAAGACAATACCACTGTAGTTAATTTAGGGTTGCGACCACGTGTTTCACGTGTTCTCTGTCTTTCATGCATGGCTGCCTTGATGCAGTTGCTCTGTCCTAATTTCTTACTGTATAGGGTATATTCTGGATAGGATAGTATTTGTATAGTGTTTTAAATCTCCGTTCAGGTTGTTTAATGAGCAAACTCTTGCATTTATTGATTACTTTGACTCTCACTAGCAATGTCAGCTCACAGATCGCACACAAAAAAATTGTGCTTCAGGTTAGATAGTTATGTAACCCTGGAACCATTTCGAGCAAATGTAATCCAAAATTTCAATAACTGGAAGCAATATAAAATGAAAGAGGACCGGACCTTGAATGTAGATAATTAAACTCGCGACAATCACGTGCCTTGAGCTGAAAACGCGGGATAGACGCGACGCGACGCGACGCGACTCCGACCTTTCCGACCCACTTCCAGAGTGATTCAGGCTGCTTTTGGCTAGAATATATCCACTGACATTCTTTATCTTATTGATCTGTGGGTCCAACTGTGAGCTATCCATTCATCCAAGCCAACTGATCTAACCCGATAGCAGCGTGGTGTTCCCATGCCAAACAAGACCAGATGATCACCAATCAAACCTGAGACCGCACAACCCGGCATCGGCTCCAGTGACTCCCCCAATGGATCTTGCATCAGCCCGTGGAACCAAGCTCAGCGACATAGTAGTCGATCACCGCCCTAGCACAGGCCGTGGCAAGAAGCTTACACTTGCGCAAGAGAGTGTTCTAAAGAGACTATATGAACAAGAGTTGCCCTCTGTGTCCAATGCCGGGGCACCACTGAAAGGGTTCTGGGTGAATCTCGCATCGCGGTTCAGTGAACAGACCGGTCGCGAGTATTCATGGTTGTCTGTTAAGCGGCGGGCTGCCGGTTGGCGTCAGAAGTCTCCGGAAGTTGACCGGCAACTAGATGTCTCTCATGCTAGCGGCGTTGGGGCTGAGGCTTCGGTAGCTGGGCCTAGTAATCAAGATATTGGTCGTGACACGCCACGATACCAGGGTTCATCCGACAGCGAGAAACCCACGCTACCACAAGCAAGCCCTTCCCCGCAGCTGTGGGATTCGAAGACCCGGGAGCTGACTCCACTTGAAAGAAGCCGCGGTGTCGGAGACTGGTTGCAGCGCAGTTTGTTTTCAGGCGTCACAGCCCCAAGCCAAGACAATGATAGCAATATCGAGTCCTCTCGCATTTCTCAACGCCGCCCCCGATCAAGATCTCCTGATCGTGTATCGCAGCCTAGATATCGTCGTCGATCTCCTTCACCAACGAGACGCACCAAAATTGTATCCAAACGATTGCACCACCACCTGGCCTCGTCTGATGCGATATTCGCATCCGGCCCCAACCCTTTGTCCAGCTCCTCGGCTCATGAAGATATGCAGCTTGGCCAGCCGAGTAACCGAACCCCAGGTGGACTCAACCGTGTCCAGGAGTCGGTGGAGGAGGATGACCCCGATGACCCCGGTCATGATTCGGCAGGATCTAAGCGTGGAGAAAGTGAACTCAGCAACGGTCTGACTGAATCCCCGCACCTATCTGGGCAAGATGACTTACCACTGGCCCCGGCTCCAATTATGAGAAGGCGTGTTGCAAATGAACGGACCTAGGACTGCTCAGAGAGATGAGCGGAATACAGCAAAGTTTCATATAAGCATAGCTTAGAGATCAGAGCGATGTGTGAGGGACAAACTATGATAATGTCGATGAAATCGTTTCCCCCTTCCGCAAGGAGACAAAGCGCACATTGTATGTCTATATTGAAGAGGATGAGCTACTAAGGTGCACAGAAGACAGAAATAGGTTTTATTCCCAAGATCATATACTGTATTTATTGCCTAATGGGGTCTTCTAGCGTGAGGGCTTCCAAAGGCCAAACTATATACCAATACCTGGGTGCATCTGTATCTCAAGTTAGAGCTACATAGCTACATGGGTATGTAGGTAGAGAGAAGGTATACGACTGAGCATAGCCCAGCCCCTGGGCACCTGTCAATCTCAAGCAGAATCGTTTGATCTCGTGGTCCCAAGGTCGTTTGTGTTAACGAGTAAGCGCCGAGACTCGTTCTGCGCAGGTGAACGCTTTAAATTGTTTGTTTTAGCCTTCACCTTCTTCCTCTTCTCATTCCTCCTCCATCTCGATCGCTAGTCATCTATCGAGATTGCCCAAGTCGCACTCAACTCATCTACAAGTTCTGTGTCCATCCTATCACACCGCAAACCACAAACCACTCGCACCATCACAATGGGAAAGGTCAAGTGGGATGAGATCGCTGACCAAGCCGTAAGTTAACTTTTCTTTTTATTTCACTATCACTCCACTTCAATCACAATGCCCGGACCAAGGTGGTCGATCTGTCTAGGCTGATCTTCTCCCGGGGTCATTATCTTGGCTTTTGCACTATGCCTGGCCAGGCAAATTGAGGCTCATGCCTTTGTGAGAGACATACATTATCATTTTCAGATTGAATTTCAATTTGATCATTTCCAACTGCACTTTTCTTTAGATTCCTGTTACTATTCAACTCTCCTGGAACCTCCCCTCCTCAGTCTATGCTCATGGACTGCATAAAATCTGATAATGATAACTGTGGCTTACGCACCTTATTTTATACCGCTGCTTACCACGATCATCCAAACCCATCAACTGAGTGTCGATGCGGCCAAGGTCGCCGAGGCATGGCGTAAGTTCTCCGTTCCGCAGTCGTAATCAATTCTACATCGCCAAAAATCGTCTTTCTAACATTCTCACAGCTGTCCAAGATGAGGATCAAAAACCGACTCCTCGTGCCATTAAGGAGCGGTTGACCAAAATCAAGGAGAAAATTCGCGCTCGCAACCCTAGCGTCGCCGCCTCCGGCACCTCAAGCCCTGTCACCCCCAAGAAGCGCAACACTCCACAGAAGAAGGCAAACAATGCTTCGGCTCCTGCTGGCCCTCCTCGAAAGCGCAAGCGCAAGCGCGCAACCACAGATGCTGCTGATGATCACGAGGAGATCATTGTGGAGAAAGATCAAAAGCTGACTGCTGAGGACAACGAGCCTCATGCCGACTCCCCCGTCCAGGAAGTGACGGCTGCGGAAGACGACCAGCATCTTGCCGGCTTCCCTGTTCAGGAAACCACGGGTGCTGACAACGGGAAGGATGATACTGAGGATCCGGACTCCGACTCTGACCTTCCACTCAAGTAGCCGATCGGTCCTCCACTATGGACTGAGGCGCCAAGTATCCCGGCGACTGAAATCCACTCAATGGCTCTCCATGATTCTGCTCTTCTTTGTGTCGCTTTGTCTTTGCTTATGCGTTTTGTCGGGTATCCTCCTTGGGTGATTTCTTTTCTCAGCAATGGGTGTGTTACCTGATCATTCAGAGGAAAAAAGAAAAAGAAAAAAAAGAATGGTGCCCAACTGTCCCAATTGTGCCAAGATCCATAGTTGAATCGAATCTCTATTATGTTGTCGCCTGCATTTATTCTATTCTGGCTGTACGAATGTAAATATAGTGGGATCAATAACTGCCATGTATTCCGAGTAAAGAGACCCGACTAGCCGAGCTCATTACTAGTGGCTGTAAATCCATCTGATAATAACCCCTTGTAAATTGTTCCATTGCATATCCCAGTTTTGAGATTGTGAAAACATCCGCAGATAAATCTTGGATACCATCAGCATGTTGACACCTTCACCATGTCGACGTTGTGTGGCTCCGCCGTGAAAAGAAAATAGACACGATATCGTTGACCGCACTTAGAGGTCCGAGGAAGAAGGTTCCTCCTTGATGGCATCCTCGGCACGCAAAAGGTCACTGTGTCGAACGAGATTAGCCCTCTGAATTTCTGCGGATATACCCACAACTGGTGGGACTTACTCCTCTGATTCCTCGTGCTTGATCTTGGGCTTTTTGCCCTTGTCATCATCGATGTCAGATTCGTCGTCCTTGGGAACCGGGCCTTCGCCAGACTGAGTATCAACCTCCTTAGACTGGGTGGCAGCGGCCTTGGTAGACTTCTTTGGGGTACTGCGCTGGCGCTTCTTGGTCACTGGCGAAACAGGAGCAGAAGTTCCACTACCGTCATTCGTCTCCGTAGCCTTAGCCCGAAGGCGGGTTACGCGGTGGCGGACGGCACAGGCGGTGACTCCTATAGACTGTGTTAGTATATTGAATGTGTAAGGCTGAAAAGGGCGCAGAAGGTGACGTGAGAGATCATTGCAGACTTTCTGGTCAAATTGTGGATGATAGACAACAATGGGCGAGGACTGGGGTGTATATAATGAACGAACACATAGTCTAGACGCAAAGCACATCAACAATAAATACAGAATACGCAGGTGCAAAGCATGCGTATGTATGTAGGTGGACGGTGGCCACCAGTTGCGCAACATCAAGTATAGGCGTCATACTATGGGGTTCAGGATTGAATAGGCTGCAGTATAGGGCTTGAGGATTCGCTGCGTAGTACTAACCGTCGCCCATGTACTCTGCAAGGGCATTGAAATCGATAGGAGTGGGGCTAGTAGCAAGTATGCCAGCCAGCAACTAAAGAAAAAAAAAACAATTAACTCTTGAAATCAGAGGATTGGGAGAGTTCTGGGCCAATCTTGGGAACAGAAGACATGCCGAAAGACATGTTGGACGATATGTCAAAAGACGTTAAGGATATAGTATCGCCATTCAGGTCAAACTCATCATCGTCCGGATCAGGCCCATCGCCGTCCAAGTCAGGGTTATCACCGTCCGGGTCAAGGTAATCAAAAATAGGGAACAAACAAAAGGTAACTGGTCAACGCGGAGAGACTGTACAACGTACCTTGGCATCCGCCTTCTCGTTCCAGGTGATTTTCATTGTTGCTGTGGGCGTTAATCAGGCTAGAGTAAACGATATCAGTATCTTCGAGAACAGAAGTGACAAGGACGGTAAGAACAAAATTGGATGGATCGCGCGAAGGCTAGGAGTATATGGTACTCGAGTAAATTGAGAATAAACGTACCTATTGGTAGAATGTGTGCAAGTTAAAGAGTTTGTGCAAGTTAAAGAGTTATGAACCGAGTAAATTATTTCCGAGCGATGGACGAAGAGAAACGTCAAGAGGGAGTTTGAAGGAGTGCTCAGACGAGCTCTGAACTTTTTATCGTCACTTCCAAACGCACAAACAAGTTATTACTCTCCTTCCTTCTCTTCGTCTCTATAGATTACTAGTGGGATACTGTAACCTGTAAAACTACGTGTACCTACGTATAAATATTATTTCGTAGTTGAAACACCACCAGAACAGAATTATGACCAATTAAGAGTGTTCAAAGATATTAAAGTGACATGGGGTAACATGAAATAACATGGGTTAACATGAGTAGTGAGAACGAAGTGCGAGAAGTCCGAATAGTATTTAGCAAGAAATCAAACTCCAAACTCTTTCATCGTTATAGACTGAAGCTCTAGGCTTATGCCTATCCCGTTCAACATAGAATCACAAAGGTTCAGAATCGTCTGAGCCATATCAAGGGTACACTTTAGAAATAAGGGCGTTGATTGTGTTCTTCCACGCTGAGATTGCGTCTGCGTCCGGGCAGATGCCGTCTGCATTCCTGTCTCCATCGTCACCGTCCGCGTATAGAATAGACGTTCTCAAGATAGCAAGGGCGAAGGAAGTCGAAGTTTGCTTGAAAATGAAAATGTTTGAAAAGTCTGCTATGGTTCAAATCAAGAATACCACGTAGATAACAGGGTACCCGAAAGACCTAGGACAAAAGCCAGAAGACATCTTCCTCCGCTATGCCGCAGAAACCGCACCACAAATGTCAGGATCAAATTCAATTCCTCCTATCAAATGCCAGGGCTAAGAAGTGAATGCTCTTAGACCTTACGCTGCTTAGTGGGACTCTCGCAGGAGTCGCCCCCATCCCCCTCCTGGCTCTTGTCAGCGGAATCATTCTCAGGCTTGCTGGATGAGGGCGCCTTGCGCTTAGTAGGGGTTCTAGGAGCCTTTCGGCCACGGCCGGTGGGCTTGTCCGCCTTGTCGTGGGTATCGGATTGCTCGGAGTTTGCCTCTAGACGGGCCTTCAGATTGTAGAAATGAGTCTTCACAGCCCTAGCGCTGCCACCTACATCTTGTCAGACAGGTCCGTGTAATGGGCATGTACCGTGAAGGGTTTAATAGGAGGAAAGCAGAGATTATAGAAGGAGCAGATTTTGCATCTATGTCTCATGTACTCACCTTGTCCCATTGCATCAGCAATGGCAGCATAGTTTAGCGGGGCATGGACGGCCATGATGGCTACAAGCAACTGTCAATCATTAGCCATTGATACCAGTGTCTTGTCAGTATGAGTAACAGCGGGCTAGGAGCGAGACCAGCGCATGGACTACCATCTCGCGAACTGCTGTTGTCATCCTACAGACAAGCAAACTTATCCGCTTGTCTCTCTCGTGATCCCAGGAAAGAGACATTGTTATAAAAGAAATGGTTTTGTTGAATAGAGATGATTGGGAGACTTGGGGGATGATGGTGATGTAGAAAGGAGGAGAGAAGTGGTCGAGAGAATGGACAGAACATTAAAGCCGCAGGCACCTTCCCATGCTGTTTGCGTGACCTACTCCACTGAAGACCAATCACTTCGTGGAACCGACTGGAATATTAAGCTGAGATATGTGGTTCAAGTCTCGTCCTACTGCTCTCTGTCTTGTCGTCCTAGTAGATGGTATATTGATTCTGGTCTTCTTTGCGTCGCCCGTCTTTCAGAGTTAGGAATCCCCAAGGTTCCTAATACTTGATTTGTATACTGCTTGCAGCTCGTGTTCGGGAACATAAATTCATAGCAGTTGGACCGAGTGTTTAGCACAAAACTCAATTGAAGCAAACGAGAGATCAACCCGGGAATCTATACTGAAACATAAACACGGCAGGAAGATAAACATGTTCATGGAAGCCGCTTCAAAAACAAAAAAAAAGAAAGAAATCATATCCTGTGCCCCCATTGATAGCGAGCATAAGATCACATTGATCCCTACAATTGCCCAGCAGACGGCGGTGTCGAGGTCCACGGTCCACTGACAAATTGTGACTCTGAAACTCTTCCTGTCTTCCCCTGCGAAGGTTCAAGATGATTGGGACAATGACTTGACCGGTCAGAAGGAACTTGGTGAACGTGTGTTGTTTCAGTAAAACCCGCTGTCCCATTGCCAGGACCAGATTGATGTTGCGAAAAGTAATGGTTACCACTGACTTGCGCCAATGGGTTATGATATTGCTGCTGGCCCTGGGCAAGAATGGCTTGATGTGGTCCTGGCTGTGTTCGTATCATATGCTGCTGTTGATATTGACTCTGCACATGCTGCAGTGGTGAAAATCCCTGCAATGCAGGGTCCGCGTGAGAATGTTGCGGATGGGAACGTGGGTCTGGTTGACTTTGCCCGAATCTACCTTGGTCAAGCATAGAGTGCGATGAATGGCTGGGGAAGCTATCCACAGAAGTTTGGTAGGGTTGCCCTTCCCCATCAAGAGAAAAATTCGAGGCGCGGCGATCGAATTCTCGCGACGACTGTTCCGTGTGCTGGTTGGATGAGTAAGGCCCAAAGAAGGGCTTAGGCAGGGTCGACGGGTGTAAGCTTATCGAGACACTCTCGCCAGGGGCGTTCGGATGGCCTTGCCACCGCGGCTGGGAATTGGGAGCTACACGCATCGAATTTGCCATTTGGCCCTGTGGATTGTTGGTTATTGACCACGACGCTGGTGGCTGTTGGTTATGCAACCCAGCAGGGTCTGCAGAAAATCTTTGGAAGGATTGTGCATGTTGCGTCATGTTATAACTGCCTGGGTGTCCCTGATATGTACCTGGATTATTACTCCACGCAGATGAGGAGATACTTTGGCCCATGTGCGGACCCGTGATTTGATATCCTGGATGTGTCTGGTTCCCATAAAATGTGGGCTGAACACCATTCACCTGTCCGACAGGACCCTGTTGCAATGGATTCTAGAGACAAATAAGTACCACAATCAATCAACATTTGACTCGAACATTTGAACATACCGGCCCATATCCGGCTGCATTTGCAGCGAGCTGCTCATATCCGCCGGGCAAGTGTTGACCCGTTTGATTCGAATACCAACCTGGTACCCCGGAAGACCCATAAGTTGGATTGTCCGACTGTCCGTATATATGGGAGTCAAGGGAGTTCTATCCCACCATCAGTGCCATTCTTGCAATGCTTACGCAGACATAATGAGCGCGATTCCCTACGGAAATTCTCGCACTGTCCGCCACGGAGTACGTTCCGCCTGCCATTGTATCCACGGACTCCACTTCTCGAGAAAGGTTGCTTGTCGGATGCGATGTTGGCTCCTGTGATGGCCCTGCCCCGCTCGGTGTCGGTGTTGTTGACGGGGTCAAAACTATCGGTTCGGTCGGAATTTCCCATTGCGACTTCCCAGTCGTCCGCTGTACGTAATACCATTTCCGTCCGACACCTTCCCATTGAGGGAGCCTGCCGGTTATTATTGTTAGAATACAGTAGGTCCTTCGATTTTCAGGTTAACTTACCAGCCCTCTGGAAGTTGAGGTGGTGGGGAGGACGGGCCTGCGGTATCCGCTGGGGCCTCTGGCGCCATCTCGGAACAGAATCCGTTGTCAGAATAACGAACAGAAATCACATCCAAATCCAGGGTAAAATTTAAATCTACAAGAGCAGAAAGGTGTGGGATAAAGAGGTTTAACGAGGAAGATAAGACGATCTTGTGGGGCTTGGCCTTTGATCGCCGTGCACAGACCGAGTCAACACCGCTTGTATGGGCTTTTCCTATTTGATTTGCCGCTTTTATGAAGCTCTGGCTATGTGTCAGGATGGACTTATGATCATTGATATAATGGAATGGAATATTCTGCATATCATATTTCTCATAAATCGCTAAAGTTTTAACGAAGTAGCTCCTGTTTATCCCGATGACCCCCTCCCAAATGAATAAACAACCCCAGCGCCAAACCATACAAACATATCAGCATAAAAAAAAAGAACATATCTGTCTAAACGCATGGGAGACCCCCAAGAGACGAGATATTAATAGATACAAGAAGGCAGCGTTGGCTAGAAGTCAGCGTCATTGCCATCCCAGTCCTCGTCACCGCTAAGTTCATCGTCAAGAAAATCGTTCTCATTGAACTGCAACTCAGTCGGCCGCTGGTTGTCGATCCGAATGTTTACAACATCGCACATTCCCTGTATCTTCCCGGATTCGGGCTGCGGGGTCCCGAATAATGAAGAACCACTAGCAGCATCATCAATTTCGTTGAATTTTTGATGTGCCAGCCGAGTGCTTTGGCGTTTGGAGGAAGTCGATCGTCCACTATCAGCCGTGGATGGTCGCAGATCATCAACTCCAGCTCCCGATTCATCGGGTCCATTACTTGCGATTAATATGGTTGGTTTGAGCGAGCGCTTCTGAAGGGAACGGAGATTGGGATTTGGCGGCATACTTCGTCGCAGAAAGACTTTTTCGAGCAGACCGATCCACCGCTCGCGAAAGGTGGCACGGTCTCGCCAGCCAATCTTCAGGATTGCACTGATGACCAATCGACGTAAATCTCGAAGTTTGGGGGCCGCATTCACCATCGATGTGAAAAAGACCTCCGCAGTAGCGTCGTCCCATTTGCGTAACTGGGTGAGCTCGATTTCTTGGAGCTTCTCTGGCCACGTGGGGACTTCGGTTTGGACAAGAAGATCTTCAAAGTGCGGCTCGACATCGTGGTAACTGGACGCATCATGCATAGACAGGTCCATTTTGAAAATTTCGAGGTTCTCACAGTACTGAGCCAAACTTTGGATGAAAGACATGTTGAGATGGCGATTGTGACTTAAACTGAGCTCTCGAAGATTGGTGCCATGTAAAGACATATAGGCTGTAAGATCTGCTGACCACAATCGATCACAGTTGTTCAGCGTGAGGGAACGGACGGTATTTGGTAAATTGATCAGGACTTCACCGCAAACCAATGAGCTTTCAGTAAAATCCAGTCGCTGAAGCTCTGGGAGCATCGCAAGGGCCTCGAGGAGGCTGGCCTCTTTGGCAGCGGAAGTTTCTTCGTTTTGGTTATCAAAGTGGAGCAATTTCAGCTCTCTGAGACCCCGAAAGGCGGGCTGCGAATGCATTTTCACCATCATTTCGACAAGCGCATCGGTTTCTAGAAAGCGGCTGTTCCAGTCCCAGTTACGAAGGGTAATGCCACGGTTCTCGAGGGCGGAAAAGACAGCGTCTGGATAAGTCCACTTTGATTGAGCAATGTGCCATGGAGGTATTCCCACCGTGTAATCATCTTTGTGATACAGTCGTACCGTGTGTAAACGAGGCGTCTTTTCAATTAACTGAGCAAGGTCAAAGTAGCCGTAAGACCCACTTTTATAAATGAGCACCGGTTCAACTTCAACATGGAGTTGTTTGATCTTGCTAGAGTAGTTCATCGAGAGCGATTCTTGTGGGCGTGCCAATAGAGAGAGGAGCACATGGCTCTTGTAGGTAGGAAGAAGAGGGGGACAGTGATAGAGTGCAGCGAGCGCTGGTTCGTGAAAGCTTCGACATAGCAGAGCGACATTGACTAGCCACTTGACAGAGTCATTGCGGGCCGAACGGCTTTCGTCAAGTAGTGGGTGCGACGCACGTAGGAAAATGTCAAGAAGGATATGGTAGGGGAGAGTTTGCCAAGGAGGAATTACACCGGATCCAAGGAATACCGGGTCATCCTCATCTATCTTGGCACGTTTGTGCACGGCTCTGCCGACTCGACTGCTGGGTTTCGATCGTTTAGACTTATTTGGTTTCGGGGTGGTTGCAGCCCGGCGAGGACCTTGGGGTTTTGGGGGGCGAGTAGGCACAGATTCGGCCTCCAGATTTGGCGTATCGATCGGCGCAGCTACCAATGATCCGAGCTCTTGGTCTTCCACAATTTCGTCAAAGCTAGCATCCGTCGAATCTTCGCGATAGGATTTCGGCATTCGAGTTGTACTGCGCGAGCGAAGAGATAACGAGGCGCGCCTTGATCCGGGCAAACCTCCTGATTCGTCTTGAGACGAGCTTTCCTCTAGGTAGGTCTGGACCTTCGTGCGGCTGGACCGCATAGGGCGAGTGGACCTTGAGCGCGAACTGGAGGGCGCCATGACGGATAAGGGCGCGCTAGGATAAGAAAGTGGGTTGCAGACACCTGAGCCACATTGTACGCACGACGTCGCGCGCGCAGCAATATGAGCAAAGTATAACTATTACCGGCAAGCGAAGGCAACAACTCTGCAATTCTTGTCACTCAAATTGATCCTGGCGACGGTCCGGGTGAGTCCGGTTTTCATTGACGGATGAGGTCAAAGACGCCAAGAATGCCAAGGCTATGAACTTATCGATAACAGAAGGTGCCAATTGACGCTAGCCTTATTGGGAGTTAGTTTACACGTGATAGCCAGGCAGGAACCCCGCCCTCAGGCCACAACACTAGTCCTCATTGGGAAGCACTAGATGGCCCCAAAATAGATTCTCAGCTTGAGCTTTAAAGATGGGCGCTTCCAGCCACCTCGAGGGGAAACCTCCTGGAACCGTACACCATCGGCGCATTGCTTCTCAGAATCTGATTTTCTTCATTTTTCCTTTGTATCGATACACCGTTGTGTTGAAGATAGCCTACATCTATGCAGCGGCTCCTGATTTGACGATAATGACGATTTGCCTATGCGACCTTGCATCCGCATGATTGTTTGTCTGCATCGCGTGTCTAGCTCTATTCTACAATTAAATATAGAGGTCTGTCTCTCCAAATCGCCGAGTTTCAGATGGAAACATCGCTTCCTGTTATGATGGACTCAACCGATCGCTCCAACCGTGGTGAGCTTGGCGGACCGCAAATGGTCATTCAACAATATGCGCGATATCCTCCGACCTTGGAATCAACGTTGCGGAGTGCTTCCTCATTGGGAAGTGCTCGTAGCCAAATAGATATCACCAAATCGCCTCCCTTACAACGAAGAGAAACCCCTAGGAGCTTACAGTCTTCCCCGAGGGGCATGCGTTCTGCTATACCCCCATCATCGGCCCATCGCTCCGGGACGTCCATGTCTCCACCACTTTTTGATCCTAATCGTCATCAACCAATGAAAGATCCTGCCGATCACGCAGATTCCCGAGTTCTCCCCTCACGAGATATCACTGACGAAACGATTGATGATGCCTATGTAGCATTTATATTGTACTGCAATCCTAATGTTCCATCCACGGTTGACACATCAGATCTGCGAAAGACCTTCCGGTGTCTCCCGCGGAGCGATGGAAAAAGCTTCAACATCTTTACCCTATTCGGGCTCATTCGAAAGCGGCTACAGAATGAGGAGTTGAAGACATGGATTCAACTAGCAATTGAATTGGGTGTCGAACCCCCCTGCCTTGAAAAGAAGCAAAGTACCCAGAAGGTGCAACAGTATACTGTTCGACTCAAAGTACGTCTGCCCTCAAGCTTCCAACCCATACTCGTCTTGCTAATCTCGCCCAGCGCTGGATGCGTGCTATGCATATTGATGCTTTCTTTGAATATTGTATGGGCTTGCCCCATTCCTACTATACACAGCTCCCGCCATCTGGTCCTTTCGTCAGCGAATCCCGCGATGGTGTGTTATTAGAAGAGGATCTTGCTCTCAGGGCACTGGTGCCACAATGGAAGCCAAAGCGGGGAAGGAAAAGGGTTGAGGATAGGTACAGTGAGGAGGAAAGGTCAATCAAGCGACCCCAGTTGGATACATCTGTGGGCGCCCTACAGCAGGGTGGCTTTCAGCCCCACTCCGTGACATTCCCACAGAGTGCGATTCCATTCAGTGCATTTCCTGATGATATTGAACCCAATGACCCCTGGGTAGCGGCGACCTCCTCGTTTCCAAATGGCTCAGGACCGAATCCGCAAAGTCAAGATATACGCTGGAGACATCCTGAACGGGATGCTTCTCCTGCTAATTATCCACAGTCTGCTATCATTCCCCGCAGTCATCTACCATCAGATGTACTCGTGTCTGCAGAACCACGCTCGGCAGTTACTCCATCAACTGGCGAAAAGACCCGTTCTAGGAGACGACATGGCCCTGCGGTCTCATCTGCTTGGCCGAACAGCAACGGCTTGTCAGCTGGGAAAGGCCGAGGAAGACCACCAAATAAAGGGTCATCATCGGGTTCCTTTTCTACCTTCCAGGTCAATCCCAGTCGAGAATCATCGCATGCACCCAATCCTAATACTCAGGTTCATTCACTTGCCCTTGACAGAAATCTGCCCCAAATCTTTCAAACTCCATCTCACGATCAACCTCCAACATCTGTCTCTCAGGGAAGGCCCAACAAACTTCAATTGCAAGTTCCCCAACATTCAGGGGCGCCGGTTCGACTTGCCACCCCACCAAGACTAGTAGTTAACGGCGTGAATGGTGCTGTCATTCCTGGGTCTGAAGGGTCCAATAGTTCCCATCAATATTCCACGACAGATACCCCAACAAATGGTATCACTACCCAAACACCTTCCTCCAATGGGCAAAGCAATACAACCACTAGCCCGAATCCCTCTATCGAAGACATTGTTCATGCACTTTCTGCAGAGCTACTTCGTGCTAGGCTGACAGGGCGGACAGCAACCCTCGCACCCAACGAGGCGGGTGCCCTAGCCTCAGCGATGGTGGCCAATTTGTCTTCATTATATTCACAGTTCCAACTGGGTACTCATTCGCTGCTGCTGGCTTTTCATCTTGGTGTCGGTCATCATTTTGGACTCGCAGGCAATAATCCAGGGCCATTAGTCGTCACGGTTGAACATGCCATGCCAAGCAGCGATGGAAATAGGGGTGTCCCTGCCTCTAAAGAATCATTCAATGGGGCTCAGTATACCATCTCCCATGAGCACAAAACCTCAAGCCAGTTTTCGATGCAAATCACGCTCGCAAACTTCAATCCTCGTATAGGAAGGGCGAGTGTGTCTGATCAGCCGAGCGTGGTTATGGGTCCGAGTCATGACGATATTGAAAACAATAAGATGGCGGACCTAGATTCCGAAGATGACGATCCCAGCCAGTCTGTCTCCGAGGCAACATGGAAGCAGCGTTACACGAGACTCCGTGCTCAGATGCAGAAAAAGGACCAGGCTTTGTCACAATACAAGCGAAAGATTGTGGAATCTGTCATGGCGGACATATAATGCTCGCCAGCCGAATATTCTTCCTAGATTTATATTATGATCTTAGCATTGTGCTTTTGCCCATTTGTGATATGTATGCAGGCATTTCTCGTGTTTATCTGATAGGATACCCCTCTACGTTCAATCCTACTGCTTTCTTGCGCTTTATGAATGACATTGATCATCTCAGCCCCTAAACTTAGGATAGCTTGAGATTACATATCTTGCATTGGTGCCTAACCCATGGGCACTTTTGACCCACGTGGTTTGTTAATTCGTATGCTCTACGTTTTGTATTTTGATCCATTGTCTCCCCTTGCCCTATTCAAAGCCTCCAGTCTTGTTTGTTTACACGTCGATCTACCTTTGCTTGACGAAGGCAGGTATCTTTGAGATCTTGCTAAGCACGATAGCAGGGTTCCTTCCACGACGCATCAGTTACAGCCGACTATCCAATGCTGTTAAATCTAACATCAGTCAATGAATACCAGGTCAGTGTTGAATGTTAACTATACGTGAATACGTGAAGGAGAAGGCAAATGGTTAATTTACTTCGAAATACCATATTTCCTCACTCAAGACTTTATCATGGATTGATCCATGACTGCACACCGCCACCACCAAATGGAGCATTTTTATCGAGAGTTAAAACTACCATGTTTAGCCATGGCAAGTGAGCGAAGACACGGGGACTAATTCAGCATGCGTGATGGTAATAATGAGGGGTACTAGCTAATGAACATACGAACGAGGGCTTTCTAGTCTCCAACAGAGCCTGATCAATCTTGGATATTTTCAACTTTGACAACCACAGGCTGATCCTCCTGATTCTCTGTACTCTCTATCCTCTCCTCAGTCTGCTGTTCTTCTTCGATCTTTACAGTCGGGTCTTCCTGGCGAGATGGAGGGAGTGGTTCCCAGGTGATGGTTGGGGCATAATTGATGAAAGGATGCGGTTGTTCAAACTCCTGCAAGTCAATGCCAGATTGAATGCTGGATGATGAATAAGGATAGCCACTTGGTGCTGTTGGGAACTGGTACGGATTCATGAAGGACGACGATGTTGCGGGACTCGGCGATGGTATCCTAGATGGTATGGTTGAAGCCAGCTGGAACTGCATCGAGGCAAAATCTTGAGGAAGATAATATTGTCCTTCGGTGCTTGTCTCCAGCATCAAGTGTGGAGAATGCTGCGTAAGGCTCTGTAGGTTTGCATTGCCTTGAGTTCCCGGCTCGCACTTCACAAATGGGTTACCCGGAAGAGAAGAATCGATCGATTCCATGGTGGGCATCATGAGCGGTGGAGCCATTGGAAATATCCCTTGTATCTGAGGAGGGGGCTCTATGGTCTTTGGCTTTTTACTCTTTCGCTTTGGTTTGCTAGCTCCTGTGTTTCCTTCCATCTGTTGTCGGAAGCGGGAATACCGCATACGAGCAGCGTGGCCATTGGAGATTTCGACATCAGAAGCGACCCTATTCCAATCAACCTGTTATGTGCAAATAATGTTAAATCAGTCTTCAGTTAATGGTTGGGCAATATTGAACTGACCGACTTCAGATCCAATTGCTTGATGATTGTATAGAGGAATTTTGCAGTAGGGGTGTCAGTCTCTAAAACTTTATTCCGCTGCCCCATGGCTGAAAAGATAGACTCAGTGAGCGAATGCTAAAAATGAAGTTGTGAGGACACTAGGAAAATTCATGAACAGTTTAGATAAGATTATATAACTTATATAGGATCAAAAAAGATCATGAGGACCAAAACGCTTGCCAGCTACATCAATGCTTGCTTTGTTCTGTGTAAATATAAGGGACAATAAGAAGTTTGCGGATTGCATGCCTCTGGTTTGCCTAATTCAAACATCCTGCAGTATCCCAGCTACTTCTTTATACCTATGCTTTGGGTAAGATACGTTAATGAATATTGATATCCGCATTCCAACAAAGATATAGAAAGCAAAGCCTTCTTTCTTCGTGGCTTCTGAGAAAGCATGTGAAGACAGCTGTAGATGCTTGGGTCATTGTATCAGGGTATGCAGTTGCACTCATATATTGGTCACGTGATATAGAATACCCTAGTCTGACAGATATTGAGGGACTGATCTTTTCACTGGCAATTGGAGAACATAGCTAGAGATCCATCTTGAAAAGTAACTGCATGCGTATATCTCTTTTGCACTATAGTTGCGGGCCTTAAGTAGAATGACTGATTGTGGTATGTGGTACTACAAACTACAAGATGATCTTTGGGTGCCAAGACAAACATACAGTAGGAAAAGGGTCCATCTAACCTTTACACCCGTGGAACTGGGTGGACCTCAGCCCTGGGCTGGAGGGTTTAACGACACGCTGACTAATTCACCCCACAGCCCGCGGCCCCTAGAGCCCTGTGGACCTAACCTTCCAAGGAAAGTCACGGGTATCCTCGACATGGTCATCGACACTTATTAAATAGAGGATCAATCCACACCAATAGCTACTCACACCTTCTTCCGGGAAACTGAAATATATTCTAACCAAAAATCATTATCATGACTTTAGTAGCTATAGGGGCGTGCTATCTTGACACAATTCTAACGTGAGTTCTATCCGCTGTTCATAGAAAGTCTAGTATTCACATGGTTTCGTCAGAACCCCCCATTACCCAGGTGAAGATGAGAAGCTCCGTGCGTCCAGGATCAGTCACCGACGCGGTGGGAACTGTCCAAACACTCTCGAAGTTCTGGGGCAATTGTTGCAATATGGGCCGTCGAGTGCCAAATCATCATTGAACCTCATTGCTGTTCTGCCCTCCAAAGCATCAGTTGCATCTCAGCAAATTCAATCAAGCTTAGGGAATATGGTTCAGCTAGATAGTTGCATTTACCGAGAGATATTCAGTGAGCCAGCTGCTAGTTACATCATTGCGAGCCAGGCCACCGGTAGTAGAACGATCGTCAATTACAACGAGCTGCCCGAAATGACGCACGTCGAGTTCGCAACTGCTGTTGAGCCCCTACGTGCTGTGACTGATCGACTTTGGTTTCATTTCGAGGTACGATGAATGCCGGATAGGTGCTCAGCTGATCATGAATCATACTAACTTGAACTCAGGGCCGTGCACCAAATGTCACATTAGAATGTATTCGTTACATCCGGGAGCATTTTCCAGAGGCTGAAATCAGCGTTGAGGTGGAAAAGCCAGGCCGAGCAGGCTTGCAGGAACTTGCAGACGCGGCTGACGTTGTTTTCTACTCGAAGGGATGGGCCCAGGTGAGATTTTATTTTCGGCTTTCTTCAAACACATCTAATAGCTGAGCAGAACAATGGATATACATCCGCTGAGGATTGCTTGCGGAATCAATCTTTAAAGACGAGTCGAGCGTAAGCTTTACTATCCAGTTCCCAGAGAAATACTCTAATCTATCGCTTATAGGTCCTTGCTATGCTGTACTTGGGGTCATGACGGGGCTGCAGCACTTGAACCAAGGACTGGAAACTTTGCTCATGTCCCTGCGCATACTGAAGGACTAGGGGTCACCGAGTGAGTCTTGATCGTCCCGATGTACTACAGCACAAGCTGGGCCATATTAATAGTCTATAGCACCATCGGAGCCGGAGATACATTCAATGCTGGCTTGCTATACGGTCTCATCTATCGGGGTCGGGATTGGGATTTTCGAAAGAGATTGGAATTTGCAAATCTTATTGCCGGCTTAAAGGTTACCCAGGAGGGATTTGCAAATATACAAAGAGCATTGGACTCTCCATCATATTAATTCACCTTTACTTGGCTGAATTACACCAGATATTTACAATTTCAAGTCAATGTACCAATTCCCGCTTCTTGTCTATGCCTACAAATTTCACCATTGTGAGTCTCAATGGTTGGAATCTACATAAATCTTTTGCAGATAATATGAGTTGAATGGGAGATATATATTTTCATAAAATGAGACTTTGAGTCAACTTTAATCTCCTTTTTAGAGTGGTATTCGGAAGATAATCCAATGCAAGGCACCCTGTACATATGTAATTGATTGCACTTCCCCAAAATCAAAATCATAATGCAAGGTACGGAGTGCATAGTTTTACAACATCACATGGATGTTTGGCAAGAAATATAGCGGTAAATAACGGCAATTAAATTGGTAACCCACTTGGCACGTGACACAGCAAAGGCTCAGGGCGGTGGAAACAAAAAATATTCTGCCGTCAACTTTTTGATCTCGGCCTTCTTTTACACGATTAATTTCATTTCCATTTTTGACACAATCAACAGTCACTATGGCATCAGTTTACAAGAGTGTCTCAAAGAAGGCTGCCAGACAGCCCACCGAGGATATGTCCGACGAGGACATTGAGATGGAGGAGCTCCTCAATGCGGAAGACGACACCACAGATAGCGAAGAGGAAGAGTCCGACGACGGCGAGCCCGCTGAGGTTGTGAAGAAGCAGCTTGCTTCTGGATTCATGCCCAAGACCCGAGTACTTATCTTGACCTCCAGAGGTGCTTCCTACCGGTATGAATATTGCGCCTTGAGAGATATGCAACGGGTTTACTGATCTTTGAAATTTGTTTTCTCTAGTCACCGACACCTCATGGGCGATATCTGCGGCCTCCTCCCCCATGCCCACAAAGAGACTAAGCTCGACACGAAAAAGAAAGCCGCCGGATACAACCTCCTCCTCAACTCTCTTGCCGACCTGCACTCATGCAACGTTATCTTTTTCCTCGAGGCCAAGAAGAATGGCCAGGATCTCTACCTCTGGCTTTCACGTCCTCCTAATGGCCCCACTATTAAGTTCCACCTCAATAACTTGCACACAATGGGCGAGCTCGGCGCTGGATTCGCAGGAAACTGCCTGAAGGGCGGCCGTGGCTTGGTCGTGTTCGATCGCTCCTTCGACGAGCAAGGCCCTGATATGGGAACTCCTGGTAGCGAATACCGTGCGCTTGTTCGCGAGATGCTGCGCGGAGTTTTCTGTGTGCCTAAGCGTGGTGTCAGAGGCATGAAGCCCTTCGTCGATCGCATCATCGGTATCTTTGGGGTGGACGGCAAGATCTGGATTCGCGTCTATGAGATTCGCGAGTCTGAGCCCGGTAAGAAGAAGGATGGCGAAGAGACTGTTAAGCCAGTACCAAAGGGTAAAGACGGCGCTCTGCCCGAGGTTTCTCTGGTCGAGATTGGTCCCCGCTTCGTTCTGACCCCCATTGTCATCCTCGAAGGAAGCTTTGGTGGACCCGTCATCTACGAGAACAAGGAGTACGTCAGCCCCAACCAAGTCCGTAGCGACATCCGGCAAGGCAAGGCTGGCCGCTACTCCCAGCGCCGAGACGGCCAGACTGATCGGGTGGCCAAGCGCTCCGATCTAGGACTGTCCGAAAACTCTGTGCGGAAGGTGGATGCGTTGGACACAAGGAAGCTGTTTGCATAAGGGGTTTATATTTTTGTTTCGTCGCGCTATTTCTAGACTTGATATCCCTCGGGATGATGTTTCGACTACATGTGTATATTTGATGCGACGCTTTCATCATGGTCCGTTAAGGCGTCGGGGCAAAGTCTCATCCTGGTTAATTTCAAAAGTTGATTATTTCTATTTGTTCCTTGCTTATGCCTGTTTCATTGCGATCCCTAGAGCTCTGCCTTGAGGGTATGTAACCGAAAGGGTAGATTGGTTGGACTCCTGGGCAGACCCCTGGATGCAAGGGGCAACATTAGCTAAGCGTTATATAACTGGAGCCCTGGAGCTCTCGACGCCATCCATCGCCTCAAGTCCGACTTTGCCTCCGGACACCATCTATCATGGCATCATTTTTGTTGGCTAGCCCTATACGGCTACAAGGAGATTGCTCTTCCGATATGTTCACTCTTGATCCCACGCTATCTCTTCATTCTGTTAGCCCCAACGGCGGGGTACATATCCAATAGGTCCACTGTACACGCGACAAGTGTTGATATTGATTGCTTCAACCCGTGACAACACTGTCCAACTGATTTATACGTAAATCCTCGAAATCCAACCGTCCTTTTTTTTCCCTTTCAAGTTGCCTGATACAAATAAACAACCTTTCATCAGGTAAGTCATCACTCATTGACACTCTGTGAGTCATTCTAATGGTGTTATTACTTGCAGACTAGCAAGTTTCATCATGCCAATTGATTATCTTGCAACGGAGCTTCTGCTCCATATATTTCGTTCATGTGACTCAGTATCCGATGTCTTGAATTTATCAGCCATCTGCCGTCGACTCCACCACGTCCTTAATTCGACAAGCAAATTGGATATACTCGCCAGTGTCGCGGAGACCGAATTTGGTCCCCTTGATGATATCATTCAAGTGGTGACGCAAAATGAGAGCCAGCCCGTTCATCACATTCGACATGCACCTATGTCTGATGCCCTTCTGAAACAAGCCATTCATATCGGCCATGTGGCCCGAAAATGGGAGACCATCTACCCATTTAAGAAGTGGAAGGTAGACTTCGAGAATCGGCGCTCGCTCACAGATGAAGAGCGATTGCGGCTGCGCCGCGCAGTATACCGATTATGGTTGTATCATAGCGCATTCCATTCTCATGTTTATGATCGCCATTCCCGTAGTCTTCGCCATGTGGTATTGGAGCGCGCTCAGTTGCTCCACAACTGGTCGACCCAAGAGCTGGCCGAGATTGAGGATTTGCGCCTAGTCATGTGTGATATTGTGCAGAATCACATATGTCCTAGTAATGTGACGATTCAACGCAAATTCCGCAAGCGTTTTCCAGACAGCAACCAGCAACTCTCGTTCAATATCCACCTCAATTACCCTCCGCTTTCAACTACTCTGTCTTCGCATGGTCATTCCTTGCTCCAGAAACGCCCTGACACCTCAATTCAACAATACTTCCATACAGCCCATCCAGGTAATTATCCTGAGTCGCCAGCCAAATACCGGTCTCGATTTCGCAATGACCTCTCCCATGACCCAGGATATGAAGGCTGGGGTGACGAGATCCCGCATTACTATATTATGCAGGACATGATGAAGCTTGATCCTGGTCAAATATTATGGTTGCGCGACCATGCTTTGCTGAAGGAACAGGTAGAGGAGTATGTATGGTCTCTAGGTGAATGGTTCCGCAACAATGGCGAAACATTTGGTGATACATTGGAATATGTCATGAATGAACGTGGTCTCGAGGTTGGAGAATTTCGATCTGCAGTGGCTGCTCGTGATATGGGAATTGTCCTAGACTAGATTTGTGATTGTTGACTTTGTGTGAATTTATCGAAACAAGAATATTGGCCGCTTATGCGGCTTTGTGATGTCTTTTCAGTGGTCTCTATGATATTCCCTTTCGGTGTCTTGTTGGTAAGGTTTATAGGCCGGCAAAAGAAGGCGGAAAAGGCGTTTAATTTGTGGAATAGCCTTTGATACATTTAGACTTGTTTCACAAGGTGTCTGCTCCTTTGGGTCATAGAAAAGCTGACAAAGAAAGTACCTATAACATGCTATGTACATACTATCTATATGACGTACCACTGAATGATCATCTGAACTCATGCATATCTTCAACCCCCTGTCGTCGCTCTAAATTGTAAATAACCGTTGACACCCCTTGGGGGCTAGGGCCGCTAATTAGGTAATATGGCGCTATAAAACCTTGGGGCCCGGAGAAATAAATTGCCTTGTGGAGCACGTGGACCCATCTTCAACGCATTGACAGTTGTCTCCTTATTGGCATTGACTACAACGTACAATTCTACGTAAGGGGTGGAATGAATATACGATTTTGAGAGAATTTTCATACAAAAGCCACGCAGCCATAATGTTCGACGCCCAACAAAATTCATTGCACCACCAACTGTGTTCATCATCGTAGAAACATATCAAGCACACCAGCTGGGCGAACAGAAAAAAAAAAGGGGATCAATTTCGTCAAGGACCACGGGAAAACGAATTAAAAAAAGGACGGAAGGGGGATCCGACAGCTGTTAACATCAATTCCGGACCCCTATCTCCCCTTGTGGTTTCTCTAACAAATCCCGCCTGTGTATCATCTTTGTAGCCGTTGAATTTCAGACTCTCAACACAGATCAAGACCGTCTCAATATCACATCGCAAAAGAAGAGTCGTGGCAGTCGGTGCATCGTCCTTGCGAGGGGTAACCTAGCAGCAGCCCGGCTTCTGCTCGCTGTCTTGCTTGCTGGGGTCGATAACGGGACGGCGGTCGAGGACCTGCTGGCCACCCTCTCCGGAGTCGAGAGCCTTACTGGAAACGATGCGGTAGATTTCTGTCGAAATTAGCATTCTACACCAAATTCCAAGGAGTAAAAAACCAACCTGTAAGGATGTTCTGGAAGGCCAGCTCAACGTTGCTGGCATCAAGTGCGGAGGTCTCAATGAATGAAAGGTTGTTCTCGCCTAATCAATGTCAGCGCCACACAGTAAAACTGATTGTCGGGAAACGCACTGGCAAACTGCTTGGCCTCCTCCGTGGGGACCGCACGCAGGTGGCGCAAATCACTCTTGTTACCAACGAGCATGATGACGATGTTCGAGTCGGCGTGATCCCGGAGCTCCTTCAACCACCGGTTGACATTCTCGTAGGTCTGGTGTTTGCTGATATCGTAAACAAGTAGGGCGCCGACAGCGCCACGGTAGTAGGCAGAAGTAATCGCACGGTAGCGTTCCTGACCAGCCGTATCCCAAATCTGTGCCTTGATTGTCTTCGAGTCGACTTGAATGGACCGGGTCGCGAACTCCACACCGATCGTTGACTTCGAGTCTAGGTTGAATTCGTTGCGAGTGAAACGACTCAAGAGGTTAGATTTACCAACACCAGAGTCTCCAATAAGCACCACTGTTCACTCCACAATACCTCCGCTGTCAGCCTCGAGATCTTTTGGCAGGGGGCACAAGGGAAGGGCGGGCATCAGCATAAGGTGGCGACGTTACCTTTGAAGAGAAACTGCGGGGAGTTATCATCAGCGTATAGTTCTGAAGCATAAAGGAGCTCGTCATCCTAAATCAACTCACGTCATATTCGTCGTTGGCCATTTTGAATGTGATCGAGCTAGTAAAGCTCGAGAGGTGGTATCAAAGTACAGGTAAACGTGGCGGATAATTGAGGACTGAGGGGTGTATTTGGAAACTTTAGAAGGCAACAGCGAGATACGTCAGTACTGAGCTCGCGGCAGGCAGAAAGAAAACCAGGGGAGCACACACACGGGAAACAATAGAGGATCAACAGGGGATAGTCAGCAATGCCTGGGCCGAGTGTCTCTCCTTAATCGTGCCCCCCCCCATTGTGGGTTAGCGTGGCAATCACGTGTGTTGGCGTTTGGCGCGCGGGCGGTATCCTTTATCTACTGCCGGCAGTATTGTGCTTTCTTGCTCGCCTTGCTTTTGCTTTTACTTTATTCTCTTGTTTCCCCAATTAATCTTTATCTTACTCAACGGACATGCGTTACGGTAGGCATTCGCTCTCAGCTGATACCCACGAAGCCCGGCAATTCAAAGTTTCAACCCGCACACCGTCTCGTACATCTTGGGCATGGACATTGTACGCTGCACAATGAAGCATTTGTTGACTTACTTTGCCAGGCTACTACAATGGCGTCTGATTCTGAAATGAACAATGCCTCTGACCATGAAGATGGCGATGCCGACTCTCTGGCATCTACCTCAGAAAGTGAAGAAGAAACCGAGTACTTCGTGAAGACAATACATGCGGAACGGAGGTTCTACACAGAACCAGATTCCGAGAATGATGAGGGTACCTTCATAACTCAGTATTTGGTAGAGTGGGATGGATACAGCATGGACAGATGCACTTGGGAGCCGAAGGAAATGTTTACTTCGGAAGAGACCCTAGATGACTGGGAAGAGAAAAAAAAGCAGATTGCTGAGGGTAAAGAGCGCCGTTTTGATCTTGAGTCGTGGGAGAAGGATACGGCTTTGTTGGAAAAAAAGACAAAGAAGCGAAAAGAAGAACGAAGGCGCAAACGGGAACAAAGGGCACGGCAGAAAAACGTCCCTCAAGCTAAATCGTCTCGACTGGCCAATCGCAATATTGTAGATGCCCATGAGCCTGAAGCAGGAATTGCATCCCGTCGAGCTCCCAGTCGACTCTCCATCGATTCCACCGCTTCAGCCTTGTTTGTTCCAGCTGAAGCTCTGCCTCCATCAAAGGCGGCGCCTCGCCAATCGCAGCAACAAATAGCGCCCCCAGGATTAGCTATCTCTAGTGCGCAACAAAAACGCAACGCTCCTCTAGGATCAACAAACTTAATTGCAAAAACACAAGCAACCCCAGGGCAGCGTCCAAACTCACGACTTGCTCAGCTCGCAAAGAATATTACCGCCAAGCAGAAACCGCCGGCGAGCCAGAAGAACCCACAAGCAGCAAAGCCCAAATTGTCTTCTTTCGGTACGCGCCCGGTGGCCAAGCGTGCGTACTGTGATAGGAAGTGGCGCGAGCGAGCGCCGGATTTATCACATATGGAGCTGATGAAGCCTTCTGAATTCGCACCAAGGATGAACATCCCCCATACCACCCTAGTCGTTGGCCCATCTGTAACAAGTCCCAGATCCTCGGAAGCCGAAAATCAACCTGCTTCTGAGAATCCAGTCAGCTTGCCTGATCTACTACAGCCACATACTGGTCAAATAAACGATGAAATTGCGCAGCATCCAAAGAACCCCGTCGTTCTCGCGTCTTCGTCGGCCATGGCTCCCCCAATGCCTCGCTCTTCGAACTTAGACTGCACTGCGTCGGTTTCGTCAGTGGCGCTGTTGCCTGCGACCAGTGCCCAGTCGAATCTAGAGAGAATCAATGGTGCTATAGATTCCACTATCTCTAGTTCTTCGCCAGATATCCGATCAAAGCCCGTTCCACCGGCGAACCTCACCCATACTACCGATTCTGCTGATTCTTTGGTCTCAACTCTTTCACCGTCAGGTGAGACTCTGACGAATCCTGCCGGGCGGTCAACCTCTGCCCTTCCTGCGCCCTCACCAGCTCCTTATCCCCATCCAGCGTCACAGGCCAATATCGATAAGCTTACCGGTCCTTCGGCGCCTACTAGCTCAGTGGCCCCTTCAGTTGTTCTTCCAGAGGCCCGTGAGGACATTACTTCTGTGAAATCTACTAGACCCTCGGGTTCTGATATTACACCTCTTTCGTCAGTCATTACAACCAAGCCTCGTGCAATGGTCATTCTCGAGAGGAGGCCTGGCGAGAACCAAACCTCGCTGGAGAGCTGCGATACAGTCCGAGGTTGGGACACCTATAGACCAGATTCATCCAGACAGCCTGCTTACACAATCATGGCCGATACCTACCGACCCTCAGAGCTCTCTCGTCGGCAATCACCATCTCGGCGGTCATCTCCACGTCGACGGTCACCGCCCTATCGACGGTCACGGTCTCCGCCATCTCGTCGGTCACGGTCTCCGCCATCTCGTCGGTCATCGTCCTCACGTCGGCAATCGCGATCTCGACGGTCACGGTCACCATCCTCTCGACAGCCACCGCCACCCGGTCAATTACCAGGCTCTTTCCGTGATACAAGTGGTGATTATCCGCGTCGTAGCCCATCTCCGGGTCATTCTCGGCTTGCGTCAAGATCTTCAAACTCAATTGGGTTGAATGGAAACACATTATTTAATGCTCAAGCATTTGTTCCCGCCGAACCCAGAACTGATAGGGCTGAAGCATCTGCCCAACTTAGTCGTCCCATCGCGGCCCAAGCTGCAACGATGCCGGCGCGTATTCCCCAAGGACCCCGCAATATTGCGGGATACTGGGTCCCCAAGGGAGAGACCCTTATTCACATCTTCATTGGACCTGATAAGAGACTCATGGGTGCTTTCAGAGTATGCGGCATCGATTTGGATGTCCAGAGATCTCTGATAGCGTCTAAGAATCGGAATACACACCGAGTTGAGGTTTGGTTTAAGGACCTGTGCACAGTCAGAGAGTACGAAAAATTGTGCGAATCCAGTGTGAGTGCCAGATCCGTAGATGTGTCTCTTATACACTGCTAACATTGGCTATAGGCGAAAAATTCTATACTGAGTACCGGCTGGGTTGAGGGCTTCAGCGACACCAGCGAAAATCTGTTTGGTCTAGCAGAGGATCTGCGAAAGGACGGCCTCATCGCCATTCACTATTCTCCGGTGAACAGAAACGGAGCGGGGATTGTGTGGGTTGCTTGGTCACCCGGTTCACAGGAATTCAAGTTTCCACAGCCCGATGAAGTGCCACCCGGCGTTCCTCTACTCATTGCCGCCCGCACTATGCTAGCACCAATTGAAGTTTTACGAAAAATTGGATCTAGCCAGCCTAGCGGGCGACCTCGTCCCTTGCCAGATACATCGCTTTCAATGCGCAGCGAGCCGCCTAGTGCAGGTGGTAGCCTAGAGTCTAGCACTTCCCCAAGACAGGCAAACTTTCACCATGATATGAGAATGAATGGATCCTTGCCGTCGCGAGAGAGGCCGATCTCAGCGCCAGTCCAAAGCTTTCTGCCCGCAAGTGGGCTCAGGGATAATTCAATTTGCGTTAACCCCCAACCCCAAGGTAACATCGCCACTCAAGGGGATCAAACAGATCAAACGGGGCCCCAGGTAGTTGAGGATTTCATGAAAGCCCTCAAAATCAACGTGGAAGAACTTGCGACAATTGAGGAAGGCGGGAAATCTTCCAAGGCCAGTATCTTTTACTTGCACTTTCCCTCGGACGATCCAGAAGTAAAAGAGGAACTGCGGCTTCTGCAGGTTTGCCTGGTGTACTATGAAAAGATTGTGTTAACAAGCGACAACCCTGGAGACTGGACAAAATTTGTGCAGAACAGCAGACAGGGCGTTGCCATAGTATGTGATCGACACCCACGCGGTTACAATTGTGAAACAACTAACCGGCTGCATGTAGTTTCACGAATCATTCGTCGGATACGATACGTTACAGCCTCCACTCAATTCTTTTCTTCCGACCAATTCGTTCAATTATTGGATTGTTAGGATTCGCAGACCACTCGAATTAGTTGATCCCCGTTATTGCTCACCTGGCGACTACCATTTACGCATATTCCCATATGGCGGTGTCATACTTTTCACCGAAGACGTATTGACAAACCTAAAAGGGGTGGCCATAACTCTCCAATGGATTCGGAATGCAAACAGGAACAAACGCAGATCTTGGACGTTGATGTTTCCCCCTGGGATACTTGAATGGATCGAAAGGAGACTCGATGATGAAACTCACTCGCAAGATCATGGACTGTATGTCATATCTCTTTACCGCTATTTGGGTCAAGCTTCTAACAAACTACATATAGTCTATTGCTCGTTTACTCCTTGATCATCAAGAACAACGTCGCCGACCCTCATGCAGCCTTGTTCGATAAAGCTAGTCTAGACCCGAATTCAAAGAGCAACGTCATCTCACCCGCTCTTAATGAATACGGTACTCGCACAGAGCACCACAGCCTTCGAATCGAGGGAAAAGCTGAACGCGACGCCGATCATCTGATCGAATTCTTCGCGGGGTGGTCACTGATTAACATACCACGTTTCCGGAACTTCATCGCTGTTACCTCTCTTGATGCTTCCGCTGGCGCACGATGGGAGAAATGGGGACATATCACTGTCATGCGAGGTGGCTTCGACCATTTTTTCAAACGATTCAAAATAAACTCAGAGGCCATCATGGGCTACCTGTCAGGCTCTGGTGATCCAACGCCACGACCTTCTGCTAGCCAAGTAGCTACCCCTTCGAGTGCGGCCACACCACAGACGCCTAATTGGGCATCTCACAACGCCAATGCCAATATTCATTCTACCTTTACAGGCAGCCCGAACAGTAGTGGCACGAACAAGTACCCTGCTCCCTACAAATGATTACCCGTGGACTTTCAGCCAGGGCAGGCTGCATCCCCACATAAGTATGATTCTCTTCATGCTTCCATTCCTGCTCTTGCACACCTTTTTATGATACCCTTGTTGTTTGTTGTATGTATTATGTTTAAAACTCTATGCATGAAGTGACGAAATGAACCAAATTTACGCGAAAGTCCCTCTTTAAGTACCTTGTAGCCATATAATACTAGTTTTCGTTGCATTCAACATTGAGATACAACGATTCATCGGTAATAGAAGACCTATCATATGAACATTCAGAATTTCCAAAAGTATAGCTTTGCTAAACTACGCCCTAATTGCCGCCAACTGTGATACGAAGCTGGGAAGAACAACGCCCGGAAATATTTGCAAAGTGGCCGGGTCTCAGGTGAAAGGACACCATTTATTTACATCTAACCAGTCGCTCGATTCTGGTATTCCTGGAAGTCCGATACATTGGAGCCATCCGCATCATCTTGCGTTTCGGCTTTTTGATCCTGGGGTTTCTTTTCCCCGCGCCTCTTTGCTTCCCATTGACTTTCCTCAGCTGAAATCATAGCATTGAAACGCCCACCCTGTCCACGGGCAAGATAGATTGGTTGTTCCTTACGCTCGGCCACAGCCTCCGTCACAAGGACGAATTTCACGCTCGAGCCGGGCGCTTCGAACATGGCGTCACTGAGAATAGTTTCCATCTCGGTGCGCAGCGCGCGTGCACCTGTGCCCATTGTGAAGGCATTGGCGGCGATCTTGTGGAGTGCTGGTGTGGTGAAGCGTAGCTCAATACCCGAGAGAGAGAATAGGGTAGTGTATTGGGCTAGAAGGGAATTGCGAGGTTCGGTTAGGATGCGCACAAGTAAGGGCTGAGGTAGTACGGAGAGAGCAGCGGTGACGGGAATCCTGCCGATCAGCTCCGGAATGAAGCCGTAGCTTTGCAGGTCTGAGGGTGTTAACAGGTCGAGTGCATTGAAATAGGTTGGCTCGGCACCAGAACCAGCTGGTGAGACAGAGGAGAAGAAGGGGAGGTGTTTCTTATACAGCGCTTCTTCCTCGGATCCTGGGAGGATCGGAAGTGGCTGGTTGGTAGAGACATTTGGTGATCCAGGGAAATCGCTAATATTTGAGGGGGTCCGAACCGGCTGACCGAACCCCATGGACCCACGGGATATTCGATCCATGATAGATTTGTGCAGTCCAACGAAGGCACCGGAGAAAATGAACAAAATGTTGTCCGTGCGTACATTGTACACTTCTCCTTTAGCGGCTGAGCTGGGGTTGTGGGGTTGGAATGATCCATTTCCCAGGGGGCTATTAGAGGGATAGCTATTCGGGGCACTAGTTGCGCGGGGATTCTTCTCTGGCTTGGCCTGGACCTGCACGGTTGTGCCTTCGATGATCTTGAGAAGCGCCTGTTGTACTCCTTCGCCACCGACGTCTTTGCCGTGACTAACCTTCGCAGCTGCGATCTTGTCCACCTCGTCAAGGACAATAATTCCACGTTCAGCCTTTTCCACGTTGTAGTCCGCCGCTGCCAAAAGTCGGTGAACACACACTTCCGCGTCCTCCCCAATGTAACCGGCTTGGGTGAACACAGTACAGTCGGAAATACTGAAAGGCACTGAAAGCACCCGAGCAAGAGTCTTTGCCATAAGTGTTTTTCCTACACCAGACGGTCCAAGTAATAGAATATTGGACTTCTCAAGCTGTAGCGGTGCCGTATCGGCGAAATCGGATTGCTCTAGGGGAGTGTCTGGGCGGGATTTGGGGGCTTGAGGTATGCTGGCAGTCTTCAGCACGCCTGTGATATCATCTGTTATACCGAAAAATAAATCAGAAAATGAGAGTCATCATGAGGAATCACTGTGTGATATACCGTCTAAGGGATGAGTTTCGAGTGCTTCCCTCCGCTGACGCTTCGCAAGAGCTTCGGCTGCTCCTTCCTCCCGGCGCATTAACTCTTGTACGCGCTGATAGTGATTGTACACAGCGACACTGAGCACTTTCTTTGCACGTTCCTGGCCGACGACATATTGATCGAGGTATTGCTTCAACACTTTTGGTGTGATGCGGGGGGCGCCAAAGGCCGGGGCTGAGGCTAATGGCCCGAGAGTAGGACCTCCAGTTTCACAGCTACCAGTAAAAGGCTGGCCTGTAAATTCTGACCGGTTGAATTGAGACGATGTCGGAAATGTGGAGGAGCTAGACAGCTGGCGTATTCGCGAACTAGTATATGATTGAGGAAGCCGACACCGGACAATGTCACGACGAGCCAAGGGGGCCGGGAAGCGACGCTGTAAATGCCGCCACAGCATTGCTGGGCGCCAGTAAATCACAAGGGGTAATGAAAGGCGGGTAGAGAGAGCTCGGAAGTCACAAAGTAAAGGAGAATTGGAGAGCGAGGATCAGATCAGATACCACATAGCTTAGGTTCCCCGCATGGGGCAGGTGATCTTATCTGATGAGTCATCTGATCCATCTGCTTATTTGGGCAAGTGGCCCCGGGGCATCCATCCATGGACCGGTTATTTACGAGGCAGTCGAAGCAAATTGAGAGCTACTATGTATATTTAGGATTCAATGCCTAAAAGATCTATGTCTCAAGCAGATTTGCAGATCATGTCGTTAAAAGGCCAACCCTGAAATCGTTGCAATACTCAAATACAGCCCTGGAGGGAGCCGGCGCTGACGTCATGGAGGGATATATCTTGTCTACACTCCAATGTCATTTTACTATTTAGCATGCACCCACTTGGCTGGTCGAAGTAGGGAGTCGCCTCAAGTGTGGCACGGAGTGCATATTTCGGACGTGTGGGTGGTGGCAAGTGGTACAGTTGCAGCCCACACCAACACAATCGACAGCGCTGTCAACCCATTGCAGATCTAGTGATTGCGGTTGTACTACCGACGCAACACTTGCATAGCGGTATGCCGTCACGATCCGTGGAGACTAACAAGATTGGGCTTATCTCAAATAAGCAAATACGCACATACTAGTTGATACACGGTCACCAACAACATTTCGAGGAGAACAATTCTGATCTCTAAATTTTCGAACAGGTATGGGATCCGAGGGGGCTTTCTATTTCCAGAAAGGGTTAGGTGGCTAGGATGGGATGATGCGGGATTGTACTTGAGAACTTAAGCTGGCTAGAAATTTGGCCTTCTCAAGGTGTTAAAACAGCTATAATATTTGAGGTGTTGCAAATTCAGTTCTGATTCCTACTGGTGAAAAGAGGTAGAATAATAGTGAACTATATGCTGCTCTTTCATCAATGATGGGCATTTGGTTATTGGTTGACAGGTGTTCAATAACGTCCGCAGCCCGAAATGAGGCCAAAAAGCGGTGGGTTCCCCAGGAATATAGGAATGCTTGAGCCGCAAGACCTGCTTGAAACCAGGTGTAGATTTCACCATTTAGATCCAAGAGAAGCAAGTGGCTCGGTAGTGTTTTGGTTGGGCGCAGTACACCCCAATGTGTTCGCCTTAACCCCAGCACACCCCAGCTTTTAGCAGAGTTTTTGGATGAAGTTTTCACATCATTGCAGGAGTCCACTTGTTAGACATATCCACGGATAGGAGCAACCACAGTGGCCCAGGACAAGTTATTTTGGTTTTCATCCTGGCCACCCTATTTATTCGTCTTGAACACGGGCTGCTGTTCCATGGTCTGTGAGATAAAGTTACGGAGGGCCGACCATCGACCAGCCGTCGGGTTGGACTGTGTGCTCGCCTCGCCGTTAGCAGCCGGGGCTGATGTGATGTTGGACATCTCGGTCAGGTTCTTGTTGAAGCGGTCTCGCTCCAATTTCTCGAGTTTTTCCCGGCGCTTCATAGCACCTGGCTTGTGTTTCAGAGTCTTCTGCTTGATCACATTCACTTGACTGGCGGCATCATTGGATTCCTCAGCCTCGGGCAAGGCATCGGCCAAAGATTCGAGGTTGGCGACAAGTTTTTTTGATGCTCGTCGGCGCTTGGGAGTCTTCTGAGAATTCTTCTCAATTTTAGACACGAGAGCAGCATGCTTGATCTGACGCTTATCCCTTTTGGTCGTGCGGAATTCGTCACCAAAGGCACTGGGTTTGGCTATGGCGCCTCTGCCCGAGGCAGATTTTGTTTTGCGGATAGGAGCCTGTGAAGATAGAACGATAATTAACCGGCTGAAAGTGGAACAAGATAAGTAATAGTGTAACTCACCATGACATGTGAGATCTACAGTGAGCAGTAAAAAGACGAAATTGCGACGGGGAAAAGCGAAAGGCCGGCTCCAATCCTTCACCGCCTGAGTCCACAATCCCCACCCTTTTTTCCAGGAACTCAACGCTGTTTGGCTATGAGTTTTGTCCGAGGTCAGGTCAAAATAAATAATATTTGTCAAAAGGGCGAAAAAAAATTATTATTTTTTAAAATCCGTGACGTTATCTTGTTCTCGTGAAATTGTTCCGAATTTCGACATCTTTCTGGTGACATCAGAAGCTGATCAGAAGGCAATATTTGGAAAGGCCTGAAACCTATTGGGGTCCCAACGCGATAACTTGTATGGATATTCGTCTCAACCTACGTCGGATTTGCGTTCCTCTCTCTACCATATTTCTACCTCGGTCACCCACTCAGTTCCAGACCCGATTCTTAATTCCACATTTGCCCCCGACTTCTTTGTCTTTTAAATCCACCTTCTCCGGACCCCTCTCCCGCAGATCAATTGTCTCTTCCACAAAAATGGGTTCTCTCGGTCCTTATCAGCGCAAGCACAAGATCACGGTGGTAGGCTCTGGCAACTGGTAAGTCCCTAAGAGAAACTGCAGTGGATTTGTGCTAATTATGCTTCTCAATAGGGGATGTGCCATCGCTAAGATCGTCGCCGAAAATGCGTCCAGCAACCCCGAACTGTTTGAGGAGAAGGTAGAGATGTGGGTATTTGAGGAGGATGTCGAGGTTCCAAAGACTTCTAAGAACTACAATGCATCGCTCGCCGGCCCTCAGAAATTGACTGAGGTGATTAACAGCGTTCATGAGAATGTGAAGTACCTCCCAGGAATCCAGTTGCCAGTCAACCTGCACGCCAACCCGTCCCTGGAGGATGCGGTGAAGGATAGCACAATCCTCGTTTTCAACCTACCTCACCAGTTTATTATCAAGACCTGCGAACAAATCAAGGGCAAGATCCTCCCCTACGCCCGTGGCATCTCTTGCATCAAGGGTGTGGACGTGAACTCAACAGGTATCCACCTGTTTTCCGAGACTATTGGCAGAATCCTTGGCATATATTGTGGTGCCCTGTCTGGTGCGAACATTGCCAATGAGGTCGCTCAAGAGAAGTGGTCCGAGACCAGCGTCGCCTACGATCCCCCGCACATGGACTCACAGGTGCCCACCCCCCAGCGGTCGCCTTCCTCCTCCACCACCGACTTGGTGGAGTTCCAGCACAAGGATACCACAGGTCAAATCTCGGAGGTTAAGTTGCAGGCCCTACCGTCAGCCTACCCTCCGGTCGACCATTCCGTGCTGAAGACCCTTTTCCACCGCCCTTACTTCCATGTGCGTGTTGTCAATGATGTTGCCGGCGTCTCCATCAGTGGCGCTCTTAAGAACGTTGTTGCCCTGGCCGCTGGCTGGGTTGTCGGCATGGGATGGGGTGATAACGCCAAGGCAGCCATCATGCGCGTGGGATTGATGGAGATGGTCAAGTTCGGAGACACCTTCTTCGGTGCCACTATTGACACTCGCACCTTCACCGATGAGAGTGCTGGTGTGGCAGACTTGATCACCAGCTCCAGTGGTGGTCGTAACTTCCGCTGTGCCATGTACAGCGTCCAGCGCAACCAGCCTATTGAGGAGATCGAAAAGACTGAGCTCAACGGCCAGAAATTGCAGGGTACCCTAACTGCTGTGGAAGTCAACAGCTTCCTGAAGAACCAGGGTATGGAGGATGAATTCCCTCTGTTCACTGCTGTTTTCCGTAAGAATTGCCCCCTATCTACCATTTGACCCCTCGTTCCAAGCTAACATTTCACAGGTGTTTTGGAGGGTACCATGAAGGCCGATGAGATTCCTTCTTACATTGAGCGGTAAAAAAATCCCCTTCTAATGTCCTTTGCTTATATGTTCTTGTTACTTATCAAATCATCTGGTTCCCTCATAGCCCCCCTCAAGCCCGAACCCCGACTTCTACATCACAAAATTCTAATGGCGACGACAATGGCGTTCGGTTCAGTGCTGCCCGATTATAATTTTGGAGATTGGAGATTGAACATCGTATAGACTTTCATGACCTGTATTTATGAACTGCATGCGGATTATTTTCTAGACATTTGATTGAATCTAAACCTGTTCTATAAGTGAATTTATATGTTTGTTGATATGTTGATGGTGTTGATGGTGTTGATAGCTAAAAATACCAAGGAAAATGCATGATGTCATCCCCCGCGCGGTCTGGGCTTTCTCCAGGAACATATGAGGGGAACGCCGGGTCCTCTTCCTTGCTTTTCAAGTCAGCTTTTTCTTAAATAATCTCTCCCTCTTTTTCCTTCTCACTATCGCAGTGAAAGTAGGGTGAATCGCTCCAGATTCTCCTGTGCTCTCACGATCTTTTGGTCTAGACTCTTCGACCAATCGTTATCTACCCGTCCAAATGGCCTCCCCACGTCAGGTCTACTTGCTTCCATTGAAAGATGACGGTTCCCCGGATGTGCCCGGTGGGTACATTTACCTGGCTCCTCCACCGGACTCGGGATACGTCCTTCGATTCATCATCGAAGGAACGAGTTCCATCTGCCGACAGGGCAGTCTCTGGGTGAATATCCCCGAGGAAGGAAAGCCCTTTGAACGTTACTCGTTCCGCGAGTTCAGGTAGTTCTTCCTAGTTCTTATATGTTGTGCAAATTGAGGGCGGTCGCTAAACAGAAGTAGACTGCAGCCCAACTTCAATGAGAACATTCAGATCGATATCCCCGTGACATTCGCGGGAGCGTTTGCTTTTTACACAACATTTTCTCCGCTCCCGGAGTTCTCAGTCGAGGATGTCCCTGCTCCGAAGCCAACTCAGACACCTGTTCACTACATTGATGTGTCGCCCAAACTTACCCTCCAGGGGAAAGATTTGCCGCTAAATTCACTCTCTATTTTCTCGGTGATTTCAAAATTCATGGGTCAGTATCCCACAGACTGGGATAGGCACATTCGTGGAATTGGTCAGCGGAACTATAACATGGTTCATTTCACACCTCTCATGCAGCGTGGCTCGTCCAACTCGCCCTATAGTATTTTTGATCAATTGGCATTCGACAGCACGTTTTTCCCTAATGGAGAGGATGAC